AAAGTGTGTTTTGTTTGCACTTATATGGGATGGGCACCCTCAACAAAAAAAAAAAAGAATATTGGCCGATTATTATTTTATATTCTCGACCACCGCTTACGCAAATTTTCGTTGTTCCCTCAAAAAAAATTGGGAGAAAAAAAAGGCATCAAAAGTGCAATAGAGGGTGTATTTCCTTCGAGACTTCCGCCAGAAATACATTTTGCTTGTTGCTACTCCAATTGTCCCTTCTTTTCCAATTGGGTTCATGTCTGGAATCGCTAAAAACGCAGACCGCCGGAAAGAAAAAAAAAGCTGTTGTGCGTTTTGTCGAGACCTGTGATTCAAAATGTTCCCAAACTAATTTCCACGAAACTTCTCGACAGCAATCGCTGGGAAATTTAATCAACCGCACGTGCACCATTCCCATTGTACTCCTGTCAACGAGATTTGCTGCAATTCAATGTTATTTGTCGGTCTGTAGCCGATTCGTCGTCCGAGATTCTTCTCCAAACTAGAAAAAAAAACGAATCGAAATCAACGTTTGCTAGCAATTTATTGTTGAATTCCTCTTTCTAGCTCGTTTGAGGAATCGCACTCTTTGAACTCGCTGAGAACAATTCCGAATCTTTGTGTTTTGAGATTGTCTCAAGTGTCACCAATTTTTTTCATATGATTTAATCATTTTGGATTCGATTTTATTTCCCATTTAAGATCGAATCTGATTATTGAGAATATGGGTAATAGTGTGTTACCCAATTTAAAAAAAAGCTGAGCTGCGACCAAATATTTCCATCGTTTCTTTATTGTATACTGTAGTCTTGCATATGTCTGATACGCAGCCAAATTGCAAATATGACGGGACCAAGTTGTACAGTTTAAGTGTTTCTCCATTAGAAGTTCAATAATAATACTAAATTTAGGAAGTGGTCCTTTAGAAGTGATGATACCGTAAAACTCAATTTGATGAGTCATTCGCTCAATTTTTCTCGAACTTTTTCAAAGTATACTAAGTCTTAAAAACACTTGTTTCTTCATGCCGAAATGAAAAGAAAAACGCCCACGAAAGGAAAGGAAAAAATGCAATATGTGAAACAAATGTCAATTTGAAAGGTCCGGTCGTTTTTTTCTTTTAATATTGGGCGAAGTTCAACAGAGTCACACTCTTTCCTGGTTAATGCTCTTGTTGTTACAAATATCGGTCGACATTGACAAATATATGATAATTGTGACATGAACTAGATGAGCTTCATCATTTGGGGTTGAGAGAGAGAAATTAGACTTCTTCGTGTTGTGAGCATGGTGTTCCATATCAATTGTATTGCCCAATTCGAGTTAGGTACGGTAGTATCATTTTTAAAGGAACATCCCATTTCTCGATTTTTATAAATTAAAAAATTTATTGACACATTCTCAAAGTGTTTCTCACATTCACAAAGAAATTCGCTACATCGTGAAGCAAGTTTCTACGTTGATTCGCTCAAATCATTTGAGCAGTTGGCTCGAGAAATGAGCTACCAAACGGAAATAAACAGAGCTTGATTAAATCACATTTGGGGTGTGCACTTTTCGTATTTTTTTGCCCTATTTGCCTATTGATGGAAATATAATCAAGGTATTAGGTGAATATTTCTATTCACAGCTCAGAAAATTGAGTGTTGAAGTGGGAAATTTTCGTATTTTCAATTGCTCGTTTAAAGGTACATACTGACGGCGCGGTCTACTGTAGGGCTCGGTCACGCAGTGTCGATTTACGCGCTGGGGAAATTTACTCAACGCGTCGTCACGAGACCATTTAGCAAATTTGTAGTCGCTTTCACCTAAGGGGGATCATTGGGGTCTTTTCATCATTATTCTTAATCCGAAGAGCCTCCTCAAACTAGATACGAAGAATGTTTCGCGGTGGATTACTCATCGTCTCATTCAAACCTCAAATATTCTTGGGACCGCAATTAATTACTATTATTATTATTATTATTATATATTTCATCGCATGCTTCTTCGCCACCTTGATGACAGCATATTGAAGCATCCTTGAAGTGCACACAATGAAAATCTTTTCATGCAAAGGGATGAACTTTTTTTGTGCAGTTTTTTTTGCTTCCTTTTTCCCCGTTATTGCATTCGTCGTCGTCAACCTCTTTACCGGAAATTTCATCGCTTCTTCGCATTGATCATGCCTCGCTCTAATTACTCGCCGATTGCTCCGCCCCGCTCTTAACCCAAGCCCCGCCCACTTTTTGTGTTTTTGTTTGTTTGCAGTGCGAATAAGCTTCTCCCTCGCTCTCGATGAAGCGGTAACTCGACACCAACAACGAACCGCGCACGCTTGTTATGATATATCTACTGCTCACACTTGATTGTTATTGTTGCTCAATTCTGTTTGTTGCCAATCGGTGCTCAATTGCGCACCGAGCCAATTTGTAGCACTTGAATTTTTTTGCCGTCGTCGTCGTCGTTTTTTTTTTGCTGCTGCTGTGGCAGCGGATGATTCGAGGAAAATAGATTTCCGGCTCGAAAAAAAGGAACTGAAAAGCGCTTTTTTTTTCAAGAGACACGTTTCGAGAACACCCTTCTGAGCAAATTATTCGATGGTCCGAGTGTTCAGAATGCGCAATTACTCGTTCCAACATCTGGTATTTTTTCTATCATATTTGGAAGTTTCTCGATCATGTTTCCTTTTGATTGCACGAATTTCGTGAAATGCGTTATTTTTGAAATAAACCAACAACGAAAAAAAAAAACCGCAACCTCATCGCTTCTAATCCGCCAACGGAAATCCGACATCCTTCAAAAAAAAAGTGCTCTGCTCGATGATAGCTCTTTTTTTTGATAAACACAATTTTGATGTTTCAGTTTGATCCCCTCCCCCACCATATATGGCAAATTTTCATCTGTCGCTCAGATTTTTTTAAATAGTTTTCGTCGTGCACTTTGAGCATTTCAGCATTTTCCCGAATTGACGTATTATTTTTTGACGGTGATATTTTTTTTTCAAATTTTGTCTTTCCAAAATACCCCACACCACCCAAAAAATATCGTGTTTTGTCATACACACCGAAATTAGCATTTTATGAGCCGCTGTTTTTTTCATATTCTCCTTCTTTTTTTTTATTATTTTCTTCTTCTTCTTCTTTTTTTGTCTCGGCAAAAATTATTGGTTTGACAAAGCCGATGTTGATACTTTGCAAGATTCTTTTGATTCAATTCAATTATTTTTTGCTCTATTCAAACGAAAAAAAAAATAGGTTTGGTCGACGTCTTTATTTCTATTAATTTTTAGAGCAAAACTGATCCATTAATTATTAATTCTTAGTTGTATTTTTTTCCAAAAAAATCATTTCAAAGATCAAGAAGCTAAGTAATTTCCATTTTTTAGAGGAAGGCATGCTTAAATGTCATCACATTTTTCTTTTCATTTCTAAAAAAAATAATGCGCGTTTTTCGTATTTCCTGTATCAATGAGATCGTCAAAGCAATAAGAAGTACCAAACAAGATTTAAAGGCGCATGCCAACGATCTACCACATAAGACTAAGAGTTTATTGTAGCACATTGATTGGTTTCGGTAGATTCGAACTATTTTCATAGGTCCCGCCCCTTTTTTCGAATTTTTCGAGACGTGACCAAATTCATTCAAATATTTCCGTTTCGCTCTTATAAGTGTATTCAGCAACGAAATTTGTAATTCAAATGGTCCGCTCAAAAAATGATATTTTCTTTCTTCGTACGCTTAAGCTCCTCTTCTTTATTTTTGTTCTCTCTGAATGCGTCATAATGAAGTTGAATCAACTCAACATTTTCTTCTGGTCCCCGCTTTGTCTGAAGCACCACACGTAGTTGGCGGCGACGACGGCGAGTCAGCGGTTGGTGGTAATTGCAAATTGGTGGCGGCGAATCGTTCTTCTTAATGCATTGTTCATTAGTTTCAAATTCATCCCTCTTCTTATTCTTCTGGGAGGAGCGTGCGAGTCTTTAACGATGGGGGAAATGTAAGGGGGGTCTGACTAAACGGGGGGATTAGATTTACACGTTCAACTAGTAGCCCTATTTTAGAAACTAAATGTGTAGGCCGAATATGCCACGCATTTCCTATCGAATAAACTAATCGTCAATTGTTTTCAATAAATAAAATTTTTAAAAACGATTATACGGAATATTTCTGGCATTCAAATCAATCTTCAAAGTAGCAACCCACTGTTCCCAGAATGTTAGCTTCTTCTTGGAATTTTCAAGATCCTTCTGAAATTCTGTGGCTGAAATTGAAACAAGATCTCTGTTGGTTTTTTTTTTTTTGATAAATCGCTTCAGAACAAAATGCCCATTTCTAGGAAGATGTGTTTTTTCTTTGGCAAGCTCGATCGTTTTAAGATGAAACATTTATCAAGTCTTAGTTGATTTTTAATCCAAACTTCCTGGTATTACGTTAGTCTCAATAAATATAGCAATTTCAATTTGTTGAAAACTCATCAGATATTCGATTATGAAGTCGCGAAGCCCCGCCCCGCCCACGTGGCGTTTAATAGGACCCGAAAAAAATGAGAAAAAGTTGCTTTCATGAATAAACCGAATATTTTGCAGAATCTCGATTTTCCCATATGATTAGTCAGAAGTTCACCAATTTCAGAAATGAGTTAATTTTTCCCTTCGCGAAAAAACTAAAGTTGAACCTTTTTTTTGGAACTTTCTTCCCACGATTCTTGTTTTCGGTTTCCCCTCCCCTTCCCATTTCCCTTCCCCGCCCCACCCCTCTGCTCCCTCCCCTCTTACCCGCAAATTTCAGTATATTTATTCGGCCGTAATACATGTACAATTTGATTTGAGTTTTGCCGACCGATAATCTGCAAATGAGCCGATCATTTTGCCCCAAAATCCCCGCCCATGTCATATTCATTCATCGTTCGTTCTTTTTTTAAACAATTTTCTTCCAGAAATTCGAGCTTTTCGTTTATAATGTTATCAGATTTCTCTCGATCATGCCATATTTGTCAACTCAGTCAAGCGTTTTTATTTTTTTCCAGAATGAGCGACGTCGACATCAACACAACATTTTTTGAAACAGCCATCGCCGAGTATGGTCGAATTCTTCATCCACCGCTCGTGCTCATTCTCTGCATTTCTGGAGCCATGGGCCATCTGCTCACAATCACGACATTATCAGCAATGCTGAACCCAACCAATTTATTTCTCATTTCGATGTCATGGTGAGTCTTTAAACGATGCTGCGGACAAATTAAACACATTTAATTTTGAAAATATAGCAAAATTAAAAAAAAGACAAATTCCAAAAAATAATGCTATTTGATTTATATGTTTTTTTTCGATTCCCATCACCCTGCTTTATATTAATCTATTAATCTGGTACTTATGTCATAATTTCTATGCATATCCTTCCAAACATGGTGGCCAACTTTGTCATTTACCTAAAAGAAAACGAATATGCGAAAAATCAATTAGATCATTTTGATGTATTTCATATGAACATTTTGATCAAGAAAATTTGTAAAACTTTCGTGTAATTTCCATATTTGGAATTGCCAAGAATGCAATCACCCATTGAAGCCTTTCATTATCTTCTTGGTGATCCACAAACGATCGTTGGCAAACTCCGTCCAATCGTTGTTTTGTTTTCCGAGAAGAGTTGGTTTGCCCCCGTATTGAATGGGCTTGTTGAAATAACAATAAAAATGCATAAAGAAATAACTCATCGAAGGCAACCCAACAACTCATTCGAGCGTACATGTTTTTGTGGGCGATTCGAAGCAAGTTTTCCTGCGGGGGTTCGGCCGTCTTCTGAGCCGACGCATCCGGCTTTTAATTGCATTCATCGCCCAATTAGGCCTCGCCAGCCAATTGTTTCTTTTGTTTTTGGTTGAATCGGCCAACTTGCAAACCAATTTTCGAAAAACATATCAATGAGACAAATCTGCTTGTGTGTGCAAAGATAAATGCCAAAGATGGGTATCAAAAAGAAATATTGGAAGATGGATGAATGTCGGGGATTTGCGGCGGAAAAACACATTGGCTCGTCGGGGACTTTCGTCTAATCAAATTCGATCTGCAACGTGAGCAAATGTCGAATAACATATCAGATTATTCATTCATAACTCGCGGAGTACGCCCAACAAGTTTAATGAGCAATTGTGTCAGATGACCGAAAACACCATAATATAAGAATATTTTTTATTTTGTCATTAATTATTCTATGCTAAGAAACTCTCAAATAAAACTATAGTTGTTTGCGCAAACTGCCTAAGTTTTTTTTAAGAGTTTTTAAAGCCTAGAATTTACTGGTTTTTTAGATTTGGCGAAATCGGCATAGCACCTGAATAAATTGATCAATTCAATAATTTCATCCCATATAATTAAATGATTAGTCCAGAAATAAATTGGAGAATCTGCCCATCCAATGTATAAAAAATTCTTATGTGTGGTGTCATTAAATAGATATCGTGACTGCGAAAAAAACGAAAAGTTATTTTTCAATATGAAAATAGAGATGTCTCTTCACGTTACGTCGTTGAAAATCATTCCCTTTGAATAAAACGATTTTTTAAATAAAATTTTGTCTGAATAAATTGTCCATAGAAATCAATGTAATATTGGGTAAAGGTGTTCTAGAAAAAGAAAAAAACTGAAAATTTTCGCAATTAAATTTTATTCCGCATTGCAGTTCTCAACTCGCTTTGTGTATCAACTTCTTGTACTCAACCTTCTTCAAATGGATGTCTGATCAACTATGTCAGCCATTTTTCTTCTCTTATTACATGGCGACAACCATGCATTTTTCCGTCACAATTTCGGTGCTCGTCCACATGTCAGCCGTATTTCACGTCGTCGGACTCTCGCTGATCCGATATTTCTCGTTGGCGCAACTCTCAAGCGTCAATTCAAACGTGCCGTGGTTCACGTGGCGGGTTCGGACTCAAACTCTCAAATTAATCTTTTTTTTTCGTCGTTTTGCAGAAGTCGAAAATTGCAATTGGCGCCATCTACATGATTGTCGTCGTGCTTTGCATTCCGTTGCACTTCACGTCACGTGTCGCGATGGTCAGACATTCCTAATTTTGGACGCAAACGACGAATTTCTGTTTTGCAGAACTCCGAAAATGAGGGATGTGCCGAAAGATTTCCGAGTCTTCGTAATTGGACGGCCTATCAATTGGCGTACACAGATTTCGTTTGGCTCAGAAATGTCAACTTCTGGCTTTTCTATTTGTCATCAAAAATTGTGCCATCGGTAATATTTTCAATTATATTCTCTAACTGAATCCGAACTCTTCAGATAATTCTATGCCTTATGACATTTTTCATTTTGGATCAACTCAAGAAGATCCAAATACTTAGTGCGCGATTTTCGAATGTTGAACGCGACAAGCAACACCAGCGAACAACTAATATGATTCTAGTATGCCTTCAATCATCTTCCATTCATTTCTATATATATCACAATTACAGGCAATTATGGTTCTTTTTATTTTCGTTGAGCTTCCACAAGGTGTTCTTGCGGTTCTCGCAACGATTTCCGATATTACTGTAATCTATGATCTCGGCGATATCACAGAAGTGTTCACGCTGCTCACTTCAATCATAATCTTTATATTACTGTGCTCAATGAATGGCAGGATTCGCTCAGCATTTCGCGACGTTGCCTGTATTCGAGCAGCAATTTCTCTATTCTATCGATTTTTCCCGCCTTCAAGGTAAATTCTTGCTATAGCATATATCATATTATTGATTTCAGCAGCGTTCGCGCTTCTTCCGTTCGAGATCCTCTTCTGGATCACAACACGATAATCATCACCAATTGTCATATTGACAAATCAGAAAATTATGCGGTGCTTTAATGGCAAATCACCAGAGATTTAAATTGTCGGGTTCTTAGAATAATAAACATTTTTTCCAATGATTCAAACAAAACAATAAATAACAACAAAAAAATCTACCACTATCATATGCATCATTTTTTTAAATCTAATACTCGTCTTCACGCAATTTTCTTGGTTTTTGTCGATGATTTTCAGCGGCACCTCGTGGGAATTGAACAGGCCGTGGAAGTGGCTTTCGAAGGATTGAGCTATCTACATGAACCTGTTAAAATGAATTGAATAATCATAAAAACAGGATAATAATATTTCTCACGTCATATGCGAATTCTGGATCATCAGGAATTACATTCATTCCTTCTTGTCGGGCAAGCTCCTTCGTCATAGAGACGAGACTCTGAAGAAGACGAATTGTTGAGAATTTTCAAAATTATGTTTTGCTCAAGCATAGAGTGTACTGATTGAACAGTGATCTCTTTAATTTCTTTGATTTTCGTCGATTATTTTTTATGTTTTCAAAATGAAAAGGTTTCAAAACAAACTCTAATTTAATTTAGTTTGTTATGAACTATCAGATGATAGGAAGATTTTAAAAACCGTACTAGAATTTATTTCAACAAATATACATTTACACATTTCATTTATACTGATTATATATTTTTCCGGATAATTAAACGTACCTAGGTTACTCATTTTTGTTCCGATAGTGAAGGATTAAAAAATTATACTGAAAAATATCAGTTAGCGATGTTTGAGAAAAAAAAATTGACTATTTTTCAATTTTTTATCAACTATTTTTTAATTTTCTAAAAATCCACAATAAGAAAAAATAAACCTCTTCATATCAAGGGTTTTCCTCATTTTCCACAATAATTTATGAGATTTCTTATTTTAATTTATAGGCCTTTCACTTACTTTGAACGAATGAGGTTCATAAATCGCCATTTGCGATAAAACAATATTGTCAAGAAGAATGTGAGCTTTGCTGAGGATAGTTTTGAATTTTGGATACTCCATGTCGTGCTCAGCTAAAGCTGCACGTACACGCTCTTCAGCGTACTGAAAATAATGAAAATCAATGGAAAGTTGACGAAAATCTTACAAATTTTTCGAGTTTTGGTTCATCTTCCCTTTGCATATTTAAATAATGATAAATTTTGTCCTGCTTTCTGTAAGCGCCTTTGACTGTTGTTCTTTCCGATCCATATTGCCACTAAAATAACATTTTTGAATATTTCTGTAATTTTGAAACATTTTTCAAAGTTGTAATACTGTTTTTGATTTTAAAAGTTAACAGAAAATCTCTTACTAACAAATTCTTTAATTAAATACTACTACTAATTAATTTTGGAAACGCACCGCGGTAAGTTGTCTCAATCTTTCGCGCTTGATCCACATGTCCGGTTTTGGGATAACATCAAATGAACTGTAACCACTATTCACAATCCTACGAAGCGATAAAACTGCAGACAGACGCATTCTGAATTAGATTAAATAATTATTTAACGTGCGAGCGAATAGACAGAAAAACAACGACACTTCGGCTCGCCCTCAGTTTAGCACGTCTGTTTGAAAAGAAAAAACTTTTGTATATTAGTTAACTGCCCTAATTTCTTATAATCGCTTTTCAATTAATTTAATCTGCCAATGAAATTTTAAAGAAAATTTAATAATTGAAAAATTTAAATTCAAAACCTTGATATGTTCTCTCAAGAAAACTCATTGTATTTCATATTACGGTACTGTCTTTTAACATTCTGAAATCACACTGCACAATAATAATATCACCGTATTCTAAATGTTTTTTTAATATTTCTTTTTCAAAATATTTATTTTCAAATTACCTTGTGATTTTCTTTAAAATCGCCGAAAAACTGCTATCTGGATATGAAACAATTTCTTGTGAGTCATTCCCAACTCTTTTCATCACTTTTTCCTAAAGAATTTCACAATAGATTTCCTGCTTTTTTTCTATACAAAGTTCAGTGCCTTTTTTTGGCAATCAAAAATCAATTGAGCTCGTTAAAAGGATTATCTTATCATTCTACATCAATTTTTGTTTCCTCTTTTAATCCAAACGTTCCCAATTAATTGTTGTGTGTAGTTTAAATTATAGAAAATACATTAGAGGTAGAGATTTTAATTCACTCAAATGAAGTCAAAATACTTTCATTTCGCGAATGTTCTTGTCATAATCAATAACATATATAATCACGCGCTGCCCACTCAATCACGTAGGCGTTGTATTTATTTATATATTTCGGCTCTTAACTATACGAGTTGAATAATTTACTTGTCTGGAACCTACAATCATAAAGGGCGTCAACAAATGTTTTTTTTTTCGATTTTTCTTTTTCCTGCATTGATATTGTCTTATTTTTCTGTTGGCTTTTATTCGTAATTTTTGGTTAATTCGTTGATCAATATTGCCAAGTGCTCAAAATTAAACAGAAGGATGTGATCCAAATATTTTATATTACGTATTTCTTCAAAGTTAAAAAGTAAAGAAAGCTATTTTCATGTTTTTAAAAACAATTTTTAATATAAAAATAGTATACACGAAAAATTATCAAAATCTTATGCAGATTGAACGTAAAACTAGTTTTAAGAGAATTTTTTGTGTTTTTCTCCAAGGGCAAGAAACATTATAAAAATGTTTTAAGAAATTAGGTAAAGTTAAAAAAAAAATAATAAAATATTTATATTTTTTGCTGTATTGAAAATTTTCTATTTTATTTTTTCAATTATTTTTTCTGTGTAGTTCCCTTTTTTGTAGTTCCTGCCTTTTCGTTTATATTTTCAAATTAATTAATAATTAATCACGTATTGTAAATATTCTTTGCGTTTTCGCGAAATACCAGTACAAATTCTTAAACATATATTTGCGAAACTCGCAATGACATGTGATCCAATGTGCTTTCATCCGCTAAAAGGGGGGGGGGGGAGGCGTGATCCGAAAAAAAACCACAGGTTTACGTGACGAAAGAATCTTCCAGAATATTAATTTTTGATCATTTTTTAAAACTAAATTTCTTTTAAAATTGAAAATCTAATATTAATCAATTGTTTTTAATTCTTTTTTTTTTTGGGTTTTATACACAAATCCGATTTTCTCCTTGAACATACGGTTTCCGGTTGAAATTTGTGCATACAACGTCTGAATTCTATTTATTTCTTATCACTTCCAGTGAAATTTTCCAACAATTTCGTGGGGATGGTATTTTCTTAATTGTCTTCAAGATTTGAAAAACTGCGGTGTTCATTTTGTAACATATTTGCCGCCGAATGAATCCCACGTCTCGACGAGAATGTTCCCACGCTGCTGCGATCATCGTCCAAAAAGTGACCAGCCGACCTGATTTTTTTCTAGATGCTGACAATTACCGTTTTCTTCTCTTCTACTCTCCGTCTCTTGTTGAGATAAAATCAAGATGCATATGTATTCCCTAATTTTTTTAAAACTTTTTTTTTTAATTAAAAAAAATTTTCCGAAAATGTTCTTTAAAACAAAATAGTTTCCGTTTGTCGATATTTACAGATGATACCAGCTCAGCTAGGCAATTTAACACGCACACACGATTTAACACAAATTCCAGTCAACAGGAATCGAAATCTTGGGATTTCGATGAAAGCGATCCAGAAAAAATGACTAGAGCCTCTCAACAGAATGAGGCAATCGATTCGGCAATGTCATCGCTAATCTAGGACACAACACAATGAAGATGTTATCGATCCTAGAGGCTTCGCAAATAGTGGTAGCGATGATGGCGACGGTCGTGGTGACTGACTGCCTTCGTTCGCATTGTAAGAAAGCGGAGAGGGTTAAAGGAGGAGAACAAGGAGGAGGAGGAGGAGGAGGAGGAGGAGGAGGAGGTTCGCCCCTCATTTTCGAAAACACATGCAAATATATACGGGCGTGGTGGCGATGGTGGTGGTGGTTGTGTGTGTGTGTGTGTGTGTTGTTATAGTAGTGTGTGTGAGTGTGTGAGGGTGCGTCGTCTGCTCCCTCCATCACGATTATCGCACGCGGCGTTCGTTTTGTCGGTCGTCTCGACAGTACGCGTCGCGTCGAGACCCGTTCTCTCTGCGCCCTCCTCGCCTCTCATCTCATCGCCATCGTCGCATCGATTCCGTTGGATGTTTGCCAACAACTGCCTAGTGGTCGCGAGTCGCAAATGAATGCGACGACAACGCGCAGCAGCGGCAGCGGTGCGACACGCGGTCCGGAGATTTGGTGATGCGTGGAGACGCACGCGCAGAGAATAACTCGGCCCCGGCCGGCCAGCTAGGGGTCACTGAGGGCTAGGAGGCAAAGCTGTCCATACTACAACAATGCATGTCACAACCTCCTCCTCCTTCTTCTTCTTCTTCTCCTCCTCCTCCTCCTCCTCCTTCGTTTTCGTCTTCTTTACTCCTTCTACTACTTACTCGTACGTGCCTGAAGGCGTTATATTTACGCCATTTTGCGTCTACATTCAAAGTATACCAATTTTTAGGAGCCGATTCGTTTCGAAAAATGTGCATTCTAAATTTGGCGAAAAAAATGATGTGATCGCATAATTAGTATACCAGTTGGTACGGCTTCTCCCTGCGGTTTCGTTTTGTTCGTTCGCCACCCCTAGCAAGAATTGTTTGTTTCCCTTAGCCTCATCTCTCTCTCGGTCTCTCAATTCTCCCATCGCGGTTATTCCTTTTCTTGTGTGTGTCTGTGTGTGTTGGCTGTAGTAGCTTCTTAGCTTGGACGTCCGGCTTCGTCATCTTTCTTCGTTAGTTTTCGTCAAAAAGTTTTTTTGATCTACTTGCGATTTTGAATTGTTTCCCAAATATGGAGTGTGATTCATCGAATTTAAAGAAAACATTTGAATTAGAATCTTTATCAAATGATCATTATTAGTATTCCAAATTTTTTTTCGAACTTTTTTTTTGCTCAAAATGATGAAAAATTGTCGGTTTTCGTGTGTTAAAAAAAAGAAACTTCAGAATACATGCATCGAATTAATTATGAGCAACGATTTTCAATTGATTTTTTTTTGTATTATTTTAATGTTTTATCCATCAATTTACTTAAATGATCTAATATCGCCGTGAATTGTTCATTCTTGGTGGCATTGACGTTTTTTTTTAATTCCAAATTTGGTGATCGTAGAAATTCGCGTACAAACTAGGTCATAGAATGGCAATTACGAGGAAGTTCGCCACCGGGCGTTATCAACGCTCTTTTTTGTTGGTTTTCAATGAATTCCGCTGTGATTTTTGTAATTCCAACGCGCACGCGCGTAGAAAAATCAATCACCAAGATAGAATAATAAAAAAATTTGTATATGTTTCAAGAAAACAAAAAAATATGACAACTTGAGAAGATCCAATATTAAATATTGTTTGTTATTGGTGCCTCTGACGTCTCTCGGAGACCTCCCTCGCCCTCCTATTTCTCTCAATCAATCGCAATATCCCGCCAAATTGTTGTGTGTCTGTTAGTGTTTTTTTTTCTGTGTCGGTGTCACACACACATCCCAAACCTCAGCCTCTTTTGTCTTGTTTTTTTTTCGCCTCATTTTTTCCGCGTAATCTTTATTATTTCAATTTTCAGTAGCTCCGAGTAATGCGGATTTGAACATTTGTCGCCCGAATTTTGTAGCAATTCTTTTTTTATCGGAAGTGTTCGAAGCATGTTTCAACAGCAGACCCAAATGCCTAGAGGCAATGGGCAGCCGCATCAGAGCCTTACCGAAATTGCTGCCAAGGAGAAGTGAGTTTTCTTCAATATTAATATGCATTTCGCACAAAACTCCCAAATTCCCGCAAAAAATATGCGCATTTTCACATTTTTATTTGAGTTTGAATGAATTTTCCCATAGATATCTCCACGATCAGCAAAATATAAGACGATTTTTGAATTTTTTTTTTCGCGAGAAAATTTCTTTTTGAATTAATCTTTTAAGCGTTTGATTTATTATTTTGTAGATTTTTGAACGAGAATTGAGAGATGTTGGCCAATTAAGATGATAATTATCGCCCGAATTCTCATTTTTTGCAGGTTCAACTCATTAATATTCGAATATCTCTCCTTAAGCGGCGCCACAAAAACAGCAGAAGCTTTCAAAGAGGAAGTTTTAAGTGTAAGTATTTTTTTTAACCAATATATGTCTAATTTGTTTTGTTTTTTTGCAGTCTAGTCCGAATTTGGCTAATATTAAAGCACCGGAAAAAGGCCAACCATTTTTATACGACTGGTTTTCGTAAGTTTATCGTTTATTTGAAATATTGTTCTTTAAAAAAATCGATGAAATTTCAGAGTATTTTGGGATTTGTATTGTGCGGCACCTGAAAGGAGGGATTCCGGCGAGCCGTACACACAAGAAGCCAAATATTTTCAAGATGTAATTTTTTAATGACATGATTTCGTTTTTTAATCATTCTTTTTAGCATATTTTCTCTGGTTTTCAACATCCTCAACCTGGTGGATTAAACGGACAAGTGAGTATTTAATGATTTTTTTTCAAAAGTTTTTAAACATTAGTTTGCAAAATTGTTAACCTGAATAGCGAAAATGTCAATTTGTACGCGAAAATTTATTTTAGCCGGGTTGCACAAGATGATTTTTTTTAGTTAAATAGTCGAATAGAATTGAGAATTTTTTTCTAATTTTTCACAAATTCTGTGTGTTTGTCTGGAAAAAAACCCGAATGTGTAGAATAGATAATGTTGTGTTTGGGTCAACTCCCCATTATGTTTTTACGTTCCTTATTTTCTCTATAGGATTTGCTCAGTGCAAGCCGAGTCGGGCCAGCATCCAATTCGGATTTTGGACTAGTAAATCATCATTTGAATATCGAAAAATTCCAATTTTTCTGACATTTCAGTATATGACACCTGATTTACAACAAACATTGATGGCACCATCTGCGTTCGGGCCTGGTCGATTCGCGCCCAATCGTATGCCTCCCGCTGGAATGCCGCCCGCTGGTTTCGGGATGTTCCCTGGCGATCCGCGTATGGCACGAATGCCTGGAAATTCGTTACGAATGCCGCCAGGTGCACCATTCCCTGGTGCGCCACCGCCAGGCGGCATGAGACCTGGACCGCCCGGAATGCAAGGTATGTGCGAATCGTGTTCGCTCTCGACATTGTTTGATTTCTTGCAGATATGGGAATGCCGAGGTATCAAGGATTTATGGATCAACCATTCCCGGGTGCGAGCAGCAGTGGAATGATGCCAAACGGCGGAATTCCACCAATGCCGATGTCGTCGCCAGGAATGCCGCCACCGGTTAGCGATGGATCTGTACCATTCATGGGAATGGCGATGCCGCCAAGCTCGAGCGCAATGCCGGTGAGTTCAATTTTCATTTAAGACTTTTTTTTTTGAAAATATTAAATTTTTATTAGAATGTAAGTGATTTCGAAAATTATTGTTCAAATACCATTATTTGATTGCGGACAATGATTTTTTTTTAGTTCTCGATGAACGAGCAAACACTGACGCCAACATCAGCACCACCGGCTGCAACGACACCGGTCGCCGCTGTCTCATCTGGAAACATTAGTAATCCTCCAACAATGCCGCCATGCTCATCCGATGAAACGCCATCGAGTAACGCAGCGACAGCGGGAATGCCGGCGAGCGTCGGAGCGCCGACGTCGTTGATGAACGGCGACGATATCAAATCGTCGCCGGTGTCGACGCCGCACGGCGCGGGCGTCACCGGCGGTACACCTGCGCCGGGAAGTGCGCAGAGTGCGGCGCTGGCGCAACCGGCGACACCATCCGGCGGACCGCCGAGTCATCCGCCGTTATCGGCAGGCGCCGCGTCACAAGGAGCAACGGAAATCAATGCATCTATGGTTTGTATTTTCTTTTCTTTTTTTCCGCAACAATTTTTTAATGAGCGATTCCTCTAAAAATAGACCGCATTGCACTTTGTTTCTTATCCTTTCCGTATCAAGTTTTCTGTTATCAATTGCCTTTGAAAGATTACGGGCAAAGAACGACACAAGGTTTCCGTTTCAAATGAAACAATTGCGAGTCCACATGCGGTTTTCGAAACGAATGAGGGAAATCTTCTAGTTTTGCAATTTATGTGTTTTTTATTTCCAACAGAACTTAGGCTTTTAAAACCATACAGTTTTACTTCCAGGACGATAATACGGAAATATCAAAGATCAAAGAAGGCCTACTTGACGGATTCATGAAAACAGAAGCCGGCACCGAAGCGCAATTCTTCACCTAGACCCAGAATCCGATTGACGGCCGTCATTCGTGTTTCTTGTATTCGATGTCACTTCTAATTGGGTATTTTGGCATTTAACCGCGTCCTAAACTTTTTCTATTTATTCTCATTTGTTTTTTTTTTCGTTTTGCTCGTCACATCTCATTCACTTCGTTTTATTTTCATTTTCCTACATTACTTAACAAAACGAGATACTTTTGGTGCAATTTTGGTTTGAAACAGTTTTGAACCATTCTTTTTCCTTTTACGAAGAAAAAACAACAACAACGCAAAATTATAAATAATATAAATACACATATAATTAATTTATACAAAAAAATCCTGATGGCTCATATCATCTTATTGATCTTTTCGTCTTCTTCTTCCCTCCAAAATCGCATAATTTTTATTTTATTTTCATTTTTGAGCAAGTTCTCCAAATGATTGTATATTTTGATTTTCGTTTTTTTCTCATGTGATTGATTCTCGATTTTCAACCTATTTCGTTTTTTTCATTTGACCATTTAAGGTCTGCCTTATTATTTTTTTGTGAGAGGTTGCCAAAAATGTTTAATTTCTTCTTTTCTATTCCAATCTTTATTATTTCACCATAATAAGTGCTATAATAATAATGATAATAATAATATGAATCGTTAATTTATTTTTCTTCTCGCTATTTTTTTCAATCATGTGCAAATGATTTATTTTTCTTTTTTTTTTTCTGATTTCCGAACTATTTTTTCCTACTCTCTTCTGCCCGAGTATCACAGAGAATCAAACAAAATAAAACTAAATTATTATTATTTTTTCTTTTCGAATCATTATCATTTCTATGTTAATCTGTTTGCCTGCAGGTTGTATATGTGAAAAACAAAAAAAAGAAAAAAAGAAGAATTTTTAAAGAAAATGCCGGGTCCTGGGTTCGCACACGATCCGCATCTGTTGCCGAGAATTCAAGAGGTACTGTATTTGAAACACAAATTCAAATTCTCTAAATTTTAAAGAAAGTATATAGATTTAAATTGTTTGAAATTTTTCGCGGTGGCTTTAGTTCTTATTAAATTTTTTGACATAGTTTTTCTACATATCAATGCTATGCAGCAAGGATGTGCGGGAAAAACTCGGGAAATTCTTTGGATTAACTTTTTTCCCGTTTCAAAAATCTATGAAAATCGGGAAATTTCGTTTTTGTTTGAATTGTAACTTTTTAAATGATGAAAAGCACATTTGCCAACAGAACCAGCGTTCTTGGAGAATTACGAAAAAGAGAATGAAACTATAAAATTTTGAAAATATGTATATTCTTAAGATTTTAAGGTTTTTCTCCGTATACTTTTAAAAACTACAGCAATTTCCGCTCTGTACGAATTTCGCAGAAAACTCCAATAAAATCTGTGTTCTTTTTTTCGTATAGGAGATATTAGAGTTGTGCTTTTTTAGTTTGTGGCAAAATCTCTATAGTATTATGAGAATGCATAAGGAATGGTCAATTTGAAAGGTTGGCAGAATAAATTTAAGAAATTTGGCGTGATCAATCAGCCACGTAGTTTTTCCTCTTTAAATGGCCCAATCTCGATTTTTTTATTTGAGAAAGTGTGAAATTTCAGCACATTCGTAACTATCCGGGTACAAAAATCTTCAAACCGGAATCAGTTGCATTCGATCTTCGCCAGAAATACCCGTACGTCAATTCTTCTATTTTTTGTTTATCGTTTTTCGCATTTCAGTGAATACTCACGCCAAAAGTATAAAACGTTGATTACCTTGGTTCATGAGGCTCTCGAAAGAATCAAACTGGCAGCGCAAGAAGCTGAAGTTCGAGAAGTTGTCGCTTCAGATGACGTTTGCCACGCGATCGATGATGTAACCAAAGGGATTCTCGAATCTCAATTATTGCGTCTTGTTCAGATTGCTTCTGAAATTATCCGAAGGCCGGAAAATCGGAAGAGGAAAGCGGCTGTGAAGAATCGAACACCGGCGAAAGCCGAAGAAGTTCTGATTTCGAGTGATGATGAGCATGAAGCTGCGGCGAGACAAATTGAAAACCTCAAGGTTGTGGGTCGGCCAGATTTTGAGCAAATTCCCGCATTTCAGACAACAAATCGCGCAAACAAGTTTTTGTTGAACTTGTACGGAGCTCAGAACAACTCAACACCAGGAAATGAGAAATCGACGCCGAATTTGGAACGTAAGAGCAAAATCAAGGTTAGTTATTTCGATATCATCAAAATCTGAACACTGCAGTTTTTTTCGGACTCTTATCGACCGAAAATCGCTCATTTTATTTACATACCTTCGGTGACTGCACACAAGTAAATATTGCAAATCTAATTGATAGTTGATGGGCAATCAACGCTTATTTGTAATTTTGGGTGGGGATTTGGATATAATTAAAGATGAATCATGAAGGATCAAACAACCCCAATGTGCACCTTTATTAGTTTTTTTTTAATATTAGGAGCAATTGAGATGCGTGGGGTTGGGGGATTCTGAAAAACTTTTTGGGACATTTTCAGAATGGCCATTTAAATAATCAGAATGCGAATTCTCGTTCTCGTCCGGAGACTCCGAGTGTCGCGTCACTTCCACGTGGATTGGGAGCCGTCACCGAAGCAGTCGCACCGCGCGAATCCACAGTTCGATTCGAGAACATCGGTGGATGCGACAAGCAATTCCTTGAAGTGTGCCGACTGGCGATGCACCTCAAACGACCGCGGACTTTCTCGATTCTTGGAGTTGATCCGCCACGTGGATTCATTGTTCATGGACCACCGGGATGCGGAAAAACACTTTTCGCGCAAGCGGTTGCCGGAGAGCTCGGAATTCCGATGCTTCAACTCGCGGCAACTGAACTCGTCTCTGGTGTGTCCGGCGAGACCGAAGAGAAAATTCGAAGACTTTTCGATACTGCTAAGACAAATTCGCCGTGTATTTTAGTAAGCTATTATGCGAAATTATGCGGCGAACAATTGAGAATTTCAGATTCTTGACGATATTGACGCCATCGCTCCACGACGAGAAACCGCACAAAGGGAAATGGAGCGAAGAGTTGTTAGCCAATTATGTAGTAGTTTAGATGGTTGGTCACAACTTTTGAAAATTGATCAAAATTCTCATCGTATTCTAGAGCTAGTTCTACCCCCTCGCGACAAAGTCCAAACTCAGCTGACGTTCGGAAACGACGGAAGCATTGGATTTGTTGGCGAAGGTCCACCTCCACCTTCAAGCAATGCCGGTGTTCTCGTTATCGGCACCACTTCTCGGCCAGACGCTGTTGATTCGGGACTTCGACGAGCTGGAAGATTCGAAAACGAGATCTCGCTTGGAATTCCCGACGAGAATGCGAGAATCAAAATTCTGGAGAAAATTTGTCGCGTTAACATGGCTGACGATGTGAGCCTCAAACAGTTGGCGAGACTTACTCCTGGATATGTGGGAGCTGACCTGCAGGCGCTGATAAGAGAGGCTGCAAAAGTCGCCATCGATCGTGTCTTTGACACAATGGTGGCGAAAATTGATGGGCAAAAGAGTTTGAGTGCCGAACAGATCAAGGAAGAACTCGACAGGGTTCTGTCTTGGTTGCACAGTGAAGACGATCCAACAACGTTGGCTCAACTCGAAGGAGGATTGAAGATCACGTTTGCTGATTTCGAAAGAGCGTTGGAAAAGATTCAGCCGGCAGCAAAACGTGAAGGATTCGCAACGGTTCCTGACGTCTCCTGGGATGACATTGGCGCTCTCGGTGAGGTTCGAAAGCAGCTTGAATGGAGTATCTTGGTATTGTCGGGTTGGTGAATGAAAATTACTAATCAGATGTTTAGTATCCGATCAAACGCGTCGACGATTTCGCTGCGTTGGGCATCGACAGCAAACCGCAAGGAATTCTACTCTGTGGACCGCCAGGATGCGGCAAAACTCTTCTAGCGAAAGCGGTTGCCAATGAGACTGGAATGAACTTCATCAGTGTCAAGGGTCCCGAACTTCTGAACATGTACGTCGGAGAAAGTGAGCGAGCTGTTCGCACGGTGTTCCAACGAGCAAGAGACTCGCAACCTTGCGTGATTTTCTTTGACGAAATTGACGCGCTATGTCCCAAACGATCGCATAGTGAGGTAAGAATCCCAATACATTTGGAATATTATTTATAAGATTTAGACATCTGGAGGAGCACGACTTGTCAATCAGCTCTTAACCGAAATGGATGGAGTTGAAGGAAGACAAAAGGTGTTCCTGATCGGAGCGACGAATCGACCCGACATCGTCGATGCTGCAATTCTTCGTCCCGGCCGTCTCGACAAAATCTTATTTGTCGATTTCCCATCAATAGAGGATCGCGCGGATATTTTACGAAAAAGTACTAAGAATGGAACTCGGCCGCTTCTTGATAAAGACGTCGATTTTGAAGCGATCGCAAATCTTCCCGATCTTGCCGGTTTCACGTAAATATATTTCTGAAGTTCAACATTTATAAAATAACAATTTCAGGGGAGCTGATTTGTCGGCGCTTGTTCATGAAGCCTCACTTCTTGCCCTTCAGGCAAGAGTTCTTGACAACGATGATAGCGTGACCGGTGTCGGAATGAAGCATTTTCTGGAAGCCGCCTCGAGAATTCGGCCTTCTGTAACTGAAGCGGATCGTAAAAAATACGAACATATGAAGATTGTTTACGGATTGAAGCCCAAATAAGGCGATTTGTTTTAAATTTTGCTCCTTGTTGTTACTTGTTGCTCTAGATGTTTGTTATGTTATGAATGATTGTTTTATTAAAACTGAAGATAATTTCCAATTATACAACTACCGTATCTTTTGCTACGTACCAGTAAAAGAAGCCTATGAGATTGATACCGATCGAGGTGAACGCGAAAATAATCATAAATGTGATAAGGAATATTCGTTCGAGGAGTGCTGCCAACCAATCATACTCGATCTCCGCAAAATTTCGAGCGGATCGCGGCGAGATCGGAACGTCGATTTGCCGTAAAATCATACTATCGAAACTAGCGCAAGTTGAAGCTTTGTGGATTCGAGTCGGCCGAACCGGCGGAGGTGGAGGATCGCTTTCGATCAATGAAATATCCGCTTCGTCGTCTTCAGAAGCCAATGCGACGCCAAGATTGCCGCATGACATTCCAGCAATTCCAGAATCGCCTGAAACTGTGTAGCTTTTTAGAAAATGCTTAAATTGAATATCTCAAACGAACTAATACAAGTCGGATCCTTGTTGATCGCGAATTTCTTGTTGATCGGATCCAACAACTTTTCAGGAGACAAGATTCCATTCAACTTGTTTGAATTCTGCGAGACCCAAAATTTAAAGAAGGCGATTTGTTTAAAATATTGGAAATCAATGTTTACTTTTCGATTCGCCTGATCTCTCGCTAATTTGTAGACCCTCGCCCATATGCTCTGCTTCCTTCCTTCCTGCTGCCTTCTCAATTTTTCTTCCTAAAATGATTTTGTAGAAAATTGATTAACCGTGAATTTTGAATTTTTCAAACATTTTCTAGCAAAATGTTTTGATAAACAGTTTTTCGATGAAAAAGATCGAAGAAATAATTTTGAATTTTTATTTTTCGTCCTTCTCTTACCCTAGCTTTCTGAGCATAAGCTTGTTTCATTATCAACGGCATTTCCATCCGAATAAACCGGTTTACATCTCGTGCAATATTCATTAATTTTCTTGATGGCGGATTGCCAATATTGCCTAAAATCAGGCGCATTTCAAAAAATTCGAACTTCCGATTCCAACCTTGCTTCTGCACATAAATCACAATTGAAGAGCATATTGTCGAAATTGATATCAATAATATCATCGAAGTGTAAAAAAGACCTCAAAATGTTCATATGTGTGAAATTAAAATCCCTTCTCGAAAATACCAATTAAGGGAATAAACGAAGACGTCGATGGCATTTTATCGGAAACCATAAAAATCAAGATTGACATCGAGAGTAGAGTGGTAATCCCCAAAGTAATTTTCTCTTCCCTCGGCTCGTTTATCGATGATGTGCTGCAAACGACGATGTTTGATGTTTTGCAAAACAAGTATAGTCGGCGTCCGGCAACCGGGTAGATTTACGGGGATGCTGCTCCTTTTTTTTGGTCTCGCACGGACCAACAGCTCATTTCGCATTTTATTGGTCGGTTCGACAATTTTTTAAGCAAACGACGGCCAAACTTGTTAAGAAAAAACAAATCGAAACAGCGAAATAGGCGTTCAAACGTGGCGAGACCTTTTCAAGGCGCATGCGCTTAAATCTACTCGCGTAGAGCAATCGCCTGACGCCGACTATAAAACTACCTGAAAAAACCGATAATCGAAATGAATGTGATAATCGATGTCGGAATAATTAGATTAATTATGTAATACAATGGCTTTCGTTGAATTGAGAGATGGAATTCCAACAGAGTGTAGTTGTTCGGGCAACAGTCGTATTTATTCTCTTGTCGAATAGCTGACCATATATTTCAAATAGGGAATACATATTTCGAAAGAAAAAATTGAAATACCATGCGTCGAAAGGACATTCCAACCCTCATTCTCAATGCAATTTTTTGTTCCGATCGCTTGAGCTTTATCATGAACGATATAGTCAATTTTGGTGTTGTCGAATGTCCAACTTCCAAACACCAGACGACACGACTAGAAAAATAATTACACGTAGTGGTCAGTGTGTTGGGCTTCTTCCAAACAATCAGTTTTTAATTTGATTTACGAGCTTGAATGAATTACGACAAACCTGCAAATCGAATGGGAAAAATCGTAGATTGAGAAGGCAGGACAATTTGTAAATTGTCGGGTACAACAATTCGACATAAGCTCCCCGATTGACGCCGAATGTTGTGATTTTGGCATGAAGGAGCCTCCGATTCTCATCATCCTTCATTATGAGCCTCAACATGAATTTCTCGAAACCAATACATCGATGGCAAAATCAAATTACGAGTTATATAAAGTGGTGTCGGGAATCCAAATGTTGTCATGAGGAAGCATGATCTCAGTGACATTCCCGAATTGCTCAGGATCCCATCCAATTAGATGATCTGTCCATCTCTACAGAATATCATTTTTTTGAAAGTCAATAATCGACGAATAATGCAAACCTCGACGATCCAAGCATTCAACATCAAATATTGCTGCGGTTCATTCTTAATTATCTCGCATTCTTCTCGTTTTTGTCTTTTTTTTTCTCTTACCACTTCAATTATTTGATATAACTGAATCGAAAATGCAACCCGTATCGGCTCGCGCGACTTCGACATCGGTATCAGTCCTTTCTTGTATTTCGAGAGTATGTAGTCAGCAATTTTATATTGAACAGGAGCTTCTAAAAAATTAATCAATCGACTAGTGAGAAAAAACAAAACTTCAACGTGAATGTTATTAATTAATAATGGCATTTTTATATAATCATTAATTTATACAACCTGCGAAACTCAAATCAATTTAAAAAATCTGTTTTTTTCAATTCTATATTTCAATATTCTCAGAGAACCAACATCATTTTGAAATTTACACATTTCTTTTTTTTCGAAGAATTTTTATTTTTTTCCACCTTCAGACATTGCCGAAGCTGCCTCGCAAATCATCAAAATCGACCATAAAATTCGGACCATTTTTGTGCAATTTCCGCTCGCCGTCGTTCACATAACACAACAAATTCGGAGGGAAACACCTGCAATACGAAAAAAATAATATAAATAATAATAAATAAATAATAAGGTATATTTTGAGTTGATTTCAGTTGCGGTAAGAAAAACAAATAAAAAAGCAACTTTTAAAAATAAGCGAGGTGGAATAAGCTGGAGCCAAAAAATACTAAAAAACAAAGGAATAGTAACACATGACTGGAATCAACGTTCAGAGGTTCAAATTGAATTAAACGAGGCGAAAACACGAATGTGGAGCTCAAAATGACCGATAATAAAAGAAATTTGTGGGCGGAGCCGGCGGAAAACATTTCCAAATTGGCAAGAAAAGTTGTCTGAGAAAAAAAAATGAGAAAAATAAGGGAGAAAGGAAGTGAGCGCGAAAAACACCGAATATTCGTTTACCTTTCGCTTGTTTGATATGTGTTTTTCGACACATCGTCAAATTAGGGAAAATATTTAAAAAAAAACGAGAACAGTTTCCGTATATGAAATATATGCTAATTTTTATTAATTTTAAGTATTTTATAAATTGAAAAAAATCGGTAATTTTTAATTTTTAAAGATTCCTTCGTGCTTCTCTTTTTCCTACAATCTGTTCGAATTCTAAATATGAAAAACCATATAAATTCAATTTCGAAACATATTTTTCCTCAAAAATGTTTCGAGCTCATTTCAATCATTACAGATGTCGTTTTATTTGCACATTTCTTGATTTTGTTACCAAAAGAATGGTCAATAGAATTTTTGAAAATCGAATTCCAGAAATCTCGATTAAAAGTGAAAGAAATTCTGGAATTTTTTATCTCATTTTTCCAATCATGTCAATCATTCTTTCATAATTTCTTAACGAATCCATTGAATTCGTGTAAACTCTCGTTGTGATGTCAGCGGTTTTCGACATCATCTAGATGACACCTCGAGGTGTGCCAAACGAATAATTGGATGCAGTAGAAACGAGTAATGTGTGTTCTCTGAAAATTGCACTTCCGCAAACGCGATACACAGAAATTATTCTGGAAGAATGCCCACACAAAAAAATGGGGTGTCGAGAAAATCGATGCTACTCGTAAATCGTCGTCAATGCCTCTCGAATTTGTTTTTTTCGAAAATGCTATCAGTTGAAACATTGAGTTCAGCAAATGTTCAACATCAGCTGCTGATGCCTTCGAGTTTTTCTCTCGTTTGAATTTCCGTTTTTACGACGATCATCCAGAAAGAAGACGATGCCATCTAGAAGAAGAAGAAAAAAAAAGAAAAGCATTTCGTCGGTCTTAAATTGGTTTTGTCGTTTTCGCCGCAAAACCGATGGCACCTTCAGTGGGTACACAAAAACGCACAATTTCAATTATTATTCTCAAGTTTCTTTTTTTCGGAACCAGCTGAGCAAAATTGTCTTCATTGCGAAAATTCATCCGACCAGAATTCATTGAATTTCGTTTCTTATCGTTTTCCGACAAATAAATGGGGCGAACTAATAATTGAGATGGATTCAAAATAAAAAAGACAAAATATTCCCAATTATTATTGTTGATTGCTGACCAGTTTCGGCGGCAATTCAAATTTCGATTTAAAACGTGAGAATGAGTGCATCGAATTCCGAAGAGCATTTACGGTGCTCGTTTTTACGACTGTTCCGACATTTGTTGAAAACAGACAAATGGAGGAAATTCAAAGAATAGAGGTCAAATAAAGTTTTGTTTGTTGGCGCAAAATTAGCACATATTTTGCATGTGCCTTTGATGTATACTGTAGTGTTGAATGTGTTTGATACGCAGCCTACTCGAAAATTCCAAGTTGGGACAATGAAAATTTTGAAAACGCGGAATGCGAAAATTTTATTTTTACAGAATGCGTGTAATTCCGTACAACCATGCCGAGTTCATAGTTAAAATATTGTCGATTTCAAGATTCTCTGTGTTGGATTTAATGAAAATCGAGATAGAGAGAGAGAGAATTACACGAATTAAAATTTTCGTTTTTGCTCCGAACGTTGAAAGAAAGCTCATTGAATAATTACGTGAAACATAAATATTCACGTGACCTTGTCTATCAAGCACAATTTTTTTACGAATTTTTCAGTTTCGAAAAAAAAACTGAAAAATCCCCTCAAAAAACTTAAAAACCCCCTAAAATGAATAACACGCTAGTTTTTACAGTATTTTTTTTCCCAAAATTTGCATAGCATCATAATGATAATCCATTCAGATCTGAAAAACCAGAAGAATCTAACAACTTAATTTTTTTTTGAAAATTGCAATTAATTTCGTGAATTGCTCGAAATCGCCACGAAATTAAACCTTGGGTATTTTATTCTGCAAGTTTGTCGCCGAGCTCGAAATTCAATTAGTCGTCATTTCATTGAATTGAATTCACGGTGGTCGGAAATCAACGAAATAAAAGTTTGAAATGAATTGAGGCAAACAACTTAATTCTGGGATTAATATTGAAATTTCATGTCGAATTTTCCAAAATCGGCAGAATATTCTGAGCGATAAAATGTTTATCAATTACACGAACATTTCTCATTTCCTTAAAGAGAAAATAGCACAACTTGTCAAAAAAAAGAGGATTGATCGTTACATTTAAAAAAGATTCGAATAAAGTGGAAGAAAGATGAGAGGGACACGGACACTGAATGAATGAACTAATCAAGGAATGAAGAGCACAAATAAACAAAACAACAACAAAATAACAACAAAAACCGCACAAAATGAAGCGTAGCGCAAGCCGATCAAAACCTTCGAAATTCCGCTTGACTAAAAACACACGGTTTCCGGTGTGGAGAGCCGGAAATCTCGGTTTCTCGTCGATTCGAAGGAGAAGAAGGGGCGTGACCAATTTACACGTTTTTGAAACATTTGTCGCTCATTCAGAACACACACACACACAAGAAAAGAAGGACAAGGGACACGGGACACGGGACACGATAATATAAACGAAATCAAAAGAACAGAGAGCAATAATTTAAGCAAGTTTCCAAAAAAGTACCACCGTCGTCTGCTAGGACGCCGTACCACCGTCGTCTGCTAGGACGCCGAAAAACAACACAAAAAGGAGGAAGCGCGGAAATGGGTTCTGCAACGAAAACAAGAAAATCGCAATTTTTTACTTCATTACCATTACGCGTTCCTTTTTGATTTTTGCTGTCAAGTGAGTGATTGTTAAAATCTCGCAGATATGATGGATTCGCATTTTTTGGTACTTTGCGTTCGGACAAATCTCATGCGAGTTTGCAAACCCTACATTATTACTAAGTCAGCCTAAACTACAAATTACTCAGGCAAATCAAATAAAATATTTTGAGAATCAAATATTCAGTGATAAACTCTAAAATATTTTGAGAAATTCTAAAGACTATTGATACTTTCTCAAACTTATTGAGAATCAATAAATTTTAAAAATTTGGAATTTGTAAATTAAATCTTTTGAGAAAGTTAAATCTTTTGAGAAAGTATAAAGTATCTCAATATATTGTGAGACTTTAAAATTTGAATAGGGCCCTTATGACTTCCACTGACGCAATTTGCGGCGTCTCTTTTTAAGATCTCCTAAATTCCAATAAATAATTTAGGTTTTTGATGTTCCTTCCGTTTTTTTTTAGCTTTTTGTAATAGTTTCTTCACTTCAGTGATGGACGTATTCATGAAATGCAAGTTTTTATAATAAATGTTTAACACTACCTTAAATCTGCATTGTTTTACATGCTGAATTTGAAACAGTTGTGTCTAAACATGTCATTGCATGAACAGGTTCATGAATTTTAAAAATACGCACAATTATTACAATTAATTACAATTATACTTCAGTTTCTAATGATTTCGATATTTTAGAAGATCGGGAAAAGTGTGGAACAAACATTCCAGAAACATTGGCCGATAGATTTAAGGAACGAGGTAAATACAGCAAATTCAATGAGCAGGTGCCCATGTGGATCACGGCCATGGATATTTTCCACCTTTTTCACGAGGGAACACGTATAATAAAAGGTACTTCAATTATGTCTCTCCTTTTTCAGCATTTAAAAATTGAAGATTGTCTTTTAGAAGTCTTCGTTAAAAACGAAATAAATATTTTTCGATGCGAAGCTATTGATGTGAAAGCGAGACTGCCATCTTCGGTAAAGTCGCTATCAGGAATATTCAATGACATTAATAGGTCCGAAAAAGCTAGTGTAAGTTAATTTACCACTTGCAATTATCATCCTTTGAAGATTTTTGAAGTGAAAATTGTTTCTAACGCCATGATCGGAACCATCCCTCCGTTAGGTTCAGCTGTTGTGTTGCTTATACATGCCTGCTACCGATGGATGGTGTCACCGACTCGCTAGTAATATAACAAAGTAATATGGGATCGTTAGCTATGTACATAATAGAAAATTTTTATTTCAGATCGCAGGTATTTGCAAATTATTAGAAATTCTAATTTGAGATGGGGCGCCTCAATTGTTTTCTGGTTCAAAAGTGCACGTAAGTCGTTTTTTTTACTAATGATTACTGTATTTATTGTTTCAGCAACTTATATACCATTTGTACAGTAATGTCAGGCGGTGTGGTCAGCTGTCGGCAATAAGCACGCAAGCGCATGAGCACATTTATCACGTTATCAAGAGAAACATGTGCTCGGAACAGACAAACGGGATTGGATATAGTATTTTGAGAAAGTTAGACTCATTCAGTTATTTTTTAAAACTGACAATTTTCAGCTATAAACTATATCACGAGATTTCATTGAAAATGCGTTTCAACGCGAATCCGGATTTAATTAAGAAGTCATTTTATCGCAAAGAACTCATGAAATTAATCGAAAAACGACAAATTCAATCATCAAAATTTGTAAGTTCAACATTTTCTTTCAATATATGCAACGAATTCCTTATAGCAACGTTGTGCGTCATTCGCAGAAAAAGGAGAAAATGCGAAAAGAATAAATTGATTCATTTATTTTTTTTCTGATTTTTATTATTAATATATTCATTTCGCATTAATATTGTAATAAATGAAATGTTCATACATATTCAATTATTATGGATGTTATTACATTCTATTTGTGTGAAAATTGCTCGATAACGTATGATATTACATAATATTGGACAGAGTTTATTGAGAACAATCTAAAATTTATTGATATATTCTAAAGTTTATTGAGACAAATCTAAAACTTATTGATAAACTTTAAAGTCTCACAATATTCATTGAAACTTATTGATAAATTCTAAAATCTTATGAGATTTCATAAAGTTTATTGAGGCAAATCTAAAATATTATAGAGACACGTTAGCCTCTCAACGAACCTCATAAGATTTTAGAATTGTCTCAAAATATTTTTTTTTCATTTGCCTGAGTAATATTAAGTGAAAGATCGTTGCGAGACCTTCGTACTCGATTTTTCCCAACGCATAGAACATACAGACAAATTATACAAAAGAAAACAGTAGAGAGTCTACATAAAATAAAGAGATAGAGAAAGAGGAGAAATAGTAAAAGAATAAATGAAAACAGAGAGAAAGATAGTGATAATAATAATAATAATTAAATAATTAAGTCATAATAAATTAAGAAACAATCGAGTTTATATTCCGTATTGTGAAGTGAGTCGTTCGCGGAGAGGAGGCGGGAATTGTGCAACAAAATTGTTCCAGTTCTGATCACCGACTTGCTGTTTGAAAGCCAGCAATATCTGAACGACGCGTTTTTTTTTTTAAATAAAAACAATAATTAGGTAAATTATTACTCTGCTGAACATATTCTTCAACTCGGGGTTCGGCGCGTTCCATGAAGCAATCGCGTCACACCAGAATATGAAATCCTGCAAACAATTTTTTTGGGTGAAAAATGTTTCCTCAGGATAAATCAAAAGTTTAATTTTTCTCATTTTGACAAAAAAATATTCTTTTGAAAATTGATATTATTTTGGTCATTTTCAAGCTTTTTCGCTGTCAACATTTGAATTCAAGAAAGAAAATGCCATCAATTGAATTATAGAATGTATTTTTATGATTCTCAAATGTTGAATCCGTGACGAACAAAAAGAGAAACATCAAACTTTTTAGTACTATTCTCAAATCTATTTTGTGTAAACTATATATGCTCTTTTTTTTTGCAATTCAGTTTCATACTATAAATACGAAACGACACAAGTTTATATGCTCAACACCTTGATCAAGTCAGACCACATGTTTGCGGGAGAATTCAATATAAAAAGGTACCACCAATTTTAGGAGTTATTCGCCAATTTCATTTTTTTACTGATTTTTAACCAAAATAAAATTGAATACAAACTTTTCTGAGTAAACAAATTCTTTTTTTTTTGCAAATGCTCAATTATGGACAATAGAATACTTCCTTTTTATGTTACACAAATTTGAAGCTTGAATTCCCAATAAAAACTAACCTGCAGGATTCCAGCGGGATTGAGATTAATCATGTTGCAAAGACCGACAAAAGCGCTTTCTTTCTCCGAATTGTCTTTGATATTTCGAAGAGAGTAGCACACCGGCCGAATGAATCGACTCAAATACGGTGCCGATTCTTCCGCACAAAGGTTTCCCAATTTTCCGATAGTAATGGCTGAAAATGTATTATTTCAATTAATTAAAGGCAAAAATCGCACCAGTGTTTTCTAAAAGAGTCCGCTGTAAATTCGGATGATGATTGATGATGTTACTGAGATTTTCGATGAGTATCGGCACATACGGCTTCAATTCAGCGCCCATTTTAAGCGTAAACTCTCCAAGTGCCCAAATCGCGTTGTTGCACACACTGACCTTGTTTGGATCCAAATTTTGAGCAAGAATCATGATGAACGTGTCTGAAATTCAATAATTATTCATATTCTCATAATAATCTTCTCGCTAGTATTGTTCAATCACTGATGACGTAGTGCTATTTTTCCAATTAGGCACGAAAAAGCCTGTGATTATAATTGGATATTTTTTCAAACAATATCAGTAAGATTCAAATAATTTTTGTTTTTTTTTTCTGAACAAATGCCCGTTTTGAACATTGAACATTCGAAAATCTCTTGAAAGTTTCACTTTTTCTCAATGTTTATAAACAAAAAATTCGACGAAATTTCTCAAATAGTTTTTTTTCGTCATTATTTGCATCAAGGGAACAAAATAATAATCGAGGCTTTCAATTTTTCGCATATCACTGGTTGCTTTGTTTTTCTCCAGAGTTTTGAGATCAACCTTCTTCCGCATTCTAACCGATCACGCTTTTTGAAATGCAACGATGCGAATCATAAGGGTCCAAAAAAATTCGTTTCTGGTCCACTAGTTTTACGGTTATTATACTTTTCTTTTTTAATGTTCAATTTTTTCGTTTCAAATTGAAAATAAAACAAACGATTGTGTGCTTGAACCACCGGATATGCCGCCTTGACAAGATCACCGATGAGTGCGAAACAAGACTGTCGGACATCTGTCGATTGTTTGTCGATGACCGAACAGAAAATGATCATCTCAACAATATTGCTGCCTTGTGATAATCTCTCTATTTGTGTTGGAAGCGATTCAGCCAATCCCGAAAGTAGATCTAGAGCGACTATCATGAAATCCTGAAATAACGCGAAATATAAATAATTTTAAAAAGGGGTTTTACAGTTTCCGGTGCTTCCACTTCATTCGGAGCTTGCATATGTTTCTGCTCTTGGTCAATACACTTTTGAATTAGTGTGATACACCTGGAAATGCAAAATATATAAAAAGCTGAAATCAATAATAAATGAATTACCTTCTGAAAACTGGCTCGATATATGGAAGAAACGCCATTCCCATTGCTGATACCACAGAAGAAATGCATTCAAGAAGTGGAAACAATTCCTATAAAATGTGTTGTAATGAATTGGTTCAGAAACTTCTATTATTGTTTAGTTTTGGTGAAAATCGGTGGATTTGTATTAAAGAAAATTGGTTGGAAATTTGCAAATTGATTTTAAAAATTGGTCTGAATGATATAAAAAAATTTTGACGTCACGCGACTTCGGAAAATTTGCTAAATGATTAAAAAAAACAATGACAATATGCTTGACACAAAGCTAAGTGTAGATTTTCGAAGGGGGTGGGGATTTTTTTTTCATTTAGCCAATATTCCGCAGTCAGGCGACGCCGACAATATCCCAAATTTTTCCGACCACGACAATATAAATACTTAAATATCAAGCTTATACCAACCTTATCATCATCACTTAGTCTTTCCCATTTATTCATCAACGGTGGCATCAAAACCTGCACATATTGTGGTGCACATAAGGCTTCTCCAACTGAGTTTGCGAGTGTCGACAGCGCATCATACAGAATCAGAAGATTCTTCGCCTGATAGACACCGAATGCGCGAACAAGCGTGTCGAGAATATTGGGAAGAAATGGAATCAATTGCTCGCCAGCTTCTTCTTCGAGAGTTGCGAAGGCACTACAAGCAGCTTCTTGAACCTTTTTATTAACATCTAGAGAACAGTTGAGCAACTGAAAAAATGTCGACGTAAAATAATGAGCCCAAGAAAATTTAAGAGCTTACATTAGCCAAGAGAGGTTGAAAATATTGAGCACGAGCTCGTTCATCGGTCACAACGAATGTGCAATACCTCGACAAAGTCCAACACGTTATAGACCTAAAAACGGAATATTTAAAAATTCGGAAATTTACAGCACATCTCGGTTAGAACCCTAAGAAATTGCGCAAACTTACAATTTCTTATTGAATTTTACTTTTGCAGAAGGTTTACTGTAAAATTGTCACAAATCTTAAATCTTGCAAAGAAAAACCCATTATTTACCGACACACCTTTTTTTAAATTCCTTTTACAACTTTTACCAGAACTCGTTATTATTAAATTGCTATATTTTAGCTAAGAAATTGTAAAAAAAATCTATCTTCGATTTTATTTTCAAAAATATAGCAACTCACCGAACCAGTGGTTTTTTATCCTGTAATAGCCCCATCAAATAGGGAATGAGCTCGTGTAAATGTGGCGTGACTCCGTCCATGCAACCCTCAGCAATAGCACCAAGAGCTAGAATGCCAGATTCTTTTACCTTGAAAAATATTTTCAAATTCATTTGGAAGCAAAAAGAAAAACTCACAAGCCAATCAGAATGTACCAGTGTTTCTTTAAGTATTGGCAACAAGTGCTCGAGCAATTCTTTTGAAAATATTGAGGCGAGAACATCGAGTGAAGCAGCTGAGCATCTTCCTGTCAAAATAAAAATGACGATTCAAGCAATTCTGATATTTTTTTGATTACACATCGTGATGATTAATTCTTTATCAGCTGAATCAAGCAGATGATTCTTATCGCAAAAAATGATAATGATAATTAAATACTTACTAATGTTCCATTCACTACCGGTGTCATCATCATCATCCTCGTCGTCGGCTTCGTCTTCACTTCCACCAAGATTCAAAATTGGGTGTTGCTTCGATTTGTGGAATATCGGCTTGATATCTTCACTTCGATCCGGTACTGATGCACCTTCCTCGTTGGCTTTGAGTTGGGGATCATTTTCTGAGTAGCGCATACATTTGACGAGAACTGGTACCAATTTTCCCAAGAATGGTGCAAGCAATTGTCGGCAGATCTTTAAAAAAAATGGTTTTAAATGGTTTAACCTAAAAATCGTTATTTCGTAAAAGAAACAAATAAAACGCACAAGTCCGCAACAACATTTATAGCTTCACAGCAATTCGTAAAAGACAAACCGCGGTTGGTTTTGCTGTCAACAGGGTGACACCACGGGATCTCCCAAAAAACAATACCGGTACGACTCTCACCAAACTCATTTTATACGACTACTTTTTTTTAGAATTTTAATTTTTACGTGATTGAGCCATTGCCCATTTTTTGGGGATTGGACTTTGTAGAGATTCTAATGAGCAGTGCGGATTAAAAAATCCACAAAAATATTAAAAATATGCGAATATGAAATCATTGCGGACTATGTTTGCCGAGCCTTTAGAAAGTTTAAAATAAATTATACAAATTCTATAAAATATTTTAAAAAATTGTATATATATTGAGTATTATTTTTTAATACGTTTTTTACGAGAAATTTTTTTTTTCAATTTTGGTATATTTGATTTGAAAATATTTACCTCGTTGTTCTCAGCCAATGAGAGCCAAAATTCACACGCTTCCAATGCAATTGCCTCATTTTGATCTTGTGTCTTCAATATACAATAATCCACAACGTTTGGCAAATGCGGCATCATTTTTTCAATGTGAGTATCTAGAAGAAGTGTGAGCGACCGGCATAATTGCTTTTGAATTTCCTAAAATATTTAAGTAATACTTTTTTTGAAAATAAAAAAAAGAACCTCGTCCTGATCATGAGCCCGAGCAAACAGAGCATTTAAGTAGTCATCAATGACAGCGTCAACTGGCTCGTTGTTAACCATCAAGATACAATTGACGGCGTTCATCGCAAGTGCCCTGAAAATAAAAATAAAACAAGGAAATATAAAAAGTAAAATTGCCTTAATTTCTCAGAAGGAGCATTGAAGAACATGAGTATTTTTGACATTAATGGGTTGAGCAGTTCAGTTTCAAACCGGTCTGCGGAATCTTCGAATATCTTTTGCAGGGCACCAAGCGCTCCTTCCTGCATTTTCTCGTTTGGCTGTTCGAGCATCGCACCGAGAATTGGCAGCAAATCAGGCCAATCGGCAATGTTTTCCTCAACGACAATCGTGGTAACTAAAAAAAACAACGATAATTCGCAGAATTTGAAAGCAAAAGAAAGAACCTATGATTCCGACGGTTGCTCGAATAAGGGGTTCGTCATCAGCGATGCTGCTCAAACTGTGCTGCCTCACATAATTCTTGATGTCTGGTGTGAATTGGGACCAACGGTGTCGAATGTTGTTTTTCAAAAGTAAACCGGCCAATGATCGACTTGTTGCCTGCAATTTCAAACATTATTCTCGCTTCTCCAAAGCATTGCATATTATTGTTAAGAGGCTTTGAAAGTTTAACAACGAGCGTATTACATATGCATCAACATTAGCTTACATCAATATTATCCTTCATCTGACTAAGAATATACACCAAATAACAGCTGAATTGATTAAATTCTGTAAGCTGATTAAGCCGCTGCTGTACATTTCGCTGCACATCCCTATCAGTTGACTGTGAATGCTGTAGAAGGGCTACAATCTGAAATCAACAGATTGGATTTTCTTCGTCGAGATGCAAAAATTAGTACCTGTCCTAATTCTTCCCCGTTTGGTTGCCAGGTCATTGTTGCTTGAGTTTCAAGTTGTGATAATTATGATTTCGAAAGAAGTGCTAGAAAAAACCGCATACAAAATATTGTACAATCAATCAGTTAATGTTCGATGCTTTAACTAGTCTGCAAAATTTAAGCAATAATATCGATAAGAACCGAAAAAACGGAAATGATAGGCTGGAATCGGGGAAAATTGCGATTATACCTAACAATTGCGAGCACTGACGCGCAATTCAAACAAGGCCCGCGAAATGCGCCAACGCGGCAATTTTGAATTTTCAACATTACAAATGAGAAGTGCAAAATGAACATACGAATTATGGTGATACAATCAGATTTTACCGAAAATGGATGAGAAACGTAGAAAATTTTGAAATCCCAAATAAAACTGTGGAGTCCGCAAACACCGACGTTACCTAGTGCACACCGTAACCATAATCATGAATACAACTTTTTCACCAGAATATGTAGACATTGCCATAATGAAAATATAAAACAATCATTTTGTTTAAAAAAAAATCATTTGATATGTAGTTATTAGTTTTCCTTAACAAAAAAAAATCGTTCATTTTTTAAGGAGAAGTAATTTTTAAATGTGGCCGTAACATTATAAGTACGAATATACATTTTAAAAAATAATTTTTTTTTTAATTTATAAATTTCATAACTAAAAAGGAAAATGTAAACAAAAAACATTGAAACTCATTTGAAAACTAAAACGAATTCCATGAAAATCCTCCTAGGATTTTAAAACAATAAAGCGACGGCATGCTTTTTGATAATATGTAATAATAACTTATCTCATGAGATATAATCAAAAAATTAAATTTTGAAAAAAAATATATGTATATATATTAATGTTAATGTTAAAGCGGATTTAGGATTACCATGTGTCGGAAATACTCGTTCAGCTAAATCTGAAACTTTTATTTTCAAAAATTATTGTTTCAATAGAAATTTTTATTAGGGTGAAAATCGTGTTAATTTTAATTCCCAACAGTCACTGTAGTTTTGTTTGCTTCGAAAATTTTCTTGAATATGTTTATTTAAACAAAACATTTCAGATCAATATAAATTATTATTCACATTAAGTTCCAGATATTCTTTTCAAGTCACTCCCTCTTAATATCATTAAACAATATACATATTTTCTAGATCAATGATGTTCTAATGGTCATCTCGAAAAGAAAAAAGTTTTGCATGCTGGTTTTTTTTCGAGTACGTTCTTACGTAACAATTTTTTCTTACGAATAACATTCATTTGAATGTTTGTTCGGAATATCTCGACGTCGGTCAGTCCTGTTCCGATTTCTGGCGCCGACTTGCGTGCTCCTCCAAAAAGTGCTCCAAACGTTGTTGGAGACACTCGGCCATATTATTGTCGGCGTCTCGCCGTCTTGTCTGCTCTTTCGCCGATTTTTCCACTTCACGCGTGCTGGCGCGCATTGTCAGCCGCTTGCGACTGTCCGACAATCTCCCGCGGGCAGTGGAGAGAGCCGAAGTCAAGCAGTTGAAACGTCGGCACATCATATGTCGTCGCATCGATCCGGTGTCCTCAATAATGGTGAGCTGTTCAGCATTTTATCATTTCATACTTTCTCACTTCTATTCATTGTGTGCTCCCGGGATTAAGAGGTCTATGCATTCTCCTGAACACTTTTTCTTAAGTGGGTCTTCCGGGAATTCTCGAAATTTTTGGGACCACCGGGAATCTCAAAAATCGTGACTTATCGGGATTTCCTCCCGGGCGCTGTGATGTTACTTATTTTTCTTGAAATCCTTTTTATCTCTATATTTTATTAAAATAAGATAGATAAAAAGCATAGAACTCTTCTAAGGTTTTGGCTGCTTGCCTTTTCCGTTTCTGATCCTATATTTGGCTGTCATTCGCTGTCTCCTCATTATTTCAGTAATAGGCAAGAACAACATGTTTTGTGTTTCGTATGCAGAACCAGTTAAGCCTCAATTCCAATTCAATGAGAAACAAGTAATTATTACCGAATCGATATTGATTTATTGGGCAATAATTTACTTAGGAAGAGATTTATTCATCGTTGCGAAAAGTTCGTAACAACAACGACGAGATGATGAAGCTGACACCGGAAAAGCATGTCACCATGATTCCATTGGGGTTCGTCGTTCGAAAATAAGCAGAAGAAGAGTGAACAATACATATTTCAGAAGTCCACGTGAACTGCTAAAAGAGAAGACGGTGAACGGGACGATGATTCGAGTGACACCAAGTGTTCAAGGACCACCACCACCAAGAGGGCCCATGACTGAGCTCGTTCCAAAAGTCTGACATTAAGAGTTTGAATAAACAGCGAAATGAATTTTTCACATTTGAGAAATTTAAATAATTAATGCCGAATTTTGGATTATGGTATAGATTAATACAATTAATGCATTAGTTTTCTAAAAATGAAAATCTCACGGTTGTTTATTTTCTTTTTTGAATCCTCTTTCTGAAATTGCTAAAATATAGGAGCATATTTTCAGATGAGGCCGAAACCAGCAGCCGCCCCCTCATTCACTTCGGATCCGATTAAGACAAAACCGGAAGAAAAACGAGGTTGGTGTTCGAAGTGAAACGCGCAATCATTCGATAGTACTGTATGTCGTCTAATTGTCAGTTTCGGCCACCCTTCAATTATTCGCGTTTTTTTTGCTTCTCTCTGTTGTGCCGTAATCCAGTGTTGACTCAATTAAATACAAACACAAGTCTGTCCGCATGCCAACCACCTTATTCCTCCGCGCGCTCAATTTTTTTTTGTTTCAAGTTTGTTTTTTGTTACACCCGACGTACATAAGCTGCGATTGCTCGTTCGGCTGATGTTTTACACACACTAATTCATTGTATTTTTAGACTTTGAGGGTTGGTCCGGTCGATTTATGGAGGGACGAGTATTGAATGGTGAAGCACGTGGGGGAACGAATGCAGTTCGAGGTTATTGGGAACGCAATATTCAAATGGAACAACGCATTCGGGTATGATTTTTTGTCTATGAAAAATCGGCCGCCAGAATTAGTCGCTGCAAGACGTGCCGCAAAATCACTGTGCGCCTTTAGTTACCGCATCCAAAAATATTTAAAACTTGTATTTTAAAAAAACACTGATTGGCATGTTGTGTCTAACTGCCATTTTTCATCACGCAGATTTTTATTTCAACAAAAATTTTAAAGAAAATTTAATAAAAATTCTTATTATTATTTTTCTGATTATTTTTTTTATATTGTCGACATCACTCGACTTCGGAAAATTGGCCTCTCCATGTTTGTCATTTAGTCAATTTTCCTCAGCCGTGTGACGCCGGCATTGCAATATAAAGACAAAGCGAGCATTTGAGTAACTTTTGGCCAGACGCGTTGCGATAAAAAACACACTATATTTCAAATGGCGACTTAATCTGTAGGAACTCGGGTACCGTACTACGTACAACCTCAAACTCGCCGAAAAATTTATACAGACTACTCGGTTTTAGCGAATTAAATAATACGCTCGCAAAAAAACTAGCCGATTTACGGTGAGTCAGCTTCGCAGGTTTTCTAAGGTATGATATTCGAATTCCCACTGTATAAATTCGAACTTGAATTGATTCACAAATTTGCGATGGTCCACAATTTTGCAAAGCGCCTGTGTTTTTTTTTGCGATAATAATAGTTTTTTTCTAAATTTTGGCATATTTGATTTGAAATTTTTACCTCCTCGTCCAATGAGATCCAAAATTTAAAAGTTTCCAACGCTATCGTTATTTTTTTTGGATCGTAAATAATGCAATAGAGATTTTTTAAATATTGTTTTGTGAATATTTTTCCATTTGACTTGACTAATTCCAGGCAGAAGAAGAACGTCGAAAACGTCCGAAAGGTTACGGATTTCCAAAATGGCGATCAACCGATGCTTTATCTGCGTCTCTCGTCGCGTCGAACAACGTGCAAATACCGGTGGACAGTCGGATTCCGGAAGAGCGCCTCCGAAAAATGGAGGAGACCGAGCGCGAGGCCGTCGAAATCAAGGTAAATTTCTGTTGAGGCCGAAATCACGTATATTCGGTTGAGCCATGCTTCAAAATGTTTGTTTGTCAATTGAAAATCGCATTTTGCGTAATTTCAGAAAGAAATTCAAGAGGAAGCTGAGATTCTTTCCGGTAACAATCGCAAGTTGTCAAAAGGGAAAAGTCTCGATAGCTTGAATATGCAAGTAGAAACCAAGCAATGGTACGACGCCGAGAAGATCAAATCAGCCGTATCGCGCGAATCTATTGCCAATATTGCGTTGTCACGTGAATTCTTTGAAAATGCTTCACAAAGAGACTGGAGATCCTCGGCAAATAGTAAAAGAAACCCATATAAGGCGCCCAGTAGGTCATCATAATTTCAGGTCGACGAGATTCGATCTGTTCATTGAGTATTATGTCAGTAGCTCCTCCTCTACCTCCGAAGTCCGATGCCATTCAAATTCGGCAAGCTGCTGCAACTGGACTCCGATCACGCCATGATTCGTATTCGATTCCATATCAACCGCATCAGCCACTCACCATTTCAAGCAATTATGACGTTCAACAGCCAACTCCACCAGCTTCGCAACAACAAATGCAACTAAATCAGCATCAGCAACAGAATATTCCGCAAAATCACATTCAGAGCAATCGCTATGAACCGCAACAACAACTTCCCCAACAAACCTCGATCAACCGACTTTTGCAACAGGGTAAAATGACTAGTTTGTTCGCATTACATTTGTATATTTCAGATTCGCCTCAAACTGCTGATCCGATCGAGCAACAAGAAGTGCTCTTAATGCTGTACCTAAAACAGAATATGGACATCGTCCAAGGTCTTGGAATTCATATTCCGCAAGAATTGCTAGCTGAGATGGAAGATTTGCAAATGCTGCCTGTTGAGTTGAGAATCTGCGAAGAAGAGCCGCTCAGGGTTTGATAAACGCTCAATATTTCATACGTTTATTCTTTTTGTTTCAGATGTTCAGCCCAGTCATGAAAAACGGAAGATATCAGCGAAAACCTCAACCGCCAGTAAATGCGGCAAAACAAGGATTCGGATCCAAATACATCACCAAGAAAGTCGATGCTAGACAGGTAATTAAAAAAAATCGCATTTATTGATTGACGTTCAAGGAAATTAATGAGCAAATTCGCATGCGGAGCCGACAAAATAGTGAAATGACAAACTCAACGCTCGACCTTTCAAATAATGTAATTTTCAAAATTTGTTTTTTTTTATCATTATTTTCATTTTCTTAAGGCTTATTCAAACCATCTTCTCACCGACGTTCGAAGAGATGTTCAGTCTTACGGATATCGCAACTAAATCCCTAATTTCGCTGTATTTATTTTAGATAATCAATACCGCTGAAAAATGTTAATATTGTTGATTTGCGGTTGTATAAAATATCCACATTTTTTTTATATAATAATTTTCATTTACCTATGAAATGGCTATCACAGCAAAACATATATTTTTTTTTAGAATTTTTTAGAAGAATCCGTTCAGTCCTGTAATCGCGCGTCCAAGAATCAAAGCATGAACGTCATGAGTTCCTGAAACAATTCCACAAATATATTATGGCAAGCTTCAAGTTCGGTTTTCTTGCCTTCGTATGTGTTCACAGTTTCCAAATTAATCATGTGACGCATAATATGGAATTCATCAACAATTCCGTTTCCACCGAGCATATCACGAGCTTTTCTCGCAATTTCCAAAGCCTTTCCACATGAATTTCTCTTGATTATCGAGATTTGTTCAGGAACAACTTTACCCTCATCCTAAATGCATCAAAGTAGGAAAATAGTAATTCGAAAAATTTTGGGCACCTTCAGTCTAGTGACACGAAGGCATCCTTGAAGTCCAAGTGTGATCTCAGTGAGCATATCAGCCATTTTCAATTGCATCAATTGATTTTGAGCCAGTGGACGGCCGAATTGATTCCTTTCCAATGTGTACTTTCTAGCCAAATGGAAACATTCCTCTGCGGCTCCGAGAGCTCCCCAGGCGATTCCAAGGCGGGCGTTATTCAGACATCCGAATGGTCCCGCAAGTCCTTCAGTCTGAACATTTCACATTGAATGAAATTCACTCGCTGCAGTCCAATTAAAAATTACGTTTGGCAGAAGATTCTCCTCCGGAACCATCACATCATCCATAGCAATTTGTCCAGTAATCGAAGCTCTCAGTGATAATTTTCCTTCAATTTTTGGTGTCGTCAAACCGTTCATTCCCTTTTCAAGAATGAATCCCTTAATCTTATTGTTGTGTTTCGAGCTTCTCGCCCAAACAATCATCACATCGGCAACTGGACTGTTACTAATCCATGTTTTCGTTCCATTCAATTTGTACATTTTCGCCGACTCATCCCATCTGAAATATATTTTTTTCCGTTTTCAAAATCTCTTTTGAATACGAACGCTGCTTTCGTTTCCATTCCACCTGGATTCGAACCATGATTTGGCTCGGTGAGTCCAAAGCATCCAATTTTCTTTCCGCTCGCCAAATCAGGAATATATTTTTGTTTTTGTGCTTCAGTTCCATAATTGTAAATTGGTCCAATTACCAAACTAGTTTGCACACTCATCGTTGAGCGATATCCCGAGTCGACGCGCTCAACTTCTCGTGCAATCAATCCATATCCAACAGTCGACGTTCCAGCACATCCATAACCCTAGGCATCATCATTTGGTTAATTATTAGCAATTAATTAATTACACATACTTGATAAGGGGCTCCGAGAAGTCCCATGCTTCCCATTTCCGGTATCAGAGTTGGATCAAATTCTGAAAAATTTTTATTCTCATCAATCTAACTCAAATTTCTCTCACTTTCACTTCTGTAAGCTTCGGTTACTCGTGGAAGAAGGCGCTCTTGGCAATATTCGCGTGCTGAAAGCATCAATGAGCGCTCATCCTGTATTTCAGAAACAGGTTAGAATTGACGGATTCACAACAAACCTCCGTGAGCTGTTCGGCAAGATTGAAGGCATCTTGGTAGAAAGTTGAAGAAACGCCTCAAAATTATCATTTTTCTTCTCAAGATTTATTCCAAATATTTTGCACACGGGCTACAATTTATTTTTAATCTCAATGATTATACACAACGAACTGAAATTGAATTTTTCGCAACATGTTGTAATTTTCCTAAAATATTTCTCTGAAAAATCAATATTCATGTCAACTCTTTGGGTCACATGAAACGTTTTAGAAATGACGTCATCAAGAGACAAACAAAAATAATTTATGCATTAGAAAATGGGCGAGATATTCGGGAAAATTTCAGACGAAGCTCCTCTTTTTTTTTCAAACCGAAAAAATACCTCGAACTGTGAGAATTGAATTATTCAAAGCTTTCGTTAGATGATTTGCGCATCGCGATAGCATCTGGAATTCGCAAAAATCGTTTTAAAAACTTCGACGAGAACGAAATCATCGCAGTCACGTTGCGATCTTATCAACGATATCTGTTTCGAGACGGTCTTCAATCAATACTCCCAAAAGAACAAAAATCTTTCTCGTCTTCACACGCTCTTCTTATATATAGTTGAACGTTTTATTAATACACGAGACTACATAAACGGAAAAAAGGGAAAAATAAGAGAACGCTACTATCGAACAAATCAAGTAAATTCCGAATATGAAAGCTAGTGTAGAAATCGGCAAAAAGGGAAGGTAAATTTAAAACTCAATAAAATTCACACCGAAAGAATGACAGTTCATAAAAACCTAATGTTAGAAATGTTTAAATTGCGAATGAGCCTCGACAACATTCCTAGCCGATACAATCATCAATCATTTGGTTGATAATTGAAGTTACCCGATTTGTTTCGAGAATATAAATACTAATAAATGAGTTACAGAACCACGGGATAGATGAGGGAATAATAAAAAAATATATGGTGGAACATAATAATAATCATAAGTCAAGACAGTAATGAAACGGACAATTTTTTAATTACCCGTTTCACAAATCCAATCCACACAGAAGATGACTTTTTATGGGAGCGCTTCCATGATTTTCCTCTTTTGTTCAGCGGCCAATGATGATGGGAAGACAACTTCGAATTCAATAATAAGATCACCACGAATTCCAGGATTCTTCGGGTTTGGAAGTCCTTTGCCAGTCAACCTTCTGATCGTGTTAGGCTTGATCACATCGTTGATAACAAGAGGAACTGGCCCCTCAAGGGTCGGAATCGAGAATTCAGAACCGCAAAGCGCCTTCTTCAACGGTACTGTCTGCTTGAATCGAATATCAGCGGCTTCGCGTTTGAATAATGGATGTGGTCGGTCCTGAAATCAACATTTCCTATTCAAATTCAAATCTTGCCGAATTTTAAGAGACGTGAAATTTTTAAGTTTGGCAAAAAAATTACCGTACCCAATTTTGGCGGATTTGAATATTTATTCGAAATTGATGGATCGTTTTTCAATTTTTCCAAGAATTCAAATTATTCCGCACAACAAAACATAAACATTAACGTGCAAATGACAATAATATATATATTTTTTTAGACATTGTTTAATTCCATTTATTTCGTTGAACGTAGACTAAGGAGGACTTCGCATATCACGATTTCATTAGGCTAGTCAAATTTGAGGCTGACCGGATTTCAGTTTTTTTATTTCCGCTTTGGCGGCCTGGTTAAACCGGTTTTTTTGGAAATTGAAAAATCCGGTTGTATCTGCCGGATTAGACAATCTGAGTTTAATGACTTTCACAAAATTAAAGGAAATGTGAACAACATTTTTATAGCGTGCCCTCTTATAATCACGAAAAAACACACATTGAATCGGGCAGTTTCGTCACATGTTTCCCGATGGTAATTGTCTTTTTTTTTTCATGATAAATTTATATCAAGGGTATACTAACCTTAATAACGAACACAATATCAGCAGGCGTCCTTCCTGGATTTTGATCTCCCTCTTTTGGGAATGTGATCTTAGTTCCTGATTTCCATCCAGGCTTAATCGTAACCGTCAGAACCTTGTCTTCTAATCGTTGACAGTTATCTGCCATAATTTTTCTGAAATAAATTAATGTATATTTAATTTTCGATAGCAATTCACAAACCTGGTGATCTTCATCTTTTTTGTTGTTCCCTTAAGCACATCTTCGAGGGTAACGAACAAATCGTGATGTATTGGTGGATCCTGACGTGCTGGACCTAAATGGTGATCTCTGAGTTAAAAGAAAATACACCAAACCTCTTCTTCCTCCACCACCCATATGTCCTCCGAACATATCTCCATCCATTCCATTCATGAAGAACATTCCATTACCTCCGGTGAAGTCAAACCTAAGATGATATGATTATTCATGGAACTCAGATTCAATAACCTACCCTCCTCCACCCATACCACCAGATCCGAAGAACTGTTCGAAGATGTTCATCGGGTCTCCGCGGAACTCGTAGTGTGCGCCATGACCACCGGCTCCGGCCCCATCATTCTTCAAGCCATCTTCTCCGAATTGATCATAAATCTTCTTCTTTTTCTCATCAGATAGTACATCATAGGCCTCAGCAACTTCCTGAACCAGAATGAATAAGTAAATCAAAAAGCATAACGATCTAAAAAATTATACCTTAAATTTTGCTTCCGCTCCTGGTTCTTTGTTCTTGTCTGGATGATACTTCAAAGCCATCTTACGATAAGCTTTTTTGATCTCATCATCGGAAGCGCCTTTGCTGATGCCAAGCGTTTTGTAGTAGTCTTTTCCCATTGGAATATCTGAAATCTGTATTAAATATTAAAAAAAAGAGTACAAAAATCGATAATAATGCGCACAAGGAAATACGAATAAATGTCAAAAACAGAGTTGAAATTGATCCGATAATGTAGTTTTATCAGAAATTATTTGAAATGGGTCATGCAGTACGGAGGAAAGTGCTAGGCGGCGATTTCCGAATGGAACATTCTAGTATTTTCTATTTACTCACAAAGCGCTGCGAAATGTTCGATCTTCCGCGGCCGCTAGTGAATGAGAGAAACGTCCAGAGAATTGTAGAGCGCGCAGACGTTCAGACAAAAAATAAGTGCATTCTTTCTTGGCAACACGAGAGTTAACCATAAAGTCACCCCTATGTATCGGTGCTATAAATAATTGGAATTTGTTCTAGAATTATGGTAACATTTCAAGAACTTTCTCAGGAGAAAAGAACTGATGAGCAATGTAGCGGGGCTAACACTACACTGAAAGTAAGTAAGAACAATCGTTCACATCGTCTGATATATATGGATATATTGAGATAGATTCACATCATTCACTGACATTTTGCTACTCAGAAATGTATCCAGTTTCAGTCTTGATTTTAAATTTCTTGGTTTTTTTTTTCAAAATTTAACTACAGTATATGCGGCAGGAGGTAAATGCAATGGTGGCGCACACAATTTTGGTTTAAAATTTAATTTTATAATTTTTTTTTGTGTTTTCGTGAAATATATTCAAAAAGTCAGAAGATTTAAAAAATAAATTCGGATGACTTAGTATCGTTTTTGAAATTTTGAAAAAAAAAAACCACATATAACTTCCTATTGATATGAAGCATCATCGTCAACAATTATATCATCAACCTCTGGTAACTCAAAACCAGTTGAATCCAAGCAATAACCAATCGGAAAACAAATACAAATCGAATCCGAAAAATTGCCAATCGGGCACGGAAATGGAAATAATTTGGATTCGACAATTTTAAAATCTTTCGCATAATTCGGAATATCGCCGATTCAGGAAGCAAGTTTTGTTGAAAACAATTAGTTTTGAGTTATCAGCGTTCTGAGTAATTCAATTTCATAATCCCGAATTAAAGTAGCGAATTTCCCACAAATTTAGTGTTCTCACACGATCCGCGAACGAGTTGTAATTACCCTGGGACACTTGCCAAATATTACACAAATCCACCATAATCACTTTCATCGAGTGAGAACTAAACAATTGATGATTCAACAAGAGAAATTCGGTCGTGAAATCGAGCAGTTGGCCGATCGAGAGTTTGCTGCCGGGATGAATCCGAAAATGAGAAGTGACAATGACAAAATGCTCACTTTTATCTTTCTTTCGTTCTCTTTCTCATTCTATCGGCAGGTTGGCGATTTTTTTCAGAAAAAATACACTTCTCTCCCTAGTAAATCTTGTCATATATTTAACATCGCGTTCGCACTTTCGATTTTCGCACAAGTTCCTCATTGCTGACTAACCTAACACATTTAAATTTGTACTCAAATAATATTCAGAAAGCCTGAAAATTGAGGGACCGCCCCTTTGTCTGATCACAGCCAGCCGATCTTCGACTATTCACTTTAACTTTGCTCAAAGCCATAATATATTTGTTGATCTTTTTTGAAAATAAACTTTAAATCTTTGAAGAAGCAAGTATTTTCATTTAGAATTAAAATTCGTCCTAAAAATAGAATCATCCTAAAAATGCAACAAATTTTATTGTAAATTATTATCTCACAATAAATAAAATTCAAGTTGATTTTACATAAATATCGCTTTATTCTCAAATAAATGTGTTTCGACATTTCGTCTACATTAATACTTATAAGTTTGGCGGCTAATTTCGTCTTAAACTAAATTTTGAACATCTGCTATTCATTTCCATCAAATTGTGTTTATTAATAAATTTAATGAATCATTTTTAAATAAAAAAAAATACAAATTATATTTCTGCATTTGACCTAGGTCAGCAATGAAATTGGCCACAATATTTGTGCTTTTCAATCAATTCCATTGCATTTTCGTTCGTAATGATATACGGTTTATCTGCTTGAATCGATATTCTGAGAAATTTCGGTTTATTTTATGTTCTTTTGAGAAAAGCACTTTCCTAATTTCCAGAAATGCGGGCAATTCGTGCTGTCGCCAAGTCGCTCCTTGGCGGGCGACGTGGCGATGATACCGTCGATGACAGTCTCTACAATGATTCGGTGATTCACAACACCGACCGGACCGTTCACTCGTTTCGGGTTTATCTTTATAATGGCCGAAAAAAGAATGAGATGGTTCACGGTAATCCTGACATCAAATTTGTTTCTAAAATATTATTTCAGCTTGGTTGCGAGTTTCCAGTACTACTATTACTTTAGAACTTGGAAAGAATGAGAATCTCGTGTGGCCTCTTCCATTAATTCGAAGATATGGGTACACATCTGCCGGTTTGATGCTGAATTTTGAAAATTATTGATACGAAATTATATAATCACTTTTAGGCATATTTTTCTTTGAGAGTGGAAGACGTTGTGAATCAGGTGAAGGTACCTTCACTTTTCAAAGCAAGAAAGCAGATGAGATTTTCCAGGTTTTTTTTTTGAATTTTTAATGAGCGAGAATTATTTTTCCAGGTTATTCAACTTTTAATAGAAGAATATGCGAACACGTCAATCGAAAAGAAGCAAGCTGAGAACGCGTTTCGATATCAACGACAACAGTCTGTTCCGGTGAGCTCAAGAAGACTTTCGTCGGCCAGTAATTCTTCATTGTTCGGAACGAAAAGTATTCCAAATCATTGGGTTCGTTTAAGTTATCGAATTTTTCAGATTCGCCCTTGCATCATCCCAGAGATCGTAACTCCAACAGCTCGCTTGTCTCGGGATTCTCGATCAGGACGAATGGATCTCATACAGTCAGACCGATGCCGACGTCAGTTCAGCGATTTCGCAGTGAAGGTTTAAACTATTTAGTAGTATCTCGAACGCTTTCTCATTTAGGTATGGGCTCAGATGTCTTGACGTTGAACTCGGCGAACACATCGTTGAACGACAGTATCGGATATCATTCGTATCATCGGGCCTCGTATGATTCACGAACACGGACACTCAATGGTTTCCCGCATCAAAGGCCAAGGTTTGCAGATGAAAAATAGATTTGATGGTCCACATCTGTTTTATAATAACGCCAATGCGATAAAAAAAATGGGGCATGAGGATATATCGGGTTTCTTATAGCGAGAAAGATGATATTGGATTAATAATGTGATTTGAGATATAAATAAATAAATATTTATATAGAAATAAATAAATAAATATATATATGTTTCGAACGATTATCAAATAAACAGAGAAATTAGTAATTTAGAAATGAACAACTACATATTGAAAATATCGATTTTATTTTTTCTACTAAATAAAAATATTGAATCGTTAAATTAATGAATTTCAGAAGTGTTACGGATACTAGTGATTTTGAAGACAGTTCGTTTAACATTCCCCATCCACGTGACAGTTTTCACGCAATGCGGAATTCGTCGATTCTCGGCAATATTGTGTATGTCTTTATTTTTTAGTCCTTTTTTTTCCACTGACCTCACTTTTTTTAGAACTGAGCGACGAAATCCTACTACATTTTCCTCAGCTTCCGACATTTCGAATGGTGTACTTCCACCATATATAAATGTATCGACGAAAGAGGTCCCGAATAGTGTATCGAGCGGCAATCACGTATACTATAGTGCAAATAGTTCGATGACTGCGGCGACTGCTTCTGAAGTGTCGGCTGCCCTTAATAGTATGAGCTCAGCAGTCGGCGCAGGCACGCCACCAAGTCAGAAACGCGACGTTTTAACGAGGTATTTAGCATAGTCAATTGAAATCCGCGTAATGAGTTTATTAAGAAATTCGCCACCAAAAAATGTAAATAGAACTCGAAGCTCCCCTCCTTCTCCACCACCACCGCCACCACCACCAACACGACAGCACAAGATGTTCGCCGTTGTTTCGACGAGTCCGTCGAAATCAGTTGGTTCCGAAAAAGCGAAAAACGCGTTTATGACTTGTGATCCGCGAGTACCCTCCGTTGTCGATGATCCGAGACTCGCTGCGGTCAACGTCAAAAAGGACGGAAACTATGTCAATCTGGAAGACATTGAAGAAAATCAAATTCTGCGCGGTGTCGATCATGAAACGCTCACTTCGCTGCATAACACATGCGCGATGACCGCTGCTGCATCCGATACACAATCGCGACGGTCGCTGTCGGGAAGGTCACAAACGTCGTCGCCGGTTGTCAGGAACTATGCTCAAGTGGTACCGGTGCTTTCGGAAGGTGAAGACGGTCGAACAAGCAGGTTAGTATATCGAGTCAAAGTTATTTCATGATTAGAGCTTTACAGACTTTTGAAACAGCATTATTCACATTTTAGTTTAAAATTGTTGTAATGTAAAATCCTGGATAATTAATGGCTGGTGGACATATCATCAATAACTGAGCGTTGTCTGGTGCCAAAGGGCTCGAATCTCTTTGAAAAATGGGCCCCCATTAATTTGTGCACAATTTTTGCCGCTTCGCACTGATTTATTAAGTGCCATCTCGAGATGATATGATGCGGACCATCACTTCACACCTCGGTTCAATCCTCGCCCAATATTTTTTGTTCTCTTCTTTCCTCATTTCATGTTTTTTTTTTCGTTCGAGCACCCTGATGTGCGCGCTTTGATTGATTTATGCTCATTTCGGGTGACAGAAGCACGCGCCGATGCACTCAATCCGAATACATATACATATACATAAATATGTATATCGTGTCCTTCTGGGATGATCATTGAAGCGCAAACGAATTTCGAGATAATTGAATAATTGATCACATTTTCAGATGCTCCTCGGTCGGCAGATTCTTCGACGTCAACTACGCGCAGCTCGACGTCGATCGCACGAACGCGCTTCAAGGAACGCTGCGGAAGGCGAGCTCAGAAAAATAAGAAAGAGCAATCAAGTTTAAAGTTAGTGTATTCTATTTTTGGAAATTTGCTCAAATTCTTTGAACTGATCCTATAACAGCTGCTAAAGGAAAAAATATCAGAAACCAAAAGAGTTATTTTAAGTTCTCGAGTTTTATCGGAAAAACTATAATTTTCGATTCCGCATTCCTCCCAATTTTCTTGTAAAATATAATTTTTTAAAGCAAGAATAGTTTTTGTTCTTTTTTAGGGCTTAATTGTCCCATAATCCGACTTGACTTTAAGGTTTCCTCAATTGACAGTATTAAGTTTTCTAAAAATAAGCTGATTTGTGCAAATCTCTGCAAGATGAGCACATTTATAGAAATTGCATTAACCGTAATTGAACAACTCCAGATAGTGAAGAGTTTTCAGGATTCGAAACGTCATAGAATTGTCAAGGATTCCATGTTTTTTGCGATTTTTTTCCTCAAAAAAATTCTGTATCTTTTATGTACTATGATAGCGGCCAACAAACGAGGATGACGAAAAATGAAACTCGAGCCGCCGAATATTTTTTCGCCGATTTGTTTTTTTTTTCCTTTTTTCCTCGTTTTTCATTCTGTATATTGATGTATTGCATGTAATTTTGCGGGATTTTATATTCCAAATTTTTTCTCGTTTGGAAACTTTGCTACTTTCCGAATCACGAGTTGAATTGTTTCAATAGACCATTTTTTCTTATCAAAAGAATTTAAAATTTCAATTTGGAATGATTATTATTTCAATTATTTCTTGTGTTTTTATTCAATTGCCTCCCGGTATTTCATCTTCGCTATTCTTCCCATTTTTTAACCGTATTATTTTTGTGAGCAAAATTTTATTAAAACCGAGTTATTCCCATGAAAATATGCTGTTACTCATCATTGAAGTTTTAACACGAAGAAAATGACGAATTGTGTGTGTGAGTTTGAGCAGGAATCGCTGGTGCCAATTTGTAAGGGGAAATAATTTATTTGCGGACCCTCACATCAGATGAATGGAAGCTGCACTTGCTTGCTTACTTAGTTGGGCCCGAATTCGCTTGGCGTTGAATTGCTCACATTTCGCATTATTCCTGTGAGCCAGTTTTAATATTTGTCGTTAATTCAATTCTAGAGATTCGATTCGAGTTTCAGACTACCCGTAAAAATTCCAGAAACCTAATTATCTTTCTTCAACGGGGCAGTCAATTCCATCATATTGTGAAAGATGCAGATTTTCCCAAAAAAAGGTTGACTTTAAGCATTTTTTGACACTGGCAAGAAATTTTTTCGAACTCGTAGTCTCAGTGGTTCAAATCTGTCATATTGTACCCACAATTTTCAGGTTTGAAATTTTTGCAGGAAACGAAAAAAAACTTCTCTTGTTAAAATTAATTACAATTTTTTTTTGATTTGACGGTTTATTCCTTTAACTTCAATGAAAAAAAAATTTAAAAATTTATAATGGCACCCATTTGATCTACCCAAAAAGCATATCTGTGTTATTTGACCGACCATATTTTTAGTTTTTTCAGCTTACTATACCCAACTTTGGCGTTGCTTTGATATTGTAAGTCACTTACTTAGTCTTAGTCGATTCGTCCTTCTCCTGATGAGGCCCACAGCATTCCAAGCTTTTCGGGCCTTGGCTTGAGTGGACCACTGGTTGATATTGTAAGACCATAGCGAAACCCACATCTCCATAAATCTACAAGCATACAGCACGCTCCAACTATGAATAGAAATGGGTTGTTAGAAATTTTGCCAATTATTTAAAAGTATATCCAATTTTGAGGCTTCGAATATTTTAAAATTTACTTCAGATCTTCCTGGCCAAGCCATCGCTATAATTCTTCCAACATCCTAATATGGTAAAAATTTCCTTATCGGAGAACAAGTTCGAATGAGGAATAAATTTGAATTTGCCACAAAGGATTATGTTGGCTTATTCGGGAGCGCTAACTAACTACTATACACCCCTCCCCCAAATAGATAGTGTTGGACCAGAACAACAAGATTTGATTAATTTTTGCATTTCCTACCATCAACAAAATATCTATTTTTAATCCATCAGCCATTTAACTAAATGAGAATTTTTGGAAATTTTTTCTTTCTAATTCAACAGATCTTCTAGTCGTTTCTAGTTTCTTCCAAAGGACTCAGACTACATTGGTCCTTGATCCTTCAAAACGGTCCAATTATCCTTTTCAAACATGAATATTTCATGATTGGGGGGTTTCGCAATCTATTATTAGCCGCGATGGTCACTCAATAATGCCCAAAAATCATTATATCATCTAGTATGATGATGTCACATCAAAAATTCATTGAGAAACGGCGGGCGTATGTATATAAATTAGCGAATCTATTGTTTAAGACGAAGAAGAATGGGCGAGAAAAAAAAACATTCACAGATGCTCGAAGCTCAAAAGGACCCCCGGAAAATTCTATTCAAAATTTTCTTCGTGATTTCTATTTGTCGACATTTTCTATTCTGTTCAAATTCCATTCGTTTCGTCTTCCGATTTCTCAATAATTGGCATTTATGGAATTTTTATCAATAAAAAAAACCCGGAACCTCGCTTGAAATAGTTGGTAGTCCCGCTCAAACATAATGCGATTTATTTGCGCATAATGGCAAAATTCACTTAGTTTGGCTATTAAATTCGCAGTTGGAGGACTTCGCAGAAAAAAAAGAGCAGGACGACAAGAGAAAAAGTTTTAAGCGCCACCCCTTTTAAAGAGTTCGGTCTCATTTTGTTTTGTCTTCTTTTTTTCGACTACTTGTGCTCACTCCGTTCGTTTCCCACGAATTTTGACGAATTGGTTTGTTGTCTTTTTGTCGCCTTTTGGTGATCCCTTCTAACTCATTCAGTATTATTTTTTGAAGGACAATGTCAAACTTGTGCCTATTGGTACTATTGGCGACGATCTGCTGTTGTATGGTCCACTCGTACCAATTCTATTCGAAACGAGAGCTCGCGCCATCGCTCACATTGCATCGATTGAACGCGCTCAAGGATAGCATCGATATGCTAAACGACGCGACGAAACGGAAGAGGTGTCAAGAGAAAGGTGAGAACAGCATATGACGAATTTCGGGAAGTTGTATTTGAGTTTAAAATAAAATCGTCCGTTTTTTCGTTTTGAGCAACACATCCCACAAATTGGATTAAAAATATAAATTTCTCAAAACATTTTTTTTTGGTTTTTTGGGTTTTGACAATTATCATGAGACTTGAAACTTCAAAATTGAGCGAAAAATTCCCTTATCACGAGAAACATTTGATGTTTGACGTCACGTCACTATTCACATCGTTTTTTTTTTCTTCAGAAGACCCCCCCCCTTATTTGTATGCAGATTTGTTTATTTATTTTTCAGCTCGCGAACTCGCCAAATCTCGTCCGAAGCGCATGATTTCGCCGTCGCTTCGCCTCTCGGAACTCCTCGATCCCCTCGTTCAACCCGCCGAACAGCCATACCTCAAATCCGGCCAACCTCGCTTCATCCAGCAGGATATCAATGATCCATGCGTCGCTTTCTATGACGACGTCCCGTACTATTATTAAATGATGATTAGCGCACAAAAACCCCGTACACAAAATGCATGATTCAACCGATCTCATCCCATCAAACTGTTCGTTTTGCCAGGAATAAAGTATTTGTTATCCAGGTGTACAAATTGACAAGTTTTGTCAGCCAACAATCAATCAGCCATCGCAAACATACCGTATATCGCATTGCGGTGTTGCGTGAACTCAAAACAAACAGAAGACGTGTGCGTGTGTGTGTGGAACCAACTGGTGAGCATCATGATCATCTGCTCTTTTTTCTTGATGTCCCGCGACGGCACACCTGTCTATTAACACGACATGAAGCTAGTCGTTTCTTATTTTTTCCTTATTTCTGCAGCTTCTTCTACAGTGCCCACACAGTCTGTAAGTCTATTCTTCGTCAAAAAAAAATGCGAATCTAAAAAAAAGACCGCCTTATGTTCTTTGATTTTAAGCCACATTTGGTTGAGCATGACATTTGGGCTTGAAAAATTCGTGTGCAAATGTGCGTAAAAAGTGGGAGTTGATTGAGAAATGTTTGTAGGTTGATGCTGTGTTGCTAGACGAACTCCTTCGCGACGTCGTCGACACCTCGATGTCCGAACTTCGTCAGCGACTTCAGGAGGCCGTGTTCGCAGCCGCATTCCGTCGTCGAATTCAACTCTCCGCTCCACAATCGTCAGCTGCCATCGACAATGCTTTAGATCATTACATGAAAGTCCACAATGGTAACATCATCATAATTCTAAATACGTATAAGAAATATTGGATTGTCTGTAGACGGCCTACAACAAAAGCTATCATTGGCTCTAGAGACCTTCACGACCACCAAATCACCAGTCACTTCTCGGCCAGTTCAGTTGATCACCGCCGATAGTCTCGAGGATGTCGGAAACGCCGGAGGGAGGATGTTCGACGATGCTCTTGACAAGGAGCCTATTTTCTCATGGTCCGCCAATCTCCATCAATTGCCTCGCGTCCCTATATGGGTCGCAATTGTGGTGTGCATCACGTGCCTCGCATGCTTCTTCATATTTGTTGGGACCATCATCTACTACATTTCGCAAAAAAGAAGAAAACGCGAAATTCGAATGGCTCGCCGTCGATTCAACACAATGCCGGATCCGTTGACAGTGGCCGGATTGTGTCGATCATCGGAATGCTCGAACATTCCCATCGCATCAAGAAGATCCAGTTTGATTTTTGAGCAAGATCGCGCCAACTCAGTTATATGGACGAACGCATAATTTCTCTTTTTTTTTTGAAAAATGAAATTCAGAATACGGTATAAAATGGTAGCTATTATCGAGAATACTAGTCAATATTTATTTCGGGTTCTCGAAATTTCTAAATATTCCATTTGTATATTTTATTTCAATAAATTTCTCTTACACGTTTTTGCTCCTCACCCTTATTCCTCATCATTCCTCATATTCATTGTTTCTCTGGAATTGTTGAATTGCAATGCTATCTAGATTGAAACTAACACCTTCACTGAGAAATAAATGTAATTTTTATGATTGTATTTTCGGTTAAAATCCAAATTTTAAAGGTCTGATAAATCAATTTCCAACTAAATGCATTGTTCGTTTGAATAGCTCAACTCCAGTTGCTGTTAGTTGAAAATTCCAGTCAAATGCATTCATCCAGAATTTCTTATAGGACGATCCGTGCTGTGATCCAAATAATCCGTTGACACTAAAGTTTAGCGATATTTCATTGGCTCAGCATCGAATTCAAGTAAAAAAAAAGAAAAACTTAAAAAAGGAATTGAAATATTCTGGAATTTTAGAGCGGCATAGTCCGAACGGATTGCAGAAAATCTCGAGGTCTCTCGAAATTATTCGGCTTGAATTTGTCGCTAAAAATGGAAGTGAATCAGGTTAAAGAATATCAGGAAAAAGTTAGAGACAATTGCGGTTTAGGATACGGGCAGTTTCAAGGAACGCGGAGCCAGATTCGCATTGCTCAATTTGAACGACGAAACCAAGAAGAAAGGAGTCTATGCGGCATCGGCCGGAAATCATGCATTGGCACTATCGATGCACGCGAAAAGTCTCGGCATCGAGGTTCGATCTGTTCGAGCCACCAGCCAATTCTCAATTTTGCAGGTGAACGTGGTGATGCCTAAAATCGCTCCGCTCATGAAAATCGGAAGATGTCGCGATCTTGGTGCGAGAGTTCTTGTCGAAGTAGCGAATAGCAATTCAGAATCAATTGAATTGAATCAATTCAGGGCGAAGACATTGCGAAATCACGAGAAATCGCTCTGCGCATGGCGAAAGAGTCCGGCGGAATGTACATAAATGGCTATGATCATTATGATATTCTCGCTGGGGCGGGAACGATTGGATTGGAAATCATTGAACAGGTCAAAGATGTCGATGCGATTCTAGTTCCTGTCGGAGGTTGTGGTCTGATCGCAGGTATTCATTGTTGGAATTGAGCCAAGAGGTTGGTGCGGAATTCAGGAGTGGCGACAGCTGTCAAGAAATTGTCGCCGACGACGCAGGTGATCGGAATCTGCAGTGAGACATGTCCGGCGTTGATTGTATGGTTTCAGCGATTCGAAGTTGATTCAGCGTGTTTCAGAAATCACTAGAAGCCGGACAGCCGGTGTACACGCCGACGAAGCCGACGTTAGCTGACGGATTAGCGGTTCCAAATATTGGATACAACGCGTTTGCCTCAATAAAAGGTTGAAATATCTGGGTATTAATCGAAAATGAATGTTTAATTTCAGGAAAAGTCGACGACGTGATTTCCGTTCCGGAAAATGATATCGCAGTAGCGATTCTTCGTCTAATCGAGACCGAAAAGGTGCCAAAAAAGCATTGACTTAATAGGTAATTTCGAATATTCTTCAGGTGGTTTGTGAAGGAGCCGGAGCTATTGGAATCGCCGCACTGTTATCCGGAAAATTGGATCATTTGAAGGGCAAAAATGTGGTTTCGATTTTAAGCGGCGGAAATATTGATAGCACTTCACTCGGCAGATGCATCGATCGAGGTTTGAAATTTTTAGTGAAATTGATAAAAAAAATGAGTAAGCATTGTATTGTCGAAGAAAGCCAAAAAATTTAACGAATTTTGCCAAAATACAATTTTGTTTCTTGGCGCGAAATTAGCAAAAATTCGCATGCGCCTTTGATGCATACTGTAGGGTATGATGCGCAGCCAAATTGAAAATTATTGCATTTTAAAAAAATGTTTTCGGGTCTGAATGATATTGATTTACACTAGTACACACGCACGCAATATTGCACACATTTGATTATTTTTTAAAATTAATTCTTATTAAAAGGCATTTTCTTAATTTTTCTCGAATAGAAAAAAGTATTAATTGTCGATATTTTCGACGTGGCTGGTAAAATGCCAAAAAAAATCTAAAACGAGGACTCAATGCGCAGTATGCGTCTTTAATCTTTTTTAATTTCTTAAAGAACAATAAATCCATATTTAGGATTGGCGTTTGATCATCGCGTTATTCGTGTCAGCGTAATTATCAATGACATTCCTGGGGGTCTTGCAAATCTCACAAAATTGATCGGCGAGGAAAATGGCAATATTAGGGACCTTTACTTGGTTGGCTATCAAAATACAGCCAGATTAATACTTATTTATAGGAACGAGCATTTTTGAGAAATGACATGTCTAGTCAGAGGGTCAAAATGGTCATCGAAGTTCGCGGAAAAGACCAAGAAGAGCATTTGAAAGAAAAACTGACTCAAATGTACGGAAATTGAGCAGAAATTCATTAGAGAATCCGAATTTTCAGCTACTCAAAAGCGAAATGCTCATTCAAAACCGGAAGATTGCCCGGTGTCGATTCGAAATCGTATAAGACGCAATAATTTATTCAATAAATAATTATGAATATCACGAAAACTTGAAACCCATAGCGAAAAAAAAACAAAAGGCGATGATTATCTACAAGTCTAAAAATTTTAGGGAAGATGAGGGGAAATCGATTCTCAGCGAGAGAACTTTTTTGAATTCGGGAAGGGTTAATGGGCGAATTGCAGCCGCTGATGGGCCACTTTTCGAATTCTGCCATATTTCGACAGCCTCATCAACAGTTTCCACATTGAGAAGAGAAACAATCTGAAAATATGATCCATTTGCCTAAAATCGCTGTAAATGACAAATAATTTACTTGTCCTAGTCGGGAGCAACGTTCTCTCGCATTCCAGCCCGCGACGTTTGTTAAATAAGCGGTGAGTTGACGGAATTCTCGATCGAGTTGAAGGGTTCCATAACGATTGAACTGACATTTGAAAATGTACAATTCGAATTGTCGAGAGACTTCGGTGCAAATCGTCAAGAGCAGGGTCTAAAAAACGCTTGTAAATTCTTGATATTCGAATAAAAAAATTTCTATGGCTACCTGGAAATTATCAGAATGCAATAGAGGTTGATGCTCAGCAATCATTTTATCAATTAACGCCAAGAACGATTCCATAAATGGATCATTCGCTTCAAAGTGTTCTAAGTCTTCCATTGATAATTGATGCGAAATTTCACGATACTGAGCACAGCTGAAAAATGAATTGGGAATACAAATAAAGTACAGTGTTTTCAAAATCTCACGCATTCTTAATTTTCGGCTTAAACGTAGCTTTGAACAGCTCCTCAATACCATGTTTGGATAGAAGCGACAGTTTTCTCGCAGCTTCATCGATCAGGGTTGTCGAATGTTCCAGCTTGTTCTTTTCGACTTGTGGCCTCTGAAATATTCAGATTCCGCTACAAAATATGTATTGGAATCTTCAATACCTGTTTTCCACTCCATTCGGAATCTAAACCTCGCTGAAGATCCTTCAACAAACTTGCAAGTTTGGTTGTATTATTAATTGCCAAAAGGAACGCATCTCGCTGCGAGTCATGAGTATCCTTCACAGTTTTTCCTGCATTTTTTTTCAATCAGGGGAAAATAATGCAAAAATTCAATCAAAACCTTGCTGATATGCATTATAAGCTGTCTGAGCCGATTGAATAGCATCTGTGGCGAAACCGAAATTCGAATAATCCGCTTGAATGTTTTGCGCCAAATAATTGTGAACCGTCGTGTCGAGTAATGCGACAGCATTGTTGATAGTCGCACACACACTATCCACATTGCCGCTTCCAGCTGCTCGTCGAATACACTTTCGAATAATGAACACAACATCGTCAGTGATAGAACTAAAACAGCAAATATTACCTGAAAAATGCATAGAAAGTTACCTGGTAAGGAGTGAATCTTCCTCTTTCTGATCCATATCAATAGCCTTTTCAGCGGATTTCTGCATGTAATACTGTTCCAACAAAATGTAACTTCCTATTAGTTCCTAGAGAATTATGAGTCATTTTTTTAGCTTAAACATCAAACGAATACCTGCATTCTAGTTCCCAATTCGCTTCGATTCAACAATTGATCAAGTTTCTTCTCTTTCTCTTCTTTTTGCTTCTTCTTTTGCTCTTCAATTTTCTCCAAATCTTCTGGAGTTTTCTCTTCGCTCTGCAAAACCATTTGAATTTGATGAAACAATTCAATAGTCCACGTACAAATTCATCAATCGCCTCCACTGCTTCTTCTTTACTATTCTTTCCAACTCGCCTTCCAATGAATCTCCAATACATTTCAACGTGCATGTTCATCATGCAAATTTCCGAAAGAACCACATCGATATCGTTTGAATCCGGTTGTTTTTCTGCAAATTCCTCATTTGAATTCAAAAAGGAGACCTAATATACCATAATTTGGATCAGTTTCTTTCGCAATTCCTTGTTTGGAAACTTGCTTAATCAATGATTTCACATTGCGATGCTTTTCGAATTCGGCCATAACTCTAGTGAAGAAGTCATCAATTCTCGTCTAAATACAACGAATTGTGATTTTGTTTCATAAAAATCGTGAAATACCTGCAGAATGAACATAAAATCAAGCAATTTTCCCAATCCATACGCGTTTTCGATGATCGGAAGATTTGTTTCAATGATATCTGCAATTCCCTCGAAGAACATGAAAAGAGTATCCGCATAGAGAACATTTCGCCTATTATCATCGGTACCGCCCGCTTTCATAATCTGAAGAACAAAAAATGTAATATTGTTTGAAACATGAAAATCGATACCGTAAAATTCTCATTTGCGAGTTTGTCAATTTTCTGATTTAGGTAGACACCGAATCGCTGCAATCCCTCGTCGGGCTCGTTGAGAAGAGGGAACAATTTAACGAATCTCTGCATTTCAGCTACATCGGTTCGTTTTACGGCGTCGTCCAATTTGGCCTTCAAGATTTTTGATAATCTTTCCTTTGCCAAAGTGAGAACATCATAACTATGTCTGATCGAATCTGTCGCGTCTAAAAACAATAAAATGCTCGAAAAATCTGCACATGACAAAACAAATGTTTACCCTTATCTTTGAATTCGCGAATCTGGAACACAGCTTTGTCCAATGTCAAGAATCGATTGATGTGTTGAGCAGCAGTTTCAAAGTCTTCTGTCCTAATAGCATCGTCAATTCCTTCAGCGCTTGTATGTAAATCGCGCATATCGCTGGCCAACTGAAGACAGCTGACAACTCGCGTTTTTGCGGTGTCTAATGCAGAGACCTGTAATATAGCATAATTTTTTTCTTGAAATATTTAAAGAAAAATCTCACTCGTCCACTGATAGTGTCCGCCAACGTGGAAACATTCTTTAGAGAATGTGTTAATTGTTTTGCCGAATTCTCAACAACCAACATTTTATTATTAAGGCGCGTCAGCGCGAGTCCGAATGATCTGTTTTGCTCTCCACCATCCATCGTATTTTCCTCGAGAATTATCGCGATGTCTTTTTCGATTCTTTCTTCTTCGCATTTTTTGATTTCGAGTTCAAGACGGAGTTCGCGAATTTTTTTCGAGAAATCAATTGACAACTCATCGTCATCATTTAGGTTTTGATCATGTGAATTAGCGCGAAGTCGGGCGATATTCTTGCGCCCCGATGGGAACGAATTTGAAAATTTCTGAATACCGAGACATTAAAAAAAATAAAAATAATACTCTTTTCTCCTTACTGAATAATTTGATACTTGTGTTTCTGTCATTGTTCTTTAGTGCGAGAAGAAGCTGAAAAACGATTTTTAAATTATACATTTCGAATATTATGCTTACAGGAACATCAAAAAAATGATGAAAATGTTCCAAATTGCCACGAAAACGCGAAAATATTGCAGAGAAATCAGGAAGTTGCGGATTTTGTTTCCGAGCGAATCCGAATTCGTGTCAATATCAAAACCACTCTCGGTTTTCTTTCTAAATTTTTGAAACGTGAACTTTGCAATATGCTGGAAATGATTACAGATTGAAGTTTAGGACAGCGAAGCCGTTGACCACTAGAGTTGCGGCGATGATGAGCTCAGAGAGCATGACAATTCGCGAGCTGCTGCTTTAAACTTGCTCAGCTACTTTGTAGCAGAAAGAAGATGGCAACTAAAAATCGGAGTCTTTGAAACAAAATTTAAGAAAAAAACAGGCATGAGATGAATAAAATACATATCCCTTAATTAGAAACAGAATCACTACGGACCTATTATAAAAAATGTAAAAATTATAGACCCCAATGCTTGGTTGTAAAAAAATGCACATTTCATGGAGATGGTCCATAATTATTAATGTCGTGGAAACTGTTTCGAGATGAAATCTCCGATTTACTCATTTTCCAACACGATAGAATTATCGTGCAATGGGGCGCACTTGTCGTAGTTCCACCGAACGACGAATTACAAATGACTGTTATAAACGAAATTGTATAGAATCAATTGAAAACATGTTATTTGAATGAGCAGAATGTAAAATAACAACAATTAACAATAACAAAAATACATGTTCATGATTACTATTCCTTCTCTTTCGGTTCCCATAGTGCATTGCGAACAAAATTCTGAAATTTAACGAGATTATTTTAATATTATATTATAATTTGAAATATTTTTGTTACCGTTGCTGCCTGAGAATTCACTCGAGGGGCTTCTTGTCGAAGATTCACTTCTTTCATTTCACCAGCAAGACGTTTTGTGCGATTCTAAAAATATTTACTTATATATATTATAAAAATTTGAATAATTATACTAAATCAATCAAAAGCTCTTCATTTTTCTCCGGAAGTTCACCTCGAAGACCGTGTGTTGTCCATAATAAACTATCCATGATAAACATGGCCATTGTATCCACAAGAGCCATTTCGTGAGCATTCCGCTAAAAGACATTTCGCTAGCTATACTTAGGGGTAATTTTGTTGAATACCTCATAATGCTTATCAACGCCGCCTTTAATTACTGAATCCACTGCTTTTTCAAGCGCTGTTAGTGTGTTGTCGAAATTTTGCAGTTTCTGTTTCACTTCTTCCGGCAGATTTTCAGCCATATTCTGAAAGCTCTAATTATATCATGATTGCCAAAATTAAAGAAAATTAATTTCGCATTTGTAGGATAAATACTTACAAATTATTAAACATCGACGGAACACGGCGTTCACACTAGTGGGTTTTACATGAAAAAAAGATTTTTCTCAATAGAGCGCACTTGCAGCTTAGCGCTATTCCGGTGCATAAATTCAGCAAATTAAATTTGTGAAATAAATTAGAAACATTCTCAAAATGGAGCGTTTTTTCAATAAGAACGATTAGTTTTAATATTTCTTCCGGTGGATCAGATTCATCGCAATTTATGGTCTATTTAGTTATAAATTAAATAAGTTATTTAAATTTATATCGGATCTTTTTTTTTGAACATATACATAACATTTTTAAATGATAAAACCATCAATTAAACGAAAGAAATACTACACAATTGAATTATGATATAAAAATTGATGATGTGTAGCAGATGAATTCAATGCGAGTAGATAAAGACGCGAAAGAGATTGAATTCGGAAAAAGAGGATATAAGGACATTTGGAAAATTGCAAAACTAATAGGGAAAAAAACATACTTATCAATTTGGAAACAAATGGATAATCAACAAATACATTTAACAAGATTCTCTTTAGCGATTTCATTAGGCAGCTTGAAAAGAACAATTTGATGTTATACAACACAAATGACTAAAAAAAGACATTTTTGAGTTGAGGACGTCCTTCCATTGGTCTTTTGGAGTAATTCGGAAGTTAAAAAAATCTCGAAAAGCGAATTGTCCGTGATATCGTTTCATCACTCCGCTAGCTTTTGATTTTCGAGATGGAGTGCTTATCTGAATTCAATAAATGAATTCAATGCGAGTAGATAATGACGCGAGAGAGATAAATAGCGAAAAAAGAAGCTGAAAACGGTAAAATTAACGTAAGAACTAACGAAATTTAAAAAAAAAAACAACAAAAAATTATAGAGAATCTCTTGCAACTTCTCCGCCGAAATGACACACAATTTACATTTAAAATTTGCAAAAAAAATTAAAAATAAACAACTATGAAATGTTTTTCCAAGTGTTACCAAACATAATCGTATAAATCAAACCATATAATATAACAATAAATGATATTAACAAAAGAGAGAGTGAAAAAACAGAGAAAAGAAATGTGAATATTTTTACAGTTCAATCTTTAAAAAACTACGGACCTCTGAATACTTATCCGATTGAATTATAGTAAAGCTTTTTCGATAGAAAAAATCCTTGCGAAAAACGTGGTCGGTGCACTTTTTTGTTAAAATTTGAGAAAAATTCAAAAAACTTGAAAAAAGAGTCAAAACCTGGCGATTTAAAAAAAAATTCGTCTGCGCGACAAAGACGCCAACAATCGATCACTGACACAGTTAGAGTTTTCATTTCAGGTAAATCCCACTAGTGTGAACGCCGTGGGAAAAATTGAAAAGAATTAAGATAAATTCATGGCCGGAAAAATAATATAAAAATCTCGTCCGCGGCCACAAATTAGTACTTATTATTTCAAAAATTAAGTCCACGATAAGTAGAATATAAAAAAAAAATAACGTGATAGAAATTTGAAATAAAATATCGATTACTATATGTATAAACACTAAACGGTGTGACTTATGTCAATAAGAAGCCGAGTTCAATTAAAAAAAATGAATTAAATTAAATAATAGATACTGTATATTAAAGGACCTTCGCAAATAATTATTGTTTATCTTACGTGGAATATTCAAATTACTGTAATTATTTATCACCGCGAAGTCGTATAATGCACTTATATCAGCAAGTCGTGCCGTATTTAGAAATGTAAAAAGTTTCTGTCTTTCAAAATCAGTAACCATCTCAAAATTTGTTTTTACTGCTGTGCGATGTGTCTAATATACTTATTTAATGATTTGTTGAATTTTTTGAATAATAATTATTTTTTTACATAAAAATGAATCGATGATAATTTTAGAACGTTCATTTTTCATGAAATACAAAAAAAGTAAAATTGCATTTAATGTGTATTTTTCTCCATTCTGCTTTGAAAAATTTTGATATTTTAAAAATATTGCTGCGTGAATAGGTCCGTTAGCTCTGTGCATTAAATATTGCTTTATGAAATTTAGAAGATGAATGAGAATCTCCTTACACCGAATCGTGTTCGTCAACTGCGAATGGCTTCGGATATTTCGTTTCCGATGGTAAATGCATTATTATCTTATCAGCTGATTTATTAGTTGTTTTAGAGTTTCTCTCCGCTGGCGGCGTCTTCTCCAAAATCCACAAGAACACCAAAAAGAGAGTGGTCATTTGCCTCTGGACATTCATCGAGCTCCGATTCAAGTGCGAATTTGACAGGAAAAGCAGTATTCGGTGTAGACGAATCAATGTGAGAATTATTGTCACTTGAGCAGAAGGTTTATAATTTCAGTCTAGATGAACCGAACATGTCGAAGCGCAGTGCCTCGACGCACGTAAATGCCACTGCAATCGAGTACATCGACATGTACTGTTTTATTAAATATTCAAACTAAATTGTAGATTTTAGAAATGCGTTGAAGACAAGGCGAACATTGCCTAATATTGAGCTGGTCGAATGCGCTATAAATAACATGAAAAATCGATATTTTTCCGAGGTGGAGATTGAAGTAAATTGACTCAACAGGAATGAATAAAATTAAACTTAATTTATAGTACATTAATGATAATATAACCGACATTCTGGAGAGATTTGATGTTCCTGAGAGCTGGAGGGATCCATTGATAACAATTATCAAATTCGAAGAAGATAAAATTACTTTCCAAGCGTTTAAGAAAGTTATGATGAACATGTACATGATGTGCGCGGATGACGCAGAAAGGCATTTAAAGGAATTTTAACGCCTTTCAATGTTTAAATTACAGGTTTATTTTTATCTCTAGTCGAGGAAAAAATTCTAAAATTGTTGGACGTGACGATATAGATTGGTTGATGGTACATAGCGCATTTTCAGAACTCGATGAAGATCATAACGTCGCTTCATTCGCTGTTATTGTCAGTTTCATAGAATATATTCATCCGTCTAAAACATTTATTTATGTTGTCTTAAAATTAATAATGTAATTCTACAGGGAACCGAACGTTTACTCTGGGAAGCCGGTAGGTCGTGGGCTGGAACACTTCGAGCGTCTGACGTTCGCAAGGGAAAGGTTTTCACGTTGGCGAAATCGCTTTTCAAAGATATTTACATGCTGTTAGTTCGATATATGAACATTTTAGTTTCTCTACGAATTTCAGAAGATCCGCGTCATATTGCATGTCAGAAGCACTCGAAATACATGAAAAATTTGTTTTTGAGCGTCAAGCTATTGAAAAGTATTTGCATTCGAAAGGTTCGCCCCTTATCATTTTCTAAAAATAATCGGTGTTCAGGTGTTCCAAGCATTGTCGCTAAACGAATATATTCAAAAAACGTTGTGAGACTCACATCAAGTGTGAAACCGTTTCATCTGCGTGATGTCGCCAGAATGATATTCGCTCTGAATGGAACCGACGATAATCAAAGGTGTTGAGTGAATCAGACGAATATAATTCTTGGTTATTTTAGCATTGAATATTGGTTTCGCATAATTAATGTTGATGGCGAAGAATACTTGAGCAAAGGTTATCTTCGTTTATTCTATAAACGGATTGTGGGATTTCTTGCCAAATATAAAGTAGAATGTCTTAGTTTCGATAATATTTACACTCAGGTATTGTTTTTTTTCACTCAAAATTAATATTTACAGTTGTTTTTTAGTATTGTGATATGCTGAGAACGGATAAGTGGACACTTCCAGTATTGAAAGCAAATCGGCATCTTAGTTCTCGTGTTCTTCATGGATTTGTGAACGCCTTCTCATTTTTCAACGAGGAAACTGATGAAAGTATGTATATTTAAAATAGCAACAAATTAAAATATTTTAAAATAGGAATGAACCAGAAGCGGCAGGACGATGAACTGTTTGGAATGGAACGCAGCGATTGGGAACGATATTTGGATCACCAATACGATAGTTTCTATGAGGATGCTTCAGCTGTTGGTGAAATTGAAACGATCAACCTGGGATAAGCCGTTAGTTTTGTATTTATGTATATTTTGACTGTAAATAGTTTGTGCTATTTTGCCTCCCTCACTTGATATTTTGTACAGATAATTGCATGATAACTCACCCTATAATCTGTTTCATAGCTCTTTCCCTTATTTGGTGTATTGTACGTTTACATTTAACTTATAGCATTCCTTATTAGGAGCGTATAAACATTTTGAGCATCCTAATTTTAAGATTATAAAAAAAGTAATTCAACAATTTTTTATGAAAAAGAGTCAAAATTGATGAATTCGCAAGAATGAGATCAGTTTCGAGGTGGTTATTATGAAAGAAAGAAGAATTATAATTTAATTTTGTAATCGCAATTACAAATATATTCTGGAGTCTCGAAGCCAGATTGTTCGTCAATGACCATGTCAAACATGATTTGCGAGAATTTAACAACTCGATCTGAAAAACAAATTGCTTGAATTTTTAACTTTTGAGAATCCCCACCATTAATTACGTTAAATATCGGCGGTAAATGTTTTGGGCGCACGAAAATGAAGTAAATGATTGCACCGCCTAACGTAAGACTTAAACCATATACGGCAATATGATAGTTCTGTACAAATTATTGCATACTTTTTCGTATTTGAAAAAATTGTTACCTGAATAGTTGGAATAACTAAAAGTGAAACGCAAATCACAAAAAATATGGAAGGAACGATGATTGGAACCACAAATGAGTCTTGACTTTTCATTTTACCCGTGAATTTGAAATAAACAAACGCTGCCTGAACTATTTTATTCATTTATCAATTTTTATCCAATTGGAGTCCGACGATTGCTGTACTCGGGTAGATTTTCGATCATGCGCCTTTTGAATGTGACGAGACCATATGGAATTCTCGTAATTCCACCCAAGTACAGTAATCGCCGGATGCCGACTATACAAAATAATAAAATAATGACCTGCGTAACCGTCTTTGTGACCATGTTGCAAACGACATATACGAAATGAGTTGATCCAGACTTCCAATAAATGATAAAAGAATTGCGATGATGACAACAACGAATACAGTAAGCCGTGGGCTACGCGATGAGTGATTTATTAATTTCAATGGGGTTGGCATCACGTTTTCCTTGGCTCCGGCTTGCATGTACCTTTAAAAATGATGGCATCATCGAGAATTCTTTCCATTTTTACCTGCTGCACGCGAAAATAGTCGTGTTCAAATTTCCCAACAAAAGAAGTGATACCAAAAATGGGACAATGTAGTGAAATTGTCCGAGAGTCTTCTCAGCAAACGTCTGTATAAAAAATGGCAGATTGATAAGTGGAATCTATGAGGGTCGACGGATTTACCACAGCAATTGCGGGAGATGTTTTGAATTCGTCGACGGTCAACACGGAAAAATAGGAAATGTTCATGAGAAGGAATATTGTTGCCGAAATGCAGATGCCGGTCATCGCCGCGATTGGCATGGTCCGGCGGGGATTCTCGATTTCCTCGGCTCCGAAATTCAGCACGTCCCATCCGTTATAAGCGAACAATCCCGAATAAATGCCGAGAACTAATCCGCTCGGATTCCAATTCGAACCGTTGAAACTATTATTGAAGTTCGATACGCTGTGCTTGAAAATGATGAAATAAAATCCGGTGAAAATGATGATCGAGGCGATGATTAATTTGGTGAATGTGGCGACAATTTGGAAATAACCAGCGACATGGCGAAGCGAGAAAAAATTGAGATACATCAAAGGCCCTAAAATGGGATGATTGGGAATAAGCGCCCAAATGCGATTGGTGGATTACATAGAACTGAGAATCCGACGAGTCGATAGGCTAAAAATCTGAAATTGTCAGCAAGATAGATCCAATTATCCAAGCCTAGAAATGTTAAAAAATTCGAAATAGTGCATATTTTCTGTATCTGAAGTATTCAAACGTACCGGTGATAACGTATTCTCCAAATGTGACCGCTTGGATCGCCATTGTCGCTGGATAGGATAAGCATGTTGAAGCCCACATGAATGAGGCGGCGAAAGGTCTCAAACCGAAAAATGTGAGATACGCGAAATCACATCCGGATTTTCGGATGGAAGGGCCGAGTTCGACATAGGATAAAGCGCCGAATAAGGAGATGACAGCACATATGGCCCATAAGCAAAGAGAGAGCCCAACCGATCCGGCATGATTTAGAATTGAAGTTGGCGAAATGAAAATGCCTGGTTTATCAGAATAAGATATACATAATGATTTGATTTGTTTTCAGCATTTACCTGATCCAACAATATCTCCAATTGTATATGAAATCGCAGTAATCAGGCCAATTTTGTTGTTTTGCTCAATCATTTGATTTTTGCGATGTTTGCGAGAGACCAATTTGATAGCGAAATTCACACTTTTGTCGAGAACACAAACTGTAATAATTGAACTCCGATTATCGCCTTTTATTTCATTTTTTTCCAATGTGCTGATAACTGACTAAAAGACACAGAATTCTGCTAGAAGAAAATATCGGCTGAATTGTTTTCGTGGAAAATAGCATTTTCAGACAAGTGAATGAATTTTTTAGAAATATCACACTTATTTCGGAAATGACGACTAAAACACAAATAGTGAGCTAAAATATGTTTTTTTGTAATAAGGAAAAATGCAAATTTTCTCGTTTTGACTGTAAAAACTGAAAAAATCGATTTTGAGATCGCAGGATATTTTTAAAATTGACCAATGCCACCTGTTTGAACAAATAAACACTTTCGTTTTTATGTGATATTCATGCTGATAAGAAATTGCGACATTCCTTTCGCACATTGCTCTTTTTCGATTCATGAACTCTAGGAGAGGAAAAAAATTAACCAATAAAATTTATTTAATAAATAAAAAATTATATTCTTGATAATTAGGAATTCCAGAAATCTCTGGCATTCTTTAAAAAATAATTGAGATTATTGGGTAATGAAACGAACAAAAATTAGTCAGCAATTTGTTTCAAATAATTTTGGACATTCTGAATGAGTAATTCATAGGTGAGCTATTAAGGTCCAAAGCACACCAAAGAAATAAGTGAAAGTGTGAATCTTATCGCATATTTCTCTGTAGCCATCCATTCCTGATAAATGGCGATCATTTCAACATTACCGAAAACTCATTCAAATTACATCAGTCATCCAATATGGAGTTCACGTGGGCAGAGTAGAAGTCGCATTCATTATTTATTTCAAAAAGTTTGAAGAAGAACAAATCGAGAAGATGAACGATGAATCAGAGAGTACCGATATCGACGACATTACCCAGGTCGGCACACGTTTTTCTGGTTTCGTCAATTGTTTCCAAATTGTGCAAACGAAAGTGAAGATTATAGTATTAAGTATGCATTCTTCGGTTTTTTTGAACCTGTATTCCGGAAATTCCGTTCTTCATGATAATCTTGTGATTGAAATGCGAAATTGTTGAACAAGATGATGTTTGGTCTCAACGAGACTGAAAAAAGGTTTAGATTACCGTATAAAATTCGAAATAGATATACATAGAAGGACTAGAAGGAACCAGAACCATTCCAGATCATAAGCTCAACTGAAAGCGTTGTGCGCACTCAAAGTGTCTTGGCTTCCGAGCTGGTCGGAATTCTTTCTGACAGAACGCTAAAGTATTCAAGCCAATCTCAAAATAACCAAAAATTCGAAATTTAAGATGTAAGCAACTTGGAGAGACTGGACATGATGTGATTGCGGCGTATCGCGACAAAAAGCACGAATTTCTGGATGATGTAATTGTTTTCAAAAATTTTGTCAATGATTTCGAGTGTTTAAAAAGTTTGAGCAATTTCATTCATATATTCGACATGAATTACACGCAATTCATACGGAAATTGATATGAAAACTTCGATGTATCGAAGGGAAATTGCGACCACTATGGGACAATACAGTACGCTGACAAAACAGCTCGCAGAAGGGAAAAATTTGGTAGATCAAATGTTTAGAAATTGAACAACAAAATTAGCAATAATTGTAGGCAGCTTCACAAGATAATCTTCTGGAAAACATTATGAGAAATGAAGCAGCTTTGAAGCTAACCACCCAAAAGGTACCATTTGTCAAAGTCGCCGTTCTAGAAGATTTCAAAAAAAAAATTGCTCATTTATAATTTTTTGTATTGTGAATCGATTTAGTCCAAGTTGCACTTTCTGCAAAAAACAATTTTCATTTGGTTGTGTGCAAATTTGCAAACGACAAAAATGAAGGGTTTAAAATGTTTTTGATATTTTCTACGTGAAAAACATTCATTTTTATTTGAATAATGATTTTTTTTTAATATAATTGATAAAAATAAAATACAGAGATAACATGAAGAGTGGTTTTTAGAACAGTTCACATCATCCAATCATTTTCAGATCGCTGAGTTGCAAGCGCTTCAAGAAATCAAAATGCCGCCAATGATCAACAATCAAACTTCGACGACTTCAAGTCGATCATTCTCAAGTGACAGCTTGATGAACTCGATGAAAGCTCCTCTCGTGAAGCCGATTCCTGTACAAGTTTGAACCCTCTGTGGAATTATTTTCAAAATGTTTCCAACGCTCAGTTATTCACCATTGTCGCGAGAGTAATGAAAGAGTTAACTATAATGCGGAACACTCTTCATACGGGTGATATGATCACAGCATACATCGATGAGATCAGCAAACAGAGCAATTTGGTGACTAAAATGTGCGCAAAAGAGGTTTTGAAAATTAAAAAAAATGATACGAGTAGCATCATGTTTCAGTTTCCGCCACAATCTTTGCAAGACTATCTGGAAACGCTTCCTTCTGTTCGCGCTGGTACGTATTCAAAACATTCTTCGAATTCAAATTTTATTATTATTATTATCGTTTAGAAAACAAATCATAGAAATGAGGAATTATTCGAATGTACATTGCTTTTATAAAATATTATTTTCTCAACAAATTCAGTCTTGTTCGTAACACGGCTTCGTGTCTCTGAAATTTCCCGTTTTCAGCATTCCTATTAAGTTTTCTATTACCGTTAGCGTCGAATATAGTTTGTTCTGCTCATTCGTCCATGTATTTCCACGCTGAGACATTTCCACTTGAATGAGACGAAGACGTTTGATCATTTTGTCAAATTCATCAAGAAGCCATTCCATCTGAAAATTGTGAGTTAAATTAATGTGCAGACTTCAAGCCACCTTTTCTTCTGGAACAAACTCTGTCAGCAATCCAATGGTCCCATAAATCATTGGAGCTGATGAATGATCGTCACTGAATACATCCCAAGCCAACTTAAACGTTCTTTTGCGGAATTCTTTCGCGTAATTAGGTTCAATATGATCTCTGAAATTCGAAGTTGTTGAAAAATCTCGAAAAAAGACTCCTATCAAAATACCGGTACAACGATAGAAATGTTTTCCATGAGTAGTCTCGCAATGCCCAATGATTATCCTCCAGACGTATACACATATTTCGCCCAAGCATTGAACTCATCAGCGCCGGAATGATATCATGGAGCTGAAAATCAATGAAACACTAAATTTCAGACTCGAACGAAAAACATACGAATGGTCCAAGTTCGGCAGCTTTGTTGAGAACAATTCCACGTAGTAAACGATTCGCATATATAATTAGAGAGAGACATCGCTGCGCCATATTCACATTTATCTAGAATTCGAAAATTATAGTCAAATTTTGGAGAATGAAGAGATTACCGTATGACATGTAATTTTAATCAAAGTCGGAAGAAGTGGCTGAAAATTGAGAAGCACATTTCTGAAAATGAATTTTGTACTACCTGGATACCGGCGTCATGTTCCAACGTCGCCAGGGCCTCATGCCTCCTTTTGTCTTCCGTTCCCATACAAGCCGTCAGAATATCCTTAATAAACATTTGCTGCTCCTAAAATAAATGAAATAGCCACTCGAATATGTTAATCAATGTATACAATTGTCAACATTTCCACAGAATGCGGTTTGAGGCCAACAATCTGCTCAGTTTTTGCAACTTTTGCCGCCTGCAGAAACATTTCGGTTGAAGATACTGGCCGCTTCAACACTCTCGATGACTTGAATCTGCAAATATTCTTCGAATTATTGCAGATAAGAATTCGATTACTCGTTCGATTTCTCATTTGTTCCTACAGCAAAATCCTCGCTATCCTCATCATCGTCTTCATCATCAATTTCTTCTTCCGACAAGTTCAAATTGTACGCGGATTTGGTTGGCTGACCATCAGTGACCATGAAATAAGCTTAAAATAAATCAATCCTTATGAAAAATACTGAATTGATTCGCATACATTTTAATCTAGATTCAATCGGTACTACTTGTGATGTCGACGTGCTCGGATCAAGATCAACTTCCGAGTTCGGACGCACAAACAGCACATTATTAGCATGAACACACGTCAGAGTTTCGAGTCCAAGACTGTCCGTGTCGATCAACGGTACAATCTTTTTCTGAAACATCAAATTCCAATAATTGATAATTTAAAATTAAAATTCGGACCGCAACTTCGGTTCCCTGCATGGCTACTAGCGCATAGATCAAATCATCAACGATCATCTTTCGTCGACCGCTGTGTCGCGCCCATTTTTGCGCTAATCGAATTGTTTCTTTCAGAAATTCTTTGGACTGAAATTGAATTTCATTTTCAGTAATAATACTAATGAGAAGAATTAATAAAACTCACAATATTTTGAACTAATACCCGCGCATCTTTTTCAATTTTTGAAATTCCAATACAATCGCAAGCTATCTAAAATAATCAAATTGTTTTTTTAATGAAAATATTAAAAAAAAAACGAACCGCTGCCACATTGTCCGCATTATCCTGTATTCCATTTGATGTCATTCAGAGGAAAAGCTATAACAAAACTGAGGTTTTGATCACAAAAATTATAAAAATATAAATTAAAACGGCTAAACACCGCCAATAATTTGGAAAATACGAGGAGCAAAAAATAAATTAAATCTTTATAAGTATTGATATTTAAAAAAAAGAAAATAAACCCGAATTAAAACAAGATTATCCGTACATATAATAAATGGTTGTGAACCAGTAACTATGAAACAAGAAATTGGCTAATTATTATAAATAAAACTATACGGATTCGGTCATGCAATCTTTTCGAATATTTCGAACAGCCTCAAACTCTTTTACCAACGCAGTTTCGCATGTTCTCGGCTCTTTTCGTCGATACCACCACTAAAATTACAATTAAAAAAATAGAAATAATATTCAGAATTTTACCCCTCCACGCAATGGCTTCTTCGAAGCTTCTTCCAAATCTTCAAGCTCAATTTTCAGCTCTTCTTCGCTTTTCGCAAAAGTTTCCGATATTATCCATTGGAAATCGTCAAATAGTCCTACAAAATTTCAAGAATTTCAAAAAAAAAGACCATGTCTTTCTCTTGCCTATAATCCTTCTCTCCGTCGGTTTCCAATTCGTATCACGCAACACAAATGGCGGACCAGGTTTCTGAAATTTTCAGCCATTAACATGTTTCTAATTTTAAAAAATTCCTACTTTACACATCACATTTCCGTCAGAATCAGCCAAATACTCCAAAATCTCTTCAATTTTAAATGGTTTTCTTCCACAATTCGCTTGTTGTTCAAATTCTATCAATTTTGGTGCCTCCGAAATACATTCCTTACGTTTTTGAAAAGAGCTTCTATTCAAATCGAATTTTTCTGTAATTTTCTGGATATTTTTTTAAACAAATACATTGTGCAAGTACGCCGACTATATGATTTTCGGAATATTCTCAAAAAGGTGAAATGTCGACTTTAAAAAAATATTGAAGTGGATAAAGATTCGAAAAAAGAACACATCTAGTTTTAAAAGAATGAAAGGACCCTAGAAAAGACCGTAACCGTTAATATCTCCGTAACCGTTAATTTGCAGTCGTTTAACAACAATGACCCATAATATATTTTTTTTTAAGTCATTTTACCTAGAACAGTTTGAATTTCAGCTTTCAGTGATTCGTTATATTCAACTCTTCCTTGCGGCAAACGAGGAGATTCGTAGGGAATCTCGTAGAGATCACGAACATCTTTGAAAATTTTATCGATTTCGCTTCTAAAATATTTGATGTTAATTAAAACATTTCCAAAATCAAAAATGAACCTCGAAATTCCATATTCTAGGTGATAGCTCATTCGGAATCCTTTTCCCAATGTGTTTAAAGGGACACAATTCGAGTTCAATTTTCTGCGAAAAATTAATATCAATTTAACTTCAACAAAATTTACGATTTTTTAGGGAGAAATTCTCGATTTTGGCTGTCGTTTTCACATTTCGTCGATTTTTTCAATTTTTCTTCAAATTTGTTCGAATAAGCGTCTTCTAAAATAAAAAATGTCAAAAAAAATGTTATCATATTTCTTACGCGATTTCAGATTATCTTGCAATAATTTGATAGGATTGATCATTCCAGACAGAATTTCCTTAATATTCTGAAATCCTATTCATAATAAATAAAAACATTTGAAAATATAACCTTTCTCCTATGAAATCTCACATCGTATCCATACCAATTATAACGAGACGAAGGAAAACTTGGCGACGATCGAATTTCAACAATTGAGCCGACACGAATTCGATTCTAAAATGTATTCAGGATTGCAAAACAATTGAAAATTCTACCATAATATTGGTTTGACAAGCACTCATATTGAATATTATACTTTCATTCGTTTCAAGATATTCAGCTTCCGCGAAACTGTTCCGAACAACCTAAAATCATATAAATTTTGAATATTGATATATTTTTCGACATACATTCTTTATAACTGCGTATCCTTCAAATTCGGGAAGATTTTCCTCTTTTTCGATGACGAAACTACGAATTTTCTCAATACTTCCCTCGACATCAATCGAGAATGGCGACAATACAACCCAAGCCGAAACCATTTGTTTCACGCGTTCTGAAGGGATCTACCAACAAAATTATCAGAACTCTTTCAGTTGTTCACTTACATACTTTGCTCGTTGCTGAAATTCTGCGACTTGATCGACACTCGCAAGAAATGCTTGCGTTCGAATCTTTTCCGAGCAATTCGGATGAAACGCGATTTCAGAATTGTGCTAAAATTCTTTTTTTTTTCATATAAAAGTCATATTCACATTAATTACCTCCGTTTTTCCTATAGCAATTCCTAGATTTGATTGTGAATTATACACGACGAAGATATTTTCTTTAATAATTGGAAGGCCTAAAAATACAAAATAATCAAATTTTTTAACATGTTAATTTACATTTAAATACTAGCATAGTTTCTACTTTAACAATCACATGTTTTCCATCTAAGACGGTGCTTAAATTTTTTGAATACGATATTTGTACCAATGATCCAATTCCAAGCGGATCCGATTCTTCTTTATTCCTTATATGTGTATTTTCATTGAAAATGAAGTGCACATTTGTGTACTAAGGATATTTTGTATGTAGTCGAAAGAATTAACAAAAATTGAAGTACCGTAAAATTTTCTTGTGCGAGTACTTCTCCAATTCCATTTTTGAACCATATAACTACACCAAATGTTGAATAACCTGCAAGAGAAAAACCCAATATTAATTCGAATAGTGCATTTTAACTTAAATAACGCCCAGGAATATCAAATATGGAGTTTGAGTCACTTTCTTCGACGTCGTCGCCATCTTTCTTTAATGGTTTCGCATTTATATACACTGCATTTTCGAACATACTATTTACAATTCCTATAACTATAATATTTAAGGTTTTGAATGTCAATATTGCAGAAACAATCAAATAATCAACACAAAACATATTCAAAAAATTTTTGTGCGTTTTCGCGTAGATTTCGGTGTATTGCACACCGTACCCCAAAATTTTGTTTTTTTTTTTTTTCATTTGACGGCGTTATTTCTCTTATTGCTTTGCGTTTGTTCAAAAATAACTATGTTTTGTTCAAAATTTTGCCTTCGAAATAATTAAGAAATTGCTATTAATTATTTTCTTAAATTTATATTATTTGTAACCTTATGTTTTTCAGTCAATCGGCTAGGAAAATGTCTAAAAAGGCGAATATCCAACCTCAAGAACCAGAAGATGAGCAGTACGAAGTATGTTTTTTTTAACTAACTTATTTTCGATACTTATACTCAGATAAATGAAAATCAATCGGATTCGAAGAAAAATGAAACAGAAATTAACCTGATTCAATAGAAAAATAATTGAAATTCAATTGAGAAAATGTTAAAATATGATTTGAAAACTTAGTTTCGATTCAAAAATATTCGAAATCGATTATTTTATTTCTCATTTTCAATTTTGAAATAGTATTCGACTGAATTTTTGGAATAATTCGCAACAGAATAATTTATATTCGATTTCGATAGAAAACGAAATTATTTTCCAATCCGATTAATTTTCATTTACCAAAGAAAAAGAGAAATGTTGATATCTTTAAATAAATTTACTGAGATAAGTTAAATTCGCGTTATTAAAAATAAATGTTGAGCAGTGTTTTCAAAAAAAATTGTTTTCGATAAAATTTTTACTTTAATAAGAGCACCAGAAAAAACCGAATAGTATTCCAAATTTAGTTTTTTTTTGTAAAAGAAATTAAATGAAGTGATATGACTGGAAAAGCATACGTCGGATGAATCCACAGCGAGATTGGGGGAATTAATCTTTTAAATTCACGCTACGGTCAAAAATGGTTTTAAAAAACGTGTTTGATCGTTCGTGTTTGTCAAATTCGTCTGTCATCAACAATATTTCTATTTTTTTTTTCTAATTTTCTAATAAAAGCCAGATTTGCTTGTCTTTAACCAATTCGTATATAATAGATTTAAAGATCGAAAAAATACTGCGGCATAGAAATAATAAATTTGGAATCGGCTACGAATATTTTGTGAAATGGATGGGTTACGATGATGAGGATAATTCTTGGGTGCAAGAGCAAGATATGGTGAATTCGAAATGAAGGCGAGTCGTTGATACATTAATTGGTTTCAGCAATGTGCAGATAAAGTTAATGAATATTGGACGGCATATACGAAAAAATTAAAAGAGTCAAGGGAAACGTCGGTAGGATTATTGGGCTTTTTGAATTTCACAGAATTAAAAGTGAAAATTCGCGTAAAATCTGTGTCCGTTCATACAGTAAAAATCAAAAACAGGTTGTGTCTTCGTTAAAATGCAAGGATTTGTAACAGTGAACGTTTGAAGGAAGGTTAGTTTCGATTTTCAGAATCGAGAAAAGTTGAAACGGCCATCAGGTGTTGAACCTCGGTTGATGGACATGAGCAGTCCGATCAAACGAAGCCATACAAAATTTGAAAAATCCGACAGTGGAGCGCTGAGGGAAGCAACTGCCTTGGTACAGAGAAACAAAAAAGTATGAGATGATTTTTTTTGGTTTTTTCTCTCTAAAATCGTGATTTTAGCTTATTCCTCCACCACTTCCCAGAAGGAATACACCGAATCCAACATCACAGTTCCAGGCGGTAGTTTTTCTTCCGAAGCTGTCTAATTCAATATTTGTTCTTTCAGACCAATAAACAATTGAATATTGAAGCAGTCGCAAGCAGCAGTAATTCTTTGACACAAAACGGTATTCATTATTTTAAATATTACCATCAAAAGCAAAAAATTCCAAATTTTCGAAATATTATCATCTTATAGAAACGAGCGCCGTTGACACGTTTTGGACCATCGAATTTTTTGTAGGAATTAGTGTGCCGTGATTAATCTGAAAATGAAATCTACGCTCGCTTTTTAATTATCGTGTTTAATATACATATTTATTTCTTGACGAAACAAGAAATTGTGGGAACATCGTTTTTTTTTTTGAAAATAACATATGAAATTTAAAAAACGAAAACTAGATCAAATTGAAATGATTATTGTGGTAATCGCTCGACTGCGACAAATTTGCTAAATGCCAGTAAGCGCGCGTTGTGTACTCCACGCGGACAATATACCACTTAACAATGTGGCGTAAAAAGCTTCACTCGTAAATCGATATGTGTATTGCGAGACCCCAATCTACTACAGAAGACCGCGCCATCTGCGGTACTGCGATTTTCACAATATCAACAAATTTAGAGAAAAAAATCGTCAATCGCACCCAAAATGATCTTAAAATGAACCCTTGGCCTTGCAACGATTTTTAAAGTTTTTTTCCTCTCAACTAAAGTATAGTCGACGTCCGGCAATTGCTATACGCGGGTAGATTTACGCGCATGCGCCTTGAAATGGTCTCGCCACGTGTGAACGCTTATTTTGCTGTTTTCACGTGAACGACATATGTTTTCTTAATGAGTTTCGCATTTCTTGGAATTTCTAACGTCGTTCGATTTAAAAATTATCAAACCGACCCATGAAATGCGAAATAACCTATTGGTCCTTGCGAGACCATTTCGAAAGATGCATTCCCGCAAATCTACAGCAGTTGCCGGACGCCGACAATAAGTCATTTTTATAGAATCAACACCGATCCCGTTTACGACGAAACCAGTAACTGAAGAACCAGAGATAATTGTCAATCCAAATAATCCTTGTGGACTGGAATTAAATTGGAGGGTAAATATTTGAGAATTCGAAAAAAATTGAATTACTTAATAAATTCAGATCCAAAAAGTTGTTCAAATCGTCCAAACGAACAATCGCCAATTTTGTCTCGTTCGCTACGAAGATTCGAATTCGTTGCAATTTGTCTCATTAGATTTTGTCAAGGAGCGTGATCCGGTGGTAAGTGACAAAGTTGGAATTTTCAAGCAAAATTCACATTTTAAGGCTCTCATACAGTACTACGAAACACTTTACGACAATTCAACCCGCGCTTAATTTTCTTTTATTGATTGCCTGACAAATTGGAGTTTCGAGTACGTCGTGATGATTGTTGTCAACATATCGTCTTAATCGTTTTGTTTTCATTCGAGACCAAAAATGATGAATTCAAATAATATTGGCAAAACTCTATCAAAATAATGCTATTATTTTTTACATGGCATAGTGTCAAAACCGTTTTGTAGTACCCTCACTTTTCCTGAAAAGATCTAACACATTTTGATCTGCATTTGTCTTTCTTTATATTATTCCGAGTTTACTTATCCGAGTTTTATTCTGTGTGCAATGTTTTTTATAAATAAACGAAAAGTACTTTTTTTGTTCGATTTTTATTCGATTTTTTATATTGGGTTTGGTCCCAAAGCTCTATATTCGAATTTTTTAAATCTAAAATTTTAAAATTAGTTTTCAGTCAAAACACTAAATGACAGTGAAAAAGGTAAATTATTTATTGTTTTACAGAAATCTAATTTCTAAAAATTTCAGTCGATTGCCGAGATTGAACTCGAAAAACAATACGGAGACTATAAAGCTGAATTCGAGCGATGGAAACAGAGAAACGCGTAAGAATTTTTCGCTCGATAGACTTTTTATTGAGCGGTTTTAGTGGCTCAGTCGGAACAGAAGCGTACAACGCGTATGTTAAACAATTTGAAAAATGGGAAGAAGATGTCGAACGAAGGCGGAAAGATTTACAGGAAAAAGCCTTGCAAGAAGCACAAGATGTAAGTTTCATTGATGATTGAAAAATCGGATTTTTGTTTAATTTCAGGCTCAAAGAGCAGCTGAAAAAGAGGCGTCCAATGAGGCTACAGAGGGTAATAATTTTCTATTGTTGATGATAGAAAAATTCCGGGAGGCGCAAAAAATTTGAACGAAGCGATTTAGTCTCGCAATTATTTACGTTTGGGCTTCGTATCAAACATTAAAAAAATACAGTAGGCATCAAAGGCGCATGCAAAAATTTGTTAATTGCGCACCAAGTAGTAAAACTGAATTTGACCTAAATTCTCGCCTCCGACAATGTATTCTTATTATCAAGGTTTGGAAAATAAGATTTATTTTTGGGTCCTTGTCTGAAATTCTTCCAACGTTAATTCATCTAACCTGAGACGCATATTGGAAAATGTCAGTAGAAGTTTTCAATGAGATGCCTACATTTTAAAACATGTTTCAATTTTTCTTGTTAAAAGGGAAATGTTTTTTCTCATATTTTTCCTATTTTGGTGGTATCTTTTTATGGGCCCATTCACGAAATTAAACATTTTTTAATTACAAATTTTCCAGAAAAATACTAGTTTAACGATTCTTTTGTTAAAATTAAGACCAAAATTTATGAACATTAAAAATTATCAAAATAATTCGGCTTGTGTACTGAAGTCGCCCGACGCCGTTTATAGAAATATATATTTTTTGGTTTCACATGACTGATCGTTGGCGGGAATTTCAATTTCGCGAAATCTGTAAACGAATGTGTAAACTTACGGTTGATTGAATATTTAATGCGCGTAGGATTAAATGCAAAGTACGCAGTCGCGCGTGCTTCAAATATCATTGATCCCACTTTTTTAAAATTACTATCAGTCGTTTAAAGCCAAAAAATATACATTTGAAGGGTTTGTTCGTATTTTAATTATTGAAAAACTGCATTGGTAGCATTTTTATTTTTAATAAGTGCATGAATAGTTCCATAAAATCAGAGAGCCTTAAATTTAACTCTAGGCCTCATTTGACATCTCATAATCTCTTTTCAGCAAATTATTAATATTGTGTATTTCAGCGGAAGCTGCTGCGGCTTATGCTCAATCACAACAATCATATCTCGCTCATCATCAAAAAGCTTTGGAACAAGCTGAAATGCAGCAGAGAAATTTGCAACATATGCAGCATGTGATAAGGCCAGGTAGAAATTGTGTTCGGCAAGGTTTCGACGAGACGACTAATGTCTTTGCAGAAACTACCGATGTTGTTTTACGCGAAGTGATGAATGTTGTGATGGCAGGCACAGCGACCGCCGTTGGAGCGGCCATCAACCAGCAGCCACCGCCACAGCAATCTGCTGCCAATGTGCCACCGCTTACTTTATGGGGAAATGTGAAACCGCCTTATGATGCGAGAGTACGATCAATCATTTGGTTGGGAATATTGAATTATCATGTTTTTAGGATCCGCTGTTTCTAAAATGGGGAATGAGGGCCGCACCAGGACATGTCAGAGTTGAATATCCTAGGCCAATTGTAGGTTTTTTTTTTCAATTTTCATTAGAAAGTTTGACGTTCAGAGTTTCCAGAATTATCCGTTTGGAATACCTGATAACCAATAAAAAAAATGAAAACTTTCAGATTCCCGTTGCTCATTGGATGCTAATAGATACATTAAAAGACAAGAAAATGATGCTAGCGCCGGTCGTTTGCCCTCCGCAACCTTTGTTTAACGGAGCCAATAATTTTCAATAATTTATCAAAATTTCTGTACATTGTGAATTGAGATAATCAAAATTAAAATTTATTTGATGACTTTACGCTGGTTTTTCTCGATGCTGGTAGACTCATTGGCTCGAATTCCTCTCGAAACACTTGCTCGCACTGAAAACTGATTCGATTCATAGATTTTGAAAAGAAATCAAACTTCTTTATGCAGAATTTTCAGATTTTCCATAGCTTCTGGACTATCTTCCATGAGATTTTTTGCGATTGATGTTATGTGCTTATCGCCGAGCACATTGTCGATTCGCTCGTAGCGTTTTTCAAATAATCGAGATTGATGACTGGTCATCGGTGATGACGAAAAAAATAAAAGTTTGAGGAAAAAAAAAGAAATGAAGCGAATGGGAACGAAAATGGCGCAATTATCGAAGTCGCTTTTTTTTCGAATTGTGCGATTTATAAAATCGCGGCTTTTATGTGGTACACACACGCAAGAAAATGCCGATTTATTAACTTGTTTTTGGTCGCATTGGAACAATAAAAATATAAGTGCGCAATAAAACTATAAAAAATCGGATTTTATGCAAAATCTTGATGACGGAGCCAGAGAAGACGGAAGTAGGTAAAATGGATATTTGGCCAATATTTAAGGACCAGTCAAAGTTCGATTCGAGCCTTTTTCAATCGATAAATAACCTTTATCAAAACTATAAGTCGGAGAAAGAAGTTTTGTATTCATTTAGCTATTGTAGCGCCGAGTGCTTCACTTCACAAAAAGAACAAAATTTATGGGCCCATAATCAATTTCTCGCAAAGCGTTTGGAAATCGTACTTACTACATATATTCTTTGGTGCGGTATTTTTTTTTAAATAAAGAATTTCAAAACAATTTTTCTATGATTTGACACCGAATTCGACGACCGATTTCAGTCTCCGAAGTTTCGCGTATTTGCTTGTTCGAATTGATTTGTTCTTGTGTTGTCGAATTTTTCGAAAGGCAAATAATAATGTTTATTAAAAACGCGTCCCATTTCATTATTTCTTTTTGTTTTTCTGTGATCGCTTCGTCTTATCCGACTTCTCAACTTTGAGACTTTCAATCTTTTCGAGTGTGTCATCCTCATCGGATTTCGCTTGATAGAATCCTTCCTTGATTTTCCGGTTCTTCTCTTCTTCGTTCTCTTTTTCTTTTCGTTTTCGGGCACTTTCAGTTGGCGGTTGGAATTTGGGGAATGGTTTCATCGATTGATTCACCGGAGCCTAAAAAACGCTAAACTAATATTTTTGATTTGATTATAAACCTTCGTATCCTTATCCTTCTCTTTTTCTTTTCCTTCCTTTGGCTCAGGAGGTTCGTCTTTCTTTTCACCCTCTGGCTGCTCATTTGTTGCTGAAACTCGTTATTATTAAATTAATCAATTGAAAATTCAATATCAACCAGGGGCTTCCTTCTTTTCAGCTGTATTTTCAGTTTTTGATGGTGTTACTGTGGGACCAGCTTGCTCCGAAGGAGGTTTCTAAATCATAATTATTTCTAAATTGATATTCCCAATCTATATTCAAGTTACAATTCCCGATTTCAGAATAATCGATTCGTTCGTGTTCGGCCGCGCATTCGCTTTATCCTTTTTCTTTCCACAACACACAACCCAACTGGGAACTAATAAAACCAATACCACGAACAAGTTCTGAAAATGTCAAAAATCGCGTCCCGTTCAAAGTATCGAAATCATACTTGCAGGAGAATGGGATAATTCGCCTCTTGCATGCTTACTTGTAATCAACGTTGTCTTGTCGCAAATCAATTACCGTTTCTTCAACCAACCTCGCTGCCTTTCAGTAGCTCATAGAATAAATAATGCGAATCCGCCAGAAATGGCCAATAATTCGTATTTTCAACATTTTCACGCTGATTTATTTTTGCTGATGTTTTTTGTCGAAATGTGGCTTTGTTTGTGCCAGTTTTTAGGCGTGGCCTAAATTTTGAATTCGGATTATTGAATTATACACTCTGTCTCAACTATTCGACATATTGACAGCGTCGAACTGCTGAAGGGAGGCGGGGCTTTCAAATTCGCGAAATCAGTGTAGATTTTAATCTTTCGTTGACCGAATATTTAATGCACGTACACTATAATGCAATATACGCAGTCTCGCGTACTTCTCACTGCACCGAGACGTATTGGCACACAGCCAATAATTTTTTAAATTTCGTCCAGTCGTTTGACTCTGACAATGGGAAAAGATGACGAAGTCACTTCTCGAACTTGCCAATTCCTCGTTTCCGGTACCGCTGTGTTCACCATTCCCAATTATATTCAATTGGGGGCTTTTAGAAATTAAATATTTCCATGGAAATATTAATATACTGGTAGAATATACATTTTAGTGCTTTTAAATTTGGATTTTCGTCAAATTTTTAAAAGCACGCAATCAGATAAGTTCCTTCGGCGTCTTCAAAATCAGCGATGACTGAATGGAAACTTTTGGGACCATGACAACCCTCGATAAGTATTTCATTTCGTAGACATCTAAATGCGGTCAGACGTCGACGTTGATCGCCATTTTCGTCAATCAAGAGCTATCCGATTTCATTGGTCCGATTCGGATGATAAAAAATGGAAACGCTTTTATATTTTTGGTGGCGTTTCTTTCAATACACATGCCCATAATTCGATGCCGACGAGACGCGACGAATCACATTAAAAAGCATTAAAACGCGTCGCTCCCGGGAAACCGAAAAAAATTGGGCAAGAAAGCGGCGAATTCAAACGGTGTTTTGCCACGCCACCGCGAATCGATCGAAGCTCCTCGTTCGACCGTCGACACTCGGCATTCCTGTCAGTTTATGATGTTCGCGTTCAACGTTCTCGTCGCTCTTATCGCAGTCTCGCCGGCAAGCCATCTCATGATTATTCTAGAAAATTGTTTCGATTTTTAGGTTTTGACAGATATTGCAGTTGCGCCAGCACCTGGTGCAGCTTCACCAGCGAAGCCTGATGGCACTTCCGTCCAGAGTGCCACTGGATCTGCACTTCCATCGCCAAATGGATCTGCTAATCCACCTAATGCATCAATGAGTGTCGCCAGCAATGTCTCCCCAATCAGTTCAGCTGCTATCAGCAATTCTTCAAGCGCAATTGCAGCACCGAATACTAATTCAAATGGACCGGCTGCGGCCTCTCCAAAGACAATCAATTCGACCGAAAAAGCTCAAGCTCCAATAAAAGAAAATGCGCCAAACAAGATTGAGCGAAAATTGGCAGTTGTCATGGTTCGTTGGTGGTTTCATCTTAATTGAATAATATTAACTATATCTTGATATATCATTTTTATAGAATGATCAAACTCCATCGAATTCTACTTTAGAGCAACCCAAAGTAATTTTGTCCTCAAAAACTAGAAATTCATGGCAACTTCCAGAATTCTGTTAGCTCGACACCAAAATCCGACGACGAGAAGATTGATGATGATGCAACGATGACCGAAAAAATTCGGTCGGTAATTGAGACATCGGTGACGTCACTTAAAAACGCGGTTGGAAAAAAAAATAATTAATAAAAAATTGAAATTCGTCATTCATTTCAGTTTGTTCAAGTCGGAAAATTCATCGCTGATATTTTCTCGACAGATAAGAGCAGCGAGCGAAAAACGATCAAGAGCATTCCGACTAGAACTACTTCCACAAAATCGCCTACCACAACGACTCTTGTTGCTCAAACTAATTCCTCTGCTCCTGTTAACACACCAACAAACATTAAAACAGCGTAATTTTTTTTTGCAAAAATAAATAAAGCATTGGGGGAAATCTGATTAATCTGTTGCTTCATCAGCCCATTCCGATTGAACACCGATTGCGCGAAGCTTAAACATTTCAAATCAATCTAGGGGATCCAAATATGACCCAACCTCATCGCGTGTGAGCAGTAGATCAATATGAACCGCCCGAAATACGGTGTCACGACAATCGATCATCGCTAGCCGGTGTCGCTCAGCCTGCAAGAAGATTCTGAAATATAAAAAGACATCTTGCCAACCATAGCAGTGTCTCCAGATTGCAACGCGGCACTTCTTCGTCGGCCAAGATCCTCAATTCTCGTCTCATATTCGTCGATTCGCTGGATGGCACGCAAGCAAACGGTAGCTTGAATCGTCTTGCCTTCCTTCAACTGGCAATTTAAAGAAATTGAACCAACGCATATTACCTCATTTGACTTATTCATTTTATCTTCAAGCACCCTTCGAATCGTTCGGATTGAGGAGAGCGGATCGCCTCCCAAAGGACCATCAGTATTCATATTCATTCCATCGCCTTCGCTGAAATAACGCGAAATGTCTTGATAGATTTTGAACCGATTTGGTTAAAATTGGCATGCGAAACGAAGGGAAGGAAGCACTCACTAGCTGTACCTCTCAACCTTGATATTTTTTTTCGCAACGGCACTTCGAGATGGCGCTCTGCTCTCAACCACTTCTTCCATTGTTTGCGACTCTCTACAAATATCGATGTTTTGGTTTTATTAATTGAAAATTCTCGACTTGGCATCGTCGTGTTTCGATTTTTCCTCAATCTTCTCGACAGGAATCGGGTAGCCAAGAATCGTCAGCTTATTGATTTGAATCATTTTATGCGGATTCACAACATGATCAATTGGGCGGTCGATATTCAACCAAACGTATTGTCCGATGGCGTCAGTGAACGCGTTTCTATTTGATAATAATTTGTAAACTTTGAATGAATTGGTCCCGGGAAACGATTCATGGTTTGTCTGTCAATTGACACATTGAAAAATTCGCAGAAAATTATGCTCTTTCATATTGTATTGGTAAAATCATACAAAACTCGCTGAAGTTTTTTTCCACACAAGACCCAATGCGGCAATTCAGGTGTGAAGCACTCCAAAATTCACCCCGTCAACCACAAAAAAAATAAAGTGCATTTCACATTTATACGGCCATCAGTATAGATGGCTGTAACTTTTTCCACAGACAAAATTTAAAATTTCCGATTCCAAAATTGATTTCAGAGCTTTAAATTACATATTCGTACCACTTTTCACATTGATATCTGTCAAATTGGTCGAATGATATTGAAACATACTAAAAACGGTTTTTTGCAACCTTTTCACATACAAGGACGGTTTGAAATTATCTAGAGTCGACGAAGAATTGTGCACCTTTAAATCTAGTACTGTAAAATGTTTCCCTTTATTTCTCCCGTGTTTGAGCGTGTTTTTGAATTTAATTTGGAAATCGGAAGTTTGACTGTGAAAGTACATAGTTACAACCATTTATAGAGGGGGCCCTATTTATGGGAAACGAACTGTAATGTTTCAATTCTTATGATTTTGCATAGATAAATAATTAAATATTGTTTTTTTAAATAATTATTCATGTGAAACCAAAAAATCAGGAGATTATTCGTATTTAAAAAAAAAACAACTCAACTACCGAGAAATTGACTAATTGTCATTATTCTTGTTAACAATTACAAAAACTAAATGAATAAATTAAAACAATTCCTATGGGTATTCATATGTACATAATGCTCACTTCGTTTCCATTCTGCTCATTGATCGCTCTCTTTTATAGAATTCCAGTACTACCGGCTTCTGGAATTTCGCCTGTCGCGCATTTTTGTAATTCACCTCCGCATTAACATCTCCCTTCCCGATTCGAATCGTCACTTTCGACGCTGAAAATAATTGATTTCAAAATAAAATTTTTTAAAAATGGAAAATTACGTGTGAATTCCTCATCTACATCGATTGCGACCTTATAAATATTTGCGAGTTTATCTAGACCAATCACTATATCAATTGGAAATTGCTCTCTGAAACGAATATTCTAGAATTTGAGAAGAAATTTTCGTTTTCTTGGATTCATTAGAATATTATATTATATTGTCGGAGTCAAATGACTTGACGAAATTTAAAAAATTATTGGCTATGTGATAATGCGTCTCGGTGTAGTGAGAAGTACGCGAGACTGCGTACATTGCATTATAGTGTACGCGCATTAAATATTCGGTCAACGAAAGATTTAAATCTACACTGATTTCGCGAATTTGAAGGCCTTTCTTTGACGCCGACAATAAATATTATTGTATACTCACCCCGGATCACTTCGGAATCGTCCTCCATCGAATTCCGATGGCTGATGAGCTCCAAGAACAAGCGTTTTCCAGTATAATTCTCGAAGAGCTACACCTTTCTTTTCGGACATTTGGCATAAAACTAAAGGCGATGAGCAGCGTCTCCTAGGAACCAAAAGCGACACTAATGGATACTAGGGCATCTGTTGCCCAATTAGAAATTCACCATATTTGAAATGAAAAATAGAAATTCTCATATATTATTGGGATGAAATCGAAAGATCATCAGACCATGTTCCAGAATCCTGATGATCAAATTTCCAGTTGCACAAATGAAAACACCTAAAAAAAATTCTGTGGGAGGTTGCTTTTTTTTAGTTCTATGGGGGATAATTTACTATAATTTTTCGAGAACTATTCCAGTACTCAACGTCGAAATTCGAAAGTCTCACCTGACTTATGTACATGTGATGTTTATTAAAAATGATTATTATTTTTTGTCCAACCAAAAATCTTTTTTATCGTTCGAAAATTGAATTATGGTAACATCGTCAAAAAAATTTTATGATGAATTTTCAAAAAAAAAACGTTTTTGTAAATCCATTTCTAAAACAACTTGTTGTCTTTAATTCAAGATTTTTTTGCTTTAAACCTGATTTTTGAAAATCGACAGGTGTCATAGCTCGATTACCTTAATAATTTTTTATTTCCTTTCTCACAAAAACACCCAAACGAAATTACGTCGCAATTCCTTACATGTGCACAAACTTGTCGAACCCTATAATCAAAGACAGCTCTTTTTTGGGAATTTCGAATGTCTTGTACAAATTCACTTATTTTAGCAATTTGACAGATGTTTAATCGCATGATTGAGTGCCCGAGATTTTCCAGATCTCTGATCTCGATTTTTAATAGTAGAAATTCTGAATTTTTTTTTGATCGTAGATATTTTGAATTTTGCAAACATCGCCAATACGATAGATAAATTTTCACCATTTTTTAGATCTGAAAATTATCAAAAATTGTGTTACCTTACCTACTCAAATAATTGTCCTCTCTCTCCAGACTTTTCGCGTCGACAATGTTTGATCATTGGTCGTGATTCGTTTTATAAATGAATCGCCGACGTCTAGTCATATCTGCGTAGTAACACATTCATATTAATTGGATTAAACAGTCTAAAAATGATTCCTCAAATACGACAATATCTCACATAAAAAAGGTCCCAGGTGAATTAAGAGGATCAGGCTGAAAATCACCGCAAAAGATCTAATCTAAAATATTTCTAAGAATTATTTTCCAATATCGTTTGATTGTTTCATTTTTTATCATCATGAATAATCGAAAATCTATAATTTAATCTTTTTTATTTATTGTTGCTTATTTTCACAAATCGCTATTGAATTGAATTCAATATAGACTGACTCACTCATAATTTCGAAGGCGGTTCTATGAAGATAATTATTGTCAATCTGAACAATTGATATTTATAATTACTCAATTAATTCGTTTTCCTATCAACTATTGTTTTTTTCAGTTGAATGGAAGAGCAATTTTCGACGTCAACGGTAGCGATTTCCGAGATTGTTGATGATATTTGGTTCCACTCGTCAACTCGACCTCCGCCAGCAACTGAAGATCCGGTGAGCGAATAGGTAGTTCGAATTCAACTGCCAATTTAGGGCAAAGGAGGTCTCATTGTAAACGAGACGATTACGAATCTCAATGTTACAAACACTGAATATATTCCGATTGCCGCTGCCGCAGTCACTTTTTCTGTTTTGATTATTGTCGGCGTTTTTTGTATATTAATATTTGTGATAATATTAATAAGAGGTCGAAAGAAATTTCAAGAAGTCTCAAATTTTGCGAATGCCCATCTCAATCCTCGTTTTTAGTTCCCATTCTTCGCCATTGTCCATCATTTGACGGCCGCCAATGCTATTCATATTTTCTTTCAGGCAACTACTGTTCTACCAATTATGATAATTGAGGTGGCAATTTCGGAATGCTTTCGAGATTTTCAGCGTCATTTTCAGACTTCTGATGATTCTAGCGGACGAGTTTGGTATAAAATTGGTTCGTATTCGATAATGGCAACCGAACAAGCGGCCTTATACTTCACATTCCTCATGGCAATCAATCGACTCGCCGTTTTTGTGCTCCCATCGGTTTTGAAATATTTTACAATGTTCGATTTTCAAAATTAAAAAAAATTGAAACAAGCAATCTTAAAAATTTGAGAATCTGACTGTCAAGATAAGAATCAAACCTTTTGAAGTTTACAGAAAACGAATACATATAATCTCTTCATTTCTTTGGATTTACGTATTTTTCATTGTTTGGTGGAATGTCAATTATGGAACGATTCGAAGATTTCGTAGAAGATCGCTGTCGGCGACGGAGGTCCTTCTCGGAAGCAATATTCTAACACAGGTCATGTTTTTCGGGGGAATATCAAATTGAATGCAAATCTATTTTAGTTCTTCACATTATGCTCTTCTCTTCTCCCTATTCTAATGCTTTTCATGTATGGCCTTATTTTTACGTATATCACCAAAAAAAGACAAATCAATTCACATCATCAATATGGGAGTCAAAGGGACAAATTGCTACTATATCAAGCAGCTGTGATTGCAGTCGCCTTAGAGGTTAATAATATACATATGTCTATAGCATGCATAATTAGCATAGTATAGTTTATAGGTAGTGAATATAACTGATATGGTTACACCGTTCTTCAAAAAAACATCGACAACTGTGCAATGGATTTGGACAATTTTTTGTTATTGGTTATTTTAAAATTCTGATATTTCGAATTTCTATTTAAATCTATTTTTTTTTTGCAGTGCCACAATATTCAACCAGCTCGTAAACCCTCTACTCTTTCTAACCTACAACAAATTTGTGCGAAATATTGCAAAACATTTGTTCAGCAAAAATTTCGCCTCGTTTCTATCAGATGCGAGTTCAGTGCCCAAAAATATTGGTTGGAAAAAGAAATTGAATTCTCGTCATTTTCGAGAAATTATTTGCAGAAAATCGAGCATCAAACACCCGTTCAAATCTGCAACCTGGCGCTGTTATCACATTTTAATTTGATACTTTTTTAAATCTACTACTCATGTTTCCTATACTCTAATCTTCATTTTTTCTTTCCAATCAACGGGATTTTTTGAGAAGTTTCAGGGAGTTTTTTTTAGCTGAATAAACATATTGCAAAAATATTTTGTTTGAACAACACCGTTTCAATTTTGATAATTGAGCTCAGGGATTCTATCGGGACGAACAGCAAACAATTTCTGGTTTAGAATAATCGAGGCTGTATTTTGGTACAAACAGGGTAAAAATTCACACACGCGCTAAATTGAGGGCGATGTGTAATTGGAGTGTCGTATTGGGAAGGTAAAAAAGATTTTGTGACAAACCGCGGAAGTTTTTGGGAACTCCCGGGGAACCCCAACGTTTCAACCAAAACCAACCATTATTTGTCCTTTTCGAATCGCTGAGAACTATTGAATTATCACATGAACACGTTTTCGTGAACAATTAGATGTTCTGTGATGTCTTAAATCCGCTCGTGCCAGTTATATTTTAATAACATATTTATATATTTTTTTTAAATATAATATAGTTTTGATTCTGCTAATGAGTTGATAATAATGTTAGATAATTTACGCGAGTTATAGTCAATGACGGACGAAATATAGGGTGCTATTACTGTAGCATTTGAAAAAAAAACCATATTGGGTCTCGTAGGGAAAATGAGCGAATTTTCTTAATTTAACCAACAAATTATGAAAGAGCATAATTTTTTATGAATTTGACTTTTCCTATTTTTGTAAGTGTTATGGTGCCGACAACTCGCCAACCCCCTAAACCTGAAATTCGCAAAATTTGATATTTGTAAAATTAGTCACAATCGGAAATTCGTCTGGAACTATGACATGATATTTTAATTTTATTATTATTTTTTTAATCAATTGTTCATAAACCATTGACTCGGTGAATCGTATGATGACTCTGAAAATGAGTTTCGAAAAAAAATTAAATTCCGAATTTCAAAACCTTCCTGTTGGAATTGATTCAGATATTCGCAATATTTGCCAGAATACGGTGAATCGCATCGACAAAAAAAGTGATGATGACTTGGATACCTGAAATATGCAGAGTTTTGTTCTTGAGAAACTTCAGATATGCTTTCCCACATTTCACTATATTCCATATAGCATTCTCCGTGTGTACTACACCGTTCAACTCGGCATTTATCTAATTTTCGATTGGCAATTCGAATGAATGGTCCGAGAGTTTCATCGACGAATTCTCGTATAAATTCACACCGATGCCTCATATTTGTACTCGTCGACCACAGAACAACACTATCGACATTCAGACGCATCGCTGTCTCCAAACTTGCTAGCAAGTCTTCCTAGAATGTCAAAGGAAAATTCAAAATTGTTGAAATATCAAACAACTTTCGAGTAGAAATCGGCAAAATTCCTTCCGTACGGGTCATATTCGATTTTCGAGAATACATGAATCTCAGAGTTCGGTGAATAGACGTTTCGGACCCGTTCAGTTTCTTTAAGGAGCGCCTAAACTTTATATTATTAAACAATCAACAAACATAAGAATTAACCGTATTTCGAATAAAATTATACCACGATGCTTCTCGATGTTTATTATAGATATAAATCGAAGGAAATAGAGCAGTAGTTTCTTTCCAAAGCCAATATAAACTGAAATATTCAATATAATTTTGCGATTGCTCTGTTTCGATTTCGTACTCATCGTTATAGGCTTGGAATAATTTCGAGCAATCTCTTTGCGAATTCTCTCCAACATCATCATTGCATTTCGGGAATAAATAGAAGCCCCATTTCGCATTTGGACGCAACCTTTTTCCCAATCTCAACGTTTCCAGAAATATTGTTCTGGAAATGGGAATGATGGAAAAATGTTTGATTTGAAGATACTACTTGCATGCTTCATCATACTCCTGTTGAGCCAATTTCTCAATCATTTTCTGAGTCCACCATGGATATTTTTCGGCTACCAATTTGATTGATTCCCGTTTATAAACCTTCAATATTTTCATAATTGACATGCCTAATTTGATGAGTAATTATACCTGAAAATTGCCCCAACTTAATAGCCACATTGGCCGAAATTCCTCGATATCAAAAATGGCGATTCCATTGAAATTTTCATCGGGAATTTTCGTTATAATGTCATTGGCAGTAATTTCGAGATGAGCGTCCAAATCAATGAGCTTCAATCGAATTAATTTAACAAAATTCAAAAAAAAAAAAGAAATTCAAAAACCTGTGGAAGGCCTCCATTTATAGGATTTTCAACATTTTGATTCTCAAAAAATGCAAGTTTCCCAAATTGTCTTTCATAGAATATTGCGAAACTGGATCCTCCGTCGAAATGTTGGCCTTTAACAATATAGTAAACTATAGACAAAACGATATTAGCGGGTTGCGCTTTAAATTGTTAATATATATGCTTCATATGCATTTCAGTAAAATTTAATTCGTCAAAAAAAAAGGTTAAAGAGCGAAAAATAAAATTTTAAACAGTGTGGTGCAGTTTTTATCGCGTTTTCTCTTTCTACACACTGACACAATTTTATACACATTAAAAAATTTTCTGACTTAAATTAAAGGAAAATAAGACACAAGTTGTGACAATTTCATATTATTAAAAATTGTCAAATTTAAATATCGATTTTCATAAATAAATTTTTCAAAAATTCAAAAATGTGCGCGCAATTCAAACGTTGCTTCGAAGCAACTCACACGAGGCCTAGAAAAAATGTCCCAAAACATTAGATTCGGCCACGGCCACAATTGATGGATTAATTAAGTTAATTAAGTTGAATTAAATGGATACGTATATATTTTGTTTCTTTACTATTTCAAAAACCAAATATTGTTGGAGTCTCAAACGACTTGACGAAATTTAAAAATTTATTGGCTATGTGCCAATGCGTCTCGGTGTAGTGAGAAGTACGCGAGACTGCGTACATTGCATTATAGTTTACGCACCTTAAATATTCCGTCAACGAAAGATTTAAATCTACACTGATTTCGCGAATTTGAAGGCTCCGCCTCCCTTCAATTGTTTTACGAAGACAATATCAGAATAAAAGTCACAACTTCGTAAAAATAAAAGAAAACCGCGCTTAACACATCGTTTTTAAAATTAGCCTGTGATAGTGTGCCGCGCTTACAGTTTTCCTCAGAACTTGTGTGCCGCACTTGCATTTTTTGCTTTCTGGAAGTCTCGACCAATTTTTCTAGGTCGCAAGTGAATAGCGGCGAGCGGTGAAAAAAAAATTCAAACCTAAATTTCCCTTTCGTATATTTTAATAATTCTTTAAATATGTAGATGATCTGAAATTTAAAAAAAAGTTTTTACCTTCATTTTGCAAAAAGCCATGTGTTTCAACGTCAATTTTATGGTTTAATTCGCAATTCCAACTCGGAAACATCCAATAAAACTGAATACTCTCATTATTTCGAAATTTTACAGGTGGAGTAGTTGTCACCTTTGTCCTTTGAGCTCTGCTCGCATCAATAATCGCCAAATGGTTGTCGTATTCCGAATTCTCATTCTCAGAATCTTCATGTTCTATATTAATTGATCTGTAATAAAAAAAACAGCAAATTGTCCGCAGATGAATTCCAATTTCAACTCACGCTTCACAATTTAACAAGAAGAGTGAAAATATCGACAATGCAAACTCGAAGAGCATTTTGATTTGCTTCTTCGGAACACCCAAAATGCGACGAATTCGATAATGAACGTTCAAATGACGCACAAATGCTTTTCAAACATTTCGAAGAACATGAAAACATATGTTTTCGACTATCAAAAAATGAAATTAATGAGGGAAGGGGGAAAAGAAACTGACCGAATGAGTCGAGAAAATCAAAGAATGCCGATCGAAAGATCATTACAAGTCGATCATTTATTGACTTAGAAATTGGAAACCAAATCGAGTATAAATAAATAAATAAAATAGCTGGTATTCGATATATAAAAGATCAATCAACGACCTGACAACAAAAAATCCAAAATTGAAGACCAAGGATATTCGAAATATTTTCTATTTTTCCCTGACGAAAACAATGATTTTTCTACTTCCTCTTAAGAAATTTCAGCTTTCAAATCGATGAATGTGCCTTCAAAATATTGCCAATTTCAACATTCATACTACAATATTTTTTTTTAAATATTGGACACAAAATTTCGATTCAAAATTTGAGTGCCGTCAATTTTTAGTGATTTTTCTTAGAAACACATCGTTCGAATGATTAGGAAATCAGCCGAATTTGAATATTCAAATCTAGAAATCAAATAAAAAACTTTTTCTATTTTATTGAGGTTCAACAAATGCAAATTCAATGAATTGCGGATATTTGAAGAATTTAGAACGTTTCACAAAAAAAAAAGCGGCTTCCAGAATTTTTCGCTGCAAGACCACGCGTTGCGGTTCACGTCAAAAAAAAACGCACGCGAGCCGCAACGCGTCCAGCGACATTGAATAATTACGGTAGTCGCTTTTTTCTTTGAGGAACAACCTATATTCGGAAATGCGCCAAGTTTCATGTGAGAAATCTATTGAATTGTCAATCGATTTGATTATTTTTCGAACCTGAACACGATTTTTTGACTTCATTTTATTCCATTTAACAAACATACTGTATTGGCATTTATTCCCATAAAATCCATCATCACACACGCATTTATATTCCAGCTTTTGGCGTTTTCTGAAAACTCTGGTTCAATTATTTTTTTATTAATGTGAATTAATTACTGTTGTTTGAGGGAAAACAAACATTCGCCGACTGAGCTGCATTCATATTTTCGACAATTCCTCATTTTGATTCGAATAAATCGAACAAATGGTCCAAGTGTATTGTCGACATAGCGTTTCAGCGAATCGCATCGCTCATTCATTCGAGCGCTGGAGCTCCAAATCACAATGTTCTCGACTCGCATTTCCATTCCAACACCGGTACTTGCATACAAATTTGGCTGAAAATTGGAATCATTTCTAAAAATGCGCTTATTTCGAAACAATTGAATAGAAGTCATTTGGTTGCATAACATTGTATTCGATTTTTGAAAACACATGAATCCCGATTTCCGGCCGATAAATTTTCCGAACACGTTGAGCTTCTTTAATATTTGCCTGCAAACTGTGGAAATGCATTTTTGGGCTAATTTTTTTGTGAAAAATCACCGCATTTGTAATGAAATTCTGTTTTGGAATATTTTTGTGTTGTGGGTAAAGGTAGATCGATGGGAATAATGCTGATGATTCGAGCCACAACCACTTCAATCTTAAATTGCACACATTTGATTAAGTACGAAAACCCGATTGATGTCCGCACATCTTTTGTGGACGATAGATTCCTCCCAACATTTTTTATACACTTCGTTGTATCAAGACACTTTGACAAATTGTGGACCGTCGCACTTTTTGTGGCGGTAATTCAAATTTGAATTTGGATATCGTACTTCGGATCACCTGCGAATCACACTAAAAATCGGTCCAGAGCACACGGTTTTTTAGCGAATAAATTATTTTTTTAAGTGTAAAAAATACACTGAAGGGAGGATAACCTCAAAAATCAAAAAATAACGTTTAAACTAGGTTCGATACTTCTGACCATTTTTTCATCATCGTTCGTATCACTGAGACCTAGAAACTTTAAAAAAACTAGAAATGGAAAACTAGAAAATCACGTGAAAATTACGCATTTTTAAATTGTCGTCGAATAAAATGCTTTAGGTGAAAACACGCGACATGCTCTTTTATAGAAATTGGTATTTCAATTACTGATTGTTTGTTCCAAATTCCTATTCAAATGTGCTTGGTAATGAATGGCTCACAAACAAGACTTTAAATTTAAAAAAAAATTGAAACAGAAAAATGACATTGCGGACGTACATTTTAATTGACGACAATACACATCTTGTTTGAATTAGAATTTTCGCTTTTTATATTTTTATTTATTTTTATTTCTTCGAATTCTGATTTAGTTTTCTTGATATTTCAATGATTTTTGTAGTAACCCCCTTCCACTAATGATGTTTTTTTTTTTTAAATTCCTACATTCGAAGAATGTGTAATTCTTTTAATATTTATTATTGCACGAGTAAGACAATTTTTGTAGGCTTCTTCACACTACGATGGGTCACAAAATGGTCCGGGTCAGCCTGGTCCCCTATGGATGCCTATAGGCAATGGTTCGTCGCTACCGGTTTTTCAATACCAAATTTTCGCTACCGAAAACATTGATTTTTCCCTACTCTTATTTCGGACATCCACTTTTTAAATAACCCAATTTCAAAGAAAAAAAAGGAAGAATAATTTACACAAAAAAGGAGTGGCTTGGAAATTCATATAATATAAAACAAAAAACGGGCAAAACAGCATACAATTTTTAGATTCATCTGTGCTGTTTTCTGTCTTTAAAAAATTCCACATCCACTGTTTTTTTTTTAAATAAAAATATCAATAACTTACTGATCATTATACTTTCTGAAATTCAATTCGCATTCGGTGCTATTCTTCTGTCCAACGTCTCCATTGCACTTCGGGAACAAATAGAATCCCCATTTGGCATTCGGCCGCAATCGTTTCGCCAATCGAAGACTCTCAACGAAAAACAATCTGAGAGCACAAATATTGTTCAAATGCATTCAATTGATATTCGCGATTGACTTGCAAGCTGTCTCGTAGTCCTCTTTTGCCTTTTTCGCTACTAATTGCTCCGGCCAATCCGGATATTCGGCACGTACCAATTTCATTGATTCATGTTTATAAATCTTGAGTCAATTTTGAAACAACTCTGAAGTTTTTTTTTTTATTTTTACCTCGAATTTTCCCCAACTCAATTGCCACGTCGGTCGAAATGATTCGATATCAATCACCGCGATCCCATCAAAATCCTTATTTGGCACTATTCGATTTATGTCATCTTCGGCTCTTCTCAAATGGCGTTTCAAATTGCCCAATTGTGGTAGTCCGCCATTTATAGGTCTTGAAATGTCGAAGTTCTCAAAATACGGTAGTTTTCCAAACGAATTCTCATAAAATATTGCAAATATTGATCCATTGATGAACTGTTGATCTGCAAGAGATTTGAATGGATTCTAGGGCTGAAGGCAATCTTCATTTTGCTCGATTCCGAATTTCGTGACATTCACATAATCATTGCCGATGCAGGGCCATGAAGGAACCATCCAAATCACCTGAATATTATAATTTTCACCTGCGGACATTTTTTCGGGTTTCAACGGAATTCAAAAAGTACCTTGGTTCGACTTGATTGTTGCTGAGAAGCTGCATATCTAAAAAATTTCTACTTAAAGAAAACCTTCTTAAATTACCTTATGATAAGAATCAAGAAGAATGAAACAAAATTGCATGGTTTCGTTTTAAGACCAATCCATTTCTAGCGGAAAAATGATTCAATCAATTTTTGGTGGATGGCAACTGAAAAACAAGCGTTTTTTTCATATGAATACGCTCACTGATTGATTATTGAATAAAAAAAATGATAAATACGACGGCTTTTTTTAAATGCATGAGTGCAATGCAAATAAAAGTGTTGAAATATGAGGCAAAATCTGGATCGAATTTCGCTGGGACGAATTTAATTATTGGTTGGAATTATGAAATATTTATATAATAAATTATTGGTTATCTTGATTACCATCATTCTTGGTAACTTGCTTTCAAGAAAAAATGGGTATTGTTTGAAATATTCAGTCGGTCTGGCTTCATAAATCAATAAGCGAAAAAATATATTTTTGATATTGCAGATTAATTAAAAAATTGTTAAGCAATCATTTTCCTTCAATTACGCACAATTTTTAATATCAGACAAATATTTTCAGTTGAGAGAACGACGAGGATTTAATAATTCAAGCGATGAAACCAAAAATTAAGTTATAATTATAGATGGTTCGTCGACTCGTTCTTAATTTCACAGGTGGTTTTGAGAGCACGAAACTCAAAAAAACTAAAAAAAACGGAATGAGATGATTTTCAACAAATTTTTTATTGATACAATAATCTGTTCGATCCGGTCGCCTTTTAATCATTCATTTTTTTTATTATTTGAATTGCCGCCAGAGGTCTTGTATGGAACAATCTTAGAATCGATTTAATTTTAGCATCATGAGAAACACATTTTTTTGTGAATTTTTCGCATCAGCAAAAATGTCAAATTGATGGAGTATACAGATTTTCGGGAAAAAACTCAAGCAAATTAATTATGAAAACTAGAGGATTTAAAGGGACAATGCAGAAAAAGATAAAACAGAAAAAAATGATTCTGCTTGATATACATAAGAATAATTGAATAAGAATAATTTTTTCTGCATTGGCCCATTAAGTTTTCTTTAAGTATTTTGTTTTCAATTGAGATTTTTGATTATTATTTTATCTATTTATAAATTCAATAAAACTAGATTTTTGGATGTTGATCCACAAAAATAAATCGAATTTTTAAAGGCACATACTCGTAAATCTACCCCAAATCATGTGGCTTTTCGACCACATAAAAATAGATCATTTTTGAGTTATTCTACTCAATTCTAATCCCTTTTTGCTCACAACATGAATCATTCGTTCTCAAATTTCAAGAATTTTTCATAATTGAAAGCCAATTAATGTTTTTGTGAAAAAAACACACGAAAATGTGAGCTAACCAATTTTTAATTGAACGAATCTCGTGATAATTTCATTTCGAATAATAATAATAATAATAACCACCATCGTCATTTATTAGTTTGCCAAAAACGGAATTTCGAGAACGCGTTGAACGCTCGAAATAAAAAATTTAGGATGAGCGAAATGGAAAAGGTTTGCCCGAATAAATGTTCGCAGATCGTCGAATCTCGAATTTTATAGACTTCTTCAGTGATGGCTAAACCCGTTGAAAAGTCGGCAGATGAGAAATCGAAAAAGGTTTCGACGCATTTCATCATTATTGATATCTTTTGTTTTCAGAAAAAAGGCAATCAAATATTAACTGACGATCAAGTTCTACGAAAAGATAAATATATGGTATTAAATTGAATATTTTTTTATTAAATTCGTTTTGTGGGAAAATTGCGGTGATTTCCTATGCATTGTGTGCGTACACCGAGTCGCACATCTCAATCTACAGTAATCTCAACTGAAAATTATTCAATTAATTATTGATCGTTTCTTTTATTTATATAAAACAATTAGCTTTGAAAATATGCAAAAATGATTACTATTACACTTTTTGAACACAACAGTATACATAAAACCATAAAATCGGCAAGAAAACACAGAAAAAATTTTTTTTTAGTTAATTAAATAATTCTCAGTTGAGATTACTGTAGCTAAAATCGAGATGTGCGACTCGGTGTACGCACACAATGCATATGAAATCGCTGCAATTTTTCATTTTTCCACAATAATACTGTCGGCGTCAAACGATCTATCAGAGGCGAGAAATTCAATTTCTACGAAATTGGACGTTTACGTGCGGGCAAAACATTAAATGCGCGTACGCTAAAATGCACAGTACGCAAACACGCGCACGCCTGTTTTTCTCGAAAAAACGTGGCAAATAGGCAATAATTTTTTTATTATTTTTCAGAGATTCGGCCGAAAATTGTTCGTAATCAGCATGCTATTCTACGTTTTCGCCGCAATCGTTTGGATATGCGTGTTTGTTATCGTATTCTAAAATCATTTTTCAAGAAAATGAAGCCAATATTGATTTCAATCTCAAATTTTCTCACAATCTTAATTAATAAAGAACTCATTAGAAGGTCGTTTGATTCAATTGGGTCTCGAAGCGAAACAACATTTGATATCCGGGGAAAGAAACTTGAATCCAAAGTACATTCTCAAATTGCGCTCGAATAAAACATTCTTAAGACACGGATTAAAGGCGCATGACCGTAAATCGACCAATGACGGATTATAAATATTTAATCGCCTATTTTGCATATTTCAAATCCTCTCTCCTAATTTTCTATTTGCAAAATTCTGCGAGTAAATTTTAATAGTTTGAAAATCGTCGAGAATCTTCTTCGTTTCGTGGTGTTTCTCTCCGAAACCAAAAAAAAAACGCTCGTTATCAACTCATTACGAGTCATTCTCGAAATTGGTTGAAAACTTGTTAAGCGCCAACAATTTCAGTTTCATTTTTTCGCGAATTTTTGGGAAACCACCACGACACTTTCCAAATTGAATGTTGAGAAGCTCCGCCTTCTCGTGCTCGTGCTCGTCCAGCTCAATCATCAGGTGCTACCCCTCATTCATTGTTTTTTGCTTCTCTCCTCCCATCGAGCCTCATGCGGGCCCCCTCTCATAAAAAATTGCTCCACCTATCAACGACGGGTAGCATAATGAGTCACTCTAGGCGCACACACACACACACACACAACACTCTTTCGCTTCACCGTTCTTGTGTGCCGCCAATCGTTATCATCATGAAGCGATTCGGCGGTGATTAGAGCCCGGCTTGTTGCTCTTTTATGATGCCGCCACTCGAGATAGTGCGCTGATTGCGGAGGGGCGTCGGCGCGACATCAAAAGAAGAGCCGAATGCGGAGCCACACCGCTGGAATCAATGAATTCGATGCTCCCCCCTCGTTATTTTTTTTGCTTTCGTTTTCTTCGTCGCTCATTTTTTTCCATGTTTTCTCGGGTTGGGTTGACCATATTCACCTCGTGTCATTTCAGTCGAATGCTACCATCCACTGCCACGTTCAAGTTCTTCCGACCATGGGAGAGCCAACCGACACCTGAATCACCACCATCTTCTCCGTCATCCTCATCCGGATCCGACGAGAGCTCGACAAAGCGCAAATGCGAGCGATGTACATGTCCCAATTGTCAGAATATGTATGCCTGGCGGTTTCGGATTCTAACGCGATTCGGTTTTTGCAGGAAACACGGCGATCGTGGGCCCGAGTTTGTGCACATTTGCTCGTACGAGGATTGCAAGAAAACCTACCGTAAGACGAGCCATTTAAAGGCGCACATGAGGTATGAGCGCTTGTTTCGATGTCGGGGGGTCATTTCCGACGTTTTTCTATCAATTTTACACAACACCGAAACCTGTCGTCATTAATTACCAGCTCTCGATTTCTCCCCCCAAAATGCCTTTCTTCTTCTTCTTCTTCTCCTTCAACTTTTTTTCCAATTTCTTAACGACTTTATTTTGCGACACATTTTGATTTATTCTTCAGACGGCATGCCGGAATTCGACCGTTTGAATGCGGGTGGCCAAATTGCGGCAAAAAATTCGATCGAAGCGATCAGCTGATTCGACATAAACGGACGCACACCAAAGAAAGTCGGTAAGCAACGAAAAAAAAAGAGTGATGGTGGAAACTATCTGCGGACATGGCCAATCGAAAATGTCCGCAGCACATTTTTTTTTGAATAAATCGTGCTGCATTTCAGCTTCTCGTGCAGCAGTTGCTCTCGTTCGTTCACCCGTTCGGACCATCTCCGACAACACGTGCACACCGTTCATCATTTTATAATTGTCGATTAATTCTCACCGGTGTTATCAAATTTATGCGAATGAGACCAATCGGGGTTTTTTTTTTGAGAGCAATATTTACAACACAGTCAATTCTTATTAGAGAGAGAGAGAGGCATATTCGAATAGTCGATTCAGCCGAGCGCCCGCTCCCAGACATCAAGTCCCGGGAATGCGACGGCCTGGCCCGTCTCGAACGAGGTGCCCGCGATTGGCGCGCCGACGCCGAACGTGTGCTTGACGTCTCCTTGTTTGTAGCTCACACCGACATGGTCGTTGTGTTGATAGTAGGGTCCGACGCCGTAGCCGTTGTCGACTTTCAAGTTGCCCGCGTCTTTTCCTCGCAGCGGGAACGATACCGTGTTATGTTGGCCACCTTCGATTCCCAACGATTGAACAAGCGGAATACTCCAGTGATTCTTGTAGCCATATTGGCCATCGATCCAATTGGCTCCAGCCTCCTGATCGCCTTGGAAATAGTCGCTGAAAGTGAAGACAATTTAAGCGAGAATCCCCCGCGATGATGTCCAATCTTACCGTACTCCAACCGAGCTGGAGAAGCCTCCACCCCATGCTCCGAACGGGACGCCGACTCCAACTCCGACTCCCACCGCGCCCTCCTCGTTTACTGGATAATACGGAATCCCTTTGACGTCGACATTCGCAACATTCACGTTCACCTACAATCGAATTGGATCAGAAAAAACCAACAGCACGAACCCCCGATGTGAACGAATCGGCGATGGCTCCGAGTGGATCGCTCTTCTCGATGAACCTCGCGCAATCTCTGAAATAGGCCGCGCATCTTCCCGCGTTCGACGCCGTCACTTTTCCGCGTTGGCAATGCTGGAAATCGGTAGTGGTTTGCTCCCGAAAACACATTATCAACGTGCGATAAGATAAGGCTCGAGTTGGCGAAATGGCGAATGAGCGAACTAATCCGATAATCAAAATTCGTGCAAAAATTCGGGCGTCGATGAAGAATAAAAAAACGAGAAAAAATGTTTATCGTGTGTATTAAAATGTGAAAAAAAATCGATTTTGATAACAAAAATTTTTATTCGACACCATCAAAAATTTGAAGTTTATCTCAAAAATCGATTTTCTAAAAAAAAATAAATTTTTTCTAATTCTAAAAAAATATAGCACAATTTGCCAGAAAATATAAATTTAAAACTTGATTTTTTTTTCCGAAAATGCCTAAATCATTTGGATTACAATAAAAATTTTCCTAAATGTGAAATAGAATAAATTTTTGAATTTTTTGGACCCACAAAAAATTTGACAAACAAGATTTTCTGCTTTTAAAAAATGATGGGCTCAATTTTCAGGGTCACAATCCAGCCTATTGAACAGAATGGTGCTTCATACGCATACCTCTCAATAAAATTTATTTAATTCGTTGAAAAAAATACTGAAGTTTGAAAAAAAAAACATTTCAACCCGCACATTGCGCTTTTTTCGTTGTTTTATTTTCTGTTATGGACCTATTCATGCAATGAAAAAATAAAAAAAAAAAAAACAATTTTTTCATTTGAATTCCCTATGCACGCACGTCGAAAATTACAAAAAATTGACGCGATATATCGTAATTCTCCGCTATTTATTTTTAAAGGCGCATGCAAAAAGTTGCGCGGGTCACGTCGCGAAGTCAGTACTGCATTTTTTTAATGGGTGTTTTTTTTTCAGTAAAAGTATATTGTTTAATCAACACTAAAGGTTCATTGGAAGCGGCATAGAGCGAAGTCTGCATCAAATCAACACAAATATCACTATTTTTCATAATAATTGGCATATTAATGACGAAAAATAGACTTATATTGTCGAATTAGAAGTAATTACACCAACAATAATTGTTTTTATTCGTTCTTAAATCTGTTACGCATTTTCTCTTCAAATTTTCGAGAAATACGGAAAAATAGCACATAGAGTGAAAAATAAAAAATTACAGTACCGACTTCGCGACGTGATCCGCGCAACTTTTCGCGTGCGCCTTTAAAAATAAATAGCAGAGAATTACGATATATCGCGTCAATTTTTGTAATTTTCGACGTGCGTGCATAGGGAATTGAAATGAAAAAATTGTTTTTTTTTTTCATTGCATGAATAGGTCCATTAACACACATACGCAATTTTACACACATTTCATTTCACACCTATATTCTTTTCTAGTTTATTTCTGAAAAGAAAAACTTTCACCGAGAATGTTCTCAGTATCAACAGCTTTCGATATCATCGTATTTAATTAGAAAAAAAATATATCTCAAGAACGAAATAAAAATAAAAAAACACGTGACCGCACGCGAACCGCAACGCGTCTGACTACATTTGACAATTTCATGTATTTTTTTTTCAGAAATAGACTATTACCATTGTAAAAAAAAAACAAGCGCCTTACATAATTGTGGACCACCGCACTTTTTCGAAGCGGCAATTCAAATTCGAATTTAAATAGTGGAATATAGGCTACAGTACTCTGGTTAACATGCGAATCAAACTCATCGTAAATCCGCGCAGAGTGCTCGTTATATTGCGAATTTAATATAATTAAAATCTATAAAATGCATTTTTTTACATTGATTTTAAAATAATTGTTGATTTCTCATGAAATAAAAAAGAAAAATCGAAAAATTCAAGCATTTTCAACCCTAAGTCACTTTACGATTTCTTTTTTTTTCTTATTTATTTTTTGTTATCAGTTGAAAAAAAAACTGAAATGAATGTTTCGCGTGACTGATGAGAATTCAATTTTAAAAAATTCGATCAAATGATATTGGCAGTCAAATTTCGGTGGGTCCTGCCTTCCTAAAAGAAAATCCCAAACCTTTTGTACAAGTGGTCCGACTCTGGCGCATTTCGCCTGAAGAATCCTCGCCTCAGTCGGCGGCAAATACTTATAATTCGGCGTCATATCGTGCGTCTGATTCGGCTTCTTCTCCGGCTCATCGTGGCCCAACTCTCGTCGTTGTACGTTGAGGTTCGCCGGCAATGGTGGCGGTGTGATCACTTCAAACACCGCAATAAACTCATTTTTGATCGATTGCCCATACTTTCAAGCTTCGGCGGCTCATCGTGCCGCACTTTTCTCGTTCGCAAACTGTCGCAGATCGTCAATGACGGATTTCGAGCACACGCGAGACTAACCAACTGCTCTCGTCGGACAGCGGCATCGACTAAATAAGGAAGTGGCTTCAAAGCAATGGGATTCAAACGAGAGGGGGATTACCTGCTATGGAAGTGCATAGCACTAAAAATAGGGTCGTTCTCGGCAACATGCTGAAAGCGGCAAAAATGATGAAAATAAAAGGCACAATGAGAGGTGTAAAAACATGATCAAACGAACAATACAATACAAATGCGAGGGGGGGGTCTAATTTTTACACATGTTTTTTTTTTGGCAAAAATAGAGAAACCAGCGGCCGCCCATCTATGCTGCTACCTATCGGCGGCCCGACGAATGTTCGCTTGATTACTACAAGAGCGATCAAGACGCGATGCGCAGGTTTTGATGTCATGCGGTAAATATGTGAATGCGTGTGGGTGTCATCACAACGAGACGAGTTGCCCAGTTTAAACAGACGCCAGGAATTTCACACAAACATCGGTTATTGAGAAAAGTCAACGGTTTTTCATTTTTTTTTTGATGGCAATGATCTTCGATCTACAATTTTAAGATCCTAGAAGAACTCATTGGAATTGCTAATTTTTTTTGAAAATAAATTTTGTGAAATTTTGGACCATCGTATTTTGTAGGGCGGCAATTCGAATTTTTATGGATCTATTCAGTGAATGTAAATTAAACAAAAACGACAAATTTTCATTATGCAGCGATGTCGTTTTTGTCGCAATAAGCGCTTAATTTTACTGAGGGGTACTGTAGATCGCGGGTCGATATTTCAAAAAAATTGGCACATGCTCCTTGAATATCGATTTTTTTAAAATATTTTTTATATTAAAATTTTCGTATTTTCACTCGTTTTTCGCGGATTTTTTTAAATAATTTAAACTTTTTTTTGAGTAACACTTTTAAATAATAATTTCATATCGTTTTCGTTTTTTTCTATTCCAAAACTGAATCGATTTTATTCGAATATTGTTTTAATTTAAAGAAATTGAATATTTCAGATCGTTCCATGGCTAATTTGGATAGGTTACGAAATAAGAAAAAGGCTATAGTAAGAAATACAATTTAAACAAAAAACAAATAAATGAATTTATAGATTGCACTGCTTATGAAAAAACGAATTATTTTGGTTTGGATATTGAAACAAAATGCATTGAATGCATCTGAAACAATTGAAGTGATCAAGAAACAGAGCTTCGATCTTTTTTGTGAAAAAGTCAACCGATTAGTAGATTGTGGTGGTATTGAGGTAAGGAAACAGGTAAAACAAGTGAATTTCTGCATAAGTAATGTAGAATAAATTAAGTTCGTGACCGGCGTTTCTAACAGCACGTTCATGGAACTTCTGAAGATATGCCGAAATCACGAAGGTCGAATCAATGCGACAATTCGATTGGCAGTTTTCTTAAAATACACAAGAGAAGGTTATTTTTTAGTTGTTTGTTAGTTTTTTACAAGCATTAAAATTATAAAATTTATAGGTATTAGCCAAAATCTTCTTGCGAAGGAAATTGAGTTTCGCAATCAACGATTTCTCGACTAGTTAGAGATACAATCGAGGATATCGTCCAAGTTGCCGGAGAACAAATCCGATTGCCACAAAATCGAAGAGAATTAATTCGTCTGGAAGAAGGATTTATGAACTCTTCTGATCGAACTCCTCGTCGAAGAATTCCATGTTTTGCCATATTGGATGGAAAGCATTGGAAGATCGAGCATCCTGCGCATACAGGATCGTTAAATTATAATTATAAGTCGTTTTATTCATTTAATTCTCTTTTTTGTTGTGATGCAAACTTGCGTGTTATATATTTGCAAATCTCTGAGCTTGGAGTAAATTCGGACTCCCAAATGTTCAGAGATGGGCCTTTGGGAGCACTCCTCGAAAATGTAGCCACAATAGGTGGATATCGCCCGCTTCCGAATTCATCCATTATAATGCCTCCATTTATAATTGCTGATAACGGATTTGGACTATCTAAGTTTCTTATGCAACCCTATAGGCAGCTTTCCTTGACTCCAGAAAACATGCGTTTTAACGAGATTATGTCGGCAACTAGGGTGAAAATTGAAAATTTTTTTGGTGTGATGCAGTCGAAATTCCAGATTTTCAAAAAAGCCCTTAATATGGACCCGTCTTCTTCGCGCGCCCTCATTGTAGCACTTTCAGTTGTACATAACATATCACTAGGTGCTCCTCCCGATCTTCCACCTGACCACAACTTTCCCTTACTTCAAGACCCATACAGCGATGCCGAAGATCAAAGAACGGCATTAAAAAATTATCTTCTTTATCATGTTTAATGTTTATCTTTTTAAATTTAATTGTTAATATAATAAAAAAAATACTTAAAAATAATTTTCGTCCAACAAACTGAGAGAAGTCGTCTGCTCATTTCTTTTGCCCGTCGGTTGGAGATCCATGATGAAAGCGATCGCTTTCGCTTCGGCTTGAATTTGATCCAATTCAGGCCAATCCGCAACGTGGCTGGCCATGACCCTGCACAATCGGTCAAATTTACATTTGGGGGTTTCCTTGGCTTCCTCATCATTCGATCTAAGCAGCTGCTTGATTTCGCTGTTCGTCTCGCGCAACATACTCATCAGCTCATCGCTGTCTAAAACATACCCATAAAACTCCATTTTTTATTGCTAGAAACCTGATTTTCTTCGTTTAGCAGTCTTCGGACTATCCGAGGGTCCCCGCGATTCAAGCAACTCAATACTTTTATCACCGCATATGAAGGCACTGTAGTAAAAAAAAATTAACAAAAAACAGGTAAACTTACTTTTTAACTTGTCTTTTGTGTCTGACTCCATCCAAAAACTGTAAATATTCCGCAAACGGAAATGATGATTCCAATGTTCCAGTTCCAGATCGAGCATTTTGGATTCGCAACACATGTCTATTGAAATCGCGCGTTATCGAATCCCACAATTTCCAAGCCGTCATACCTAAAACTTCAATTTTACCGATAGTGGTTTTGAAAATACCATTTGGTCTTCCGGCGCGGAGAAATTTCTTGCACATGCTTTCGATATTCTGAAAGACCTTAAGCTTCAATTCTCTCCTGTGGTATTCTTTAATAGATGAGTCCCAAATACTTGGGTACTGCTCAACGGTCTTGATGAAGTCCACAATAAAGTGTTGTGGAAACTAAAAAAATTTAATTAATTTATAAAATCCAACAATTCATTTTTAAATACTCACCGCTTCATATCCGTCATCTACAAGTGGCTTTCTCCTTCTCGTGCGCTTAGCTTCTTCACGCTGTTCAGCAATTGGCAAATTTCTTGGCCCATGTGCCTCCACCACGTCTTCGACCAAAGAGTCGTTTCCTTCATACTCAGCGAATGACATGCTTCAAAAAGGAAATATATGCACAAATTAGTAGTTTTTATGAATATCACCAAGTGTTACTCAAAAAAAAGTTTAAATTATTTAAAAAAATCCGCGAAAAACGAGTGAAAATACGAAAATTTTAATATAAAAAATATTTTAAAAAAATCGATATTCAAGGAGCATGTGCCAATTTTTTTGAAATATCGACCCGCGATCTACAGTACCCCTCAGTAAAATTAAGCGCTTATTGCGACAAAAACGACATCGCTGCATAATGAAAATTTGTCGTTTTTGTTTAATTTACATTCACTGAATAGATCCATTAAACAGCTCTACGCATAACCTGCTCGTTTCTTTGCCACTGAAATAGAGGTCCGATGGTCCGCAATTTTCCAAATTTTTTCGAAAGCTTATTGTCAAACGGCTAAACAAAATTTTAAAAAATATTGGCTCTGTGCCAGTTTTCCAAAAAGACGTACGCGTGTTTGCGTACTGTGCATTTTAGCGTATGCGCATAGCTCGCGCTTAAAGCATATTCAATGAATAGAACAAACTTGCTTACAATAAATGAATAATAAATTTTTCTCCTGAAACAGGAAAAAAAAATTTATACTAACAACCACAACATTGTCCAAATAAGGACTATCCATCGGTCTATATATGATTTGTTTTGAGGATAATTTCAATTTTTCCAACTACGGGTCGATTCGAATATCAATTCACATTTTTTTTTCTATTTTTGCCGCTTGAATAGAAAACAACAAAATATGTGATTTATAAGGGAAAAGTGGTCGAAATGAAAATAGAATTGACCTTCAAATTTGATAAGATTGAACAGAATCGAGAAATGAACAAAAATCGGCTTATATAGACATTCCAACATTTTCAGAACAAGTGTTTTTCTTGTGTAACAGACGGTGTACAAATCTGAAGATTTGATTGAAGTTATGCGGCGGAAAGTCGTTTAATGTCGCGTAGATCAAAAATCCCTCCAAGTTTCCTTTTTGGGGGAGGAGAATGATTTTAAGACAGACTAATGTGAATAATATGCAATTGGGAGTGTTTTAAGAAAAAAAATGAAAGAACATTGATTAGACAGAACAATTTCAGAAGGGCTACGCATAACAAGAGGCGATCAAAAAGGTAAAATTACCAAAATTGTGGAAGAGTGGAAAAATGCCAAAAAAATCAATGGCAATGGTGTTTGCGAAAAAAATAAATGTAGATTTACGAATAGGTTAAAATCGCACATCGAGATCTCATTTTAAGTTTTCTGGCATTTAGCCAATTTTTCGAAATCGCGCGCGACGTAGACAATGAAAATTAAAGGTGCATACAATAATTTCTGATCTTCACCTCAAGAAATTCAATTCGTCCTAAATTATTAAAATTTGAAAAAAAAATAATTTTCATGCCTTCAACGATGAGAAAATGAGCAGCATCGGATCATATTGGCTCCCGCCCATCGGATGTTGGAATTTCAAACGAAAAAACGAACTATGATGTCTGAAAGCAATTTATTAAACATTCGGTTTCAACGAGGGACAACAAATCGAATGACCAAGGTTAAACATGTATAGCATAGACGGGAAACAAACGAATACAATTCACATGAGCTTATCAATTGACTTTTGGTAGAGATATCGTTGAAGAACAATTACGAATATTGAGAAAATCTGAACAGAATACGCTAAAATTAGAGAATTGATTGAAATTTTTGAAACCTGCATGACGATCAACGTTGACATCGCAAACGTTTTTCCAATTTCCGCGTTGCATTTGACGGGATTTTTGAAGACGCTCTAAAAAAAATAAACATAGGTTCTTCTAATGAATTATTCAAAATTTACTTGTTGCCGTTCAGGTTCATTGAAATTCGCGCCGATCTCGTCATTACCAAGAAGCAAAACCTGAGTTGATTCGACTTCCAATGTTATATTCGGCTCATTTCGCGTTTTTCTTCGTGATCGATGAGCACGACTTGCTTGGAATATTTCTGCCTTTTTAGGGAACGGAAATGGCTCAACATTATCCATTGTTTGCGATAAAACTTCTGTTCGGAATCCATTCTTTTCTGGTTCTCCTATTATCGGCTGAAGACTGCGTTTGGTTGTTGACGTGTTATCTTTTTGTTTTTGAAAAATTAATTCATTTCTTGTTTATTTTCTTGATTTACCATCCACGTTGCTAATTTCCAAACCATAGTTATTGGTATCGGCTGGTGTCACTTTGATTCCGACGGTTGCATCCAAATCTCCCGGATTCGTTTCAGGTAAGAAATTAGGAAAATCATAAGAATTTGGAGAGCTGAATTTGCTGGAACCAGAAATCTTTTCCTGAAATTCGAGGACAATATCATTGGAAGGAAGTGGAGAGGGCCTGTACGAAAAAGATGTCACTTCCGTTGGGCCCGAAAATTTTCATAGAGTCAGAAGACAAAAGTACTAGCACGAGTGGGGTTCGAACCCACGCGGATTTCGCATCCATTGGAACTTAAGTCCAACGCCTTAACCACTCGGCCATCGTGCTACATTCGCCGCTGGTCACGAGGGCGCAGTTGTCGCTGTGCGAACATCGCGAACGCGACTAGCACACGACGAAAGAGAGCACCATTATGGAGGGTAGAAAAAGAGCGCAGACGAAAATTCGCAAAAGATGAAGACGACAAAGGAGGAAATGGCGAGAAGGGAAAACGAAAAAATAAACACACAAACCACGTCTGAAAATTTTTGAGTAGTTGGAATAGCGGAAGTAGTGGAAGTAGTGGTAGTAGTGGAAGAAGATAAAGGAGATGATGTCGACGGCCTCCAAGTTGTCGTCGATGTTCTAAACGACAAATAAATGAAGCAGAATTGTTGGGAAGCTGGTATCAATTAATAACGGACCAATTCCACTGTGAAAAAATAACCGAAAAAAAAACGAAAACAAAAACTATTCCGTAAGAAGAAAAATATGACTATTGGGCGTTACAAATATGAATGTTCTGCATTTTTGCGTCGAGACTTGGCGCACACCGTATCCAACCGCATTTTTTTCTTCAATTTTTCACAACGGAATCGTTCCAAAAGTGCTTCAAATTATTTCAAAATTAGTTTTAAAAAGCACAATATACAATTAATTCCTATAAATTGCCCCGCAGAATAAGTTTACCTTGCGGTCTGATATTGGCTATTCCTCGGAGGAAGTGTAGGAGGAGCCGTTGGAAACTCATTTCTCCCCCTTTCGGAACTATTCTCTTGCCGATTCTTATCATTTGGATACTGAACTCGAATAGGTCCAAAATCCAAAGGGCGGCAAACGGGCGGCTGAAAGATTGAATTCAATTTAAAGAATGTGATATACGATTTTTGTGGCGGAAATTCGACATGTCGTTAGCACGGTTCAAATGGACATTTTTAGAAAAATTTAGTTTTGCACAAAATAGTTGGAATTTTGATAAAATAAAAATTCAAAAAAAGGCTCGGTCCAAAATGTTCATAAATCATACGCGCACAAGTTGCAAATTTTTCTCGAAGAAAAATAACAACAATCCACTTAAATTCAAGAAAATAATTCAAAATTCAAAAATAAGTAGGATTTTAGATAAAAATTGGCGTGCAATTAAAAAATACCACACATGCACCAACTTTCCTTTTTTCTCTTAAAGCAGTATACTGTAGGTACCTACCGTAATCCCTTCACATCCCTGCTCACTTTTCTTGCAAACGGTGATCTGACAAGAGAAATGAACCATTACTTGATCAGCGTATCGAAAAGCTCTGAAGAAGGGGGCAATTGCTTAACCTCAGAACTAACCGAATTTACTTGATAATAGTGAACGCGCTGTTCATATCGGGACTGTAAGTGATTTCCGGAAAAAGGCTTTTGTCGGTAACACACCTAAACGATCGAAATTGGGGAGCAATTCGAATAGCAGTGCGAAAACCCTCGTTCATCGACAAATTGAAAATCGCTTCCTGCCTGGTCTCGAACCGAACACGAGTGAACCAAAAAACCGAACATGTCTAGAATTCAGACAACAATTGTTTGAATAACGCGTCGAGAATAATCAACCTCCAGAATCACAGCTCCATTTATGGACCACCGTATCCCCAACATTTGCAAATTTAATGATTGGACCATGAAGTGAGCCGGAGAGCACATCATATCGACAACGCGGCGTACTCTTATTTTCGATTTGAATTGGATTGATATCCCTTTAAATATTTTGGCGTCAAATTAAAAAAAAACATTTTTCGTTTTTATTTTTTGCTGCTACAGAATGTGAATATATCTCAAATTCGAGTTATCCGTGTCGTTTAAATTGAAGACCATGTATTTTTTATAAATCAAAGACTTGAAAGTTTTTGAGCATTTTCTCTTTTCAGACATTCTACTCACGAGACGTTCAATTTCTGTTGGACCAATGCGTCTCGCTGTTTATAGATGCAATTCAAACGGTACGCCTTGTCGTATGATGTGACAAACAGCGGATGGTGTTGTATGATGACTGTTACATCGTAGGAGATTGACGGCGGCGAAACCTGCAGAAAAAATTGAATAGTTGGCTTTCGAGATGCAAATTTCGAGAAGCGCTCACATTGCGACGACGGCGCACATTACACGGTCCGCGAAATGGCAATTCCATTGTGAATGGCGATGAGGTGAATTGGGTGCAATAATCCAAATGGCAGACACTGTAACAACAAATTCACAGTGAGAAATTATTTCGCTCATGTATCAAAGTGGACTGAATTTAAAACAGACACCAAGGGGAGAGAAAACCAGAGAGAGACGGTACAGAATTTTTGAAAATTTTTTGAATTCGGATCCCCTAGGACCCCAACCCCTCTTCAACATGATATACCAGATCAATAAAACCGTTTTCTGAAATTAAAAAAAAAACGGAAACGTTGTGGGGGGGAGGGGTTCTTTCGTCCCAATGCCCCATAGCACATTTCAACTGTATCCATTTTTTTCTACAAAAATGTGAAAAACTCCAAATAAGGAATTCCTGCGCCATTTTTGAGGTTTGGACACTTTACTATAAGAAAATTCATTACATTTCGAAAAAGTTTCACAAGAGAGCGCAATATTCGAAAAGTGTGCATTTGTGCGCCGCGGTGTTTGCGGAATATTTCTCGAGATCCGGCAAAATCGGCAGTTGATCCGCGCGAGACCCTAGCGTAAAATTCATTCCTCGTAAATCTACCCCCCCCCCCCCCGACTACATTATTTTTTTCGAACACTCCTACTGCGGTCAATTGTGTTCTCCTGAATGCGAACTCTCAAAAGGTCGACGTTTCGCTAGTACAAAAGTCAAAACCGTTTGTTTGATGGAATTTGCAAAAAAAAAAGAAACACGGAAGAGTTCGATTTTTTTTTGTTCATCTCAAAACTCTTGACCCGAATAGATTTGCCGTCCGTTAATAACTGTGTGCTATTCGGTGCCCCCTTTTTGGTCTACTCACTCATTATTTCATTCGACTGCGCAATTCGCACCATCTTGTAACTGATCGAACACACTTTTCAACAATACCATTCACACAAACAACGGACAGCCGACGAAGCAAGGACGAACAAATTTTGCGGGCCGAGCCGCTGCATCGTCGACACTTCAATACCTACCATCGGCGATTCATGGCCAATTTTTTGTTATAAATGTCTCGTCTACATGTGTTTTTTTTTCTCGTTCTATAATACGGCGCCGCGTTCGTCTCGAGATCAAATGAGGAACGCAAAGAAAAAATTGGACGATGACGAGATGATGATGATGATTATTATACATATTATTGTTATTGTATCGTGGGAATACAGTATGCCATCTTACGTTTGTGGGAAGAACCCTCGAACATATACGTGCCCTCCAAATGGTCCCGACGGAGTTACGTGCAATCGTATGCCATCCGAGCCGCATTCCTAAAATTGCTGTTATTTGAAATTTTCAATACTTTTTTTGTCCTTAGCAATTTATTCAAGAATTTGCAAAAATTCATGTAAAAAATTTTCGCTGAAATGTGTAATTTTCAAAATTTGCCATAAAATAAAAATGTGACAAAAATGATTTCCATCAGCGGGAAAATGATGAGGAAGTCAAGTCTTGCCAAGATCTTGCGATATTTTCTAGTTGGGGTGATTCAGAGGATTCTCGAATCTTCTAGAAATACCCGTTTACTAACCAATCTCGGTGCAGGCACTGAAGCATATCGATTCAAATAGCTCGACTCAATCCCTTCGGCAAGCACAATTGCTGTAGTCGAGAGAATGAGGAGCAACAAGTTGCACAATTCGCATTGGCACATTTTGCAGTTTTGGTCATTCGCCCCCAAAAACCGCTTATAATAGTAATAATAATAATAGAAATAGAATTAGCAATAATTGTTATAATTGATGGTAAAGCTGTCGGAATCGCTTAATAAATGCCGCAAATTCTCTACTAAAAAGTTGAGCGCGACGATGCGGATATTCAACAACCAAACCAATACAAAACAATCTGTCGGACGACGTCGTTGTCGGCCGGCGACGACGGGGCAATTCAAGAAAAAAACGGACATCGAAAAGTGGGCGGAGTGTGCCAAAAAGACGGTGCGGATTGCGCAACGATCCGCGCACAAATTGAGACAATTTCGTATGAAACGACAACATTAACACTATGATTTATTTCGTGCTTATGCCCACATTTGGCAGTGAGAAGCTGGTTTGTTTCGATGTAGTAAAAGTGAAGAACAATTCGGATGGGTACCAACCGATTGGTAACATTTCGAATAAATTTTTCGCTATTCATACCGCCGATCTACATAATTCCAGTTTGAGAGTTTTACCAACAATAATAAGATTAAGCTTCTAAGCCTTCCACTTTGGAGGCGATAAGCTTGAAAAGCAAAATAAAAACGAATGGCATTGAGTGGCATCGTCTTCTTCAGATTGTTCTCAACAATATTATTAAATAATAAGGTTAGAGTGGGAAACCAAAAAAAAACAAAGAAATTTGTACTTTAAAGCCGGAATTCCGGTTTTCTGAGATTGATGCAAAGAAAAAACAAAAGGTTAAAGAGAAAGTTTCAATTTCAAAAGAAGTCGGCAATTTTCATAGAATTTTAAATTACAAATTATTTTTTCAATCATTATTGTTCCGCTTGTAAAATTCTTTTAAGACTCTAATTATTTTTTAAACTATTATCTCTATAATTGTTGGCGTCTAATCCCATAGTAAATCATCAGAAGACGTCGATATTTCTGCTGAACCGTTTTTCTTCAACCATCAAACTTTTACAGCAAGAAAACATGCGATCATCAAGTCGGCGTCCTGTGACTGCTGTACTGGGGTAGAATTACGTGCATGCGCTTTCGCTATTGTCTAACTGGTAAGTCATTCAGTTAATTTTTAATTTCAGTGATATTAAGAAATTCAGAAAATAATACTAATCAAGAAAAAAATACAAGTTATGTGAAAATTAAAAAAATAAGCGGTCGCGTGTGACGAGACCATTTCGAAAGACGCACCCGTAAATCTACCCGCGTCCAACTAAATTTGATTTGAAAGACTCTTGAGCCTCAGATAATGTTTGTTCCAAATTTCCGCGTTTTGCAACTCAATTCACTCCAATATTCCGTTAAAATCCTCCAATTATGTCATCTCAATGGGCCGATATGTTTACCAAACCCAAATTTCACTTTTTCCCATTCGTTTGTGTTTGTTGAGGAAGCGCGATTTGCATAATATTTCAATCATTCCCGTCGGTTGTAACTATCAATTAATTTCGTCAATTAGCCGCCGAAAAAGAAACTGTCGCAAAAAAATGGCGAAAAGTGGAGACGAATGAGGATTAATCGGCAAGATCGCATTTTAATCTGTTCCACCTCGGGTGGCACTCATGAGTGGCATCAAGGCAGCAGAGTACCACAATCATCATCATCATCATATGAACAAGTTGGAATACAGTCGGCAGACAAAAAATGGACTTTAGTAGGATTAGATGAAAACGAAAACGGAAACCGGAACAAGAAGAACAACGAAAAGCTGAAAATATTTCATACCCATTAAAATATTAGAAACCTAACGATATTTACAAAGAGATATTTGATGGATTATGGCGAACTTGGTGGCGATTTGCAATTGGCGTCGAGGAATCGACGATATTCATTCACTGTCCTCCAGTGAGCATTCCGAAGCACAACCTGATGACGTTTGTCCTTCAGGAACTCCCAGGCGACGTTCGACATCCAATTTCGCGATTTCATCAAATAACAAGTGGCGACCGTTGCACTTCTCGTTCGACCAGCCTAAACCAACAAATTTAGATTGAGCCATTTACTATTATTAAGAAATACCTTGCAGTGGACATATACTGATTTTCCTTTAGCGGCAATTCCTTCCATGAACAAGACCGCCTCATGGATTTGTGGGCGGGCAGCTGTTCCGGTGAAATCCTGAATTTTAAATAGTCCTTTTATATTTGATCACGATGCATTAAGAAAATCGACTTTTTATTGTTTTTTAAACTACAAGACGTATAAATTACCTTCATCGGGATAGCAAAAAATTCAACGCCTTCCTTCTTCCAATCCTAAATCAGAATCAAGATATTGAACACTCAAATATTCTACGAACCTCTTCTTGCATTCCTTGAAATGCAGCCTTCAATTCAAATTCTTCCGTACAGCATACAACTCCTCCAACATTTTCCTTATTAACAAGCTCATCCTTCATTGATTTAAACGGAAGAGCGCCAATCAAAAGTGTATCATCAACCTAAAATGTCAAACATTTGAAATTTTTCGAACGATATTTCAATCGTACCCGATTATACCATGTCCATTTTTGGGGTTGTACGTAATTCCTCAATAAATTATATCCCAAAGATGGATAAAATACCAGACTGGAGAGCATTATGTCTTAAAAATGGAGAAAATAATATGAAAATAATACGAGTCAGATAAAAATAGGGTAGAGCAACCCGAAAAATTGTCGAATTAAACTTGAAAAAACTAATGAACATTTTATTTGTCAGACAACCAAAAAACTAACAGCGATCGGTTATCGCATGAAACACAATTGTCAATAAATTATAATGAAAAATGATTTTAAAACAAAAATCTGTGATCAATCAATTGAAAATATTAGTCAAGAGGAGGTCAATGTGTGCGTGTGTGATATCATATAAATACCCCAAATTTGAAAAGAAGCAAAGGCGTTTTTTTTTTCTTTCAAAAAACTCATCATTCTCCAGTCTTTTTGTTCATTCGACGCTTATACGCGTCTCGAGAACCAGATGAGTTTCCGTGTGTTCCATTCTCATCTTCATCGTCAGAATCACCACGCTTTCGCTTAAGAGCAGTAAGATCCGAAGAACGTACAATCTGGAAACAAACGAAATTTCCAAAAGTAGATATTATGCAATATGATACCGCAGCTGGATCTGTAGTTGTTGCCAGAAGTTGATACATATCCTTTTTAATATCTTCAACAAGCATTGGCCCAATCGTCGTTCCTCGTTCCAATTTATCAATCGACACTTTTGATGACGCTGAATGCAATTAAATGGGTAATTAAAACTATCACAAAATGATCTTACATGTTATATTCGGTAATTGCACATGACTGAGTGAGGCCATCAGCATATCAACATTGACAAATGGTCCAATGAAACATTGCGGTGGAGGCATCATTTGAAGTAAATGCGCGGCCGCAGGTGGAGGTGGGAAAACGCCTAAAATGCAAATTATTGGATTTTTTATTTGTATAAAACGCCGAATTTGATATCTAGTGAAAAACTTGCGTTTTCGATAGAAAATGGTAATATTTTTTCATAAAAAAACACACACACAAACCTCCTGGAACAGGATGATATGAAGCATTGCAATTGACCCTTGGCTTAAACGGAATCATCTGTGATATGTCAGGAATCGGATATCCATATCGAACAATTTCCGAATGCGCTGCTCCTCCTCCACTGCCTCCCATGATTGAACTAGCTGCTTGAGGTCCTCTGTGCGATATTTGCTTCGAATTCGATGCCGACGATCCATTGTTTCGCACCAAATCTTGTTTCTAAACGATTTCAAACTCAAAAGGGGCAAGTTCTTTCCATTTCTAATGATACCGATGACTTGTATCCAATAAGTCGAAGTTGCTCGCGACTACACGGCATCAAATCCATGAATCGGTATCGATCAATAACCAAAAGCGAGCTGCTAACCGATTCATCGAAATTCGCGTATGCCGCATGTCTCCGCTTCTCAACTTTTAACACACTCGCCAAATCGCCAACAGTTGTCTCAAAATCCAAGTATTTATCCCACAATGCCCTAAAACAAAAAAAAAAATGAAAATTTGAAAACAACAATTGGGAATTTTAAAAACATACGCAGAATTTTCCGCAGCCAAATTGCCAGTGAGAATTCTCTCAAATACCACTCGAGTATTATTATCCTCTGAATAAGAGAATGGACTATTCAATTTTTTCAAGTATAGACATACCATTGAGATGCGATAAAAATTTGACATAGGCGAGAGCATAATCCGGCTCATTTCCATACTTTTTCAAGCCATGTTCGAAAACTCGCATCGCCACATTTTTGTCCTGAAAAATTTGAAATTTTCGGAGAAAGTAAATAAGTAAAAAGTGTATAGCGATTATTATCAGTCGTTTAAAGATGAATGACTAACACCAACGACCCGTATCATTGATAAAGAATACTATTTTAAGGTGATTATTAAGCTGCCACAACAGAAAAGTAAAGTGAGCCCGCCCATTTCCGTCATTGCCAAGAATATTATGGAATGACCTGGAATGATGAAATAACATACAAACTTAAACTTAGAGCTTAACATGACTAATCATCCGAAGGCTGATTCACACAAATCAAACACTATTCCTGGAACACTTTGAAATTGTAATAATGACTCAAGTGATGAACAAATAAACTTATGAAATGTGAGAATTAGAAAAAAAAATTAAATTACCTTATGGCAGTAATATTCCATCAAAGCCGATGCAATATACACCTGGTGGCCACTTCTCGAATCCTCGCGAGCTCGTTTAAAAACGAGTCTCGCGTTTTTCGCACCTTCCGTTCTTCTAATAAATCGCATCAATTGAATGTAAGTCTTAAAAAAGAAAATTCAATCTAGTTTAGATTAGAGGAAATTTTTGTACCAGGGTAGGATTCATGTGCTCAATGGTAAGAAGCCGGTCGTAAATTTTTTTGACATTATCAAACTTCATTCGCTCTTCTTCAAAGTCGGCATAGGCGAAATATAAAAGCAACGATTCCTTCATCAAGCCAGTAATTCCTCGTTCGTAAAGTTCTGCAACATCTCATAAATTACTTTTTACAAAGAATGTTGAACATACGGATTGCTTCTTGCTTGAAGGTCTGCGATAGTTTAACGTCTCCTTTTTCCTCGAGAGTTCTGCTGGCTTCTTGCAAGAAAAGCGCAGTTTCGTACCAAATATCTGGATAATATCCAAGGCAAAGAAGTGCTTGCTCATATGCATAAATCACTGAAATTGTTAAGAATCTTTTATAGCATAATGGAGAAAATTGGGAACTTCGAAAATAGACATAAATTGCCACTCATCCATTTATTGAGAAGATAAAAGCGTACCTCGCTTAGCAAATTGTCCATATTCTTCAGTTCCCAATGGATTCGTTTTCTCCCACGCAATATATTTCTTCCACATTTCGACCTGTTTCAGCTCGGTCGCTGTACCCTTCGGAGGCACTGAAACAGCTTGTCGATTCAATCCACGAGTAATACTCTCCATTTCGCGTTCCACTTTACGCGCATTCTGCAACAATTCAATCAATTTCTATTTTCATTCTTTAACATTCAACCTGATATTCCTTATTTCTTTCTCCAATCAACTTTTCGGCAAGTGTCATATTAATCGATTTCTCATAGGCACAATAATCATTCCACAACGAGTCTAACTGAAGAATCGGCGTTGACAACGCTTTCTGATAAATTCGTCGAACAGCAGTGATTCGTTGATTTTCAGCATATTGACCAACTGCCGGGCTATAAAAATATCTATTATAATATAGTTAATTCGGAGCAAAAACTGACACTTTCTTCAAGAATGCAATGTAATCAGCGTAGATTTGATAAGATTGAATATCCATTCCGACTTTTTCCAATGCAAAATCGTAAGCCTGGGCCATTTTCTCACTGAAAGATAGCCTTTAAAAAAAGATTTTCAGCGTTTATCATACCGAAAAGTCGACAATTGTCCTTTCGTTTCGTAAATATAGTGCACATAACACTTCCAGAGATCGATATTAAGGACATTGACTAAACACCTACTAAATATCTGAAAATTCAAATTTATGAAAAGAAAATCGCAAAAAATAGGCCAACCTTTTCCACGTTTTCCAAATTCTTCGAGCGAAGCTGAAAATTAAGAACTATAGGTTGATTTTTCGAAAAAATTTTGTTAAGCTATTAGACAGTCGGTGAACGTGAAATGGTTTATTGAATGGATCAAATGAACAAATACTGCCGAAATATTTATTTGCAACAAATGCATATATTCAAAAGAATAGCTTGGAAAATTGTAACATAACGTCTTGTCAATTGTTCCAGAAGTTTTGTAATACTGAAATACAAAACAATGCTGCCTCATTCCCGCTACAATATATTCGAAAAAAAAATCTACCTCATGCTCGATATACGCTTTCCAGTAACGGCCCGAATTCGGAAATTGTTTCACCAAACTCTCATAAAAATCACGTTCTTGCTCAATCGGTCGTGACTTAAGCAGAAATTGTAAAAAAAAACGGAGAGTGTATTAAGAATATACCTGATGTTCTCGAAGGAGAAGATTCCAAGCATCGACGTCAAATGGATTGACCTCGATTCGCCTCTCTGGGTTTCGGAGAGACAATCCAGACATTTCTGTTAATTATCGAGATTAGCAATACGTTTTATTTTATTGGTATTTATTAAAAAATGAGCGAAATGCGAGTATTTCAGGTTTAACGAACAACATTCGCAATGGAGCGCATTTGCAACGAAACGAGAAAAAAGTCAGTCTGCAAACTGCGCATGAAAAACGGCAGTGTTTTTCGTATTTGCGACCAACAGCAGTTTTTCCTGATCATATCCAACATATAGACTTAGCAATTTCAATTTGGAGACAAAATCGATTATATCTTTTTAAACCGGTTCTCGGCACATTTTAAAATGGTTTTGAATACAGTAACTTCTTTTTATTAGATTCGCAAGAGCGTTACCCTCTGGTAAATGATTCCGAGTCGTATACGAAGAAAGCTCAATCGTATACGCTGATATCGCTCTTCAAACGCGGCCAAATACGATTGGGATTTCTTAATATACGATTGGCATTTCTTCGTATACGATTATAATTCTTCGTATATGATTGTGATTTCTTCGTATACGACTACAATTCTTCATATACGGTAACGATTTCTTCGTATTCGATTGGGATTTTTTCGTATTCGATTGAGATTTTTTCGTATTCGATTGAGATTTTTTTCGTATACCATTTCACTTTACACTACTCGTTTGGCATTTTAACGCTTTTAAATATATGATGTAAAGATTTCTATACCTGTTTATTTAAAAAAAAATATGAAAGACAAAAAAATGAAAAAGAAAAAGGAATAAATTAATTAATTTTGGTTGGCGCATCAACCATTTTTTTCCACTGCTCGCGCTTTCGATCGTGAATTGTTTCTGAATTAAGTTCATTTGAATGATTAATCATGAGGCAGTCTTCGGCATGTGCAGATTTTGGAGAAAAACGCGAAAAATCTGATTAAGACTAGTTTAGCCGAATCTTTATAATGTTGTCGAGTTTCTTTAAAAGGTTTTTACTGCGTTTCTTTTCAAAATCTGCATAGGCCCACTAAAAAAGTGAAAACTCACAGGAGATAGGTCATATGACCGTGTACCAAATAGGAGATTGTAGAATTCGCCGTTTCGTCAGCCATTCCAGCGATGGTAACCGTCTTTTGTAAAATAGCTGAAATTAATTTAAACATATTTTAAACATTTTTCGCGCTATTTGAGCATACCAATCGCTGTGTTGACAAACCGAACTGGAAGCGTTGCGTGCGGCGGAGTTGGCATAAACGATGTTGAATAATTCACACGATCGTTATTGGGAATTGTCTGAAGATATTTTTTGCAACTTTAAATAATTGTAAGATACCTTATCGACAAATCTGTTGACTGTAGTATTTATCACATGCTTCAGAGCTGCCTTCATGAACGGAATTTCCAAAAATATTTGGGCGACGTTGATGTCTCCTGTTAAAAGATTTAATACAAATTCAAAGCTTTCGAAACACAAAAAACCCACTATTTCCATCCAGTGATGGAATAATTATTTCTGCGTCTTTAAGAGCTTCAGGGTTGTATACGGCGATCACGTCGATCTAAATTTAGAGAATAGCAAAATTTAAAAAAATACTCACATTGTTTTTGTTTGGCTTTGCCGCGAATTTTTGGGATAAAGTTTCTATCTGGAAGTATAGGGTTTCTATAGTTTCTATTGTGGTACTATGCAGATTTCGCCAAAAACTCAAACAGCGGTAACCATAATTATAATGGTTTTTGCCGGTTTTGACGAGTTCTGATATTTTTTTACGGCTTTTGATGATTTTAATGCTTTTTTTCGCGGAATCTGGTACCATTACATTTGGAATGATTGAACAATAAATAAAACATACCGTGAACATGATTCCTTTCATTTAGAATGTATGGTTGTAGAATAACCCGGTCACCGAACTTCTCATTGAGGAGAAATCCCAATACATCGCCATATTGCAGTGAATTTCGCCAACGAAACATCACGACGCTATTATCCGAAGCAATATTTCTTTGTATTGAGTAGTGTGAGCCTTGATAGCTGTATTTCTCAGTAAACAAATCGCCTTTTTGAGCCAGCATTGAGTACTTCAGTGGTACATCTGTCGTTTTTTCGATATCATCATTCTCCGAATATCGAAATAGCAGTTTTCTCAGTTTCACGATAGACACATCATGTTGTTTTCTCGTTGGGTCCGAATCAAGTCTTGCACGAACTTCGGTCGTCAAATCTTGCAAAATTGCAGCACTAAAATTTTTCTACGGTGTACAATTTTATAATAAAGCATACTTCCGCAACATTCTTTGCCCAATTCCCTTTGTGATTTCTGACGATAATAGTCGTTTCAAACTGTGAAAATAAAATCTCGCGAAGATAATGCTTCCCATTGGCCTAAAGCGAAATAATTTCAAAAATATGCAAAAACGGTAACAACCTCTCGACGTAATGACTCTTTGCAAGTTGTCACAGCTCGACATTGACACAAAATCTTCTTCCGCGCAAGTGAGCTCATCTTCAGACGATTCTATAGAATCTATAGAAATTAAATCTTGCTCTGTTTTTACTTTTAGTTATACCTGATGTTAAGTTTCTCTATTTTCTGAAAATAGTTATTTTCTTCATTTTTTCTGTTGTTATCACCTGTTTCTGTCTCGTTCCGATATTCCCTATATATTTTTTTCCATGATTTCTCGTGTGGTGTAACGATATCGCTTTCGATATGCAAATAGTTTTGAATTTTGCGACATATCTGCAAAGAAAATATAGATTTCTTAGAGCGGAGCCAGTAAAACGCACGATTTTTTTGGAAAGTATATATATTAAAACACAATATACGCATAAAAATCGAATATGAAAAAATTCGAAAATTTTCGAAAATTGTTTTTCGAATTTAGACGTCAATTTTAATGCATGTCCGCAGTGTATAATTGTGGTGGTTACACTACTGTGATAAAATCCAAATCGTATACGATACTTGCAATAACGTATACGACGAGGAAATGCGGATGTTTCGTATACGATTACAAACCATTCATCAGAATCGTATACGATCCTATACGATTCACATTAACTAATACGATTACCATTAACGTATACGATTTTAATTTTATCTTATACGATGAAGAAATTCGCTTTTTTCGTATACGACTAGGAATCATTTACCAGAGCCTATGTAGTAATATTTTTTTAACCGAAGCAATGAATATTTTTGCAAAAATGAAAGAAAAATACATTAATTTTTGTGCATTTTTTACACTCAGATTTTGGAAAATGTGTCATTTTTTATTTTCTATAATAGGTCCTCATATTTTCTTCATAATTGTGCAGTGCACAGCACTAGCACACATTTTATTTAAGAGCTATGGTATCTAACGGACGCTCAAGCGATATCCATAACTTTCATGGCAATTTCCAGTTTGTTGAGAATTTCCTCGTTTTGGATAAATCATTCTTTTTAAATGGAATACTAAAGAAATTTGGGATTTTGTCCTGCGAAAAACAATTGCATATCCAGTATGTATATATAAAATTTCATAGCAAATGCTGTTTTCCTTATTCCACTAGAGATCAGTAACTTCTTTGAAACATCACATCAAAAATCAACAATTTATTTAATAAAAACAATTTAGTTGACGGTCTCATCAGAGTGCTTTCCCTTAAGGATTCCAGTAACGCGAGCGCGTCCGGCAGCTTTTCTCTCAACGAGGGCACGACGATCCTTATCGAGCTTCAGCTTGGTGACAGCAACCTGAACAGAATATTTTCAATCTGAAAGCCTTACTGAACAGCGAGGCTGCCCTTGCGTTGTAAAATCTAGTCCGATAACACAAAATTCAACTTACGAAACTTGAGTTGACCGATGTGCACCGGAACTAGTTTATACAAACCTCACCTTCGAAGGGTGGATTCCGATGTGCACAGTAGTTCCGTTAGCCTTCTCACGAGTGATCTTGTCAATGTGGATGACGAACTTCTTACGGTAGCATCTGATGACACGTCCGGTGTTTCCCTTATGACGTCCACGCATAACGACGACCTCGTCTTCAACTCTGAAATGTACAACATATATGGCATACAAGACAAAATAAATTTCGTTCTGCAGCAAAATATGTCAATGCTTATTTCTCCATTATGTCCAACCCGGACGAATATTGTAATTGAACGGGACTACTGAATGGAAAAGTTCTCATGTTAAAATTATTTGTACCTGATTGGAATGGAGCGGATTCCGTGCTTGGCGCGAAGCTCCTTCGTGAGTGGAGAAGACATGATTCTTCTGCGCTCATGGGAGGGAGCGTTAAAATGAGCTTTACGGCTTTTTCCGGAATCGCGGGAAACGAATGGATTCACCTTCATGGTACCCTATAATGAATTAAATTTTAAGTTAAACTATTTTATGAAATTGTTTTATTTGTAAAAAATAATTTCGTAAAACACTAATAAGAATAAATTGTTAAAATAGCAACCAAAGAAACTACAAAAACCTAAAATTTCGAAGGAGAAGAAATTTAGGCTAGAGGAAAAAGGGAACAAGACACAAACGACGAGCGAGGGTACGGTGTCTCTCGTCTCTTCGCGGCGAGACCGCTGGCCGTGAAATGCTATGCGCCTTTCTCACGACAATTTGAATTTAAGTTTGCTAGTGTCAAATTGAAAATGAGCATATTTCTTTTGATTGTCTGCATTATTTCTTGGAAGATTTTAGGGAAACAATATTTTCAAGAGTTTAAAATTGCATTAAACCATAGTTTCCTTGAAATGAACGCGAATTTTTGAAAAACGTAGATAATTATTTTTTGTAGAGCAATATGAAGCCGGATATCAAGGATAGAGAGTATATGTACCGCTTGATTATTGGGTAAAAATATTATTTTTGCTCTCGAACAAATTCGTTTATTTCAGTCAGCTGTTTTATGACGGATATCAACAAATTGCTATCAGTTTAGCTAATGCGATTGGATGCTCTTCACAGCCTCCACCTCCTTCAGATAAATTATTTCGTTTGGTTACAATTGCAAAACAATTTATCGAAGATCCCGATGTGAAAGACATTGAAACTGGTCTCCCTGTAAGAAAATTACATAAAGCTCATTTGAAATATCGTTTTTAGTTCGAAACAGTGTCGAATGGTCTGGATCTCGAGTATGACGCTGATGTTCAACCAACTTCTCCGGAGCCTTCGCAATATGAAACAATTTATTTAACAGTTCATAAAGCCCCATGCAGAGCAGCTGCTTTCAATAATGACGGTATTGTTTTATTTTCTAGTGTTTTAATTTTCAATATTTTAAAGGTTCACTTGTTGCCACTGGATCAGCAGATTGTTCAATTAAGATTATGGATGTCGAACGAATTTTAGCAAGAGAACGCGAGCATAGGGAAATGAATGAAAACGGACCAGATGCACACCATCCAGTTATTAGGACACTATATGATCACATCGATGTAGTTTAAATTGTATTTTCGATATTTTAATTTTTATTTCAGGACGTCAATGTAATCCATTTTCATCCTCGCGATCCAATTCTGATTTCCGGCTCCAACGATAAAACTGTCAAACTTTTCGATTTCTCTAAAACCGCTGTCAAACGATCAATGAAAACACTTACCGAAGTCTATCCTATCAGAGCCTTATCGTGTCATCCCGGTGGAGAGTTTCTGCTAGTTGCTACTGATCATCCTACTCTTCGTTTATACAATATTGAAACTGCCCAAGCATTTGTCTGCTCACACCCAGATGATCAGCACAGGGAAACTGTAAACGATGTAAGCTCTAACGATTTATTTCATTAAAAAATTTTTATTTTGCAGGTACATTACTCCGATAATGCTAGGCTATATGTAACAGCTTCTAAAGATGGAGACGTCAAAGTTTGGGATGGAATCTCTGGCCGTTGTGTTGAAACTTTCAAACGAGCTCATGACGGTTCTTCAATATGTTCGGCAAAATTCACCAAAAATGGAAAAGTATGTTTTTATTGTCGACATTTTACGACTTGTAATATTTTTAGTATATTTTAACCAGTGGAATGGACAGTATTGTTAAATTGTGGGAGCTTTCAACGAACCGGTGTCTTATTGCATATACTGGAGCTGGAGCAACTGGAGTTCAGGATCATATTATATCAGCGTCGTTTAATCATAACGAAGATTATGGTAAGAAAAATCGAATTATAAATTTTTAAATGAAACGTGTTTACAGTATTGTTCCCAGACGAAAAGAGTGGAAGTTTGTGTTCTTGGGACGCGAGAAATTCGGACAGAAAGAGACTTTTGGCTCTAGGTTCGTCGAAATATTCGAAATATTGATTGCAGCTCTTTCGAATTTTAGGCCACACTGCATCTACGCGAACATTCGTCCATTCGCCGACAATGCCTGCATTTGTAACAGGAAGCGACGATTATCGAGCAAGATTCTGGTATCGAAAACCGAATCCGTCAGGAAATTGATCAACTTTCTTCTTCAATTTTTATTTTTGCCACTTCTATCGTCGTTTTCCCTCAAATAAAAATAGTATGGCCGCACACTTGTGGGAGCTGCTTCCACAAGAAACATGATTGAAATTATTCAAGCTAGGGGGAAACGACACGGAATTTTCTCTCTTCATTACAGGTATTTCAGACAATGTTAAATATATAAATGTATTGATTTTGTTTTATTGCGACTGTGTGAATAATAAATAAATAATTATTAGAAATATTTTGCTGGAGATCATTGAGCTCTCTCCATCAGAATTCTTCGAGATCTAAACGGGTTCTTGGGTCGATCATTCACCCCGATCGTTATTTCTGATGCTTCTTTAGGCTTCATTGGCTTTTCGTGAGCTTCGTCGATGAATACATCGCGGCTGACGGTCGGCTCTGTAATATTTGATTTCATTTTATTTTTTTCTTCTTAGATATACTTCGTTTTATCATTATCGCTTGAACTTGTTTGTTACTGATGTTGGAAATTATACACGTAAAACCAGTTTTTTGAATAAGTTGTGAATTTTAAGATTTATTTCCATTCGAAATGTTCTTTTCTGAAAAAAAGACTCACCTTGAACGTGATTCTGCTCCATTGGATCTGGTCCTTCTTCGATTGAAGAGCTAATGGCTGGCCAACTCACCAAGTCATTTTGTTCTTGAGACGTCTTTAATTATCACATTAATTTATTTAGTTCTCTAAACGAAATTTGATACCTCCAAATTATCTCCAAATGGATTATGCGGCTTTTCTGTCTTGAGAGCCTTCTTCTTGGCCTCTTCTTCGGCAGCTTTTTCGCTTGGCAATATGAGCTCTGAAAGAAGATTGAGAAAAATGTTTTTCAGAAATAATACCTGGTGGAAACAGTGGCTCGCCGTGAAGCGCTTCCTCGTCAAGTGGAACGGCGACGACATCCTGTGGCTCAGGAACGTGAAGCGGCAAAGGACGAGCTCTGAAAAGTCAAAATGACGAGGAAAGATAAAAAGAGAAATCTTCGATATTTGCCTAATTCCCAGGTTTGTTCTCTTTTGACGATTTTTGAATTATTCAAACTGATATGCGGGTTTGGGAATATTATTTTTTGATATTACAATCTAAAACAACGAGCACTCTGGGTATATGTGGACCAGGGCTGTGCGGCAATCGGAAATTTCGGCAATTCGGCAATTTGCCGAAAATCAATATTTCGGCTATTAAATGTTTTCAACGATAATTCGAAATATAAATACCGAATTTTCACGGTATCGCAAATTATTCAATGGACATTGATTTTTGTTTTGCCGATTTTTTTTAAATCAAATTGCCGAAAATCAAAATTTCGGCAATCCGGCAATTCGGCAATTTGAAAAATCGGCAATTTCGGCAATCGGCAATTCCATTGCCGCACAGCCCTGATGTGGACCATCGTATTATCTTTGGGGTGGTAATTCAAATTTCAATTTAAACGGTACTATACTACGGATATCATGCGAATAAGAGAAAATCTACACAAGATTCTCGTGTTTTATACAATTACAATACTTGTTTTAAATCATTTTTATTTGTAGCAAGAGCAAAATGAGTTGGTTGGCCATATGCCAAGTCATGATCCAAGCTGTCCGCCGGCTCCTTTGGTAAGACCGACATTGGAACGAAATTTAAAATTTAAAAATTTTTCGTGAACATTATTTTCCTAGAACTTATTATGGGTTGCGGTTTTTAAAAAAAAAAAAACCCCCTGATAAGACGCCTATCAAACTGATACGAAAGCAAACGTATTTTTACTACGGTATAGGTTTGAACTTTGTATGTATTTGGTTTTATGCACAACTCACACTATACATACAGGGTGTCATTTAAGTTCCCGCACAAAAGTTTGACGCAATGTAGAGCTTCGCTAACGCTCTTTTCGTACACCAATACAATTTATTTTTATTGAACAAGGTATATTTTACTTACTTTCCAAGTTTCACCTCATTCGGATGTGCTTCCGAGAAACGGCGAAGGCTAACATCCATCGCGCTTCCATTATCGAACTTCATAAGCAAAATGTGAGCCCGAGAGACATCATTCAACGGGTCGGTGTGCCTTGTAGAACGGTTTATGACACCATCAAACGATTCAAGGAGCTAAATACGACCAGTGACCGTCCCAGACAAGGAAGACTCGTCTCAGTAACCACTCCTCAGAAGATCAACGCCGTCAAATCGAGGATCAGCCGAAACCCCCACAGGAGCATGAGAAAGATAGCGTCAGACATGGGAATGAGCATCTTCGCTTTGGAACAAATCGTCAAAACGAAGCTTGTACTGACCCCATATCGTGTCCAAAAAGCGGCAATTCTATCGGCCGTCAACAAGCAGAGACGCTTCGAAAAAGCAAAACGACTTCTTGCTCGCACGCGGTCTGGACAAGATCTCGTCACTGTCTTCTCCGACGAGAAGCTATTCACTGTGGAGACGGCATTCTACTCACAAAACCATTGAGTACTTGCCCAGACATCCCAGCAAGCTTCTGAGAAAGGAAAAACAATTAATCGAGCCTCACATCCTGCCAGTGTGATGGTTTTCGGTGCCATCTGCTCAACCGGGATGTGCCCCCAGGATTTCGTGGATCAGGGAGTGAAAATGAACAAAGAAGTCTACGTTCGGGACATTTTGGAGAAGCATGTGATGCCCTGGACCCAAACGCATTTCGGTGGGCAGATATGGGTCTTTCAGCGGGACGGAGCACCCGCCCACACTGCCAAAACTACTCAGGAGTGGTGCCAGACCCATTTTCCCGACTTCATCAAGTCATCCGAATGGCCTGATTGCTCCACAGATCTGAAACCGCTTGACTTTTCCGTGATAGGGTCTTGCAGGAGAAGGTCAACGCAAAACCCCACTCAAGTGTAGAGGCTCTGAAGAGGACATTACTGGCGGAGTGGGACAATCTTTCCATCGAATACCTGCGTACCACAGTCACATCCTACCCGAAGCGTCTCCGTGAAGTCATAGCTGCGAAAGGAGGCCGAATCGAAAAGAGTTAATAGATAATTATTTGTTGTACTATAGATAAATAATATTTTGAGTCTCGTTTGATTTGGACTTTTAGTTTCAGAAATATACGTCTTCAAAGTTGTGCGGGAACTTAAATGACACCCTGTATAGTGAACGAATCATTACACTTTGAAAAACAAGTTTTTGTTATAATATCAACTGTTCGTTTCGTTTCGTTCGCATATTCCCACTAACCTGTACATTGGAGGCCATGGATTGCTGGGATTGCCGTTTGGCGGATAGAATGGCGAAACGCCTAAACGCGACGATGTGCCATCTTTTCCGATTATCGGAATCTTTCCGACGAATGGGATGTTGTCGTAAGAAACGTCGACATAACTGTATGGAGCTGGAAAAGAAAGGCAAAATAATATATCAATAGAAAATTACTGTAGTGGCTTACTGTAGACTCCTAGGCCAGGTCCGTAAGCGGTAATTGCGTTGATGTACTCCCTGATGAGAGGCCCCTCGGGACCACTCAGGAGTCCCAAACTTGGGAGCGCTGGAGCTTGTGAAGAAATTGGCACAAATATTAGAAGCAATAATGCTGACATCTGAAAAGAACAATTTTTGTTTTGAGAATTAAGGAGGATGATTGCATTCGTTCGAGGAGAAATGAGGATACGACTGAGAAGCGGGAGAAGATAAACGAAACCAGCTTGATGTGTCGCGTTTTTTTCGGTACAGAAGCCTCACCGACGACTGTGATATATCGAGAGAATGTTTTAGAGATATTGTGTGTCTGTGTGGAGGGGGGATAAGAGAAAATACGTGGAAAAGTTATTCGGAAACAAAAAACTCGAGGCGATTGGTATCGGATTACGTTCCTTTCGTTTTTCCCAGATGTTGTTGGGTCAAACAATATGCCGGCAAGAAATGTTTATTAGAATTTTCGACGGGGTCGGAAATGATCAAACAACAAGCGAAGTAGAAGCTCAACAACTCGAAGTATTAGATTTTTGAAATTCTACAAATGAAATTCCGAAAATTAAAAGTCAAGTCAGAAAACGAGGGATTAAAAGCTCTGGTGGTAATTCGTTTTCTTTTAAAGTTAATGTGTTAATGCTGAAAATGTCAAGTTATGTATGTACTAATTAAAAAAAATCATAATTTCTAAATAAAAGCATTTTGCAATTTCCAGGATAAATCATACAACGTGAGTGAAGGAGAAAATGAAGGAAACCTGTGGATTCCTGTAAGAAAATGGCCGGTTTTTTTTTTGTTCTAAAATGCAATTTTGAAATATTCAGCTAGCTACTGTATGCTTCGTTCTTGCCGCAGCAGTTATCTTTGCGGGAGTTTTAACAATGCCAGCTGCCACGAAGATGCCAGGTAAATCTGTTTCATTCCTAATGAAGAATATAAATATGTCATGGATGTGGCCTTTATTACCGAGGTTTGGCCCTAAATTTCCCCGACGAGGGAAATTTTTCAAGCTAAAGATCAATTTTTTTCTGAAACTGCTAAAAATCATATATAATAAATTATTGACAGTTTCATTGTTACTAAAAGAGTTCTAGAAAAATCTAACAAGGCGTTCTTCTTTTTTATCATTTATCCAATATCGCATCAATACCAAGTTGCGCAATAGATAAAGAAATGTGATTGTTTTCTCATGAAAAATAACGACTAGAGATTGTTGGTATTTCTAGCAAAATATGACAACATTATTATGTGCTTTGTGAGAAATTCACAGAACAGAAGAAAATATCAAATAACGTTTTGTAATAGACACTTCAAGCAAAAATGAGATATCGAGTTTTCTGGAAACATTGAAACTCGCTTTTTGAAGAGCTGCTGAGAAAGCAACGATCAATGATAATGAGTCATTATGTTTATGATCCAAAACAAACGCTATATAGCTTCGTTGGGACGCGTCGAAAAAAAAATTTCTGAAAAATCAGCTAATGCGTTTTTAGCTAATTATTGTAAATAAATTTAAGTAAATAGTAATTGTACAAAATTAAAGACAACGTTTGTTTTTCAACAATGTCCTGCGCTAACCTTGAAGCAACTATTATGGGATATAACGACAATTTAAAGAAACCAATTGAATTTTCACGATTTTCAGATGAATCTTCGGTTAAGCTATTGTCGAATGATTCTACACCTCGTCTCGTTTTCCTCATCATTGATGCCCTACGATTGTCTTTCCTCACTTCTCCATCTTCCCCAATGAAGTAATATGAATTGTATTTGAAAATAACATACAATCTATGACACTTTGAATCTCCTTTTATCGAAATTTTTCAGTTATACTAAAAACTCAATAATTGAAAATGAAGCAGTTCTATTCAATGCACATGCCCGTATGCCGACGGTAACATTGCCGAGGATTACGGTTTGCGAATGCTTTTATTAATAATCACTTGGAACAAATTTCAGTCGTACTTGTCTGGAACTCTTCCTTCGTTTGGCACGATGCTCACCAATTTTGCTGCTAACCGGATTAATGTGGAAAATTGGGTGACAAGTCTGAAAGCTCATGGAAACAAGTAATAGCAAATTACGGGAATTATTCAAATTACTTCTTGATTTCAGTCTTCATTTCTTCGGTGATGATACTTGGTTGAAATTATTTCCGGACGAATTCGAAAAATCTGAAGGCGTCACTTCCTTCTTTGTCAATGATTACACCGAAGTTGACAATAATGTGACGACCCATTTGGTGGAGGAGTTGATGGATAGGACTTGGGATGTTCTGATTCTGCATTATCTGGGATTAGATCATATTGGACATTCACTGGGAGGAACATCGCCAATGATCGAGACAAAACTCAAAGAAATGGACGAGATCATCGATGATATACAAAGCCATTTTCGAAATGTTAACACCTGGAAAACGTTATATGACTGAAACGGTTTATTCAGGATGAAAGAACAACATATTTGATAATTTGTGGAGATCACGGAATGACGCCGGCTGGATCGCATGGAGGTGCAAGTTCGGACGAATCAAGAGTTCCAGTAGTTATTTGGAGTAATAAAATGAGGAATGACTATTTTGAAGTAAAACACAAACAATCGTTTAATGAAGGTAATCATGACTTTTTAAAATCCCAAAAAAAAAGAATGCCGATTGCAGACAAAATTCCGAAAATTGAGCAATTGGATGTGTCTACGACGATTTTCGAACTCTTTTATCTCTTTCCGCCTGAAGATTCGTTTGGAATTTCTCTCATACCGACACTTTCGCAATATATCGGAATTGGTGTGGAAGAAGTTGAACGCAGCTATTTTTCCATGTTCGCCCATTATTCGTATCTGACAAGAAGTTGGAATTTTGATTTTTTAAATAAGGAAATGAAACCATCGAAGTTTTCAGAATTGAACATGAAAATGGCTTGTGATCAATTAGATATTTCGAAAAAATTAGTTATTGAGAATTGTCAAAAAGTTTAATTTTCGAAAACATATTAAATTTATGGAATTATTTTTAAGGAATACAAAAAAATTCAAGAGTACATGATTTCGAAATCATCGAGTGTTCCGAGTCTCAACATGATTATCGCATTTGGATTGATTGCTGTGGTAAATTTTTAAATTTTTTTTTAAATTGCATTAAATATTATATTTTTGTAATAGGCAACATTCGCAGTATTTGCGTATCAGCGGGCAGTATTCCTCAAAGCAGATTATTATTTTCTCCCAATTTGTCTTTTATATTTTTCGAGCAGCTTTGTCGAGGAAGAGCACGAAATTTGGTTCTATTTATCCAGCACTGCTATCATGTTTAACGTCATAAGCAAATTTTTGAATCGTGAAGATTTCGCGCGAAACGTAAGGATTAATTTCAATGGTTCAATTATTATCTTTACCAATTTCAGAACTCGCCTACAAATTTATGCTTCTATCACATAATCGGTGTCCGATTCTATCAATCAATTCGAAGACGATGGGCGATGGATCCCAGTTTGTTGCCGCCTGATGTATTCCCGGATGATTTTGCACAAATCATTCATCAAGGATTAAACACGACGAGTGATATTAGATACGACTTAATGGCGTAACAATCTTTTATTTCTTTATTCCAAAAAGAGGAATTGCTGAATTTCAGAACGGATGCCGATAAATTCTACTACTTAATTCCTCTTATCCCAATGTTCATGGCATATTTTGCGAACAGGTCATACGATACTCGAAGAAAAACTACCGGTTATAATGTAGTGCTCATTGTCATGTGGTATCTTACTTTTAGTTTGGAAATGCTTGAGCTAACAAGGTATTATATAAAACTATTAATTGAATTCGAATTAAAATATTCGACCTATTCAGCTATCGTAATATCTGCTGTAGTGTGATCTATGCTCTTGTTGGAATGGCGATTGTTATCGAAGAGAAATACTCTTTCATTTTGGCAATTTTCGCGATCAATCTTCCATTCCACGACTTTTTCGCTCTTGTCACCACATTTCTTGCCGGAATGGAAGCCAGTTGTGTCAGACATTATGAAATTACCCGATTGCTGATATTGATGGCTTCTTTCTTCTACACGGTAAACCTCTTAGTATCTACAGCTTGTATAGTATCATCTGAAATTTAGGGCAATTCCAACAGTTTTTCGACATTAAATCTAGCCGCTGCTTATAAGGACTTGACATTCTATAATCCGATAATTGTCGGAATTCGCCTCTTCTTTATCACCTATTCGGGACCGATTGCATTCCTTTGCGGATGTTTGTGAGTTTTTCATTTTCTTGAGACATTTTCTAGAGAAAGCAACGAAAATTTTAGCGAAAGTCGAAAAGTCGGAATCAACAAGATGTTGGTGGGTTTCCTATCGTTCCGTCTTTTCTCGCTTGCCATTTCCATCATTTGCCTCTTAGTTTTCCAAAATCACCTGTTTGTTTGGTCGGTTTATTCGCCGAAGCTTGTTTACGATATGTCTCATTGTGCATTTGCTTTCCTCTTGTACTTTTTATATAAATTTATTTAAGTTCAAAACTATCAATGATGTTAGTATAACATATAAATATAAGGTATTTCAATGTTGAATATATACATGAATTAAATATACAAAATATGTTAGTATATAGAGAAGGATCTTAAAAAAATATATGATTAGATTTAGATTTTTGACCGGCGTTGGTCATCACAGACAAACCGGTACGAATGGCAATGTAAAACAACAATTCCAACTTAGGCGGTTTGATATTGTTGCTTTTGAAGTTGGGGTTGTAGAAGTTGTTGGTTCCATTCCTGTGCCGCGTACTGTTGTGCAGTATTCATATTGCTGAACAACATTTGCTGGACCTGAGCCTGATTGTAACCACGGAATGATTCGGTGATCTCCAATGTACTTCCTGCCAACTCCATCGATTCTCGTAGCCAAGTGTCCTGATTGAGCAATGCGAATCCATGGGTTCTCTGAAATAGGAATTCAATTAGCACCAATTATTCTTAATTAGATATATGAATTACGAACCCTGGAGATTTCGATGAATTTCTCGTTCAATTGCGGATAATTGGACAACCTCTCCTCACTTCCAACAACCTTCGGCTTGATTTGCGGAATGAAAGCGTTCATGCGCTCAAGGAACCTGAGCGCCTTACTCATGTGGCCGGCCGCAGTCTCAACGTCCATTCCATTGCTGACAACCGACTGAAGCACCAGCTTGGACAAATGCTTCCGCGGATAATATTTTTTGGTGAGTGTGTCAAGATCTGTTGCAAGAACTTGCGCTTCTTCTGAAAAAAAAAACATATTTCTCAAAAACTGGCGAAAAAATTAATTCAAACCTTCCAGAAGTGGGGTGAACGACGTTGATTTGACGCCTTTCTTCTGACACGGTTTGATGACGATATCGTACTCACGGGACAGCGTCTGACGCATCTCATCGCTCTTATTTTTCTTCTTAGCCCTGTTAAATGTAAGTAAGTTATAGACGAAAAATGGAATCACGCAAAAACTCACTTTCTGATGAGACACGACAATGTGCTGCTGTTCATGAATTCGGGAGCTCCAACTCTTCTACGAATCTCTTCAATTCTCAATTTGTATTTGGTCAGGTTTCCAACAAGCGCAAATCTTCCTCCGACAATCTCGAACACTTCATTGTCACGCGGATGTGGAATGTAAGGGACAAGGCTGGTCGTGTTTGGAGCCTTTTTGCTGCATCCAGGCTGCTCCTCTTGTTGCTTATAGTAATCATTGAATTGAATATCTTGTCCGTTTGAAGGGTATCCATTCGTTTGGTGGATGCTCTCGTATTGTCGAAGTCGTTGGTGATACTTTTCAATACATTGAAAAAACTCATTCCCAATAAACGGAAACGACTCGGCATTCCACGGAATGTACGGAAATTTTTTGCTTTCGGCACTGAATTCTTCCGGCAATTGATTAGGCAGCACCGGGGGTTGTTGGAGGTTTTGCGGCTGCATTTGATGCACTTGCTCCGTAGGAGGCGGTTGATACATTTGTTGATCCGGAGGAGGAATCATTTGTTGTTGCATCTGATACTGATGCTGCTGTGGTTGCATCTGATGCTGTTGTGGTTGCATCTGATGCTGTTGTGGTTGCATCTGATGCTGCTGTGGTTGCATCTGATGCTGCTGTGGTTGCATCTGATGCTGCTGTGGTTGCATCTGATGCTGCTGTGGTTGCATCTGATGATGTTGGTGTTGCATCTGATGCTGCTGTGGTTGAATCTGATAATGTTGTGGTTGCATCTGATGATGTTGTGGTTGCATCTGATGATGTTGTTGTGGCATCTGATGATGTTGTTGTGGCATCTGATGCTGCTGTGGTAGCATCTGATGATGTTGTTGTTGCATCTGATGCTGCTGCATTTGCTGCGGCGAGACGTTGAATGAGCTCTCCGATCCAGAATGCGACGAATTGCGAACATCCGGTGTCGTGATATCAGAAGCGGCTCCAAGCGATGTGTTGAAGTTCTCCAACGGCGGGGTTGAAGTGAGCGGCGGCGGAGTTTTCGAATATTCCGCGTTCAGATATTGGTGTTGCTGTGGCGGTTGGTGCATCTGCGCCGGTTGCAGTGGTTGCTGTTGATCCTCATATCCAAAGTTATTCGGGAATCCACCGCTCATTGCAAAATGAGTTTCAAGAGGCGGATGTTGCATATATTGCTGATCGGGCTGAAATTTCGATGAGATGAACTAAATCTCAAATAAATCGAAATACCTGATTCGGATAATAGTACGGATAAGGCTGCTGCGTTGCCTCGTTCCAGTGCGGAGTTTGCCAGTAGGTAACATTATTTTCACTTTGATAGCATTGATTCTGAAAAATAAAAACAAACTCATCGCCTGAAACTCATCAAATCCGATTACCATTTGAGGATATTGCATATTCTCTTGATTGTGATGCATCGGTTGTTGTGGATGCGGCTGCTGGTACATTCCATGATGATCGGACGATCCGCCATACCACTTCTTGCATTGATCTACTTGACTCCACTGCTCTTCTGCTGGCCGTTTACGCTTTAAGTCCTGCACAGACTGATTGTGGTACATTCTGCAAGAAAATGATTAAAATAAAGTAAATGACCAGCCAAATATGGAAGTGGGTGGTTATGGAGGAACTGAAACCAAAGAGAAACTGAATGGCGTAAATCCTTGGTGGATCCCCTTATATACCGCCTCCGCCCATCTTGCCCAAGCAAATAGGCGGAGCCAGCCCGTTTTCTGACAGTTTTCGTTCGCACTTCAAACCGCGATAAATCGCACCATCTCATTGGTGTGCAGTCTCTCGATGGCGGCAACACCATTTGAATGATTGGTGCAACGAAAACAATGCCCCCGATGGGTGCAGACTGCTTCTGGTTTCGCACCAACACCCGTCAACACTTCTTGACGAGCGCGATTGACACAATGTCTTTGTTGTTTTCGAGAAAAAATAGTGAGAAATTGGATACGGTAGTTATACCGAAAATGTGAAAAATTAAAGGAATAATGTAAATCGCGTTGAAAATGAAGAATGATATTGAAGGAAAGACGTTTAAAAATTTTTGAACGAGAAGATCAAAAATTCAAGTTTAGGTTCGGTTAGAATATGTACAAGAAGAGAAAACGTTTTAGTAAAAAAATGAGAAAGGCGAATTTAAAAAATAGAAAAAAGTTGGGTAACCATTCATATAGAGTTTTTATTTTTATTTTTTATATTAGAAGTAGCCTTTAAACTTTTTCAAATTTTAAAGAAAGTCTTTGAGATTATAGTAAAGAAAAATTAAACCCTCCTCATTTTCTGGGGTATTAAGAACTGGGGAAAATTTGTGTTTTGAGCAAATCCTAAAATATTTCAGAAATTTTAAATAATAAATGGAAATTTCAAATTCAAACCTTCAATATTGTCTGGATTTTCGCACTTCCTCTCTGCAAGCTTACAGTAATCCCATTGGGACCCGCATATCCGATATGAACATGAAACGATTAGCCGATATTCGCACCCGTCGGATTCTTTCATTCGTCCTGTCACTTGCACAATGTATTGACAGTATCTGATTGATGGCATTGTTCGCAACTCCACAGTAACCTAAACAGTAAAAAAAGGAGAAAATGCCGACGTGAATGTTTCGAAAATATTCAACGTGACAATTCATCGAGATAGCCATTATTGATAGTTGGCATATCGCGACATTTTAGTTTTATTTTGTTAAAATGGGTTCAGAAGTCGAACAAGCAAGGCTCAAGCGTCGAACAAAGGTAAAAACAATAGATGAAAAAGAGATTGAAATCTGGGAATGTGACGAGACATTCGAAATATAGATAGAAGCATGGCTACTCGATGTTGTATGTCGACTGAAGAAATGGACACCGGGCCACTGTCAGCGGCTTTTCCACGAAAAAGAGCTCATCGAGTTATGTTATCGTGCTCGCGAAAGCTTTTGGAAAGACAATACGAAACTTGATGTGAGATTACGCCGTAGAATATGATATTTCACAGTGGCGTTTTGAAGCTTGACGTTCCAATTAAAATTTGTGGCGATATTCATGGACAATTTGAAGATCTTCTAGCACTTTTTGAATTAAATGGCTGGCCGCCGGAGCACAAGTTGGTTTTTATTTTAATGCTCAATTTAAAATTTTCAAAATAAAATAGATATCTGTTTCTCGGCGATTACGTCGATCGAGGGCCATTCTCAATCGAAGTCATTACCTTATTGTTTGCATTTCAAGTATTGTATCCGGACAAGGTCTCATTACTTCGCGGAAATCATGAAAGTCGGCCAGTCAACATGCAATACGGATTTTTTATGGAATGCAAGAAAAGGTGAAAAATAAAAATAATAAATCTGTACTAATGCGTAACAGCGCTTGCGGACATTTTGTTTACCGTATTCGGTGATGATACAAATTGTTGCCTAAAATTTCCAGGTATTCGATTCAATTGTACGAATGCTTCCAATTGGCCTTCTACTGTATGCCGCTATGCGCAGTAGTTTCCAACAAAATTCTGTGCATGCATGGCGGTATTTCCGAAGATTTAGTCGATTTGCGACAGCTCGAAAAAATTGAGCGTCCCTGCGATATTCCGGACATTGGGGTGATTGCGGATTTGACATGGGCCGATCCCGATCCGGTGCATTTCCAATAAAAAAATTTGAAAAATAAAAAATGAATTGATTTCTAGACCATAACAGGATACCAAGATTCGCCAAGAGGAGCCGCTCGTGTTTTCGGTCCCGATGCCGTGAAAAGTTTTTTGAAAACTCATAATCTGGAATTAGTTGTTCGAGCCCATCAGGCACATCAATTAGGGGCTATTCCGCTGATTAATTAATATAAATGTAGGTGACAATGGATGGTTATGAGTTTTTCGCCGACCGACAACTCGTCACCATCTTCTCAGCGCCATCGTACTGCGGACAATTCGACAACGCCGCTGCGGTGATGATAGTCGACGACAAAATGGTAATCAGTCGAAGAGCCCTTCGAATAACTCTTCCGGTTTGCAGCAGTGCTCGTTTATGATAATGCGACCGGATCTGAAGAAGACGACGCCAAAGCCCGCGTAGAAGCACACACCGATTCAACTTGTTCTCCCAACAATTTTCGAGTTAATTTATTCTTCAAATAAAGTTGAAACTGTGCAATAATAATTGGGATGATTGATTGATTGGCGTGATTGACAAGTTTGGGCACAATTGAGCCGACTCGTTGACCTCGACTTGTTTTGTATGGATTACGACTAATCCGATTGTAAAATGTGTGAAATATTTGGATGGAATCCCATCCAATTTTTTAAGATTTCAGTTTTGTAGACAAATTGGCAAAAGGGGGAATGGTTTTAAGATCATTCGAAAATATTAAAGATCATTTTAAGAATTTTGGCTCTTAACGAACCGTGTCAAAAGAGGAAATTGAACACATTTTTTTAGTTTAGCGAACCCAATTCAAAATTTGAGCACAGATTTCCTTAAAATTTTTGAATCGTCGCGAATTGTTTCAGAATTTCAGAATAACTGTATATTTCCGGTTTTTCATTTTTTCACATGTTTTTTTCTGAAAATTTTGCTTTTGTCAAAAATCTATTTTGCCTTTTTTGGGATGTTTTTTTGCGGAGATGCTCAATTCAATGAGAACGCCATTTGAAAAAAAGGGACCATAATATTTAATGAGGTCCTTCGAACTGGTTTGGCGACACATTATTTAGGTGGGGAGTATTTATTTAGCCATATCCAGCAACACATGTGGGTACAAAAAAATTATTTTTAATTTTCACAAAAAAAATATTTGAGTTGCGGTTCTCATTGTTTCTACTGTTTCACAGGGTTTTCTCAGTTTTTTTTTCGCATAGCCCCGATTTGAATGGAGGTGTCACCACCATAAATGGGCAGGTGCTAGGCGCGCTAGGTGAAGAATCCGGCACTATTGGTTACAGTAGTCGATTTACCACCTAAATACTGCGATTTGCCTAGATATCACATTATAAATCGGCTGTATACGAGATGCGATTTGATTTGAAAAAAGTCGCACCCCAATCAGAGCTGCACGGAACTTAAGTTTTCTAAAAACGGAACACGGAACAATTTTTTTTGACGGAACACGGAACGACTTTTTGATAATATAAAAAATAATTTATTAAAACCTAATCCAACCCGAATACTTTAAAATTAACAGTGCAGAATGTGAGAGTTACCGCTACCCTAACACACAGAAATCAATAAAACATTTTTTTTTCGAATCTTCGTTTTTTACTGAAATTCGCTATTTTTGCGGAACACGGAATCCGGAACAAATTTGTTTTCTACGGAACACGGAAGACGGAATTCCGTGCAGCTCTGACCCCAATATGACGCGACGAATTCGTTAAAAGCCAATCCGAAATGCCTTCTAATTATCGAATTTTTAGCTAAACAAACGCCATCGATGAGGAAATGACGTCGGATTTTTCATCTAGAAATTAAAAAAAAAAAAACGATTCTGAAGATTGGGTGGAGGAATTCATGCATATCTTTTCGGTCGGCTACGCTTAACCTAAATTTTTTCTTACAAACATCGACACAAATTTCATATTTCTTTCCAGAATGAAATTTTTATGTGGGCAAAACTTGAAATCTCTCTCACTCTCTCTTTTTTTTTCTTGAAAATTCCAGATATTTCGAACCAGATCATATAATTAATCAAACAATTTGTGATTTTTATCGAGTGATTCTCGTCGTACGCGAGACGTACATTTGTCATGTGTCAAATGGCGAGTGCCTCGAGTGCAAATATGCCGCCATCTGGTGGCAATCCATTCAATTTCAGATGCGAAATTCGCTTCCTCGACCACCGCTCATCTTGTGCATAATCATTCGGACCCCCCCCCCTCCTCTAATGAGTTTGCTGGTGAGCCCCTCCATTTATTTTGCATTCGGCTTCTTGTTCTCGTCGTCGCCTCGAAAATTCAATTAGATGCGAGCGAGCGACCGACCGACGCGCTTCTTTTCCACCGAAATTGGAATTCCCCCCCATCGCTTGTTTTTTTTTTTGGCCATTCCCATTTTTGGTTTATTTGCGAAACTGAACGCATCAGATAAAATCTCAATTTTCATGGTATAGTTCGCTTTAAAATGGAATCGACATTTTTTCGAAGATTTCAATTTTCGTCGGATACTCGCATTAGGCTTTGAATTTTCTATGCTTAAATTCAAACTTAAAAGAAAAACGACGAAGAAAAAATGAGAAGGCTCGTGAATAGAATACAAGATTCTCAAGCCCCTCTTCCAAAAATTTCCGGCAAATTCAATTGAGACAATTAATAACAAAAGCATCGCTTGGAATGGTTGACAATCATGGGACCCAAGGGATTCGACAAATGCGGAATATGCCAGCTTTTGTTCGACGGCCAAAAAGTTCGCATTTTCTTTCTTTCTTCTTCTTCACATTTTTTCCACTTTTTTCGCCTTTGAGGCCTCAAATGAAATCATCAGAAAGTTGTCGTTTTTTTTGTAATATCATGCAAAACACAAAAATGTCGCGTTTCTCATTTGCGCTTTTGCTCTTCGTCACGAAATGAGGCGAGAGAGTGCGTCGAGTGTGGAAACGCAGACACGAGATTCTCAGATGATTCGCGTCGTGTGCGTTTCGCGTGTTCTTCCCGCCACTTTTTGTCATGTTTTTGTGGTCCTGCTAGTTTTTTTCTTCTTCTTCTTCTTTTCGCCACATTTCAGACAACCCCTCATGCACCGCTAACCTTTGACCTTTATTCCGAGACCCAACGCGATTTTCGGATGAATTTCAAATCTGGACGAAATCTGATCGGAATTTTTGCAAACGATTTCTCGAAAATTGCATTTTTTTGGCTATTCTATTCCGAGATTTGAGCTTCTCATTTTTTTTTTGCTTCGAGTTGTTTATGTATGTTCATGACGAATTTGATTACGCTTCGCATCAAAATATTTTTATTTTATTTTAAAATTAAATTTCATGCATTTCAAAAATACTTTTTTTGCTGAATTGGCAATAAATCGAGAGACTGTTCTCTCTCTCTCTTTCAATCAAAATGTCCGTGGTTGAAGCAGCTTTTAGCCGTCATAAACACACGACTCAATTTGTAGATGCATTTTCGAACCCCCCCCCCAGCAAATGTACTTGCAGAGAAAAAATGCAGAAAATTGGCATCAGGTGATTTATTTTTGATGCGAAAACCCAAGAAAAAACCCAATTTTCAAAAATTCGTCGATTTTTTTTCAATTCAATGTTTGATCTACACGATGTCGATTTTTCGTCGTGGTTCGACAAAATTTTATGCATTTTCAATCGAGACATCTGTGTTTTTTCGTCGTTTCGCCAAACATCTGTATATTGGCTCCCGTTGAGTGTTTTTTTTGTTGTCTCTCATCACATTATTATAATCCACAAATTGGTTCCAGTTAGTGGCCGATTCCTGTGTGTTTTTTTTTGTATACAAACCCCCAATGTGTACAAAGTCTTTCAAAAGTGGCCAATTTTTTTTTGTCGTCGCTCTCAAAAACAATATCAATAATTCTCACTCATCGTATCGTGTCCTTTTTCATTTTTTTCGGTGTTTTTTTGTCACTCAATAAACTTGTCGGTTTCTGTTTTTTTTCGTCTTTTCACTCACAAATTCCTCCCATTTTTTTCCACTAATAAAATGTCCATTTTGATAATTGGATTTTCAGAGAGAGAGAGAGAACACCAAACTGAGAAAATGCAATCAATTTGAGCGCGAAAAAAATGCGAATTTATTTCGGGTCTCGCAACGAAATTCAAATTCCATACCACGCCCATTTTTGAATTGAAAAATTCATAGACATTGAAATAAAGTGCTCAATTTTTTGCAATTCTTCCTATTTTCAAAATTTCTTGAGTCATTCGGATTTATCAAACATTTCGTAATCAGAATTGATGAAATCTCTTCGTTCGGATTCAAAATTGAGCAGATTTTTGAGCTCCTGGAAATTGTCAAAATTTTGTGCTAAAAATTTGAACTAAAAAGAGCACCTTAATAGAACATTGGAAGATTCTCTCAACGATCCCTTGAAAAAGCTTGATTTGAACAAGACGTTCTCATTTTACGCAATTCTTGTGCACTTTTGCTATGTTCGTTTGTATAGTTGAGATGAACATAATATCTGGCCGAGATGGCATTTTCCGATATGCCTATTCGGATTTCCTTTTCTTTCTTTCCTTCATTCTTCATTCTTCTTCTTCTTCTTCTCCTCAATTTCCGTTTCGTTTCGTTTTCGTTGTTATTATTGACGATTAGGAAAGAAGAAGGAGTGGCCGGTCGAGCCAAAAATTGAGCGAGCCCGTCGCGTCGATACAATGATTCTGCTCGATACGATATATTCATAAAAAAACGAAGGGAGGCGAATGACGAGCCCCGAAAAATAAACAAAAACACCTTGATCGTGCCGCTCTTTTTTACAACAATCGACGCCGGTCAAACTCGGTTTTTTTTTATTCCATGCGATCGCATCTTTTTTTATTATGGAAAAAAATCGATTTTGTGAGGGAAATTGTGGTCGGTTTTGGTGGATTCGCGAGGTTTTTTTTTTCTTCGACGACACTCCTCCTTTCTTCTTCTTTTTCTTCTTCATTTTTTGTTCGTTGCGCAACTTCTTTGATTACGTTTTTCGCACGCACATATTTGGTTCTTTTGTCCATATTTGGTCTTCGCATTTTGTGTGCAGCTCTAATATGCTTTCGGATATTATTCAAGACGAACATTTTAATATTTTCTATATTTCTCCTTCAAGAAGCGATCTACAGTACATTTGCGGACTATTTTTTAAAATTCAAATTACAACTTGAATTATGATATCGTACTACGTAAAATCTGCGAATCAAACTCCCCGTAAATATACATTCAGTGATTTTAATATTTGGCACATCCTCACAGAAGATGAATATTGTGTTCACTACAACTTTTTTTTTAATTATTCAACTTGAAACCGTAATTCTCAATAAGTGCAATTAACAAACTAACCGATTCATTCCCAAAATTTTCCTAACGAAACAGATTAAAACCTAATGTTTGAGCATTGCATATTTTTTCAACAAATTTAACTTCCATTCGAGACCAAAAATTGCAAATTTTTGGGATTTTTCTGCAAGACAAAGATTTCCATGAGGAAAATGTTTAAAAATTTTGAGCTCGTCAATTCAAAGCACTTTTAAGTAATTCCTGGGATTAGTTGAACATACACAAAACCGAACCAAAGCAAAACAAATGCTTCAGTTTTGGCTGAACGAAACCGACCGATCCGGCCCCACCAACGAAACTCGTTGGGTCAGACGTTTCTCTAGCCGCTCTCCAATCTTTACACAATATTTCTCGTCGCAAGCCATTTATTTTTTTTATCAAATCGCGTTTATTGCGCATATATCATCGACCGTGGTTGATTTGATTTTTTGTTCAGCAAATTGATCTGAAATGGTCGACACGATTGCGGTTCTGAATCCGATCCAACTCGAAATGTCGTCGTCCGAGTTGCAGCTCGCGGTGAGTGCGAGCAGTCGTAGCACATCGTCGTCGGATTTGGACCCAGTCTCGCCGCGCGGAGAGGAGATTTTACGAATGCAACAAGAACTGAGGTAAATCTACATATTCGCCTAAACCATTGTCAAATTGTTTGCAGAGCTACTCGAAATGCGCTAGCCGAAAAAGATCGCAAAATGAATCAGATTCAAACTACGGTCGACGCTGAAGTTCAGGAACTCACTGAGAAATTGTTTCAGGTTTCACACAACCCTTTTGTTTTCACCAAATTCAACCAATTTCAGGAAGCGTACAAAATGGTGAATTCGGCCGAGGCTCGTCGTGAAAAAGCCGAGAAGCTGCTTGCCGAGTCGAGGTCGGAAGTCGAAGTGCTCCGCGCCGAAGTTCTTGCACTTAAAGAGCTCATCGCTGCACCAGGAATGGGTCGAAATCACTTCAAACAGACGTCGAGTCCGTCGCCGGAACACAAATCGACTCTCGCCAAGTTTTTTAATTGTAAGTCTCCATAGGAAAAACATATTTTGACATTTCAAATATTCTGCAGCATCCTCATCCAAAAAGTCAAAAGAGCCATTAATTTCTGATAAAAGAAAAACTTCTTCGCTTCCTTCGACTTTAACATATAATGCCGAGAATAACGGAAAAGATCGAGAACAAAAAGAAGCTGACGCAGTTGAAGAGGTATCTAAAAATAAATAGATGTTCCAAAAACAAGTTCCAAATCAGATTGATCCAATTTTGTTCGGTGAGTTTCAACTCTGGCGCGAGGCGGGTCATCCTACCACTTCACATCCGTTCATTGATCGTGTACTCATTGAAGAAGTCGAGCCATGCATGCTATTTGAAAATCAAAAGGTTATATCCATTATAAATGAAAAAATATATATAGGGATTATAGTTATCGGAAGAACTGATGCTAGCAATCAAGGAAAATCGAGTGCAATTAGAGCCACTAAATGAGCATAATCCTTCGGTTAGGTGAGCTTATAGACATTTCTGGAAAATGGCGAAATCGTCGTGGGAATCTTCGTTTTTGGTACGCAGTGCACTCTACGATTTTCCATAGTCGGTGTCCCGCGACTGCTGTACGAGGGTAGATTTCCGAGTGCGTCTTTGATGAAAAATTGTTTAAAAAAATCAATTTTTTCATTTGAATTCCCTATGCACGCACGTCAAAAATTACAAAAAAATGACGCGATATATCGTAATTCTCCGCTATTTATTTTTAAAGGCGCATGCGAAAAGTTGCGCGGGTCACGTCGCGAAGTCGGTTCTGTATTTTTTATTTTTCATTCTATGTGCTATTTTTCCGTATTTCTCGAAAATTTGAAGAGAAAATGCGTAACAGATTTAAGAACGAATAAAAACAATTATTGTTGGTATAATTACTTCTAATTCGACAATATTTGTCTACTTTTTGTCATTTAGATAGCAATTTTTATGAAAAATCGTGATATTTGTGTTAATTTGATGCAGACTTCGCTCGATGACGCTTCTGATGAACCTTCAGCGTTTATAAAATGAAATACTTCTACAGATTTCCAAAAAACGTTTTAAACGCTCAAAAAATAAAAAATCGAAAAAAAAACAGCCATTAAAAATTACAGTACCGACTTTGCGACGTGACCCGCGCAACTTTTCGCATGCGCCTTTAAAAATAAATAGCGGAGAATTACGATATATCGCGTCAATTTTTTGTAATTTTTGACGTGCGTGCATAGGGAATTCAAATGAAAAAAAATTGAGTTTTTTTTATTTTTTTCATTGCATGAATAGGTCCATTAAATTTTAACGTGAACTGTTTAATTTTTCTTTATGATTATTCCTTTCCTTGAATACTTAATATCACTGAAATTAAAAATTAAGAAAATGACCCCTAAAATGCAAAATAACCTGTAAGTACGTGTGGGACCATTTCGAAAGACGCATTCCCGTAAATCTACCCACGTACAGCATTTGCCAGACGCCGACTATAAGCATATCTTATTTGAAAATTATCAAACACCTATTCACAGTTCTATTTTTATAACTAACTTGTAAGATATTAGACGAACAAAACGAAACAAAAACTTAAAATTTAGGACAATCGTGAAAAAAATAATTAACAATTGGTGTGCGAATAAATAACGGTAAATCGCTCGGTGTACTGCGTACCAAATCGCAATATCCTACGACATTTCGCTATTTTCGAACAACTTTTCAATTATCTGAAATTGGCAATTTCGAAATTTTGATCAAGTTCATTTATAGAACATGCGAGTTGACGAGTGTGTCCCGCTTTTGCCCGTATCGAATTCGAACCGACGACTCGGCTGAATGGCATTATATTTCACTAATTGCTAGAAATAAGGTGAATTGAGCTCACGCAAAATTACAATTAGTCGCCAATTTTGCAGATAGCTGCCGTTTGCGACTTTTTCACATGCATTCGTTATCTTCGCGAAGGCCTAATCAAATCTGGATTGCGCGATTCCTATTTCCACGTTGTCGCTCTTCGCAAAAACATGGCTCTCGCCAAATTAGGCCTCGGATTCGTGCCAAAATCCAACATTCGCCATAATCATTGAATCGATGGGTAGACAATAATAATTATTATTATAATTCACATAAATCTCAAATATAATACAAATAAATTACAATTGTATATTTTAAAAAAGAGAGAAAAAATGTTGGTCGCTATTATGATTTCGCGATAACTATAGTTTTGCACATTTTACATTGAAACAAGGACGGACGGAAAAGGTCGAAAGGAAAAGCATTGAAGATTGAGCGATTATAAATGAACATAAGACACCGTTACAGTAATAAAACGGAACCAAGCAGTCATTGTATTACGAAAATGGGTGAATACAATGGAATCACAGAAAGGATAGTCACCTCGTGCAAACCGAATAGAAAAGAAGCTGCTGTGTGAGGATAGAAAGGAACGAAAAAGCAAACGTTGGAATTCGATTAATTTATTTCTTCTGCTGCAATTGATTTGCAAGCCAATCCATCGCCGCGTCGAGACCTTCTCCTTTCGAGGCTGAAGTTTTGAAAATCTGGATGGTTCGGTTTCGAAGCGCGTCGAGACCCAAAGCCTTGTAAACTTCAGTCTCAGTAAGGCATCCAGGGATGTCCTGAAAAACAATCAATATTTTCAAGAAAAATAACATTTTTTTTTCACAAATTTCTAACCTGTTTGTTAGCCAAAACTGCTAAAATCGCTCCTTGTAATTCATCTTCTTGTAGCATTGATACCAATTCTTGTTTAGAAATTCCAACCTGAAATTCGATATTTTAACTACATCGTGGAAAAAAAACAAACCCTATCTCTATCGGCGGAATCTACAACATAAATAATCGCATCCGTATTGGCGTAATAGCACCTCCAATATGGCCGTATCGACGTCTGACCACCAAGATCCCAAACCTGACCAAGACAATTGTTTTTGTTTAGAACTGAATGAGGTTACCTGGAATTTCAAGTTCTTGTATTCGACTTGCTCCACATTGAAACCAATGGTTGGAATAGTTGTCACGACTTCTCCAACCTGAAACAAGAGAAAATTCAATTTAAAACTGATTTGACAGACAAAAATTAGCTTTTGCTAGAGCCAAAAAATTATCAATAATTACCTGCAATCGATAAAGAATGGTCGTTTTTCCGGCTCCATCTAATCCCAAAATAAGAATTCGCATCTCTCTTGCTCCAAAAAGTCCGCGAAAATACGACATAACACCGCCCATCTGAAATTAAAGTTAATAAATAAATATTAAAAAAAAAACTAGAAAGATATTGAAATGGTCTACGAACCAAATTCTATAAATACGGATGAAAAAACAATACAATTTTTAAATTTATATTAAACGAAAAATAATGAGCAAAACAACAAACAAAAGCAACAAAAAATGATAACAACTAACAAACTGAAACAATTAGATCAAGAGCCATAGACAAGACCCTTCTTGAAACGAGTTGGATTAAGGCCATAAGCTTTGATTCGAGAATCTGTGACTCCGGGACCGAATTTCGCCGCAATTACATTATTCTTGTTTCGTCTCCTAGCTTTTTTCACTGGCTTTTGGGTGTTAGTGGTGGGTTCCACTGTCTAAAAAATGAATTGTTTCAATATTGAAATACGAATAAGAATGTCACCTTCTCAGAATCATCTTCAACATTTTCAGGCTCATTCTTATTTTGCTCTTCCTCGTTCTCGGCAATCTGCTCCTCTTTTCTTTCCAATCCATTAGCAAGCTTCGCCTTCTTCTTTCCTCTTTTCTTCTTTTTCTTTTTACCTTCACCTGCGCCAACCACTTCCGAATTTTGTTCGGCCTCTTTGAGCAATTCCTCTTCTTCGGCTTTTCGTTTCAACGATTTCTTTCTGAACATTCTTGTGTCGTTTGCTTGTTATAACAATAAATTAATACCCTCCAAAATCAGTCGATAAAATGCGCTTCTTCTTCTCAACATCTTTCGCCTTCTTCTCATACGCGAATTTATCGAATTTCTCTTCCTGGGGTGTTCGATAAGCTGTAACCTTTTTCAGCGAAGCCCACGCATTCAACTGTCGCTCATCGGCTTCGAGAATTTCTTCAGGAGTCAATCCAAATGTGTTGGGTTCAACTTCGCGGTACTTGAATTTAGTTACTTGATCACCTGAAACAAAAATGTTAAAAATTACAAATTGCTCATAATTTTTTTCCTTAAAAAGCGTGTAAAATCGAAATCATACCAATAATATCCTCATAATCAAGCGCATAATATTCATTGAAATACTCTTCAAACGTCTTTTCTTTCGGATCAAATAGCGGTTTTTCTTTGGCGAGGGCTTCCTTCAACGCATTCCTCTTTCTCTTTCTACGACTGTCTGAAAAATAAAAGAATGAGAAACTAAAATTCAACGAATCCGAATGCCTTTGTCTTTGTCATTTTTCAAGGCTTTTTGAGCTGCCGAAATCATATCAAATTTGCCATTTTTCATAACAGACTTCTCATTCTTCGCCGCTTTCTTCTCCACACTTTCCTCTTCTGGCTCGTCATGCTCTTCATCGTCTTCTCCATCGTCGATTTCCTTATTATTGTGTCGTTTCAGTTCATCAACATCGAGATTGTCATAATCTTCAAAATCGGAATCGTCCATCTAAAAAATCGCCAAATTCAATGTCGAAAAACTATCTCACGTACATCGCTGAAAACCGGTTTCTCATTTTCGTTCTCTGGAACATCTTCCTCATTTCCATAATATTCGTCGTTGAAGATTTCCTGAAAAAAAAAGAAAAATTGATATAGATTGTAATAAAATAATGAAAAAAGTAAAGTTATTACGAAAAAAAAGTAATAAATTCTGTCACGTGCACGTTTTTTTTAAAATCTTTATATTAATCACCTGCATTTTTCTATCAAATTCCTTTGGATCAAAATCGGCATTCAATTCGTCAATACTCAATGGAATATCGCATCCAGCCGCCTTTTTCAGCTTCGCCAATTTCTCCTCAATCTCCGACTTTTTCATTTTTTGCAATTCTTTTAATTCCTTTAAAAATCATAACCATATTTGGATTCTCTCGTAAACATTCAACCTTCTTTTTCTCTTCTTTCTCCTTCTTTTTTCTCTCCTCTCTTTCAACGCGCTTTTCTTTCCTCTTGCTATCCGCGGATCTCATCGATTCCATGACAGTACGTGGATATTGTTTGATCTACAAATTTTTGGCTTCCAGAAAACCCAACAATATATCGAAAACTTACAAATTCTTGATCAGGATTTTCAAAACGGAAATTATATTTTCTCTCAAAATCGAGATTTTTGTCCATCTCCTTCTCATCCTCTTCGAGTGCAACAATTTCCTCATAAGTCGGATTTCTAAATGATTTTAAAAATTTATAGGGCAAAATCATCGAGAGATCTTACTCGTTCGACTGCGAAACATCATAATCCTTGTTGAGAATATAATCGCGAAGGAATTTCTCAGATTCATCAAGATCGTCTTTCTTCCAAATCTTTTTCAAATGTTTCAACTCCTATAATATTATTAAATTCTTTTTTTTTATTAAAAGAAATCGTTACTAAAGAAACATGAAATAATGATAGCATGATATTCGTCTAACCTCTTTTATGTTTGCACATTATCTCAAACTATTAACGTCTTATAAATAACCATGTAAAATTTCGACGTCTGATAAACCAATATGCGATAAATTCAAAATAATCACCTTAGCCATTACTTTATCGCTTTTCTCTTCCTCTGTTTTGAGCCATTCAAGAAAATCGCTTTCATCCTTTTTCTGTAATTAAATTACAAGATTCCAAACCTAATTCTCGTCACTCTCACCAACTCCTTTTCCGTTTTCTTCCGTTCAACAAGCACGTCTTCATCTTCGTCATCGTCGGTGTGAATGGCAGCGACAAGACTAAAACTTGGCATAATAGATCATAGGATTCAGGTATCATACCTTTTTCTGAGCTCTTCTTGCTCTTGATGATATCCGGGATCATGCTCGATTTGCTCACTTTCGTCCTCGTCGCTCTCTTCGATTTTTCTGCAAAAACTCCACTAAAGATGGCTATCGTGTCAAATCGAAATGCAAATTTTTCGGAAGAAGACCCAACAAATGCCATATGAGACGAGTGCCTGAGAAATGAGTGCGCGCGCGTGCGCACATGCATTAGCGGGGGGCTGGCAGCAAGTGCGTGGATTTTATCGGTTCCGCAAACACACCGACGCTATGTTGCATACCCAAATTTGAACAATAATCGCTGTGCTGATGAAATAGTGTGAAAGAAGTGACAAAAACGAGAAATGGAGAAAATTGAGATCAAATATCGAACAGAATTCGAAACTAAAACAGAAAATTTTGATTGGCACCTCGCCGATATTTATGGCCAATAAATAAATACAATTGATCGGCGCAGAAAATCATTCGTTTTTCGCGATTTTAAATTTTCAATATATGACTTTCAAACTTTTATTTCACTATGAAGACACTGTATTTAGAATTTTATACATAATAAAACCATAGATTCTATTTATTTATAATTTAAATAAAAAAAAACTAACCCATTTCGTTCAAGAATCAATTTTCTTTCATAATCCTTCACAGTCATTTTTTCATCTTTCTTCTTCTTTTCTATCTTTTTTGTTGAAATTGGTTCGACATTTTCAAAAAAGCTATAACAATAAGTTTGAGGTAATAAAATAAATTCAGATGGAACCTTTTTCCCGATTCCAGTTTCTCCCCTGCTTTTAAAGCTCCAAGTGTTTTCAAAAACGCTTCTTCGTGCTCGTTTGTCCATTCCTTTAAAAAAATACATTTTGAACAATTTATGGTTTCAACACAGAAAACATACTGGCTCCGATTCGCTGGATGATGAATCGTCGTCATCTTCGACATCTCCAAATTTGTCTTTGACTGAAAATAAAAATAAAATAGGTGAACTTGACGAATTTTCCAAAAAGCTGATATAAATTTTAGAATAATTTAATTAAAAAATCTCACTTTTCTGCATTTCCTCAAGCCGTCTCCAATTATCATATCTTTCCGCATATCCCTTAATCATTATAATAAATTCTAAATAAATTAATAATTAATAGAAACCTTATTAATAGGCAATTCCGTTTCTTCCTCGTTTCCACCATCATCTTCAAAAAGTGCTAATTTTTTACTCTTCTTCATATTCTAAAATTCAGTAATTCAAATTTAAGACACAAATTCCATATCACGAAATAATATCTGAAATTCTACAGATTCCCGGTTTATTTATTCGACAAACACATAATTAACTAAAATTATTTATTAGCAACTTGAACTGTAAGAATGCCGGTGAATACGTAATGCTCTAAACAAGAGTCAGATCATGGATGAATATATAATATACATATATGCTCAGAAAGTGCGATATTGCGGAATTATGGTTCGGAAAGCGGTGGGAATACATAAAGTATAATGTACAGCAAAAATAAATTATATTCTACACATGATTGATTGGAACAAATATCTACAAGAAATCGGCTAAACCCATGGTAATCAACGTGGTACTTAACAAGAGTAATTAGATTTGAATCAATTCAAGTTGTTTATTTATTGCTGCTGGGGTTTAATAGCCGGCTTGAAAGAATGAATCGACAATTGATCATAAGCTGGCGGAGCATCACCATCCGGCTGATTGTCGGCCCACGACGCAGCAGAAACACCTTCTTCAACCATTGCGGACTTCTTTTCGGGAAGAGGTCCGGTAACCGTGGAATGGGTTTGACGGAAATTGTGCTAAAATTTTAATTTTCACTCTACATTTTTTGTCTATTAAGATTATGCAAGATATTTGATCACTCAAATCCAAAAGAAAATCTATTAGAGTCTATTTTCGCACACTCATTCATTGGCTAAAACCGAATTACCCTCATTCTGACATATTCCTCAGCTCCCGAGCGGCAGAAGAAGATGACAACGCAGAGAATTGAGATAGCCAAGAAGAGAACCGAGAATGTGAGCACAAGCCAACGAAGCGAGTGTGGTCCGTATGCTGAAAAAAACAACAAAATCGATTAATTCAATCAATTTCAACATTCACATACAGTAAAAGCTCTTCGGCTTGGCAGTGACAAACTCAAACGAAGTGATGATTGGCTTATCGTTCTCGATAAAATTTCCAACTTGTGGCCCAAGGAAAGCAATCTCATCATGACCAGATGGTCTTGAACTGAAAATGTGTTTTTCAGCCATCATGCGATCATGGTGCACCTGAAAAAGAACAATAGAATAATTTTTCCTTTTTTTATGAAAAAGCACCTGTCGCATAACATTATTAATAAGCCGATCCATAACAAACATGACACGAGCATTCTCGTTATCAATCTCATTGGCTTCGCTGAAGATCTTGTTCCTAAATGAAAATGAATCAGTTTAAAATGAATTCGACTCAAACGTACAAATCCATATCGTCAAACTTAGCCGCGTCCATGCTAATGAACTTCGGGCGAATGATGATATCAGACAACGAGGTGCTGACGCTCTAAAAACAGTTTCAAATAGTACCACATTCTGAGTTTTCTCCTCATTTACCGATGGCGATTTTCCCAACATTCTCGCAATTCCGGATCCAGTCTCCTTCTCGATTCGAAGATGTGGTTTCTCGCTATTAAAATCAACGGACATCTAAAAAAAAAAAATCAAGCTTTCAACTTTAAAAAAAATTGAGCATACCGAAAATTTCTGATCGAATGGGAGGGAGCAGGCGAATTTACAAGAGGTCTGCTCATCTTCGTTCGTCGCATTCGGATACTGAGCTTCGCATCGATCCATACATACACGGAATCCGAACATTCCTTTTGCAATTGGCCCGCGTTCATTACATCCGAATGAACAAGATCTCTGAAAGCGAAAACAATTAGCTTCAAATTTTTTTATATATATTTTTTTATTTATAAATAGTCAGATCAAATGATCATCAATGATCTCTCTTTTCTCTGTTTCTCTCAAGAGTTCAAAAATTTTCTCAAATTCTCAATAATAAATGAAACATGTGGCGATTATTAGTGATAATTTTCGCCGAAAGACATGTTTGGTGGGCAATTTCAGATAAACCCCGCAACAAATGCGATTTTTGATGCCTTACCTTTTGAGCTTCAGTACCAACGAATTTCTCATTGCACAATTGAAGGCATTCAACTTGGTCGTCGGCAGAAATCGCGACAATCGCGCACAAAAGTATGAAAATGATGGGCTTCATTCTGAAATCCGAAAAAAATTAATAATATCCAAAGAGAGCGAGCAAGTCGATCGGCGCTGACTCGAACATGTGAGCGAATGCGGAGAAAGAGAGTGCACACGGCAGTGAAACGAGGCAACTAATTGAGAAAACACATACACATTTTGTATAATTTGATGTTTTCAGCGAGTGCAGCTGCAACACACCAAAGAAAAAGTTGGATGGCCGGAGAAAATCGATTAGTCGGAACGATATTCACCAACTGGTTATGAAAAAACAAGCAAACGTCTCGTTCCGGTGGAGCGTCGTTGCGACATGCAAATCGGCATTTCCAAAAAAACGTTGGAGAAAGTTCGAGAAAAGTCGTTTAAGCGATGGCTTCGAAGATTCATGTGACTGTTTATATGAAAACGGAAACGAAGCAGTTTTTAAAGAGGAAGTAGAATGCACAGGCAATAAACTGATCCAGGAATGAAAATTCCACATTGCACATTACAAAAATAAAACTTCTTTGATTCAGCTCTTATCTCATATAATAATAATGAGAAGTCTAGAACAAAAATTTAAAATAATTATAAGAACTACTTAATAGATATTTGAACACTTAATAAACTAAAAATATTCCACTAATGGGAAAAGGGAAACCCAATTTGGTTTGCATTCCAGTTCCTGTTTTCTGTTCTTAGGAGTCAGATAGCTTCCATTTCGAATCATTTCGAGTTTAACGCTAAAATAATTTTTATAAACTTGCTCTTGTTTTCTTATTGGTGGTTCAGACAAGTTAATGAGAGAAACAGAAAAAAGACTTTCAGTGAAACGCCCGCGTAGTGTTGGAGAAAGTGTGCGATTTTACGAGACAGAGGCATTTATTCTAACTGGCATTTCAAAGAGCCTCGTTTTCTGTTTCTACGGCACGATTTACTGATCTATAAAAATAAAATCGATGGCCTGGAAATAAATGAGAAAAGAATTTGGTGGCCGTAAAAAATGTTAGGTCAGGAGTAGAAAAAAAAACTTTTAAACATTGATATCGAAGTGAACAGCTTTTTGTCGGTTAACCAAATGAAATTTCAAATGACTGATTGATCGTGGCAGAAAACTCAAAGGCGCGAAATCGATCCAAATAATAATTTATAAATTTATGTGCGGTTGAAATATTAAATGCGCGTACAGTAAAATGCAAAGTACGCAGACACGCACAGTTCCTTTGCCTCGAGACACCATGACATTGCCAATATTTTATGCATATATTTTATGTATAAGAGTTTAATTATTTATTTTTCAGGATATGCACTTTTCCATTTTTCCAGTTGAGTTGGGAATTATTGTGAAGATTTTACCGCTCTAAAAATTATTTTGAAAATGAAGAATACAAAAAGATAATAGAAACGCGTACAAGAAGCAAAACACGAATAATTAATTTTATTAATGACAAAAATGTTTTCTTTTAAATCTCTGCTGTTTTTACCAAAAATATCGTTTAAAAGTGCTTATTCTGCAAAATAAATTATTAAACTCGGTTTCTGCAAAATTTAAATAACAAAATTTCGAAGGGAAATACGAAAATTGAGCGAAAAATTAAAAAATGAATATGCGAATTTTAATAAAGTCCCCGTAAATCGCTACTAGGATTACGGTAACTGGCTTATCGCATTGCGTACAAAACGCAGGATCCCACGACACCTGGATACATTTGTGATTTTTCAATAATACATTTCATGAATTAGCTTATAAGAAAAATATTACGCTTGGAGCGAAATAAGCGCTTTTCAAATCTTCTAATTTCAACACTTATTGTTGTATTGATTTATTTTCCTAACTACATCTAATTATAAAAAACATTATCAAATCGGTTTAAAAAATGTCTTCTAATCTATTAATGGCATCTCTCGGACTTCTTTTGTGCATCAGGAAATGTCCTTGTAAAGTTGCCGGCGAAACTTCTGTTTGAAAAGACTTCATACGATTCACAAATTCCTCGGCTAATTCAGATTCTTCGGAAATCAAATAAAACTTGACAAACATCTGAAATTTGTCATTTTCTATTAGAATATTAAGACTAGATAACGTTTCGCATCATATTTTCGGTTGCATTTCCGAAATACTGTTTCCGATCGACTCTTCCCGGTCGAATCAGCGCCGGATCCAATCTTTCAACATAATTTGTCGTCATGAACGTGATTCGTTCTTCAGCGCATGCTACACCATCCAAAGCGTTCAGAAGTCCGGAAAACGTCACTCTGAAATATTTTTCTAAGGATCTCGATTTCGATTTTACCTTGAAAGCCCCTGATAAGCCGGATGATTTGCCATTGGGTCTTCGCGACTGACAAACGCCGCATCAATGTCTTCAAGAATAACCACACTATTCGGAGGAGCTGTATTCAACAAATGATTCAGTCTGAAATAAAAATAGTTGCACATCCTTCACACTAATTGATAAACCGATCATCGTCTAAAGTTCTTTCACTCAATGACAATAGGCAAACACTATAACCAAAGTGACTTGCAAGTGCAGAAATAAAACTACTTTTTCCTGTACCAGGAGGCCCGTAGAACAGATAACCGCGTCTGTAGGGAACACCGCGATCCGAATACCTGCGAACTCAATACTTTCAGAATATGAGATGAATTTGTACCATTCAGCAGAACTAATAAATTCTTTGAAATCGCTAACAAGCTCCTTGCAGATATTTCCATCAAGAATTACGGTATCGATATCTCTTTTCTTCCGAGGAACTCCGAAACGTACCCATTGTGGTCCAACTGCTTGATATATTACCAGTCCAGTTTCCGCCTTCAAACTCCAAAATCCTTAAGAGTTTACATAAAACAACCTTACATTATCGAGAGCATCTTTCGCAGATTGTTCCAACATTTTTTTGAAAAAATTAACATCTGTGCCTAATGTTGTAAGCGTAACTGTCTCAAATGGCGTTCTTATTCCATCTCTTTGAATAACTTGCTTTTCACGTTGTCGTTCGACTTTTATCCATCTTGATTTTTAAATATTAATTATATTCGTTTAATTCTGTATACCTATAATCATGGACAAAGAAATGGGTTCCGTGTCCCGGAAGAAATGATATTTGAAGGGACGTTTTACCACTTTCTGATTGATGCACTACTGTATTTGCCGCAAGATTCCGAGTCTGCATAGCACTTCGCTTATTTATGAAATCTAATAGCCACGGATAGGCACTAAATAGATTTTTTTGAAAACGTTTCTGCAGTACGCAACCTACGCGTCCTCGTTATTGATTTGTAAAGAAATCATAAATCTCCTCCTAAAATAAGTGTTTCCTATTTGTGCCGACCTTCGCAAGAATCCCATTGCGAGCCCTGTATGCGCATAATTAAAATTATGACCTATTCATGAAACTGTTCTTTTTTGTAAAAAAAAATATAAAAATTACATTGAATTTTTCAACTTTTTTACTTGCCTGCATAAAAATTGTATTTTTTTTACATTTTTTATTGCATGGATTGGCCCATTAAAGTACGCAACACTGACCGATTCCGGCTAAGCCAGCGCCAGCATTAAAATAAGGATTCGAGTTAAGACCGGAGGAAAGTCTTTGAAACAACGAATTACTCGAAGGACTAGACTCCAATTGGCTAGTATTGATTGCTTCATCGATTATCATCTCAAGCACGCATAATATTCCTTATTCATTTCTTACAAAATGTATACTATCGTTTCTAACAAATTCACCAAAGTTTTGTTTGTAACAACAATACATTTATTTGAAACATAACAAGTGAGTGGTTTATTCCTCTTGCTGCTCCTTGAGTGACAGGAGAAGAGCCTTCTTGTCCGCAACACGTTGCTTTCTCTCTTCGTATGTGATTCTCTTGGCGTTGAATCTTTAAAAAAAAATTAATATTTTAATACATAATAATAAAAACCTCTTTGGCTTTCCGTCCTTCTTTTGCTTCTTGGCTGGGGCACTTGGATCAGCCCGGATAGCAGCATGAGCCTTCTCGTAAGACTAGAAATAAATTGAAAATATTAATGAACAATCACTAATTAACATACAGAAACGAGGTTGTCAGCGTTGAGTCCAGCAGCGATGTACTTCGAGAATTGTCTCTTGTAAGCATCCTCATCTTCCTCCTTCAAGTAAGACATGTACTCGGCGACGTGCTTTCCAAGGATTCTGTCACGGTGGGCCTCAGCATTGTACTCAGAAGCCTCAGTGTCGAAACCGAAGAAGCGGTTCTCGCTAAAAAAAAATACTTCATTGTGATTTTTTAATATCTAAATACCTGTGTGGAACGTTAATTCCTCCATCAGCAACCCCCTTCATCACAGCGAAGACCTTAGATCCAGTGGTGGTACGAGCAAGTCCAACATCGAGGACAGCCTTGAATGGAGCGCGGTCTCCCTCCTGTTCGACATTGTAGTCCTCACCGGTGAGCTGCAAATTTAAGTAATGGAGATAGCAACATATGAAAGGAAACAAAAATTACCTCCTCGTGTCCCTTGTAGACGGAGTCCAATCCAATTGCCTTCAAGTGTCTACGAGCAAGAAGGAGTCCAGTGGCGTAAGCAGCAGCGTAGTTGGTAAGACCAACCTTGACTCCATAACGTGGGAGCTCGTGGGAGTAAGCCGAAGCAACAACAACGTCTCCTTCAATCTTGGAGTAGGCGATCTAAATGTAAAATTGAAAGAGATACATTTACTGATTTTAACCTGAGCGACAACATCCTTGTTGGTCAAACGCACAATAAGGCGGTATTTTGGGGTGTTGTACTTGTTCTTGTCTTGGACGGTAAGACGCTTACGGGCATAGTAATCGGTCTTTCCCTCACGCCTTCTCTTCAGCTTAGTCTGGTAGCGCTTGAAGTAGGCCTTATTCTTAACGACCTTGACGAGACCCATGTTTTCTATAAAAAAATTGATTATAATTAGTAGAGAAAAATTCCAGATCCAAAAGAAAAAATACGTAAATTTTCGAAGCTAAAGCGCCAAATACACACAGAAATGTAAACTTTCAATAGAATCTTATTTAATTTACATAATTATCATAACCACATCTCATAAAACTATTAAAAAACAACGAAAAATCATGAAAAAGAAAGAAAAATTTTAGGATTCCAGCGAAAAATTGCAAAAGTCCGCAAATAGTAAATGTACACCGACTCTGCGGACTTTTTGTTTGATTCGCAGGCGCGGCAATTCAAACGTTATTTTTTGCTGACTGAAATATCCGGTTTTCACACGCTGTTTCGTCTCGCGTATTTGATTTCTTCCTTCATATGAGACGATAATACGTTGTTTTTTTGGTTTCTCAATGCTTTTCAAAAATAAAAATGTCTTATGAGGCAATAACTATATTTCCTCTGCATTGACCCTTTATTTTGATTGTCGTTTAAAAATGAAAAACGAACCTATTCATGTCATAAAAAATGTTTTTGAAAAATTCATAATTTTCCATTTCGGGATTGTAAAACGTGCAAACTTAATATATATTTTTTCTTTTTTTTTATAAAAAATACATTTTTAATGAATAGGTTCATAACTCAAGACCAATCGGGTCCGACGAAATAAAAAAAACGGTTCCTTAATCAATCCGATCCAACTGGTATTTCTGCAGGGAACGAATGCACAATGCGATTTCCGTGGGAAATTGTATATTTCAAACATACGGTTTCCAGTGAAAATCTGTTCAATTGATTTTGAGTTACCACATCGTCTTTTTTTTTGAATGAAAAACAAAAGTAGGAAGAAAAGATTTGTAATCATCTAAATGTTTATTAACTATACGAATTTGCCATGCAAATATTGAGAACAAATGAATTTCGGCTTACAGGTATGAAAAACTAAAATGTGAATAATGCAGTAATGTAGTAATTGACGGAAAATCTAATATACAGACAACAATTATGGACTGTCGTGGAAAATGAGATTTCCCCATTGCGACAATAGTTTCTCGACCATTCCTCGGGCGTTTGGATCAGCAGATTCCATAAAAGCAGTGTGGCCTCCATGATTAGTGATAATTCCAACGACATATTCGCTTTCAAGCATATCTTCGACCGGAATGCCTTAAATTTTTATTAGAATTGTTCTATTATTGAAAACTTACATTCAACAGGGCTGAAATAATCATCGACCGAGTTCAGTGTTACGACTGGCCTTCTGATTTTGTGAACCTAATTCTTTTTTAATTTTATTCCGTCTCGTTTGCGAATTTTCTGTATACCTTTGTATTTAGGGTGGCCTCTCTATAATAATCATCATAGCATTTATATCCGAATAAGGGTGTCACGAATGTTTTGTCAAATCCTCGAACTGTTGTACATTTGAGAACTTGGTCAAAGTCAATTTTTCCTTCGAAGAGTTCGCGATACCTAAAATTTTCTTTAATAATTTCTTTTTTTCGCCAATCGCCTCACGGTTTGACAACTTTAACCAAATTTTTTGCGATAAAACTATTGAAAATCAATTGTGGAATGAAACACTAAATTAAAAAAGGATTAATTGAAATTGAATTGTGAATTTAAGAACCTCGATAGAATCTGAAGCAATCATTGGGTCCCATGGTGAAGAAATAATCATTCCACCATCCAAGTGTGCATTTTCGCCAACCATTGCCAAATAATTCCAAAGGATCATTCCTCCCATACTGAATCCGCACCCAAGTTTTTTCGCTTTGGGATATCTCTCGTGCACCATTTTCGCAATATATGCGAAATCGTGTGGCGTCGCAGCATTATAAGTTCTAAATTAATTTTCATTTTTCTAAATTTCAGCTATCTCAAAATGCCACTTTGTTGTGCGAAGTCGGACACCACCTAATCCTCTCGGGTTAACAACTAGACATTTCCAGCCTTTGTCTCTTGCTTCAATAACTGGGTGAAGAATATAACTGCTGTCATGAGTACTTCCTAAAAGAGAGAATTGTTTATTTAATGAAGAGCCGGTAATTATCGACCGGTGATTCCAGGCAAGAATACAACAATCGGTGTCTCATCATCGCATCCTTCTGGAAGAAGCCAATCGATTCCGGCAGCACCGCCATCTTCGAACTCAACGATCTCTCTAAACTTCCCATATCACTGATTATTATTATTAGATCAATTTCTAGAAAACGTACACACAAGACGTGCGTTATCAGTTAAAACCGATTGTGTTTTCTTCATTATTTTTTTTCTCTCACAAACCTCACAAATGGAAGACTTGGACAGTCGCGGAAGACTTGGCGTACAATAGTTTGAGTAGTTCCAAACGGACACCACCAACTTGGATGATATTTCTAAAAACAATAATAATGGATTGAGTTTTTTTTCAGGGATTGGTTACTTCTTTTAAGAGCATTAGATTCTTCAATGCCTTTTTATGGAGTTTCGAACCATTTTTTGTGTAGTATTTTGGGACCTTAAATCAATTATTGCACAATAATTTGAAAAATTTGAATTACCGCTGAAATATACCAAGAATATGCCCATAAAAAGGCAGGTGTAATGATCATAAATGCTGTGAAATATTCGAGAACCATTTTTGGAAACTAAACGAAAAGAATTATTTTCATTGTTTTATTTCAACGATATCGAGGACCCCGAACTTAAAACAAAGACGAAATGGGGTGATAGCGATTGATAGCAGTGCAACAAATCACTCAAAATTTGATAAGAGTTTAGAATTGCGAAGAAAATTCAACGAGTTGTGTGTCACAACAAATCGCACCGAAGCTCTTCAAACTCGCCGAATTGATAAATGTCGAATTTGAGCGAAGAAGTGCAGCAAAAAATGGCCGGTTTTATGGGTAATGATAACAAATATAATGGTAAATTTCATCAAATATCAGGGCATTGAACGGAACGAGAAAAAAAGTTTTGGAGATACGCACAGAGAACTGCCACAAATGTTATAGTTATCATTCAGTTGCATATAAAATAAAAATGATAGAATGAATGATAAAATAACTTCGGGAACATTGCGATTTCTTTGAAATCGAAATGCGAGTCAAACATTGAATGGAGGGTCAAAGTTCACTTTTTATTGCAAAATCGTGAGACAGCTGGTCGAACTCCAGTGGAGGCTAATTTAGTAGTTGGCTACATTGTAGCCTCTTGGTGAGAGCCTTTTGATGTTATTATGCAATAATGAAAGCTACATATATGGTGACACTGGAATTTCAACTTAATTTTTCAGTTTTCCATTTTTCTTAATAAATTTTTCGCAACAAAGAAGGTTTGTTATATCTTATTTAGTAAGAATTCAAGGAAAAAAAACGTGAAAATATTTACGCGGCCTAGTAAATTTCAAGGCCGTTGTTATCAAATCCACGATTAAAAATTTCTCGTCCACGATTTGGAGAAATTTCGGAATCAGGTGCCCGAATACGATTAAAATAAGAATCGGATGAGCGGGTGAAAATCAATTTATTGATTAAATAAATAATCTACTTCATCGCTATATATTTTATTGATTGTTTTTAAACAAAATACAAGAAAATTGGAATTCGTAATAAATTCATGTTAAAGCGTGAGCTAATGCGTTGCAATCAGATAAGAATGGTATAAAAAGGAAAGAAAAGAAGGTAATGAATCAGTAAGCTCAAAATGGCTCAATCAGTCCCACCAGGAGATATCCAAACCCAGCCGAACGCGTGTGTTTTGTAAGGCGTTTCGGTGTACTTCAGGGATATTTGAAACCACTTTCACTGATGTTCCCCTTTTTTCAAGTCGATGATTGCAGCGTGATGAATTGAATCAGTTGTCATCTCCATAAAACTTTTAAAAATGATTAAAAGATCATAAAAAATAAAATTAACAAAAAAAATGTCCAAAAAGTGGCGTATGAGGTTGCGTTAAATTTTGCCTCACCCTGATATCAATCAATAAAATAAAAAGTTTTGAAATTATTCTAATAATTATTGCCCTCTTTATCTATTTTCGAATTGTTTTATCTGTTCAATTTTATCAAAACAAATTCCTCTGTTTTTACTTCTTTCAATAATTTGCAGATAATTCTCATTTTATAAGCAACAATTTGATTAATCAAGTAGATGAGGTTCCCACTTCAATATCGATTCCCACAAAGGTCCCCCACTACACTGAATGTGGTGACCTCTACCTTCACATAAGGACTTTAACCTCGGCGTATATCTATGTGGGTACCTGCTCTGCGCTGTACGGACCCTCTCTTCACCATTTTCAATGAATTGGGAACCTGATCTTTCATCTAGGCAATCCTGATGATAAGCACCCTACAAGGTGCATGTCATACTGTACGTCAACACCAGGCACCCATACTGCACTGTATGTGGGGACCCTAAATACATTTTGCTCTCGGGGACCTATTCCGCACTCTATGGGAATCTTAAACACAATTTTCGCGCGAAGCAAAAATTTGATCATTCTTCAATGAATCATCAATTTCCGTGCGAAATTTGATAAAACTATGTGTTTATTTTTTGGCTATAAAATGGAGGTTTATAAATAAAACATGTTTTTTAATCAAAATTTAATTATTCCATAAAATTCTCCACGAAATAGTTTTTGCGGGCAATAAACTCATCGTCGCCATTTGGCATAGAATGAACAATCGCGTGCTCCTCCTGTTCGCCGTCTTGTTTTGCACGACGTCATGTCTGGTGCTCGAGATTCAATTCATGATGCAATGTGTCGCACACCGAAACGCTTGGGTAACTGGTTTGAATTGGAGATACACGCTGAAGAGGGATTTACAGATTTACAATGGATACGGGTGCTGGTGTGGAATCGGAGGCGCCGGACCAACGGTCGATGGCATTGACGGGTGATTCATTTTTATTGCAGCCCCCACCATTCGAATATCTCAATTCAGCTGCTGTAAAGCACATGACATTTGCTATGATAATTTATACAAAAAACATGTTTGCTGGCAAGCACCGTTCGAATATTTTCCAATTTATACCTGGAAGTGTGTCAATAATACTGTTGAATGCACGGGGCTGAGTAGGTCCATTTTTTGAAGTTAATCGCATAAAGCCACTTATTAAGCTCCATTTGGAGTTCAAGTTGCAAATGAGTGTGGAGAGCAATTGTGCGAATGTGATCGCATTTTAACAGCTTGTTGGACGAAATATCGAGAACCGAATGAGCGCCTGAAATGCAATCATCCGCAGAGTTTCAAGGAATATCTTCATTTACTGGCTGAAAAGCGAAGACCTTTTCTTCACCGCTATATTTGATGGGCTGTTATAAACAAAATTCCAGAAAAATAATCATTATTATTATTATTATTAATTTTTGAACGTTCAAATTTAACTCCATAAATACGGATTCGACGTAATTGGAATTCGTAATAAATTCATGTTAAAGCGTGAGCTAATGCGTTGCAATCAGATAAGAATGGTATAAAAAAGAAAGAAAAGAAGGGAATGAATCAGTAAGCTCAAAAATGGCTCAATCAGTCCCACCAGGAGATATCCAAACCCAGCCGAACGCGAAGATCGTCTTCAATGCCCCGTATGACGACAAGCACACCTACCACATCAAGGTGATCAACTCGTCGGCTCGTCGTATCGGATACGGAATCAAGACCACCAACATGAAGAGACTCGGAGTCGACCCACCATGCGGAGTGCTCGACCCCAAGGAGGCTGTTCTTCTTGCTGTGTCTTGCGACGCGTTCGCCTTCGGACAGGAGGTAATTTCTTCCGATTGTGTGTTTTAATTAGTCGGCTCGCCGTTGCAGGACACCAACAACGACCGTATCACCGTTGAGTGGACTAACACCCCAGACGGTGCCGCCAAGCAATTCCGTCGCGAGTGGTTCCAAGGAGACGGAATGGTCCGCAGAAAGAACTTGCCAATCGAATACAACCCATAAGAAATCGCCCATGCTTCCATAAATCATTTTCCAATATTCAAATGTTTAATTTGGTTTTATGAAAATGCGGTTCAAAAAAATTTACAACGAATTTAACTCCAATCTGGATATCGAACCTTAAAAGGGGCATCTTCGAAACTGAGCGGTGATAATTCTTATACTGATCGCGTCGATAGTTTGAAGCAGTTAAAAGGGGCGTCTTCGAGACTGAGGTGGTAATTTGTCGTAAAATGTCGTCGTTGAATAAATCTGCAACTTGACCTTGAAATAAATTGTCAAAAGTTTTGCTGAAAATACCGACTTTAGTAGCGCTACAGGGTGCGGCAAAATTATGTGTGCACAAATTTAACGCAACCTCATGTGTCACTGGCCCATTTTTATTTTTTTATTTTCTGTGACTATTCAATTATTTTCTGAAAGTTTCATGAAAATTCGTTTCGTATGACAGAAATGGCAACTGATTCAACCCATAGCGTCAATTTGAACGAGTTTTGTTGTCATTTGGAAAAGTTATTTCGTTTTTTTCGATGCCCATATAATTTTGCCGCATCCTTTAGTATTCTCTTCACCATTTTCATGTTTTGTCATTGTTTTTGGTGATTTTCCACCAACCACGGGAATATGCGATATTCTACAATGTGATGCGCTTTAGAACCGTTTCATATGTTCAAACATTTATCATTCTTCTGTTAATCCACGAACATCTAATTCCTTCCCTTTCGGCGCGTTTCTCCGTTTCGCCGCTTCAACTTTTTATTCGATTTTACGATTCACTACAAAAAAACATGACCGTTGCCAGTATATCGACATCTGCGTCTCGCCGAACGCCGCTCTCTCTTTAGATCCGTCGATGATGGTGCTATAAAAGGATGTGGGCCCGAATGAAACATTCATCGTCATGTCGAAGTACCTCATTCCGGTGTGTGCGTCGATTTCGCTCGTCGCTGTCGTCTGCTCGCTTATCGCGATGCACACGATCGTCGTCGACATCGACTCGATGCGAGACGAGATCGTCTTCGGAGTGCACGAGATGAAAGTAGGTTTTGCATTAAAAACTCTTCCGGAACCGATGATGTTCAGATGCTGTCTGATGATGCCTGGAACCGAATGACTGCAATGAAGATGTCGCCATCGATGGATGCCAGCACTGAGGTGGCCTTTGCAAGCATCTTCTCGCGTGCCAAGAGATCCGATTACCAATCGCAATGCAACTGCGACAATAACTCACAAGGCTGCCCACCAGGACCGCCGGGACCACCAGGAACTCCAGGAGGTCGTGGAGAGCAAGGACCACCAGGAGACAAGGGACGTGATGGAGCTTCAGGAATCTCTCTCGCGTTAGTTCTTATTACTTACTGGGCATTAGTTGTTTATTTTTTATTTTTAGCGTCACCCACGAATTGCCGGGAGGTTGCATCAAGTGCCCACAAGGACCACCAGGAGAGCCAGGACCAGACGGTCCAGTCGGACAGCCAGGATTCCCAGGAGCCAATGGAAACCAAGGACCAGCCGGAGATGACGGAGCTCCAGGAGAGCCAGGAATTCGTGGAGACCAAGGACCATCTGGAGAACCAGGAGCCGAAGGATCCCAGGGTCCAACCGGTCAGGATGGTACCACCGGAGCACCAGGGCTCCCAGGACAGCCAGGAACCCCTGGATGGCCAGGACCACAAGGAGAGCCAGGAAGGAATGGAGAGCCAGGAACCGACGGCGAGCAGGGACCAGAAGGACCACAGGGACCAGATGGACAGCCAGGAAGAAACGCCGAGAACGGACAACCAGGATTGCCAGGAAAAGACGGAAGCATTGGACCAGACGCCAATTACTGTCCATGCCCAGCTCGTGCCAATAAGCACTAAACATATCGCGTATTACTCTACTTTTTCTGATTCAAATAATAAATCATTGCATTTCAATCGAAAGAAACTTCTCGCTATCATCGTATCAGGGCACAAAATAACGAGTTATCAGTTGAAAAGTATTATTGTTTGTGGTTGTCACTCCGCATTTTGAATTATTATACTGATAGCCAGTGATTAATCATTCTTTTTTTCTATTTCTATACACGCCCCTTTCGTAATATCATTTATATAATATATTTTTAGAAGAGCCATCGAATGATGTGATTTTGCTTCATCATTCTAATATTGAGCATTTTCAATATTTTTTATTTATTCACTTTTTTGTGACTTTACGCAACATTCGATTTCGATACAATTTCATCATAATTACAAATGTTTCCTTTTAAAAACTATTTTCCAAACTAAACACGAAATTGCAGAAATAAATGAGCAACCGTCTGGAGCGTCCAAAGAACTATAAGACCCTCGACGCGTTTCTAGAAGAACAACGAACTGCTTCAAACTATCGACGCGATCAGTATAAGAATTATCACCCGCTCAGTTTCGAAGACGCCCCTTTTAAGGTTCGATATCCAGATTGGAGTTAAATTCGATGTAAATTTTTTTGCATTTTCATAAAACCAAATTAAACATTTGAATATTGGAAAATGATTTATGGAAGCATGGGCGATTTTTTATGGGTTGTATTCGATTGGCAAGTTCTTTCTGCGGACCATTCCGTCTCCTTGGAACCACTCGCGACGGAATTGCTTGGCGGCACCGTCTGGGGTGTTGGTCCACTCAACGGTGATACGGTCGTTGTTGGTGTCCTGCAACGGCGAGCCGACTAATTAAAACACACAATCGGAAGAAATTACCTCTTGTCCGAAGGCGAACGCGTCGCAAGACACAGCAAGAAGAACAGCCTCCTTGGGGTCGAGCACTCCGCATGGTGGGTCGACTCCGAGTCTCTTCATGTTGGTGGTCTTGATTCCGTATCCGATACGACGAGCCGACGAGTTGATCACCTTGATGTGGTAGGTGTGCTTGTCGTCATACGGGGCATTGAAGACGATCTTCGCGTTCGGCTGGGTTTGGATATCTCCTGGTGGGACTGATTGAGCCATTTTTGAGCTTACTGATTCATTCCCTTCTTTTCTTTCTTTTTTATACCATTCTTATCTGATTGCAACGCATTAGCTCACGCTTTAACATGAATTTATTACGAATTCCAATTACGTCGAATCCGTATTTATGGAGTTAAATTTGAACGTTCAAAAATTAATAATAATAATAATAATGATTATTTTTCTGGAATTTTGTTTATAACAGCCCATCAAATATAGCGGTGAAGAAAAGGTCTTCGCTTTTCAGCCAGTAAATGAAGATATTCCTTGAAACTCTGCGGATGATTGCATTTCAGGCGCTAATTCGGTTCTCGATATTTCGCCCAACAAGCTGTTAAAATGCGATCACATTCGCACAATTGCTCTCCACACTCATTTGCAACTTGAACTCCAAATGGAGCTTAATAAGTGGCTTTATGCGATTAACTTCAAAAAATGGACCTACTCAGCCCCGTGCATTCAACAGTATTATTGACACACTTCCAGGTATAAATTGGAAAATATTCGAACGGTGCTTGCCAGCAAACATGTTTTTTGTATAAATTATCATAGCAAATGTCATGTGCTTTACAGCAGCTGAATTGAGATATTCGAATGGTGGGGGCTGCAATAAAAATGAATCACCCGTCAATGCCATCGACCGTTGGTCCGGCGCCTCCGATTCCACACCAGCACCCGTATCCATTGTAAATCTGTAAATCCCTCTTCAGCGTGTATCTCCAATTCAAACCAGTTACCCAAGCGTTTCGGTGTGCGACACATTGCATCATGAATTGAATCTCGAGCACCAGACATGACGTCGTGCAAAACAAGACGGCGAACAGGAGGAGCACGCGATTGTTCATTCTATGCCAAATGGCGACGATGAGTTTATTGCCCGCAAAAACTATTTCGTGGAGAATTTTATGGAATAATTAAATTTTGATTAAAAAACATGTTTTATTTATAAACCTCCATTTTATAGCCAAAAAATAAACACATAGTTTTATCAAATTTCGCACGGAAATTGATGATTCATTGAAGAATGATCAAATTTTTGCTTCGCGCGAAAATTGTGTTTAAGATTCCCATAGAGTGCGGAATAGGTCCCCGAGAGCAAAATGTATTTAGGGTCCCCACATACAGTGCAGTATGGGTGCCTGGTGTTGACGTACAGTATGACATGCACCTTGTAGGGTGCTTATCATCAGGATTGCCTAGATGAAAGATCAGGTTCCCAATTCATTGAAAATGGTGAAGAGAGGGTCCGTACAGCGCAGAGCAGGTACCCACATAGATATACGCCGAGGTTAAAGTCCTTATGTGAAGGTAGAGGTCACCACATTCAGTGTAGTGGGGGACCTTTGTGGGAATCGATATTGAAGTGGGAACCTCATCTACTTGATTAATCAAATTGTTGCTTATAAAATGAGAATTATCTGCAAATTATTGAAAGAAGTAAAAACAGAGGAATTTGTTTTGATAAAATTGAACAGATAAAACAATTCGAAAATAGATAAAGAGGGCAATAATTATTAGAATAATTTCAAAACTTTTTATTTTATTGATTGATATCAGGGTGAGGCAAAATTTAACGCAACCTCATACGCCACTTTTTGGACATTTTTTTTGTTAATTTTATTTTTTATGATCTTTTAATCATTTTTAAAAGTTTTATGGAGATGACAACTGATTCAATTCATCACGCTGCAATCATCGACTTGAAAAAAGGGGAACATCAGTGAAAGTGGTTTCAAATATCCCTGAAGTACACCGAAACGCCTTACAAAACACTTGGAATCAATTTTGGGAGACCCGAGGACTCCATCGTCAATGATTCGAATACACTGGCAGATTCTAGTATCTAACGGTTTGATAATCTCTTAATTGTAATACATTTCATTGTTGTTTTTTATTTTGTGATAAATTAATATGAAACAAATGATGAATACAGCAATAAACTGGTTTTCCTTTTCTCCCATAATGAAGGCATACTGCTCATTCCATATAGGAAACACACTGTTCCGCAAAAAATGCTTCAATTATGCTTCCATATAACTAGCATATAATATTTCTATGATATCCACAGCCGTTCCATTATGCTTTTATTTATATTTTTTATTATGCTTCCATTGTGCCTATGCCGCCGTTCATCTGTGTCTCTAGGAGTCTTAGAAGAGGACGAAAACGATTTTCCGTTACACCGAATCGAATCAAAAAAAGGGTCATTGTATTTATTTGAAGAGCTATACACTATTGATTTAAATGAAATCATTTATTAATACCCGTTGGAATTCTCAAAATACATAACTAATATGTACAGATAACTGAGGTTTCTGTTTCGGATGAACCCGCAGTCGAAACGACTTGATTCGAAAATCTAGATATCGTTACAGATTACTGTAGAAGCGGTTACGGTAGACACTGCGCGCGACTTTGGAGAAAATTTCCGCGGAACAGTGTCTAACAGTGAGAATATCACTGGCATCACTAGCATTCCGTGGATGAGTCCAATCACAACGACGAGAAGCATACATTTGCCGAATATCTGAAAATAGGGATCAGCTGAAAAATAGAACGAATAGCATGAGTCTCACATGAGCCATATTCAAATCGACAAAGAACAGCGAAATGACACACAGTGAAGTGGATAGAGAGGCTTCGAGGATGGGGAATCCGACGGATTCGATTGTCAGGTATATTCGACGTCTGATGTTTGACGACTCTTTTGCTGGAAAAAATATATCAAATTGTCATTAATTATATCAAAAATAAGAAACCAGTTTGGAAGTAATGGTAGCTGATATGAGATGGAATATCAACGGAGAATCCGATTGACATTACTGTAGCGGACATCATGATCGGATCTAGATCAGCTCCCCACCATGACATAATTCCAAATACTCCTGAATTCAGCGATTGGATTTTTGAAAAGTTCAATATTAAACTACCAATGGAGGTGCTCAAAATTGAGAATGTTGCGACGAAGAGTGTCGTCGGATGCGAGATGAAGAGCGCGGCGACGACGAACATCGAAGCGAAAGTCCAAAGGGCTGATTGCATTGCGACAGGCGCCATTGTTTCGATGAGATCAAGAAATTTCGCGTCTTCTTCGTAAACCGATACGTTCAACGATTTGTATTGATCGGCAACCACTCTCCATTCGTTCAACAGTTTTGCGCGTTGGGACCATTCAACAAGATCTGAACCATGGAACGCAGTGATTGCCAGAAACTTCTTCATCACATATTGTTGGCTGCAATTAAACATTTATATAAATAGCATGGATTGTGGATCATACCTAATTGGGTTCTCCTCGTATTGAATGAATCCGCTCCAAAAAGAGAATTCGGGCCACTCAAGAAATTGCTTCAACTCGTTTCCCTGTCCAATCACAATTTGTGAAGGGGTCACAGATTGACTAGAAAAAACCAAAGAAGGTCTCAATATTTAGTATTATCAATACCTTCCATTTCTACTAAACTCTATCGCAAACTCATTCTCCTCTTCTTCCTCATCTGGTAGATCAATATCATCACTCTGCTTGAGGAAATCTTCATAGTCTCTCAGCCAGAATTTCGTTGAATATTTTCCGTTTGCAGACGGCAGACTTTCGAATGCTTTCATCTGTTAATTGATTCTGCTTTGAAAGACCAAAAAACAACTCGTTGGGTACCATTTCATCAAGCTTCTCCCTCTGTGCAGGATCACTAATATCGCCGGGATTATCCACTAGAATCCAGCACGCCGAATAGTATGGGATGATATGGGATTTTCTTTGTTGGAAAATCTAAATTGTTTCTGTCAGATTTCAATGAAAATGATGGCGAACCTCGACGATTTCCGAATTTTGAAGGAATAATTTGATGGGACTCAATTCCGATTTGATGTTCATTGCACCCACAATGCACACATACCTGCAACACGATGAAATTCAGAAGCTCAAAATTGTTTCGAATCACCAATAGACGGCGAGAAGGCCAAGAATCAACGAGCACATCCATTTGTTGGTAAGAATCGAACAAAATTGAATGATCATCTTCTCGCAAGGCTTCTCTTTTGGCGGTTCGGGGTATTGTTGAGAGTTCTCAAGCTCCGCGGAGCTCTGTGAAGAAGCGTCAGATTCAGATGTCGAGAATTCGTTTTGAATCTCATACTTTCCGACAACAGCCATCAGAGCTCCGTATAAGGTAATCTGAGAAAACAAATTGCAAAAGAATTCTTTTCAAATCACGTCTTCTTACAGTAAACACAAAATCCGTAAGCACAGCCAACGCATTTCCAATGCTGAACAATTGAATTTCCGCTGCCGGCGTTGTCGCCCCGATTCCGAAAGCCAGAACATTGGTGATTGTAGTAATCGTGATCGAGGGCCCAGTTTCAATAAACATCTCAGTGATCCTCGTGATCAGCTCCTTCTCAACACCCTCTCGTTTGGCCAACATTCGCCGATGACTGGTGATTCTTTGCCACGCGTTCACCATCAAATAGGCGTCATCGACACCAATGGCGAGAACGAGAAACGGGGTGACACAAAGGATCGAGCCGAATCGAAAACCGGCGAGAAACATTCCGCCAAGTGTTGCACCACACGCCATGAATGGGCAGACGCACGCCATTACAGCGAGAACGATCTAGCAGAAGAAAAAGAGGGTTGGAAGCAAAAACGAGTGTGGAAATAATAGAAACCTTGTTGTAGCTCATTTGTTTTTGGAAAATTGCACTAATTACAAAAGTAGCCGACGAGAAAACAGCCATAATTGTAAAACCGATAACCAAAAATGGAAGTAGTGTTAAACCTAAAATTTGGGAAAATTGTGATGAATGAATTAAGATTCTCACCAGCTCGAACAATTTCCTCTGTTATGAACGAATCTGCCAGAATGTATACATTGATATTATCGGATTGATACTCCCTTAAAATCATCGGTTATTTTAATGTTAACAAGTTCAAATCAGATCGGTCCTCTAAAAACCGAGATCTGCCTGACAAACTCAACATAGCCAATATTCAGAATTTTAATAATACTATATTGCCCGAGTCAAACGACTTGACGAATTAAAAAAAATTATTGGCTATGTGCCAATGCATCTCGGTGTAGTGAGAAGTACAAGTAACTGCGTACATTGCATTATAGCGTACGCGCATTTAATATTCGGTCAACGATTAATTACAATCTACACTAATTTCGCGAATTTGAAGGTCCCGCCTCCATCCAGTCGTTTGACGCAGACAATATTGAATACACTATTTTTTATGTTACTAGCTCTTTTGGAATCCAGAAGGCTCCATAAAAAAATTCAGGGTTTTCTAAATGGGCCTGTGACCATTTTTTTTTCTTTTGACTCTTCTTTAACAAGAGAAATTTCATTGAAAACATCTGCGGACATTTTCCGGGTTGCGGCATAAGTGCTTGTTTCTTACTGTTTTTTCTTCTTTTTTTTTACAACGCTGACAAAATGTTCATACTGATGAAAATGGTCGACAATATTCCTCTCGTATTGTCTCATTTCTAACGGTTCCACGTCATCTCCAATTTCGGCTCGGAATTGAAGCACAATCAATGAGACTTCTCTTATATTATTGGGCACTTGTTTCTAAATCAAACGTTTCCATATGTAGAATATAGATAAAGATTACTATAGATTCTCCGAATGCCGAATTGTCGGCAACAGACACCACGTTCTGTTCGTCGACTGCAATTTTGACCCCGAAGAAGTTCGGATCCATGTAAAGTTTTGTGCCTAATACGGTAGTAACAGGATATCCGAGGTCAAGATGACTGGAATCTGTTCCATGCTCTCCGGAGATCAGCATTCCACTCTGTAAAATTCGCAATACCATTTACAATTAGATGCTTGCAGCTTACATAGAAATGTCTGACGGGCTCATTGAGCAAACAGAATCCACTACAGTAGGTCTCAAAATTTTTCGGACCAGATATCGTGTTCAAATAGAAGTCCCGCGAAATCGCGTCGAGAACCTGCACAGTCTCATTCAATTCGGCAATACCGAGCAAATTCGATCCATGTTTGGAAGTGATGAATGCATAGATCGCTTTTGGTTCGCCGTGATTCGAAAAGAACTCGCGATACCTCTGAAATGACTCAAAAACCGGTTGCGAAATGATCTCATCTTATTTTACACTGCAAAAAAAAGTGGCCGAGAAATGATAAAGAAGGCCGATTTGAATATCTGAATTTCTGAATTCGAAACCTTTCGCTGGATTACAAGCGGTCACAAAAAAAGTTAGATGTCTTTGCCGTTGAAAATTATTGAAAAATTCTAAAAGAAACAAATTGGGATATTTCTGAAATTCTGCAATTCGATTGATCAGAAATTTTTGATTTTTTGAAATTTTACACTTATTTTTAGCGAAAAAAAAATGATTGACCTACCAAAAGTTCGCTTCTCGACCTTGCGCCGTACGGTGTAAAATCGCTTATATCATTTTGCATTCTTGTTAGCGGAATTTTCGCGCTCAACACTAATGTTACAATTGTGGTTATTATCATGCATGTCCATGGGCAAAAGCTGAACATATAGGGAATTTAAGGAACATCAAAGCGTATATAAACGAACCAAACAATTAATGAGCATTTTGCGAAGAACCAATGGATAATCCGGACGAACCAGGTATTATCATTTTTCGAGTTTATTTGCATATCGTATTGAGCTGAAATGACTATTTCGATTTTTGAATAAAATCGCCAACCAATTGAAAAAAAAAACCTCTTTAAAATAGTTTGAAGTAGTGTAATTCAAGTTTGACACATTAATTATCGAACTGAAAAAATAAAAAAATATGAATAAAATAAATACTTGAGATCACAAAAAACAGATGAAATGTGACCAACAATGGAACTAGTAAAGGGGGGGGGGAGAAGCAAGCGAAGCAAAGCAGTGGTGGGCGGCCGTATTTTCAGCATTGTTGTTCGCGCTGTTATATTACAATTCGGTTTTGACCCACTTATTTAGTAAAGGAGGAGGAGGCAAACGGGTGGCGAAGGACTAGAAATTACATCTTCTCGATTCAAACAATACATTAGTAATTACCAGACTACATGAACCGCAATTGATAAAATGATATGAATGTGTCAAATGGTTCAAATTTCATACCGGAACCAGCCGGCGTGGAGAAAAAACATCGAATTAATAATAACCATTGGTTAATCACTTATTTCTCACTAATAGCTGAGAAGTTACTGCTTCTTCGAAGCCCATTATCGTTTAGGATTATGAGTATTCTCAGGATCTTTGAGAGAAATGTGACTGCAAATCTTGTGGCAACTGTTTCTTCCAAAATTTTTAATAAAAAAAATCAAAACCTATATCGTCATTGAACTGATCCACACTATGTAGATCATCAGCAAGTTCGTCGAATAGCATGAGGAAACCATTCATTTGCAAACCACAACCCCAGCCGAGGAGTCATATCCGTTTTTGAGAAATATGCAGTATCCAAGAGAGAAATAAGATGTGGACGATGACGTCGAAAAATCGAAATTGGCGAATTGATAGGCACACGACAAAAAATTTCGAGACGGTCGCCTGATTTTATACCGATGGAAGGCATTTGCATAATGAAGCCAATGATTGGAAAATTTCGACAATTATCGAGTCTGAAGAGGCGACAAAAAACGATTGGCTAACCGGACAAAAAAAACTGGAAGATGAAATGACGAATTGAGTCGATGTAGGTGGAGATTTGAAACTTCTCGAATTTCGATGACGATTCGAATTTTGAGAGAAAGAAAAATTGTTTTGAAAAAACAACAAAATCAAAAGATCACCATAATCGGAAATGCAAATGATCGAAATAGGTGATTTTGCGTCTGATTTGAAGGTGTAACCCAATTGAATATTCTCACTTTAATTGATTTCATATCACATTTATGTAATTCACCATTTAACCACCTACATTCTATTTCAATTTCAATCAGCAAATTAGGTAAAAATTCTTAAAACGAATTGCTTTAACACTTTATATATCATTTTCCGGTTTTTTTTTTCGAAATTGTGGATCCATTAGTCCTAGGATTAACTGAACAATTAAGACAATTAGTGAAAATTGAAAAGTGTTTTGCATTTTGAAAAAAAAACAACAAATACCAACAAAAATCATGCGGTTTTTTTGAAATACAAAACACGGCTAAATATGTGATTTTTAGGGTTTTTTTCCCGGTTTCTTGAGTAGTCTTTTTTCCAAATTTTCCATCATATCATTATATAGTTTGGTCACAATTTGAACCACATGTCGATGCAAAATCATTTCCGATTTGTTAAAACTAGTCTCTGACCATTTTGCAATACTACACACTGTTGCGATTTGAATTTTTATTGTATGAATGCACTTGAATTCAAAACTCTTAAAACGGCCAAAGTCTGCGTGGTCTCGAGTTGATTCGAAAGATCACATTTCCTTCCGAACAATCAAAGGTCGAAACATGGACATTTTAGCAGGAAACGCAACGCGCCCAATTCGCCAATCATAAAATGTTCGGTCAAAAACTAGACAAAATTGAGCGGTGTAAAACCGTCTGGCTGGCTGGCGGTTCATATCATTCATGCGGATTTTTGATTGCAACAAGGTCGAAATAGTATCCGAAACGTGGGATGAACCAACTATATTGGAGTTTTTGATTAAAATATTCCAAAACCTGATTTCGTTTTGATAATGTCAATAATAATAATAATAGGAATAATGAGAGAACCGATGTTTTCTGAACTCATCTTCATTGACACATGACGAAACAAACGGCAGCGTTAGCCAATTTGGGGCACTCATGTGACGTCCTATTTATTCAAGGTTCAAAAACTTGGACAATCCGTTGTTGTTATTGTTAGGTTTTGAAATGATTCAGCCACAATCCTTCAAAATTTTCTTCTAATTTAAACAAAGGTCTGAAGCGAAACCTTGAGACAAATTATCGAACTTATTCGTAATGAATCTCATTTTCTGTATAGTAAATAAGAAAGCTGCGAAAATCGAGATGATCGAACACCCGAAAATGTGAAACAAGGAGAAATGAGTGTATACGAATGTAATTTAGCGAACACTGGATGTTCACCACAGAATGTTTCGATTCGGAATATGCAATTCGTTTGATTGACTTTTACATTATGTATGCGAAAAATAGTGAGCGATATTTGTGCACAACAGGTTCGTGTTGGGGGGGGGGGCGAGACTTTCAGCAACAACTACTGCTTCTGCTGCCTCATTGTCCTTCTCACTCCACCTCCTCCCGTTTTCGATTCATTGTCAATCGTCTCAAATCACCTCAAACATCGTGTTTTACATCAAAGTAGAAACCCGTTCAGAGGCACGACACCACCGGCCTTCTCTCCATTTTTGGCGGTGTTCCCGACGCGAGGCAGAAGCCGCGCGACCTTGACGACAGCATTACACCATGAGCGCCCAATATTTGTCGAGAAAATATCAAATTCAATATGACTGAATGATACTAGCAATTCGGTAGATTTCAGTGATCAATGATTCTCAAAATTCGAAGTCTGAAAATCAAATTCTTAAATTATTGATCAGAGATTCAAAAAAACAATACGCAAAGTTCAGTGGGTTGATCATTTCATCCGTAACTGAGCAACTAACGGCGTCAGATGCATAGGGTCCAAACGAAATAGCCAGAGGACCTTCCAAATCACGACATAGTTGAAATCAAAAAACCAATCATGCCAGCAGGAAATTGCCATTTTCAATCAAATCGCGAACAAATGTTTATCCGGTTTCAATCTACATATATATTACCATGGCAAAAAAAACGAGCACTATGGGTAATTGTGGACCATCGTCCTTTTTTGAGCCGATAATTAAAATTTGAAAGTAATAATTGGGTATTCAGGTACCGTACTACGAATAACCTGCGAGTCAAACTCACCTTAAATCGGCGCTCGTTTTTTGTTGTAATATTACAATCGCAAAAGAAAACGAGTGCCCTGTGCCGATTTACGGTGAGATTGACTAGTAGGTTATCCGTAGTACAGTACACGGATGCACATCGTTCAAAATCAAATTAGAAAAACCGCCTCAGTAAAAATACAATGAAACCAAATACCCAGGATTCTCGCGTTTTTGCTAAGGTAATATATTAAATATCAATTTAAATACAAGCAAACGCGATGGAATAAATGTGACATGTATTGAAAAGAATTTACAATTTGCTGTTCATCTTTTTGAGGACATTCTCCAACTTGAGTGCCGCCGACAAGTCTCCAGAAATTTTGAGTTTTTTCGCCATGAATGCAGCAGAAGGCTTAAGTTTTCCTTGGAAAAGTGGAGCGAAATCCGAATCAGCCATAGTCATCCTAAAAACGAATCAAATTCGCAATAATCAATGGACTACTCAGAACATACGTTACGGTAGCCTTGTCACTGGCTCCCTCAAAAATTGCTCCAGTTCCGTTCTTCAAATCAACCGTAATTCTTCTCGGGTTCTCACCAGTCAATTCGAAAGTATACACAGTCCCAACGCTCTTCACAATTTCGGCGTTCAAAATGCTTTTGACCGATTCGAGAACCTGTGTGATCTCCTCTTTGATCACCGCCTAAAATTTACACCTCAAAATGTGTTCGCTCGTACACGTTTAACAATGCTGATTACAAATTCAAGGTTCACTTGCGACCTTCAATCGTTTGGCTTTACCTTTTCATGATTCTTCTTGCTACTCGACTTTTTGCCGAATCCAAAATGAGCATCGTACTTTCCGGGGATGAAGAAATCAGGCATGAGTTCGTGTCCTTGAATGAAAAAAAAACAAATGGCATTAACAGTTGAACAGATTTACCTGGAACGCATGCATATCGGTCAAAATCGGTAACACCTTCGGCACGCAAAACATCCTGGTCAATCAGGAATTGTCCGGTGAAGTCTTTACTGTTTTTCGAGAGAATCGCATATGCGGCATCGGCCATTATTTCCGGCTAAACCATGGTTGCATATATACGGCTGTATTATTTGGGTATTAAATTCGCAAAAAAAAAACAAGCACCCTGCGTAAATTTACGGTCAGTTTTCTTCGCAGGTTATCCGTAATACGGTACCCAAATTGTTACTGTTTCATTTGCAGCCTCGAAAAACACCACAATTATTCAACGTGCTCGTTTTTTGTGATGGTAATAACAAATCTTGTCAAAAGTGGGCAAATTTTTGAATGTTTAATACGTTTACTATCTCATGTTGATCTTAAAGCGAAATTAACCAAATTTTACATGCGCCTTTAAGATCTACTGTAGTTCCCAATCTTACTATTAATATATCAAATTAATAATTTCAAATAATTACGCCAATGGACTTATTCATAATTTTTGAATGAAAAATATTTCCTTTCAACAATAAACAGTAGTGAATAAACTTAATACTTAAACCAACCTTTCTACTTCCAGCTTCTCCTTCTTTATTGCTAAGCATTTCCATAGCAGCGGTCCAAATTGCGGTCAGCGGCCAAAGTGCGTTAACAGCAATTCCATAGGGTTTGAATTCCTCATGATGTCCAAGCACGCACATAGACATTCCTAAAATGATGGAAAGTGACGAAAAACTCGACAACCAATTTCGAATGTTACCGTATTTGGCCATTGTGTAGGCAACGTGATTCGAGAACCATCTCGGTTCCATCAAAAGAGGAGGCGAGATGTTCAACACATGCGGGTTCTTTCCCTGTTTCAAATAAGGAAGACACGTCTTCGTCATCAAATATGTTCCGCGAGTATTAATTGAATGCATTAAATCATATCGTTTCATTTCCGTGTCTTCGGTATTGGTGAGAGAAATTGCCGAAGCGTTGTTAATTAGAATGTCAATTCCACCAAATTTCTGTATAAAAAAAGAAAGCATATTTCCAGCTTCAAAGGTAAATGCAAAGAAAATAAAAAAATAATTGAGAAAATTTCAATTCACAAAAAAGAGAAAAAATACATCAATTTTTCCATATTTCAATTTTTCTCCACTGAAATTTACCTCATTTCTTTTATTATTATATTTTCTCTGCATTGCCCTGGTTTAGAAAATAATTACTTTGACAGCATCTTCGACCGCCTTCTTCACCGATGTCTCATCACGAACATCAACAATGCAAGGAAGAGCCTTTCCACCGGCCTATAAATTGTACATTGTTAGTTTTAACATGTTTCAATTAAAATTTCTACAAGTTATGAGAATTATTGCCAAATATAATTTTATGAAAATAATGCATTTGCGTAGTAAGGTTGTGACCTTATGGACCTATTCATGCAATGAAAAATTTTAAAAAAAACCATTTTTTTTATTTGAATTCCCTATGCACCCACGTCGAAAATTACAAAAAATTGACACGATATATCGTATTTCTCCGCTATTTATTTTTAAAGGCGCATGCGAAAAGTTGCGCGGATCACGTCACGAAGTCGGTACTGTATTTTTTTGTTTTTCATTCTGTGTGCTAATTTTTCGTATTTTTCAAAAACTTCGAAGAGAAAATGACTAACGGATTTAAGAACGAGTAAGAACAATTATTGTTGGTGTAATTACTCCTAATTCGACAACATAAGTCTATTTTTCGTCATTTAGATGCCAATTATTATAAAAAATTGTGATATTTGTGTTAATTTGATGCAGACTTTGCTCGATGACGCTTCTGATGAACTTTCAGCGTTTATTAAACAAAATACTTCTACAGATTCCAAAAAAAAACGTTTTAAAAGCTCAAAGAATAAAAATAATCGAAAAAAAAGCCATTAAAAAATACAGTACCGACTTCGTGACGTGACCTGCACAATTTTTCGCGTGCGCCTTTGAAAATAAATAGCGGAGAATTACGATATATCGCGTCAATTTTTTGTAATTTTTGACGTGCGTGCATAGGGAATTCAAATGAAAAAAATTGATTTTTTTTATTTTTTCATTGCATGAATAGGTCCATTATAAATTAAAACTTAAAAAAAAAGAAAATCAAATTTCTTTCGATTGAAAGAAAATATTCCAAATTTAAAATTCCGTTTAATTATTCTAATGATTATTGCGAATTGTAAGAAATAGTACCTTCTCAATTTCCTCTGCTGCGGTATAAATAGTTCCTGGAAGTTTCGGATGAGCAGTTGCGGTCTTTGCAGCAATCACAATATTAGCTCCATCCTAGAATGGCTACATTAGTCAAATCATTGATTTATTAAGAAACTCACTTTGGCCAATTTTAGGGCGATTTCTTTTCCGATTCCTCTCGATGCTCCTGTAATCAGAGCTGTTCTTCCAACAAATTTTCTGGAAAAAAAAAGATAATTAATTAAAGAAGTTTTGAAAATAAATTGGAGAATACCCAGTGTTCGGAATGTTATCTTTCATTTTGTCGAGAAGACAACAAACGTTGTTTCCCTTTTGAATGAAATTTTCGCACTATCAATGAATTGGCTACATTGTGGCTGGTTATCAAACACCAAATAGAATATGATTTATGCCAAACTGATCATACTACACTAGTAAAAATTAAACAATGACAAACGAATTGTTATCGAATAAACAGTAAACACGAATAGATTCTAGTCAACTGAAATCGTTGAAAATTGTGAATTCAACCCAAAACGATACTTTCTTGATACTTGTGGAAAAAATAATATTCTGACATTCGCTTCGACTGGATTTCGGACAATTTCATTCAAATCTTAAGCGGAGTTTTCACAGACTTTCAGAAAACATTATGCACTTTCTAATAAAAGTCTGCTGAAAGTATTTATGACTTCTGCCATGATTTTAAAGAACTATTATTGATGATAAATAAAATTTTGTAATTTTAATTGAGAAGAATCTATAAAAATATCTTCTGCTCCACATAATTTTGATTATACTACTATTCTATTCTCGTTCGGACCTTATTCTTAAATAAATTAAATAAAAATTTTTTGTAAACAATCTCGAATGAATCCATTTTTAAAATTAAAAACGCTGGTACACTCACCCAGTATTGAACATGGTTCCGGATATGGGTTCGAACCTGGAAAATGATTAATTCATATATCCCTAGAATATTTTTGAAATAAATGGGCAGCTTTTAAGAATCACACTAAAATCATAGAGAAATATATTACAAAGGTTTGAGAAACCATGAATGAATTCAAACTTTTAAATTCAATAAGCAAAAATTTATGTGAATTAAGTAAATACATTCCAAAATTAAACATCCTCGTACGTTGCCTTTTTCTTATTCATGATAGCCATTGCACTATTCATAAGATCAGTGGAAAGAAGTTGACTCATATTCCAAGTCTTGATGAAATCCAACGATTGATCCGTAGGATGATTCCGAGCATAATTCAATGTTTCTTTGGTTCCTTGCACAGCAATAGGGCTCTTTTCGGAAATTGTCTTCGCAAGATCCAATGCAGCGTTGACAGTATCCTTTGGATTCGCATAAATCCGAGAGATAAGTCCAAACTTAAGAGCTTCATCAACACCAAAATCTCGAGCAGTGAATGCAAGTTCACGAGTCCAACTGTCATTTCCGACGACTTTTTGAATACGATTGAGGGTTCCGATATCAGCAGCGAGACCAACATCAACCTCCTGGAATCAATTGGATATAGTTCAAACCGAGAAAATATTAAACGATTACTTTAATCGAGAAAACAGCATCCTGAGAAGCAACACGAATATCGCATGCGGTAATCAAATCGATTCCGGCTCCAATACAGTACGAATGAACAGCTGCGATAATTGGCTTCGGGCATTTCTAAATCTTCTATTTTTAATACATCACTTTTTCGATTATTTATGTATTTCAATTTTTTGAACGAAGCGTTCTTTCTATTAAATAACATAATTTAAATATTTTTTCCAAACTTTTGAAATTCCCAGCTTAAAAATTCGAAAAAAAAATCTACTTTTTTTGATATATCATCAGTGAGAGCTCAAACTCATATTCTTATAGAATTCTAACCTCAAGGGCTGTAAAACAATCTTGAATTGTTCCAATCATGTTGCGCACTTTTCTTCCCTTCCGTCCAAATTCGATAGAATCATCTTGAATTATATTGACAATTTCCTAAAAGAAAGTTTCATCAAGAACCTAATTACGTTTATTGATGATAATGAATACCATCATTCCTCCTGCAATATCGATTCCGGCACAGAATGCGCGACCCTCTCCAGAAATCACAATCGACCGACATTTCGGGTTCTCAGCAAGACCATCAATCGCATTTTTAAACTCTCTAAAACAAGAAAATGAGAAATTCATGTTGATTCCAACGAACACAACCTACTTCCACATATCCATGGTAAATGTGTTCATTTTCTTATCGCGATTGAGCTTTAAGTGATAAACATAAGGATGCTCCTCCTTAACGACGACATCTCCAGAAGCAGCACTGGAAATACTTCTGCTAAATGTAAGCGATGCTCGAGCAACGAATGAACTTAATCTAGTTGAAATCATCTGAAATAATTCAAGATTGTAGCCAAGAAGTGATGTTTGAAAAAAAAAGAAGCAACGGAACGTCGAACATGCGGATAACAAAATGAAGAGACTGACAATATAAATATGTCGCGTTGAGAAGAGAGAAACGAGAATAAAAAGTCGGACAACAACGATGCATCGGCTACAGATAAGAGCGAACTGATCAAGGTACAACGAACGCAAATTTGTGCAAAAATTCAACGTCCTATTTATTTCTATTTATCCGCGAAATGATAAATACGCATGCAAAACGACACAACGCAATCGACTACATTGTGGTCTATTTTCGAGACACTTTTTATTTTTTCACATTGAACCTATTCGTAAAATGTACTTCTTTACAAAAAAAATTTAAAAATTACATTAAATGCGCATTTTTTTACATACCTGCATTGTTCTGCCATATATTATCATTGTTTCGTGCACAGTTCAAATTAAGAGTCGAGTCGCGAATGTTTGAAAAATAAACATGTTTACTTTCACACAATTTTCTAATTTGCCACGATATCATTTAATTAATTGACCTAAATTTATTCACAATAGGTCAACACGATTCCCATATTATTTAACACCGTTCTCTTTTCGCTTGTTGGATGATTTTAAATGCGTCGAAGTTATAGCATGTCTCAATTATTTGAAATATCAAAATATAGCACCATACAAAGTTGAATTCTATTGATATTTTTTAAATTGTATAATTTATTGAATGAACATTTACGGAAAAATCTAGCAACAATGAATTAGTCTGAACAAGTAAATTAACCAAAAAAAAAGAATAAATATTTGGGGATACTATTTGATATTACGGTCAAAATGAATTCATCATTAAAAAAAACAAAAAACCGAAAACAAAAAGATGCAAATTAAAAAAGAATCCAGAAAAATTACTGTTTGCTTTCAATTCTTCCCAAAATCTCTTGGACCTGAAATTTGAGGAAGTTTCCACATTTCATGCCGTTTATTTTAAAATATATACCTCATTAAGCTTCTGAATATGCCGAATAAAGTGTTCGCCAACATGCCGCGCGACTTTGGTGTCGGCAATGCAGATCATGTCACGATCAACGTAGAAGTCGATATCAGTCAATGGCTCATCATCATCATTAGCAGCAATTGCGCCATCCTTGCCGAGCTCGTTGACAATCATCTTTAATTTAATAATATAGATAATGCTATGAACTCAAAAATACCTTATAAGTCAAAAGCTTGCCGATAAACGAATCATAGTGAGCATCATCGACATCCATGAACGAAGCCAATTTCTTGGTCGGAAGAGTTGTGTAAAGTTTCAAGTAACCACGAAGAACTGGCAAAGCCATTTGAGATTCGATTCCCTCTAAAAACGACTGAAGTTGACGAAGGAGGGGCTCCTACAAAATTGATCTTTGATGAGGAGAAAAATAATTCTTGATATTTAAACAATTAAGAACTATCTTAAAATATTGTCAAAGTTGCGCGACAGCGGAGAATCAAATATTCAATAATAATGAGAATCAAATATTCAACAATAAACTCTAAAATATTATGAGAAATTCTAAAGTTTATTGATGCTTTCTAAAACTTATTGAGAATCGCTAAACTGAAAAATATCTTTTAAAATCTTATAAGATTTTCTAAAAGTTATTGAGCAAAAAAAATTCTTAAATCTTATAATAAGTTCTAAAGTTGATTGAGAAAAATCTAAAATATTATAGAGACATGTTAGCTTCTCAATGAATCTCAAAATATTTTATTCGATTTACACGAGAAGGAGAGGTATTAGTACTCGGTGTGCCCCTTCAATCTATCCTTATGATTAGACCGTAAATCTACACTTTTAGTTCTGCGCCAAAACTGCGGTCTATTGTTTTTCTTGGCATTAAGACAACTTTAAGCAGTCGTGCGACGCCGACATAAGAAAGCAATAATATGTATACCTTCGATTGGTTAATTCCCTCATAGACGACAGTCGTAGGCGACAAGAATTTCGGGCAACCAGTAGCAAACGCATTCTTGAACTCATCAATATTTCCATTCGACATATGCATAATTCTCTCTCCGCAACGCTCAGCCAATTGCGACGCAATGCTTTCGTCAATTCTTTGTGGTTGAACAGCCAAGCAGATAGCTAACAAATAGAACAATTGATCCCAAGTTTTGCCAATCTAAATAAAACTGTAAAGAGAGCGATTGCAATTTTTTTTAACTAACCACATCGTATTGGAAATTTTTCTTCGTTGGTTGTTGGGTCTGAATCGTCTTGGTCCTTTGAATGTACAAAAGACAATTAACGAAAAGACGTGTTGCTTCGCCGTAATTTCGCATCATCAAGTGTGAGAATCCGACAAAATAGTGAAGAGTAACAAGGCATGTTGGAACTGAGTTATAAATTCCCTAAATTTTTGGGTGAAAAAAAATTTTAATCCTCACTAAATATACCAACCTTTGGATCAAAATCGATGAATTGGACAGTTTTGAGAGCTTGATGATAATCTCCAAGAAGAACATGAGTTCTGAGAAGTCCAATCAACGCAAAGTATCCAAGTTTGAAATAAAGGTCCGATTGTCCGAATTCATCAGCTACGGTATCAGGATTTCCTGTAAATAACCGATATTTTAACAGAATCAGGCATTATGGAAACTTTTCTCGCGAACAGCCTTCAATTGTTCGTTTATTTGCGATTTCGAGAGAAGAGAGTAGAGAATATTCAAAACTGGATAAATATTCCAAGCCTGAATAAGTGAGTTAATAGAAAATCGAATTTTGAAGGAAATCTTGCATTTTGATGCTCTTCGATGTTTATGAGTTCTTCAACTTCATCAGCGGATCTTTTTCCCGGATTCGCCTTATAAAGACAGAATGCTTGAAATTGATATACAAACTCGTCAATAATATCCCAAAGCCACGCGTTTGGAAGACTCAATGGAACCGGATCTTTGCTTGAAAGCAATTCAGAAAACAGCTCCTGATAATTCATGAAAGATTCGTATCTGTGAACGAGTTGTGGCCCTCGAGCGTTTCTTGCGTAGAGTTGACGATAATACAACTCTTTGTACAAGATAAGGAAAATCTTGTTTCCTGGACCAATGATTCTCTCAACAATTGTCTCATCGGGCCACATGCGATCGCGGAAAAATCTGATAGTAATAATTTGAAAGAAAAATTGAAACTTTTAGAAACCTTTCAGTGAGATCTGGGAAAGCTTGATCATACAATGTGAAGATCTCTGGAACGTTTTGCTCGTCGATCATACGTGCAAAATACACCAAGTAATCGGCAACTTCATTCGGAACTCCATCCTCGTCAACTGAAAACCGCACGAAACGTCAATCAAATTCTTTGAGAATAATCATATTTACCTCCAGACAAAGTTGTCGTACGACGGCGTTCCACAGTTTCCTGCTCGCTGCTTAAATCGAACTCGACACGACGCGACATTACCTGAAACATTAAAAACTTCTAACTTTAATAATTCATAAAGCAAGGTTCAAACAAAAAACAATTTGGTAATAAGTCTTCACGTAAATCATTCCAGAATTATTTAACTAACCATCATTTTCTAAAATATAGGAAGAGAAACCACTTAATTCATTTTATTGGCATTAATATCCAATGAATTCAAATTCTGATAGGTATGTTAGCAAATAAATGTAGCCCATTATAATATTAGAAAGTTAATCGCGGAAAAAAATAAAGTTTTACAAGCAAAATATTCGGAAAAAGGGATGAAAATGAAAAAAAATTTGAGAGTGCAACACCCGCGCACAGTTTCTGCAATATGGTGCACACGTTCTTAGGGTTTCGTAATTTTCGTAACGTCTGCATGTGTTTGCGGCAAAACGGTCAACCTGACGACATGATGACATTATTTTTAATTCAAATTGTTTTTTATGATCAAAACTGTTAACTTAAAATTAACTCTGAGATTTCTGTTTCATTGTAATTATGCAATATTTAATCGATTTTCATTTTTGTTTTAGATCAATGGTACTATCTGCACCGTCAACCGAGACAGTTGATGACGTTGACCGATTTTTGGCCACTCAGGATGGACTAATTCAACGACCTAAAGGCCCTGACTGCAGACATTCAGCCCGACAAAAATGCTCCAATTGTCTCCCTTTAGATGTATTTTCAAATTTCATCTTTTAGGATACAATTTTTTATTTCAGCCCTTTGATGAGGAGTATCTTAAGAAAAAGGACATTAAGCATATGAGCTTTCATTCGTATATACGAAAATTGACTGGCTCGGAAGGAAAGGGAACACATCTTAATAAACCATTAGATAATATACGGTAAAATTTCGAAAATTAGTTTTAAAAGACGAGAATACATTCCAGTTGTTCGATTAATTTGAACTGTAACTCTCACAAACCATTTCCCAAAGGAATTTGCACAAAATGTAAACCACAAGTTGTAACGTTGAATCGACAAAAATTTCGGCATGTGGATAATATTCAAATTGAAAATCAAGATTTGGTCAACTCGTTTCTTGATTATTGGCGTGTGTCGGGACATCAACGAATGGGCTTTCTAATCGGACAGTAAGAAAAATGGTTCCATATTTCGAAATTCGATAAAGTTATTTAGATATCAATCCCATATGGAAGTTCCTCTTGGAATCAAGGCCACGGTTGCTGCGATTTATGAGCCACCACAAAGCGATAAAGATGATGGCATTCATATTCTTGAGGATCCGAATGAAGAAGTCATTTTTGATTTTGAAATTAGATTCATTCTCTAGGAAGAATTGAATAGTGTACCAAGCAATAATTTTCAGGCCGTTGACAAGCTTCTTGAATGGCTCGGACTAAAACGTGTCGGATGGATATTCACAGATTTGTGGACCGCAGACCGAGCTGCGGGTACTGTACATTATACGAGACACAAGGATTCATTCTTCCTCACGGCCGAGGAATGCATCACTGCCGCAGCTTTCCAGAACAAATACAAAAACATCACCGAGTACTGTATGGAGAAATACTTCGGATCGAAGTTTGTTACCGTTGTGGCTTCTGGAGATGAAACTCTTCACGTCAACTTCCACGGATATCAAGTCTCGAATCAATGCGCTGCAATGGTTGAAGCGGATATCCTCTGCCCGACAATATACACACCAGAGCTTGCTTACGTTCGTGAGACGCCTTTGTCTGAAAATCATTACATCACCGATGTCCAATATTTGGTAATATGGTGTTTCGTTCAGATTTTCAAAATTTCAATTTAGGAGAAAAATGAATATGGAGCAGAAGTTTTGAAAAACGGACGACCTCTTCCTGTTGAATATTTATTGGTAGGCTCGCTTCATCTGAAAATCCTTGATTTGATATTTTTCAGGTCGATGTTCCCGCTGGTATGCCAAAAGAGCCGCATTACACTTTCCATGTTGGCAAAGTACCATTTAATGTTGAAAATCGTCAAACAATTGGGCAGATTCAAGTACGTTTAAGTTACTGAAATTTTTGAGACAAGAAATGGTTTATAGGGAGGTCAAAATTTTGCTGAATACTGTGCAAGCTTCAGTGTTAATCAGTTTTTGGAGCAGGCGACCAATTTCCACTTTTTGTTGTATTTGATGACTAACGATGTTTTGAGAATTAATGACTATTGGGTTCAGGTAGGCTGAGAAAATTCATTTAATTTTTTAAATAAACTTTTTTTTCAGAGATTGTGTAATGCTGTAACTCAGCAAGATCGAGGAGCGGCGATGGATTGGACGAGAGATTGCGAGGATTTCCACCAACTCGTCGTTCTCTCTCATGCTCATACAGAAGGTAATTATAGATTGAATTGTTCTGAATGTTTAATCATCACTTTCAGATGTGGCGGCAATTCCTGGAGAATCGGCAGCGAGCAGTGGCAAATGGTCGTGCTCCCATTGTACATTTGAGAATGAAAACGGTCGAACTGATTGTTCGATGTGCGGCCTTCCAGCATCTACCTAAATTTGTTTTCTCGTGTATTCATTTCTTCCCTTCTCTTAAGGTACTGCTAATCGTTTTTTTAGTACTGGTCTCTGAATGGTTTCGTAAATTATTTCATTTATTTGTCATCCATACATGCCGAATAAATATCTTTGATCAAATGCGGAAGAGATTTTCAGATTTAATTCGAGATGCATGTCGAATCGCATTTGTTGTTTCGCAATGATTAAATGCCACTGATTATTGGGCAACAAACTGGTCACATTCTTCATTCATCGAATTCTTTATTGTAGTAGTCGATCAGTAATCACGAATTTCTCGAGGTCATCAATTGTAATATGCATATGAGGAACATAAGCCAATTATACGATTAATAGGCGTGTTATAGTTAGCGATCATCAAACACAGAATCAATTAGGTGGAACAATCTCAACTGGTTTATTTATTGTAATTAATAGATCCACAACACATATATTTTGCGGCTTTTCTTTGCCGTAGGTCAGACTTTACAGCCAAACGTGTTGAAGCTTGATAATAATCGAATACATCGCAGTAAACATACTGTTGGATCAAGGTTTTCCATATTTCCGCGATTTATGACGATGATAGCGAAATTGTTTAAAAGTCAAAATACACTGGAAATTGATTTTAATCAACCGTAGCTCGATTTTCTTAATTTTCTAGAACCTATATTATCCAGTTGAAAACAAAATTATCTGAAAATATTAGAGGTTTTCATAAACATTTTCTTTTAATTTTCTGTCCTCATTGAATAAAAATAACGTTTTTTGTCGTAATTGTTCGAATTTAATAACATTGGCAGAAGCTGAATGTGATCTTACCAAAATTTTTTAGAGGAACCTAAACTTGCCGAGTCTCGAAACTTCCGCAATTGTGTTGATTGAGTGTATTACATTCATCTTGAAATCGCTTCATTTTCATCGAAACAATCGAATAGATGGCCTTCAAATAATCTGCCAATAATGAAAATCTCGCTGCAATCTCGATCCCGCTCATTTGCTGTAATATTCAAGAATGCATAAAAATGAGTTATTTAACCTTGATGACCCGACTGATCTCGTTTATGCCGAAACCAGATCCTAACCATTATCACCTTCAAAACGACATTCATTGTGTTTTTGCGCAATTTCAGGTTGAATTGGATTGTTTGGGCTGAAGGTGAGTGTGACTATTGTGCTGAATTCACAATGGAGAAGGGGTTAGATTCATCAACAACCTGAATACAACATTTTTATGATAAAAGTTTGTTTCGAAAATCAACAGTACGAAATGAAAAAGGATACAATTTAAAATATAACTTTTCGATATTGTCGGAAAATTGGATAAATTCCAGAAAATTAAAAAAGATCTCGGTGCGCGGTGCGCTCCTTTAACCTATTCCTATACTCAGACCCGTAAATCTACATCTTTTCTTTTGCGCCAAGATTACTGCCATTGTCTTTTTTTTTTGGAATTTAGATAATTTTCCGCAGTCTCACGACGCTGGCAACATAAGATAATTCTGTTAGAATATTATACGAATGAAGAAAATTTGGAGAAATCTCTAATTTTTAGTTTCATTTTCTCATCATTCGATCGTAATTTTCGCTCTAAAATTAAAAATTACTTTAAAAACCATCGTTTTATAGTCTTATCACGTCCATCTGGCTAGCTAATCTATGCGAAAGAACATTTGACCATTCAAATCAAGGGTGTGTCGGCTATCAAACATCCTTCACACATAGTAGACATTCGTTCTACCCTTCTGATCTCATTCCACGAATACCGATTAAACTGATTGTACACGACACCAATAAGCATGACAACGTTTGCCATCGACAATAACCAAGTATTGTGGATAGTATTAAGTGACGAGATGATGAAGCGCTGTCCTCTCTCGATTGCCTTGTTCAGCTTCTTCTCGAACAAGCTTAATGTGTGCGCTAGTGCGTCCTGCCCTTTTTCGTCAGATTCGCCCTTCGCCGCCACCCTCACTTCAGCTTCTGCGTCGTCTCCTCCTCCGCCTTATTCGTTCTGATCGCCTCCTCCCACCGTCGCATTTGCACTCCGAACCGTGCTATCATGAGGCGGCTAAACATTTGCATACTTTTACTATCAACTACTTTATTACTGTTTAGCGCATCCGGTAAGTTATTACAAGTTGTAATTATTTAATTTTGCCGAATGGGCGGCAACATCTTTACCTAATTTGCAATAAGTTTTCAAACCCTATTATAAAAAATTTTTTATATTTTTTTTCATGACTTTAGCTTTTTATTTCCACCTTCTATTATCGCAAATTCAAATGTTCAATTTTAAATAAATTGAAAGAGTAAAATCAAACTAGGAGATCCATGAAAGATAACGATGGTATTTTTTCTTGTGTTGGAGAAAACACAACAGTTTTTTAGCCGTTTAATGATGGAATATACTTCATTGTTTCTCTCAAATGCGAAAAAAAAACATGTTTTCCCGGTTTTCCGAAAATCTGTAAAATTATTTGTCGTCAAATACAGTGCAAAGTTTGCGAAGTACGGTAGTCACACTGTAGTTGCATTTCAATTGACGACATATTTAAAATAATTTTTATTAAAGTGGGACTCGTTGTTTTAAAGCCGATTGTTTGTTGAATATGAATTTTCTTGAATCGAATATTATTGAATAGGTTGAATATGGGAAAGGAATATGAGAAAATGCCTTGGCTCGTCTTCGGACGACCAAAAAAATGGCAAACCTTGAAAAATTGAATGGCTTTTTGAGAAAATCGAGAAAATGAATAAAGTTGCGAGGCGCATAGGATTCAAATTTCAATAAGGTCTACATAAATCACGAACGAATAGACGTTATCGCTTTCAAAATTAATGTGGCGATATCCGCATCGTCGGATTTACATTTTCAACATCAGGACATTTCATCGTTTTCGTCATAACGCCCTCTCAAATCGGCGAAAGTGTGAAGTGTTCTGTTTCTCCCATGATTTTCATTCAGTTCCGCAGATTTTTTTTCTAATCTCGAAAACGCCGAAAATCTTATATTTTGTCTGCTATAGGACATGTTAGCGGCTATTCATCAACACTTTGTTGCTGATTAATATATGGGCATTTCGAGGGGGGCAGCGATAAATGGTGGGTGGCGATGGTGATGATGATATATGTGTGTGTGCGTATGCGACACCAGAAACGACGCACGGCACGGATATCACGTCGAGATCATTTTCTCCTGTGAATCCACAATATGTCTTGTCGTCAGGTTGCTTGCCGACCGCAATGCGCAATTTCTCGATTTTCCTCGTATTCACATCAAAGCTGCTGAATATAGACAAGATGGATTTTGATCGGAAATCCTGATAATTCTTATGTAATTCAATACCAGATCGAAACACAGATATGTGAATTATATCTTTTGATCGCGCCATTAAACCGAATTAGTCAAAATCGTAGAAAAACATTTGTAAGATTGTATAGTTGTTAATGGCCATTCGAAACGAAAGAATGCTATTAAAAGACCACCGGGTCGACTTCACGTGAATATCGCTTCTCATCTACTATGTTATAAGCGGAACGCTGGTGTCGTCATCGTTGTGAAGGTCATTATATCGGTTTATCGTGTTCAAGCCTCGAAAATGAGGTGCTTAATGGATGCGGAACTTTGATGATTTCGAAATTGGATTTTTGAGAGAAGCGAACGGCACGAGAAACGGAGGCGCCAATAAAACTTTATTTTCGTCTTCAGATATTCTTGTTCTCATGCCAACATTCGTGAGATCCAAGGCAGCCGAAAGAACTTGCTAGGAATCGCCTTCGAATTGCCAATGTTTCGTAGTAAAACCTTTTTTTCTGACAAAGCGAGTTCTTCGATAGAATGGGACAATTTTCGATTGAACTCTAAACTTCTATGTATTTAAATTCATTTTCAGCCTTCGCTGAGGATAATGATCTCGAAGGTTCGGGAGAAGCTCTCGGTGAAGCACCGGGAGGAAATGATGAGGAATTTGTAAGAAAAATTTCGAATAAAAATTTATATTCTTTCTGATTTCAGGAAGATGAATCGAAAACGGATTCTGAAAATGCAGAGTAAGCAAATTTCACAACAAAAAATATATTTGTAACGTTTTTTTTGTTCAGCACAAAATGCAAAGATCGTCATGATTTATGCAAGTTCTGGTCGTCGATTGGCGAATGTTCGTCAAACAAAGATTGGATGGAAGACCATTGCCCGGTTTCGTGCGATGTTTGCAGTGGTAATATTCCGAATCGGACTAAGAATTGAAGAGGAGCCGAATCGGACTATGAATTGAATTTCAGGTGTTACTGCGTGCATCGACAGACATCGACTCTGCAATTTCTGGGCGACTATTCGCGAATGCGAGACGAACGCCGTTTGGATGTTGTCGAATTGCCCAAAGGCATGCAAAGCTTGTAAAGGTGGTGGCATTGGATTCTGGCGAATAATCGGGAAGCATTTTCAGGTAGAGCAATTACGAGCGGAGGAACTGGACCAGGAGGGACTTTCAGAGAAGAAGACTGCACGTTTATTACAACAAACGAGGACACTTCTTCAAGAAAGGTGTTTCATTTTTGGAAGAAATTGAATAATTCTGGAAACTTCGAAATGTCTAAAACTATGCTCAAAAGCAGCGAATTCTGATCGGCAATGTTCAGAAGGCTTCTCACAGATGTCCATCTAAATTCATTCTAATTAGAAGCTGAGTTTGCGCGAGTTTCGCGAGAAACGACGCGTTTTGCAAAAAACGCCTAGTCTCCGTGAAAAAACGTTAATTGAATAATCAAATGACCATTATCACGTTATCATTTTGATGTGCGGATCAAATTTCCCAATGCGATATCCTGAATCGTAGCCCTAAATCAACCGGTTGCTTTATTTGCATGTGATCCTATCTTCGATGTGTTGAAGTCATCGTAATACGATTTTGAAAAGTTTTCAGAACTAAAGTATTAATTATCTGAAATTTTTTCCTGCAAACACCTAATGGAATTGCTTAATATTCAAAAAAATTCAGACTTTGTCGATTCGTGATGTTCGTGATTCGAACATGAACTTCAACTGTGCTCCGACTCAGCAGGTCCCGAATTGCAACAAAAACTTGTGCTACCATTTGAGGTAACTATTCTCCAGCTCATCTCAATAATTCTTTGTTCAAGGTATCGCACGTTTGACGGAACATGCAATAATTTTCAACGTCCGATGAGCGGATCAGCATTCTCAGCTCTAATGCGTCTTAAAGATCCAATGTATGATGACGGGCTGAATGCGCCAACTTGTGAGTGATCGATCATTTTCATACACATTCCTTGTCTATACAATTGCGTAATCAAAAGCTGAAGAAAAAAAAGACAAATAGGAGAAGAAGTGCATTCGAAAAGTGAACAAAACGAGCGGAACTTGTTTTTTTGCATCTTATCCCTCGACTTCTTCTTTCTTCTCCGCCATTCGTTTTTCTTTGGTTTATCATTTGAAGGCGGCATGGATGTTGGGAGTGTTGCCAAATGATTCGCGAAATGAACAGAATCCATGAGAAGCGATTCGTTGCCAAAAAGAAATAAATGATGATGAATTACATTTTCAGCTTCATTCTTAAGAAGTCGTCCATCGGCGAGAGATGCTTCCAGACTTCTACTATCATCATCGACTCAGGTATCCATTTGTGAAAATAATGAAAAATGGAAATGTGAATAAAGTAACTTAAGAATGTTGAATAATTTACGCATAATTAAAAAAACTATTTAATGGGTTGAAATCTTGATTTTTCAAATGAAACTAATTATTCAGATTCAACATCATTCAAATGCTCTTCTTATGCAATGGGGACAATTTATTGCTCATGACTTGTCTAAAACTACAATGCTCAATAATCAAGTAGGAAATTGATATCCGTCAAAAATATTGATTCGATTCAGGAATGCGCGGCTTGCACTTCAAACAAGGGCCGATGCACATCAGTTTTCTTGTCTCGTTCGGACCCAACATTCGGTCGATTCATGTGCCTTCCAGTCGCCAGATCTACACCTGTGTGTGGTACTGGTGTCACAAATTTCCGAGAGCAATACAATGAGAATACCGCTTTCATCGACGGATCAATGGTATTCAATATTTTTCGAATTTGATTTACACATTGAATTGCATAGATTTATGGAAGCAGCGATCGCGATCAATTCCTGTTCCGGCAAGGCGCATTCCTCAAAACGAAATTGATCAATAACAGAGTTTTCCCACCAGTTGGTAGGATTTGCGAAGACATCATAGAGAATGTGGGGGTTTGACATTTTCAGACAAGAACAACAATGTGGTTGCCGGTGATGATAGAGCCAACATTTTCGTCGGATTGGCATCGCTTCATGTGCTATTCCTTCGCCAGCATAACCGAATCGCGGCGACTTTGCAGCGAGTGAACCCACATTGGGATCAAGAACGCGTCTTCCACGAGTCTCGTAAAATCCTAGGAGCTATGATTCAGAGAATCACTTATCATGTACGACCCAAACACAATCAATACACTTATATTATTTTATAGGAATATTTGCCAAAAGTTTTGGGAGCTGCATTCGAGGAAAGAATTGGCAAATATCCCGGATATGATCCGAATATTGATCCATCGGTTGCTAATGAGTTTACGAGTTGCGCGTTCAGATTTGGACACGGAATGATTCAGGCTAGATTTTCTGTCTTCCTTACTAAAAATAATATGAAATAATCCAGGAGTTTTACCCATTCTTGAACGAGCGATACCAACATGTTGGTGGAATTCCATTCAACGATGGAATGTTCAAATCAACGCATATTTTGACAAACGGAATCGATCCACTTCTTCGAGGTTTGATGACACTTCCAGCCAAAATGCCTCAAAGATTGACGCCGGCGGTTACGGAAAGAATTTTTGGAAACTCTGATTTGGGATCAATCAATATTCAACGCGGAAGGTGTGTGGTGAACGGAGAGTTCGAAATCGAGCTAGTGGTATTCTAGAGATCACGGAGTTCCGCCGTACACCGTCTGGAGAAAATTCTGCGGATTGTCGCCTGTTAAAGATTTTGACGACTTGAAAACTGTGATTACTAATCAGGTGGTGATTGATAATTTGAAGGTTATCTACAAGCATGTTGGTATGCTCATTCAATTCGAAGCCTGGTCTCGAATTCAAATCAATTTAGATGCTATCGACATGTATGTTGGATCACTTCTTGAGGATCCAGTGAAAGATGCACTCGTCGGACCAACCATCGCCTGTATTATTGGGGAGCAGTTCAAGAGAACTAGAAATGGAGACAGGTCCCGATTCTTTTTTTTTTTTTTGAAATTTTCATTTAAAAAAACGAGTGATTTTAGATTGTGGTACGAGAAGGAAAATGTGTTCACCTTTGAGCAGTTGAGACAAATCAAGAAAATCACAATTTCAAGAATTCTGTGTGACGCTGGCGATCATTTTTCAATGGCTCCTTTAAAGGGATTTAATGTCTTCAAACCAAATACAAATGGCGGATTAGTCAAGTAAGCGGCGTCTTACGTTACTTGCTTCAATTCTTTAATTTATCACTTTCAGATGCGAGGAAATTCCAGATGTAGATTATAATGCATGGAAGGAGGAGTTGTCAGTATAATTCTCTAAAACATTCATCATCATTTATTCCCAAATTCTCAAATACCTCAATTCTAAGTTTTATTTCAAGATGATTCCCTTCCGTTTGACACTTTTCAGGTCTTGCCGCGTTCAATTGTTTCACTTTCCTTCGTTTAGTATCTATCCGTTGTCGATTCTAGTCAATTTAGCTAATTCATTTTTCCATAGAATTTTGAAACTCTGTTTGAATACAGGTAAATTATATTAATATTTGACGGTGAGAACAGTTTTCCTTGTCCCCACTGCATTTTTTTCTGTACATTTCGGTTAAATAAATTGCATCGAATATTTAAGATATTGATCGCATACGATATATGTTGGAAACCAATAGAAAACTATACATCCTGATATTGAATTAATTTCGCCATTATGTCTTTTATTTTTTTGGACAATTTGTTCATGATTTCGTAATCGTACGAAGCCGTAAACATCATACAGAAATGTCGAAAATTTCAATTCAGTAAAAAATAAAGACAATCTTATTTCTTTTCTATGCATTGAATTTTTCTCATTATTTTTCTTCGTTATTTTCATGTATCGGGTCTTACATTAATGGTTTCTCGCGAGAAGAAAAGCATTTAAAAAAAGATTAGGAAAGATGCCGAGAAGAGTACGCAATTGTGCACTGCGTGTTTACACCAGATTTTCAAATTTTTGGCGTTGCTCATCACTGTCTGTTATTGTCATTTTTAACATGTTCATTTCACGAATTTTAATTTAAGATAAGATTATACATTAAAGAATTTTTGCTGAAACTGAATAAACTCCTATTTGCATACAAGACTGTGTGAATACTATCGTAATCATCGCTTTGAACATTTGATAAGGTACTCGTTGAGGAATCAGCCACGACTAACGCCTTATATGCTTTTTCTTTTCAAATTGTTATTTCACACGAATTAAATCGTTTATATTAATTCGATTAATTGTTTTTCTCGCTTCAGGATAATGGTTACGTCTGAAGAAAACAGACGAGATATAGACATTGAGGACGAAAATGTGTTTTGGAATTTCATTCATGAGTTTGTTGCTATCATTTTATCGGTTTTATTGTTCCATTTTCAGAAAAATTGTTGTGAAGAAAGAATTTGATGTCGTGAATTTCTCTTTGTGGGAAAACTTCAAAGCGATGCAAAACCCAACGTGGACTGTTGAAGAACTTGACGAATAGTGAGTATTGGTTTCTATAAAAAATATGATTCAATATGGAATTTAGTTACAATGATGTAATGAAAGATTGTTTGTACAAAGCAGAAATTGACAGAAAAATTATTCTTGAATTATATCAGCACTTGAAATTACCGTTGGACGATCATGCAGAGAAATTGTGAGTTCATTTGTCATTAATATGATTATTTTTCAAAATATCAATATTTTCAGACTAGAGAAAGACATTCCTGCAATTATTCGCCGAAATGCGCGAAAAGAAGTTGTCCGTTTTCGTATAGTCGGAGAGCACCAAACAGCTCCAGCGCCTCAACGTACCGTATCCCGCTCTCAATTACTAATTCAAAATCCTCCCGTTGCAAAAACGACCCCTACTACATTAGTTTCTAATGCTGAAAAATCGCCATTGGAAACACCGGCTCCGTCACGACAATCTTCTCCAGTCAGTGTTTGGACTAATCAGCCGATTGAGAAACGGGAAAAAGATATCGAAGAGCCGCGATCGAGCAATTCGTCAAGTCCAAAACGAGAGGTTATCGATAATGAAGATGATGGATATAAAGAACTTGTATATAGGGTGCGTAAAGCAACACAAACGTTTAACATTAACAGTTTTTTTTTTAATTTCAGTTTACCAAACCAAAAAGAAGTGGTTTTACCTGTGAAGATCATCGAAAAATGTGGATGCACATTTATAAGTAAGTATTTGCAATTATTATCCAAAATATTTGATCAATTTTTTAAAACAATAATTTTCAGGGAAGCATTCACATCAAGTGGTCACTTGAAAGATGTTTTCGAGTCTCCAAAAGGATTGATTCTTTGGAGGAAGTATATCGCACTAAATCAGTGTTCAAAGTCGGACTCAAACCTTGCATCACAGTAAAACTCGTTCAAGTGAATTTAAAATTTCAATGCTCTAATTTAGCTACCGTAAAGTCATGCGATTTAATCTTCATCGTGCTAGGTTGGATCGAGATATTCTCCTCAAATTATATGATGTTGTTGATATTCCATTGCCGATGGATGTAATCAAAGAGTGGGTTTCTAAAAAACTGGAATAGTTTTGATGTTGCTTTTTGAGATTGGAGCACCGGTTTTCAATTAAAGTCAACGTTCAAGATGGAAGATTGTATAGTTGGACTGAAGTCGTTGAAGAAAAAAAAGCGGATGAGAAGGAGAAAGAAGAAAAAGAAGAAGACAGTGATGACACAGTGCCTTTGTCGAAGGAGATGGAGGATGACGGACCAGAAAATCTCCAAAATAGAAACAGTTCGACTACCAACACAAGTAAGAAGACTCCAAAAAGACGTTTGAGTTCTACGGAAAAAGGTTGGTTTCCGGAAATATCGGATTTAATTCCATTGATTTATTTGAAGATCACGAGAAAACATCGACCTCGTCACCTAATAAAGAAGAGAGCAAGAGAAAACGGTCGCAGCTGCCGGAAACTCCGAAAGGCACTGATACGATTGAAGTGGGAAAAACAAGTAGTTCAGGTAAATGAGAAAACAAATATTTGAATTAGTCATTTACGATTTAGACAAAAGAAACTTATCCATTCGCAAAGGTTTAAGAAATCGGAGAAATATGCCCAAAGTGGACTATGTTGGGGAAAAAATTGGTAAGCTGAATGGTTGAACAAAAAAATATTAATTAAATATTTTGCAGTATCGCAGGAATGTAATGATGGTAAGTTGTTCTATCCATTTTTAGTGTTATTCATGGAAATTAGCCTCTAGTAGTCAATATTCCCTTGTGTTTCAATTAAAATTTGTGAAATTTTAATAACTAATTAGACCTTGAAATGGCATGTGAAAAACAGCGTTGAAACAATAAAAAAAGAAAAGAAAGATAGACTTCCATAATGAGATAAATACTTTGGTTTTATGGTTGAGGAGAAAAACCATAGCAAAAATTATCCCATGTCTATTATAGCCAAGTATATTTTCACTGACTGCAATGGTTTCTTTTTGTTTACTTCCCTCTTTTTTAATGTTTTGTCTTTTACCCAAAAACCCTGTGGCTTCGATTTTACATTTACCGGCGTGATTTTTGAGAAAATCGATTTCCCTGCGTAACAGGGACGTGCCGGGAAATTTCCTGTATTTTTATCGAGGCTTTGAGATTTTTAGCGAAATCTGCATAGAACCATTAAAATACTTGAAGCGAAGAATTGTTTTCAAAATTTAAGACTGGATATCACTTATTTTTGCTGCGTTCTGTTCCAACAAAATCGGTTTCTATTGAATAACGGGTTCTCGTCCGCTTATAATGAGTATGGTAGTTGTATAGTCGGGGTCCGGCGATCGCTGTTACGTGGGTAGATTTACGGGTGCGTATTTCAAAATGTTCCTGCGCGTGACGGTTTATTTTCAAATTTTCATGTGAACTTATGAGTATATGTATTATTTCCTTGAATTCTTAATATCACTGAAATTGAAAGTTAGCGAAATGAATTCTAAAATGCAAAAGAATAAGTTAGTCTGTGCGGGACCATAACGAAGTCGCATGCACGTAAATCTATTTGCGTACAGCAGTCGCCGGTCACCTACTATATAATATATTGTCGAAATCAAACGAATTGACGAAATTAAAAAAAATTATTGGCTATGTGCCAATGCGTCTAGAAGCAGCAAGAAGTACGCAAGACTTCGTACATTGCATAATAGTGTACGCGCAGTTAATATTCAGTCAACGATTAATTTAAATCTACACTGATTTCGCGAGTTTGAATGCCCTATAATGTTAATGGTCTTGGCGCAAAAGTAAGTTTAGATTTACGCCCCCCCCCCTCCGATTTACGGACAAGGATAAGTTAAAGGCGCGCATGTCAATACGAAAATGCATCACATCTAAAATTTCTAATTTCAGTTATATAAAATATCGCTTTTCACAGTTTTTAGAGATTCGAGGAAATTTTCTCGATTCAATTGAAGACAACAGCATGCGAAATAACTAGATTTGATTAACAAAATAATTTTGCAGCGAATGGAAGAATCCCGCGTTTAACACGTAATCTCAGTAAAAGAATTCGCAAAACATTATGAACTTTCTTTTAATTTCCCTTGTATTCCGTTATCAATGTGTATGTTTGAAATCTAAATTTTATCCTTTGTTAATATATAACTATATATACATGTTTTGAAGAATATAAAGCATTTTACCAATTTCAAAAGCATATGTATATTAATTCTTCAGGAGTATTCCAAACAAGAGAACCATCGCGTATATTGAATTGGAAAGCACCATCCCCACAGCTAAGTTGGTTGAAAAAATGATATATGATGATCTATTTTCTCAATTTGAAGATGGCGATGACGAAAATGGCAACAACAAACGAAAAAGAAGATCGTCGCAGATTCTCGAATCTCAAAGTTTGTCTGAAAAGAAAAGAAATGATCAAAATGATGAGTATTCTGAAACGTTGGTGCGTTTTATCAAACAAAAAACGTCTCAATTGAAATGATATTTTCAGGAGGTGATGATTGGAAGTTGTGATAGCCAATTGTCGGATAGTAGCACAGTTTGTTCGTCAAATTTTGATAAATGCTGATTTTTGAAATTTCAGTTTGTATGCGATATCAAGTCGGAGCCGCCTTCGGAATATTCTATAATCTCGGTAATCCATTCGAATATGCTCGTTTATTTTTCGCCAAATTTCAGGAAATTCCGGAAATATCATTGAGTGAAATAAAAGAGAGAGAGATGAGTCTTAACAAAGAACTAGGCGAAAAACTTTTGAAACAGGCATTGGAGCTGGCGGTAGAAAGCATTATTTGAAATTTTGAATAATACAAATTTTCATTTATTTTCAGGATCGAATGAATATCAATCGCGAAGATGCTTTAAAGGTTTACACGAAATTGTGCAACGAATTGAAAACAGAACAATTTGTAAGATCTATTTTGAGGAAAGCAAACAAAGAGAATATTTCAGCTGTTAGAACCAAGCGATTTCGAGAGTTTCGTGAAAGCAATGAATTTTTCTGATGATCGGGAATTAGTGGAATCGGCGGAAAATGTCATACAACAAGCAAGCAAAGAAGCGTGGAATTTGGTTTGTAACAGCACACTTCTTGAATGGATTTTATAGTTTTTTAAGGATTCTTTCGAACTATTTATGGACTATATTATCGAAGCGCTTCGCTGAATATTTCAATCAAACTGCCATTGTTTTGTTCGTCCGTTTTAAATTCGACAGAATTGTAAATAAAGAAATGACTTTCAAAAAAATCGAAATGTGTCGTTGTACAAGTTATTAATTTCTTTACATTAATGAAAGGGAGAGGAAAAATTAAACACAAATACTTGAAGGTGTGAAAGGATATGGGTGTTATACATATCGATGTCGTCGTTTATATTCGGTGAAAGGAAATGACGTTATTTTCTCGTCGAATATTGAAAAAAATTATCATTTGAGTACTACGACACTCTTGTTGAAGTTGAAAAAGAAATTTGTTCATTAAAATAATTATTGTGGCAGAACCACCCTCCCTCCAAACTCGATGTGCTGTTAAAACAGCATATTGTCGGTGTCAGACGACTGAAGAGAGGCGGAGCCTTCAAATTCGCGAAATCAGTGTAGATTTAAATCTTTCGTTGAATGAATATTAAATGCGCGTACAATATAATGCAATGTACGCAGTGTCGTACTTCTCACTGAACCGAGACGTATTGGCACATAGCCAATAATTTTTAAATTTCGTCAAGTCGTTTGACTCCGACAATATATCACATTAATTATGGACCCAATAGTGGTTTGAAACTAGAAAAAAATTATATGAAAATTTCGAGATTGCTGCGAAAAATCGATCGAGAAAAGTCTAAATGAGATGGGAGTTTTGGTGTATTTTCCGTGATATTTGTCGTCGCTGTGTTTGCACTAATTTCTGTTACCATTTATTTCGCTTTTTTAAAATTCAAATTCTAATAGATCAAAATCACACCGCAAAAATTCCAAGAAATATCTTTAGTCCGCAAACGCTGTTTTCTGTGGTAACTTAAAACTCAAAACCAATCGGATCCGATTTGTATTACGTCGAATCCTATGAATTATTACTTGAATCCTTCAAACACCTTTCTTATTAAAAAAAATCTTGTTTGTGTGCTATCTTTGATCAGTTAAAACCCCGAATGTTATCAAATTTTTATAATATTTCCGAAAGAATTAAATTAATTTAATTTGTTCTTTTTTCCGTGAAAATTCGATGATCCATTTTTAATATTATTTCCAACGAATGTGGTTATATTCAATAATTGGGTTTATAATTATATTTCAAATTCACTGTCAAGTTCAAGTTAATCCCGGAGAAAATGATAGCACAACGGTTATAAAAAATGAAAGTTCAATGACAAGAGAAGCTGGTGGAATTACAGAAACGGAAAACCCGAATATTACGGAAAGTGATATTGGTAAATCAAATTATCAAAAAAAAGTTTTAATCTAGATTTGAATTATCGCGCCTAAAAATTCGATGCTCATCAACGATTGTAAAAATTAAATCCCTTGGACCTAAGCCCACATTCTTTGATTCCTAGTTTTTGATAGCACATTTTAACCACCATTTTAAAACATATTTTTAAACTTCCACGTTTTGACTCCCAGTTTCTGTCTCGAAAATTTGATTATCACGACGTATTTCAAACAAAACCACATAAAGCCATATAAATAATATAAATTACGCATAATAATGAGTCCTTAGCAAATTTCATTGCAATTGCTAATGATATTGTCTTCTATATGGAAGCATTTACGATTTGACCGCGAAGTTCAAATGTATCCCAAACCCGATCTCTAAAATATGGAACTACTCGGCTGTTTTTGTTTTTATTCAGATTTTATTGGTTTATCCATTACAAAAAGCTCGGTTAATCGGATAACGAGGAAAACGGGTTTTATTGTTAAAAATTTAACCGAAAATTTGCGCTTCTGCCAATGGTTTTATTAATTAACTCGAATAAATCTTGCACACATTGCTCAGACTCTTAGTAGAATATGCCTAAACTCTGCTCAAAATCTGCACGATTTTCCCGAGACGGCAACTTGAAATTTAATGCTATTATAGTCTATTATAGTCGCAAAAAATCGAGCACCCTACCCCCAATTTTTTTCCGAATTCTCATTATTTAAATTGAAATTTGAATTGCCGCCCCGAAAATTGCGATAGCCCACAAATGTTCAATTTTGTCTTTTTTGGAACCAAAATATTCAATGAATCAATTCATTTCTTTTCCAGTAATGAATATAACGTATGATTATTTGGAAGTTAATTTAACGAATGATGCTACTGATGCTGGTGATAACGATTATTATATTTATTTCCATTCTCATTTGTTCAATTCTAATAAGACCTCAGATGTTAAAGAGAGCTATAATAAAACTAGCCGTAAAAATCGGAAACGGTTCAAGTCATCAAGTAATATTTAATTTTTATGTAATAATTCTTTCTTGAAAATGAATTATTAAGGTTCATTCATAGCAATTCATTACTATATACCCTGGAGACTTCGCCCTAAATTTGATTCGATGAATATCATTTATAAAAATTATCTTTTAACCGGCTTCGTATTGCTTGCCATTTATATAATATTTGCACTTTTCAAACTATATATTCATATAGTCGATATGATACTTATGCGCAAGATTAGCAATTCTTTTATAATTCAGTCTTTCTACAAATTAAAACTGCTTCAACCTAAGGAAACAGAGAACACGAAGAATCATGAGGAAGACGACGACGGCAATTTATTCTCGATATTAAAAAATGTTAAACTGTTTAATAAAGATTCATAGCTTTTAATTCTGTCGAGGAGAAGGGTGTTATGATGGTCGTGAATACCAAATGCCACCGGAACACTCATTTACAGGGTGGGGAATAAGTATAGCTCGGGTATTTTGCTTGAGATCTGGCGCCTACACTACTCTTTTTTTGGAGAGGAATTTTAATTTTTAAGATTATTTCAAGTTTCATCTTGTCTTTTCAAGTAATGGTAACCGCCTCTCCGTTCAGAAGCGCCATTATCAAAGTTTATCTAAAGGAATGCGTAGAGCAGAAATCGCTCTGAAGCTCGGAATTCACAAATTTTTCTTGAACAGGGCCATTAGTCGATTCAGACAGCTGGGCACAATGAATGGGCTGATGCTCCGGGGGGGGGGGCGTGTACTTCTGGGTCATCTGTTCCAAGGGAGTCTCTTAGGGGGTGAACCGACGGTGTGTCTCAAGAAAGCGTCTAGAAGGCCTGTGACTGTGACAACTTCAGCAGTCGCCAAAGCGATCAGAGAGGGAATCCGACGAAATTAGCTATAATGTTTACTAGTTGTGACTCATTGTCCCCGATTCTACTGTTCCTGAAAGAGTTGGATTTACGTTGTTAAGTGGCGAATCATCTGTGTGGGGTACACAGCCAGCGCACTTCCCGTCTCGAGACCATTGAGCCAATTTTGACAATTGTTAACATGAATGTACATAATAGTGGAGACGTGTGATCTAGTGACGACAGACAGAATGGGTAGAATCTATTTTGGTTGTCATCACTGGATTGATGAGAAAAAAAAAACGAACGAAGTGAATTACGTAATCACAGACAAATTCGAATTATGTAACTATAGCAACGATCTAAACTTTTAAGAAGTTTTGTGTTTCGATTCTAGTCTTTCGACATTTTGTGTGACTTCATAAGGTGTTGGATTTTTGAAGAAATATTGGACCAGAAATTTTTATGAAAATCGTTCATAGAAGATAAAACAAGGATAATTTTATATCATAAATTTTTGATAATTTTTAATTTAAAAAATTTTCAAAATTTTATTTTTTTAAATCAATTTTTAAATGGAATACTGTCTAAGATATTGCCAATTTATGTTACAAAGGGATTTTAAAGAAATGAATGATTCTGATATTTATTCGAATTAGTGCATATAATAATAATGATGAAGATTTGTTGTAAATTGGTGATGATATGTTGAATAAATTGGCAGGGAGTTTCAATTTCGACGAGCGTCGACAAATCGGGATCGAAGAAATCGAATCGCCTCGCAATTATCGCAATTCTCGCGTGTGCAGAACTCAATGTGAGTGGCGAATCCGCGATAGCTGCAGAAGCACAAGAAGCAATACTGGTGACGGTTCGAAGGGCAGCTTTGGATATGCTGGAGAAGGCGACGCATCTCTTCGCACTCCGAGCTTTGACATGACGATGGTCCGGGACATTCGGCATGATGATTGGCGACGTTCTCGAACCTATAAAAATGATTGTTTGACAATCGGTGGTGGTGGTGAATTGAAATACCGCCAGGTGACACCAAAAAATGGGCTTCGTCGATGCGCCCAATAGCGATCTATTTGATCTTGAGTCGCCGCCAAAACTCCAGAGGAAGTCGAAGGCGTCGTGAAGAACGCACGCTGGAATTCCAACATTGCCTTTTTGTCTCATTTTCAGAATACCATATAGCGTCTCATTCTCGGCAATCTCTCAACTTTGCCCATATTCTCCTTATCCCCATTTGGATCCATTCCTAGCTGAAAAATTGAAAAAAAAAATGAAAACCAAAAAATGAATGAATCAATCAATTATTGTTTTTGGTTTGAATAGATGAGAGCATTAATGAAAATATGAAAAAATAAATGAGAGCATGATGTCTCCAAGGTGATAAAATATCAGTTCACTCATTTCAAAATGAATGAGCATTCTCGAAATGATTACCTCTTTCTGAGAAGAGTCTATTATTGAAGCGGAATCGTCGTTGTCAATCATCTGAAAATTTCATTCTTCAACAATTTCTTTTTGATTTGGATAGAAATTAACAAAGTCTAGATACTCATAAAACACTAGTATTCTGCTCGATTTTTGATCGAGAAATTTTTTCTCATTTTTTAGCCAATAATTGCACGCGACATAATAGAATTTAAAGAATATCGAATCATGTGAAATTAGATTTAATTAAATTTTAGAAAAAAAAGAAACAAACTCGGAAAAAGTGAGAATTCGAGAATATATGATTTTTTTGTTTCTGATTTTGATGGGAAACCTTAAGATTATCGTTGATGACATCATTAATCCATAAAAGGAAGAATACAATCATGTTCTAGAATTTAAAGAAAGTATTTCTGAAAATGATGGGAATGATGACAATCATCTCATTTTATTTGGTAAAACTATAAAATACGAAAAAAAAAACGAAAAATAATAGTTATTAATTTTCTTTTTGGGTTTCCATGCGAAATTCGGCTTATAAAAAAACATCTGCTTTTCATTTGGATTTTTGCTGCAAAAAATGAAATCGATAATAAAAGAAGAACAAGAAAATTGGGAAAATCAAACTTTCTAAGCAATCACGAAAACGTTTCATATGAAAATAATTTTTTAAAATTTGACAAAATCAGTTGGAAAACATGCTCAATTCCTTCGGATTATCTAGGATTACAGACTTCGGCTTTCGAGTTTTTATCTGACGTACTCTTAATCTATCAAGAATGATGGAATAAGACGAAAATGGAAAAAAAAATGGAAGGGAAACTCAACGATCGCGTAATATTCCCTTACTTCATCAATTTATTTTTTCAATTCAAAATTTGGACATTTTAGTGGGTGATTCACACAAAACATAATTGAGCATATTTCTAAGAAAATTATTCAATTTATATTTATGTATTAATTAGAAGCGGAGCAATCATTCAGTTCAAATTCGTTGCAAGATTTTTGCCGATATTGCTAGTCGTAGAAATACTAGTTTTTCTCGAGAATCTCAGCGCCAATGTAATTTTAACATCCAAAAAAATCAACGTGTTGAAAATATTAATACAGTAATCCATAGGGCCCTGTCGCTGCGAGAACCGGGCGGTTTTGATTTGTACAAGAGAAGAGTTTTCCTACGCTTGAAAAATATTTGAAATATCCAAAGCATTGTATTGTGGAAAAAACTGCAGCGATTTCCTATGCATTGTGTGCGTACACCGAGTGGCACAATTCGATCATAGCTACAGTAATCTCTACTGAAAATTATTTAATTATTTAATGATTGTTTCTTTTTATATAAAACAATTAACTTTGAAAATATACAAAAATAATTATTATTGCACTTTTTGAACACAACAGTATACATTAAACCATAAAATCGCCAAGAAAACACAGAAAAACATTTTTAATTGATGAAATAATTTTCATTTGAGATTACTGTAGCTAAGGTCGAGATGTGCTACTCGGTGTACGCACACAATACATAGGAAATCGCTGCAGTTTTTCACATTCGTCATTTTTCCCACAATACGTAGTTGATCTACGTATACATAGATACAGTAATCCGCTCTTCTGCAAAATATACCTTCATTCGTTTGCGTGACATCTAGACAGAATATTTTCAAAAATTATTGGCTTTATCATCTCTATTAAATATTCATTTTGCGTTTTAGAATAAATTAATATTTTTACTTATGCGTCATTTTAATAAAAATCCATCCCAAATTTTTCATCACCGAATATTTGACTCGATTTTCGGGTCGTCAACTATCACAATATTTTTTGCTCCGAAAAATCTTTGCCCATTACGATTCGAAATGTTTTGATGTGCTCCGGCGACGCGTTGAGTTTGCTCTAATTCGCCGCAATTTTTCAGCGGCAAATTTCAGCCACTCAGCGATGGATGGAAGCCAATGCGTGGGCAAACTGCGAGTTTGAGGTCGTCGTCGTCAAATCGCATCCCATCGAGTTCGAGCGGTTTTTTCTTTTTGCTCGTTCAAAACCCGTTTCCTTCTCAATCGATAGCTTGAAGGCGTGCGCGACGAGAGAGGAGCATTCGAAACCGAGAGACGCAGACACGGCACATGTGAATTCTGAGGGCCGACGCGCACCATTCAAATGCACAAATTTTCCCCCCAGAAAACCTCTTCGTTCTTTTTCTAATCATGATTCATCTCTTTTATCTCTTCAATTTTTTCATGTGAATCGAATATTCAATGGTTTTCCGCACGAGTTATTTGATCGAAAAGCCTCACCCTCATCAAAACTCTTCCGACCGCGATGAAAATGTTCGTCGAAAAGTCATGTGCACACTTTTTGACCTTTTTCTTTGAAAAAAAAAGAGGGATAATTAAATGCGTTTTGGAACTCAACAAATTAATTCAACTATCAGCAGCTTCTTATCAATTTTAGCGAAACGTGGTGCACCCAATTCCGTATTAAATTTTGAACAAGTCACATGTATGTTTGAAATAAGTAAATTGACAAAATATATGAGGAATCAAAATTTTTTGGGACATTGCCAAAATTGAAATTTTTTCCAGAAAAAAATGGGAAATTCCTATTTTTCTGTTTTTTTTTTCTTTTCCTTTTAAAATTCGAATTTCAGTTAATGATGCAATCCAGTTAAAAGCTCAAATTTCACACAGAATCCCAAACCAAATGCCAACGATCTTCGTCCGATCAAAAAAAAGATCAACAATATTTTCCGGGAAAAATGTCGGCCACGTGATTGCGTGATAAGAGGCGTCCCCCGGCCACTCCTCGTTTTCGTCCCGCCTCACTAATTACGAGAATCCCCCCATATTTTTAAGCATCACGCGCTCTCGTCGTCGTCGTCGTCGTTTTTTTTCTTCTCATTCTCAATTTCGCTAATGGTCGCGTTGGTCGCATCAAGCACATATGCCGGTCAGCGCGAAATTTCGGCCAACAAACAGATGTTGAAAAATGCGGAAAATTCACGAGTCGGTTTCTTTCTTTCTGGTTAGACGCCAGCATTCATACACACACACACACAAAAAATTTGTGTGTTCGTTTTCGACATCTCCCCGAAAATCCGCCTCAATTTCCGGCTGTCGGCGGATTTGCTGCTGAATATTATCTCTACGTGTTCCATATAACTCAGCTCAGATTGACTCAGTTCTAAAAAGCGTTTTTTGAATTCGTATATTCTGATGACCGCATTCAGCTAATACTTGGTCTTAGTGGCCAGAATCCCACCAAAATTTCATTTTTTAATATCAATTATTTGAAATGAGCGCCGATCACAATAAAATTTCTCATAAAAATGAATATTAACAAAACGGAAAATTAAATTTTAAAAATCTCAACCAAAACCTAAATATTATTTTTTTCAGATTTTAAAAATTTTCTTCAAATCAGATTTAGAAATTTCGACGTATCTAGATTCTAAAGTCTAGAAAAGACTATTCCTATTAGAAATGTAAATCCTGAAATCACATCAAACATCTTGACTAGAATGAATTATTTTTATAATTTAATAATTTTTGAATAAAAATTAAAATACCATTAAAATATCCCGTTTTCCACTATTTTTTACTCAATGAAAAAAAAGTTTTTTGACGATTTCAAAGTTCGTTAAAAACCTGTCGGTCACCTCGATTAATCCGTTCGGAGGCTAGCAACTCATATATATATATAATCGGGTGGGTCAAAATATTCAGCAGCTCCATCGACACACCGAATTACCGCAATCGACGCTGGGAATCTTTTTGAGAATTTTTTAGTTTACAAAATGTGATGAAATTTAATACGAGAGGCACCGCTCGTCGCGATTCATTCTCAATTTTTGTTATACAAATTTTTGTTGTTGCGATTTTGCCGCAAATTCCTCGTCGAATTCAATTTTTTTTTGAAGCGACGTCGAATTGAGTGCCCAGATTTTGCAGGAGAATGCCGTTCGGCAATGATCCGCCAGACTACGTCCATTTGAGGAGCAACGAGAGCCAAATGCAGCTGATAACGATTAATGAGAATGGCGATACACCCACACCAAGGTATTAACGCGTTGTTTTTTCGATCTTCCTACACCAATTCGGACCAGAATGATGATTGTTTAGTTTGAAAAAAAAAAGAACAAAATCATTGTTATGCAAAATATTAATAGTAGGCAATCATTTTGAATAATCCACATTTCAACGTCAAAAATCTCCACCATAATTGGGTATATTCAACAAATCTGTAGTTATCGATAATTGAACGTCACACGCTCTATTATTTGCCGTCATATATAATGATAATATATTACCATCGCAAAAAAATACGAGGAACTTAAACAATTGTGGACCATCGCATTTGTTCAGGCCAGAATTCAAATTTAAATATACCACCCAAAATCGATGGAAACTGTATAGATGACATTAATTATGGGTCCAATAGTAGCGTGAAACTAGATTTTAAAAAATTTCAACTTTCAATTTTGCTGCACAATTATTGTCGGCGTCAAACGACTGAAAGGAGGCGGGGCATTCAAATTCGCGAAATCAGTGTAGATTTAAATTTTTCGTTGACTGAATATTAAATGCGCGTACGCTTAAATTCAAGGTACGCAATTTCACGTACTTCTCACTGCCTTGAGACGCATTGGCACATTGCCAATAATTTTTTAAATTTCGTCAAGTCGTTTGATTCCGACAATATTTAAACGAGGTGGATGTTTTTTCTGTGATATTTGTCGTCATGGTGTTTGCACGAATTTTAGCCTACTACCATTTATTTCAAATTTTCTCATCTTTTACAAACCTCAAATATTAACCATTTTCGAGTTTAGGTTGTATCTTTAAATGTGTTCTGTACGAATTCCGTTACCGGATAACCTACGAATAAAACTTGCCGTAAATCGTTTTTTGTGAATAATATATAGTTGGTGTCCGGCAACTGATTGACGCGGGTAGATTTACGAGGGCGTCATTCGAAATGGTCTCGCCACACGCGACCGCTTATTTTTCGATTGTTAACTTCAATTTTTCTTGATGAGCATTCCTTGAATTCTTAATATCACCGAAATTAAAAGTTAACCTAATGTCCTCTAAATTCAAAATAACCAGCTAGGCCGTGCGAGACCATAGCGAAGGCGCATGCACGTAAATCTATCCGCGTAAATCAGTCACCGGTCATTTGCTACATACGATTTAAAAATGTGAGATGCTTCACTCCACTCGTCACCCATTTTGCGAAGCTTTTCCTCGCATTGAAATTCAGCAAAAATGAAAGTACCGTAGGCGGCTTTAATTCGAGAAAAATAGTATGCAAATGGCACAATTTGGGCACAATTTATTGTTGAGAAAAAGTACAAATTTTCGGCGAGAGGATTAAATAGTTCCTCTTTCGTTTTTTTCCCTCCAATCTCTCCCTCTCTCGGCAGGCAGTCAATCAGGCAAACCGAATCGACTGCCGTTCGATTCATTTTTTCTATTCTGTGAAATGACGACGAATTCCAGCGGTTCGCCGTGCTTCAATACACCGTCAAGAGATGAACCGCCGGCGGTTATTTTTATTCCCGGAAAGGTAAAAATTGCTTCTAGACTATTTGGATTCGATTTTAAGGAATCTGAACATCTGATTTCAGGGAACCGCTAGATGGTGGAAAGGTCGAACTTCGATGGAAAAGGTTTACGCAATCGGAATTTCAACAAAAAAATTGCAACAAATTTCTAGATTTTAATACCCGTCGTTCTTCTTCTTTTCCTTCTTTCGGTTGTCCTTTTGGCTGTTGTTATCAATATGGATAATTCGAAAGAAGTTTCGAAATCGAAGAAGCACCAAGCAAGTCAAACCGATGCCGAAATCGCGCCCACCGATCCTTTGAATGTCACCACAATCGAGACCGTCACAACTGCTCCAGCTCCAAAAGAGCCTGATGTTTGTCATACTCCTGGATGTGTAATGGCTGCCAATCACTTTGTAAGTAGAATCATACCATGGGGTTCAATTTTATGAATTCAATTGAACAATTAGAAATGTTTAGTTGAACGCGATGAACACCTCTGTCGATCCCTGCTCCGACTTTTTCGAATTCGCATGTGGACAGTGGAATGAGCAGCATCCGATTCCCGATGATATGTTCGGATATGGAACATTTGCTTATGCACGCGAAGAGGTCCGCCAACAGCTGCGAGTGCTTCTTGAGCAGGAGCACACTGCCAAATCTCGATCCATCAACATGGCTCGGACTGCTTACAGAAGCTGCATGAACAAAACCGAATTGGATGCGCTTAAAACACAGTGAAGAATTCGTTCATCATTTTCGAACCTTTGGAATAATTCAGACAATTTCAGGCCACTCTTCGAATCTCTCGACGATCTTGGAAAATGGCCAATTCTGCATGAGGACTGGAACAACACCGCGTTCAATTTGACGAATCTTCTAGCGAAATCTCGTCGCGAATACAGTGTTGATGTATTTTTTCAAATTTTCATCTACGCCGATTCGAAGAACACATCGCGAAATACGCTTTTTGTCGATCAGGCCAGTCTCGGATTAGGTCGAGGAACTCGCGATTACTACCTCAACTCGACATTGTTCTCAAGTCATATGTCAGCGTACAGAAAGTATTTGCAAAAGGCAACAATTAAAATTATCGAAATAAAAAATTATCGAAACAATTGAATTTTAGGTGGCCAATTTATTGAGAAACGACGCGAATTTGACGCGATCGGAGAGCGACATGTTCGCCGATATCGAGAAGATCATTGATTTTGAAATCGAGTTGGCCAAGGTCTTTCGAAATCTCATCGATGCGAATCGAATATTCATTTTCAGATCATTGTTGCCGAGGACGAACGACGAAACAACACGAGGCTCTACAACAAGCATGACATCAAAGAGCTCTACAATCTGCTTCCCCAAGTCGATTGGGTCGAGTTCTTCCGTCAAATTGCTCCCAAAGAGCTCACCTATTTGTTCAATAATGACACCGAAATCATAATAAGCGAGATTGAATATCTGCAAAAAGCTTCGAAGTTGATCGAATCAACCGATTCGACACTTTTGACCAACTATATTCTGTGGAGAGTGGTTCAATCGAATGTGCGATATTTGGATGAGCGATTTGACGACATCAAACAAGTCTGAATGATTTCGAATTGCCCCCCCTCATAAAAATGATTGTTGATTTTAGGATTTCGTTAAAGTAATGACCGGCCAACAACAGAATCCGCCACGTTGGAAAGAGTGCGCGAATGTATGTGAATTGGAGCGGCCCATACACAACATAAGAGAATTGTTTAGGTGCCAAGTACGGTACTTCCATTAGCAGTAGGTGCGATCTACGTGCAGTCGCATTTTCAAGAGAGTGACAAGCACGAGGCAATGCAAATGATTGTTCACTTGAAGAATTCGTTCATTGATTTGGTTCGCAACAATGATTGGATGGATGATGAGACGAAGAAAGTGGCAATTGAGAAGGTTTCATTTTTAGACATCCTACAATTATGCAAATTATTACTATTATTAGGCGAACGCAATGATTCATCATATTGGGTATCCCGAGTTGACTAATGACCTTGGCAAACTTGATGTTCAATACGATGGGGTAACTATAACAATGTTAATTAATTAATTATATGTTGATAATTAGCTTGACCTCCTGCCAACCGATAATTACTATCAAATCATGAAGAAGAGTGTGATGTGGATGCAGAATCGAGATTTTCAAAAATTGACGAAGCCCTTCGATAAGCATGACTTTGATATTTCGCCGGCTGTCGTCAACGCCTTCTATTCGCCCGAGAAAAATGCGATCAGTATGAGAATAGATTTCGAAATTGAAATAAAACTTGCGCGGGTTTTCAGCATTTCCCGCTGGAATATTGCAGCCGCCGTTTTTCAGCGGAAAATTCCCGAAGGCAGTGAATTATGGGGCGATTGGAGCGGTGATTGGGCACGAAATCACGCACGGATTCGATGATCAAGGTGAGATTAAGACGTTTTGAAAAAGGAACCATCACATCGACGTCGCTTCTCAGGAAGTCAATACGACAAAGATGGAAATTTGCACAATTGGTGGAGTGCCAGCTCGCTGAACGCATTCGACGAGCGCCGACGATGCATCGTTGAGCAATACGGAAACTATACAGTACCCAAAACAACATTCAAGGTTTCTTTCAAATGTTCAATGGATTCGAATTATGGAAATTTGAGGTCAACGGAAAACTGACTCAAGGAGAAAACATTGCCGATAACGGAGGAGTCAAAGAAGCCTTCAGAGCTTATAAGAAATACGTGTCGGAGCAAGGCGAAGAGCCAAGACTTCCCGGCCTTCAGCAATATTCCAACGATCAGATATTCTTCGTCAGCTATGCGCACGTATGATTATTGCGAACATTTGCACGAATCAGAACGTTTGTTTCAGTTCTGGTGCGGTAAGAAGAAGGACGCGGCGGCAATGCAGCAGGTGCTCACCGATGAGCATTCTCCGGAAGTGTTTCGTGTTATCGGCGTGCTTTCAAATCTTGAAGACTTCGCCAAAGCTTATAATTGTCCGCGTAATTCGCCCGTCAATCCCGACCACAAATGCGTTGTGTGGTAGTAGAATTAATTGATAATATTATATATATATATATATATATTTACCCATTGCACATATCGACCAGCCGCATATTTCGAAATATCCCCTTGAATCTTCCCATACTTCAACCTATCTATAGGATCTAACGCGTAAACGGGTAATGTAGAAACCACACATTTCAATGTACATAATTTCACAAATATCTTGCCTATAAATTAATCGCAGTATTATTATTAATTATTATTTGTTGATCATTCCATTATTGTTATCCCACTCCCCCGTGTAGACCACATCGTGCTGTTTCAATTATACAAACCAAAATAATTCCTATAAAGTTTATTCTAACACATAATTTTTTCATAATTTTCATGAAAAATTTATGATTATCAAAATAGAAAAAAAGTGGACGAAGAAAACACAGGATTTTTTTAAGAAGATTCTTATTATTAGTATGGATAAGAAAACTGTAATTTTGAAAGATTTTGAATTAAACTTTCGCTAAAGGAATTGAGCAATTTTTTGATGAGCTCTCGGTATATTTTTGGAGTACACCAGGGCTCTCCGTAACGCACGTGCGGCTTGAAAAAATTGTTGGCACTTTCAAATGGCAGTAATGCAAGCGGGGCACACATATTCTAAGAAAAACTACATATGTGGCACATTACCACAGGCTAATTTTTTTTTGACATTCATAATCCCGATTTTCTTTTATTTTCACGAAGTTGCGACATTTATTTTGATAATTGGTTTTTGAAATCGTAAACACACGCAATATATACTTATTTATTTAGTTCAACTTAATTAAATTGATTAATCCATCACGTGTGGCCGTGGACGAATCCAATTTTCGAGAATTTTTTCTAGGCCACACGTGAGTTGCGGCGAGCCGTGCTTTTAATCGGGCATCTATGACTGAAAATTTGCTCTGACTTTGCGTGTAAACAGATTTGCTGGAAATCTGTTGGAAGTCTGCTAGACATTTTTGAGCGAACTTTTAAACGACTCACAACGTATGCGCAGAGTTTTTGGATACTTCGATGACTTTTCGGCGGTCGCAGACCTTCAGGAGACGTTCTTCCGAACCTCCACAGACAAACTTTTAGGCAAACTCGACAACGTCTGCGGGATCTTATTGACTAGGGAAAAACGGCGCAAATTTGAAATTTATTCCATATTTTCATCCCACAAATGAAAAATTCAATTTGAATTATGTTTCGTTATTCTGCGAGTTCGGATCTTGATAATAAACTTGATTAGTGATATTTTTAAAATAGCCGATTCGAAGAATAGTCTGCGATAGTCGAGTGTTTGCCAAAATAAAACAGAACGGAATAAGGAGGCGATAATATTTCAGCGAATTGCACAATATACTGATAACGGCTGCTTTAATAAAAGGATATGTTGATATATTTTCAGGGTAATATGAAACAAGAAAAGCAGCACATATTTGAATCTGGAATTATCATCTAACTATCAGGTATATGTATATTGTCGAAGTCGCGCGACTGCTTAAAATTAGCTACATGCCAAAAAGATTAGGGAGAGGTCTTATTGCGCTATGTGCAGCTTTAACCTATCCTTGCGTCATCACTGTAATTGCTTGCATAATATTGAAAATTTACCATTCCGAAACCAAAAATCGGCACAAATTGCATCATATAAATTGATTCTTTTAATTTTCGACTCGTTGGAAGATTTTTCTTAAAACAAAAACACAACCGAGCAATTATGGTGACAATGCAGGATATTGGAATGAGAATGAGCTCTGTGTATATAAGAAACTGAACAGAATCAATAGATGTATATATACATATGAGAAATGAAAACCTGGCTACGTTTAAAACTGGAATCATCTTCATAAAATTCATATCCAAAAGCTTCAGCTGTCGAATCGCAAATGTTGACCCCTCTTATTACCTTAATTTAGAATATTGAAATTCGAAACATTTTATATGGCTTCGGACCCCAATGGTTGGACAGAATAGACAAGAAAATTCTGTAATTGAGAAGCTTAATCCATAGCTGACAACAAAAATCCATAAAATAATTAATAGCATTGATCGACTGAAATATTGGAAATATTCGTTAAATATTAAATAAATGGTCTTACCGCGAAACTGATGATTTGGATGAATTTGGAAAGAAAATGAAATAGACTCGATGGAATGCATTCAGAATTATGAGAAGTGGAACAGCGAAACCACAAAAGTAATCAGTGAGCGGACCAAAACAGAAATAGGTCCTGAATTATTGAACATTTCAAACTGAATTGATCAATTGAAACTGATTACACTAGAGCAAAAAGAGTTGTTGCTGTTCGTAGATATCTTGGCACTTGTGGGAATGTGTAATTGATCAGAATACCACTGTAGATCAGCTCGACGATTGTCATGAAAACGACGATGAAATAAAGAGCCGCCGAGACGGCCAACGCATTCTCCTGCAAAAATTATAAACATAATTTTCATAACATAAATGGTGGCATTTGTTTGTTTGTTGCGGCTGCCTCCCAGAATGGCATATTATCGAATGCCCACAACTTCCGGGTGCACAAATTTAAACTCCAAAATTTGGTCTCCCAATAAATTGTTAGTGACTATTAAACATATCAAAAATTACAGTATAAATGAAATATTCCTTCAATAAAAAATGTTATTGAAGGCGTCAAACGATTGAAGGGAGGCGAGGAAAAAATAGATTTAAATTTATCGTTGATAAAATATTAAATGCGCGTACACTGTAATGCAATGTACGCAGTCTCGCGTAATTCCCACTACACCGAGCCGCATTGGCACATAGCCAATCATTTTTTTAAATGTCATTCAATCGTTTAACACCGACAATAATTTCGCGTCAAGAATCTTTTATTTTTTGAAAATTATTTGAGCTTGTGATAATTGCCTCTATTCCTCAGCGCTGTGGCCCATTTTGAAATTGTCAAATTCCGCGGGAATTCGACGAAAGGGGAGGAAAAAATGAGGGAAATCGATAAATATCTCTCGCGGAGAGAGAGTGTGTGAACGGAGAAAGCGCGCGCCAAAGGGTAGAGATAACGCGCGCTGAGGGAAAGACAACGGGCGCAAAGGAGGCGCAGGGGGAGAAGTTAAAGGCCGGCACAGTAATGCCGCTTGGATTTCTCGCGGCGCGGAGCGACAGTAACCTAGCGGCGGCGTTAGGAGGTTTTTAAAAAACGTTGTTTTTTAGTTTTTTTCTTTCTAACTGGAGTAAAAACCTATTATTCTGATTGCGGATTATGGAGCGATCTCGCGGAGGAAGGAGATGCGCGATCCAAGGGGAAGAGAACCTCCCAGGTATGTAGTTTAACTTGGTAGAGTTCCCCAAATTGGCGGCGCGGCCGCGTGGGAGATATTGGGGGGTTTTCTTTTCCCATTAAGACGGCGCGGCCGTAGGAAGGGAGAATTTCGGGAGCATTGCCCTTGCGAAGGGCCGGAGTTAAGTGATGACAGAAGGCTCTAGCCGTCCATTTGGGCGGCGATGAAGAGCTTCTGACTGATAACTTCGTTTCTTGTCACACAAAAAATTGTTCCTTCGGGGACGTTGAATTCTGGGCGGGGCCCAGAATTTTCAAATGGTGCATCGACCGTGTGCAAGAAAATGCTCGAGGGGGATAGGAATAATAGGAATAATAGGAATAGTAGTAGTTTGCCCAGCGCCGGTGGGAAGAGCGGGAGCTAACTGAAGTTAGCCGATTAAATGTAATCGCTGTGCGACAGCGATTATCTGTGTTGTTTTTTCTAAGTTGTGTTTATTGTTGTTGTATTCTATTGAAGTTGGAATAAAGGTCTATGACCACAGAGGTAGCGTGTTCAAGAAAGCAATAATGGGCCGAGATTGGCAAATATGGAAAGGGAACTGGCAGTAGAGTGCCGATAAAGTGGAGGTACAAGTTGGAAACTCAGTGATGCACACGGGCACACTGAAAGGTCGTGGGCGGGAGATCACACACGAGGGTGCGGTCGCGCATGCACTCGCCACGACGAAAGAGGATATGGGCAGCTGTCCGCGCCCACTCACACTTCCGATATCGTGGCGGAGGTGACGCGGTTATCAGAGTGGCCTGATCAACCACGATTGGGGCCGCAGGAAGGCAACACGATGTCACGCGGGACATCGTCGGAGTGGGCGTCTGTAGTGAGCACGCGGGCTCAACCAGAGAGGCAGACCACGGTCGACACCGGGCCGGCAGTCGTTAAAATTGATTTCCTCACTTTTACTTTCTTGTATCATAATCTGGATTGTTGTACCTCCAGAGGTATTCTGTTGTGTCTCGAGAAATTTGTCAAAAAGCTACATTTCATCACCCCTTACGCGCCGTGGAAAGGAGGAATCTACGAGCGGCTGGTGGGAGTCACCAAGAGGATGTTGCATAAGGTGGTGGGTAGAAGAGCGTTCTGGACCGATACCTTTCCGACCATACTGGTGGAAGTGGAGGCAATGCTGAATAGCAGGCCCATTATGGTACCTCCTCAAGGCCTGGATGATGTGAAGGTCTTGCGCCCGGTAGACTTCCTTCTGCCGGAAGCAAACCTGAGTCTACCTCAGGTAGGAGAGCTTGAGGATGAGTATGACTTGTCTGTCCAAGCAACGGAACAACGCCTGAGGCAGTACGTTGCGGAGTATGAGAAGGTGCTGGACTCCCTGTGGGAGGTGTGGTATCAGCACTACATCGCGGCGTTCGCGGAAAGGAAACACTACCGTTCCGGAGCGGGGAAACCTAGGGTTCCGCTTGTAGGGGAAGTAGTGTTAGTGGTAGATAAGATGCAGCCTCGGCATGTCTGGAAACTGGCTCGGGTGGTAGAACTCAAAAGAGATCCAGATGGAGAGGTCCGGACTGCAGTATTGCGTTACAAAGGGCGCGAGGCGCTGAGACCAGTGAATTTACTGGTTCCGCTCGAGGTAGATCATGAGGACTTGGGCGGTCCGGAGAAGGCTGAAGAGTCCGATCAGGGCCAAGGCGGAAGCGTTCCAGCAGACGGGCAGACTTTACGGCGTCCTACGAGCAATGTACCCGCCCACCCCCATATGTACAATCTGCGCAGAAGGAAACCGCCCGAGGCGGTTCGTGGGGGGCCGGGAGCTCATCTCCTACAGAGATGACTCTCGCTGGGGGGGAATGTCAAATTCCGCGGGAATTCGACGAAAGGGGAGGAAAAAATGAGGGAAATCGATAAATATCTCTCGCGGAGAGAGAGTGTGTGAACGGAGAAAGCGCGCGCCAAAGGGTAGAGATAACGCGCGCTGAGGGAAAGACAACGGGCGCAAAGGAGGCGCAGGGGGAGAAGTTAAAGGCCGGCACAGTAATGCCGCTTGGATTTCTCGCGGCGCGGAGCGACAGTAACCTAGCGGCGGCGTTAGGAGGTTTTTAAAAAACGTTGTTTTTTAGTTTTTTTCTTTCTAACTGGAGTAAAAACCTATTATTCTGATTGCGGATTATGGAGCGATCTCGCGGAGGAAGGAGATGCGCGATCCAAGGGGAAGAGAACCTCCCAGGTATGTAGTTTAACTTGGTAGAGTTCCCCAAATTGGCGGCGCGGCCGCGTGGGAGATATTGGGGGGTTTTCTTTTCCCATTAAGACGGCGCGGCCGTAGGAAGGGAGAATTTCGGGAGCATTGCCCTTGCGAAGGGCCGGAGTTAAGTGATGACAGAAGGCTCTAGCCGTCCATTTGGGCGGCGATGAAGAGCTTCTGACTGATAACTTCGTTTCTTGTCACACAAAAAATTGTTCCTTCGGGGACGTTGAATTCTGGGCGGGGCCCAGAATTTTCAAATGGTGCATCGACCGTGTGCAAGAAAATGCTCGAGGGGGATAGGAATAATAGGAATAATAGGAATAGTAGTAGTTTGCCCAGCGCCGGTGGGAAGAGCGGGAGCTAACTGAAGTTAGCCGATTAAATGTAATCGCTGTGCGACAGCGATTATCTGTGTTGTTTTTTCTAAGTTGTGTTTATTGTTGTTGTATTCTATTGAAGTTGGAATAAAGGTCTATGACCACAGAGGTAGCGTGTTCAAGAAAGCAATAATGGGCCGAGATTGGCAAATATGGAAAGGGAACTGGCAGTAGAGTGCCGATAAAGTGGAGGTACAAGTTGGAAACTCAGTGATGCACACGGGCACACTGAAAGGTCGTGGGCGGGAGATCACACACGAGGGTGCGGTCGCGCATGCACTCGCCACGACGAAAGAGGATATGGGCAGCTGTCCGCGCCCACTCACACTTCCGATATCGTGGCGGAGGTGACGCGGTTATCAGAGTGGCCTGATCAACCACGATTGGGGCCGCAGGAAGGCAACACGATGTCACGCGGGACATCGTCGGAGTGGGCGTCTGTAGTGAGCACGCGGGCTCAACCAGAGAGGCAGACCACGGTCGACACCGGGCCGGCAGTCGTTAAAATTGATTTCCTCACTTTTACTTTCTTGTATCATAATCTGGATTGTTGTACCTCCAGAGGTATTCTGTTGTGTCTCGAGAAATTTGTCAAAAAGCTACATTTCATCACCCCTTACGCGCCGTGGAAAGGAGGAATCTACGAGCGGCTGGTGGGAGTCACCAAGAGGATGTTGCATAAGGTGGTGGGTAGAAGAGCGTTCTGGACCGATACCTTTCCGACCATACTGGTGGAAGTGGAGGCAATGCTGAATAGCAGGCCCATTATGGTACCTCCTCAAGGCCTGGATGATGTGAAGGTCTTGCGCCCGGTAGACTTCCTTCTGCCGGAAGCAAACCTGAGTCTACCTCAGGTAGGAGAGCTTGAGGATGAGTATGACTTGTCTGTCCAAGCAACGGAACAACGCCTGAGGCAGTACGTTGCGGAGTATGAGAAGGTGCTGGACTCCCTGTGGGAGGTGTGGTATCAGCACTACATCGCGGCGTTGCGGGAAAGGAAACACTACCGTTCCGGAGCGGGGAAACCTAGGGTTCCGCTTGTAGGGGAAGTAGTGTTAGTGGTAGATAAGATGCAGCCTCGGCATGTCTGGAAACTGGCTCGGGTGGTAGAACTCAAAAGAGATCCAGATGGAGAGGTCCGGACTGCAGTATTGCGTTACAAAGGGCGCGAGGCGCTGAGACCAGTGAATTTACTGGTTCCGCTCGAGGTAGATCATGAGGACTTGGGCGGTCCGGAGAAGGCTGAAGAGTCCGATCAGGGCCAAGGCGGAAGCGTTCCAGCAGACGGGCAGACTTTACGGCGTCCTACGAGCAATGTACCCGCCCACCCCCATATGTACAATCTGCGCAGAAGGAAACCGCCCGAGGCGGTTCGTGGGGGGCCGGGAGCTCATCTCCTACAGAGATGACTCTCGCTGGGGGGGAATGTCAAATTCCGCGGGAATTCGACGAAAGGGGAGGAAAAAATGAGGGAAATCGATAAATATCTCTCGCGGAGAGAGAGTGTGTGAACGGAGAAAGCGCGCGCCAAAGGGTAGAGATAACGCGCGCTGAGGGAAAGACAACGGGCGCAAAGGAGGCGCAGGGGGAGAAGTTAAAGGCCGGCACAGTAATGCCGCTTGGATTTCTCGCGGCGCGGAGCGACAGTAACCTAGCGGCGGCGTTAGGAGGTTTTTAAAAAACGTTGTTTTTTAGTTTTTTTCTTTCTAACTGGAGTAAAAACCTATTATTCTGATTGCGGATTATGGAGCGATCTCGCGGAGGAAGGAGATGCGCGATCCAAGGGGAAGAGAACCTCCCAGGTATGTAGTTTAACTTGGTAGAGTTCCCCAAATTGGCGGCGCGGCCGCGTGGGAGATATTGGGGGGTTTTCTTTTCCCATTAAGACGGCGCGGCCGTAGGAAGGGAGAATTTCGGGAGCATTGCCCTTGCGAAGGGCCGGAGTTAAGTGATGACAGAAGGCTCTAGCCGTCCATTTGGGCGGCGATGAAGAGCTTCTGACTGATAACTTCGTTTCTTGTCACACAAAAAATTGTTCCTTCGGGGACGTTGAATTCTGGGCGGGGCCCAGAATTTTCAAAGAAATGATGATTATCGTATATGAGAGTCTACTGATCAAAAATTCAGCAACATCATTATATGTTTTGCAAATTGCAAAAAAACATTTTTTTTTTTCTAATCTAATGTTTAAGCACAAATCATAAATTTAAATAAATGACCGGATTGGACAACAGATGTGAATATATCCTCGAACAAATCACACAATGGAGGCTCTTAATAGAATTAGTTTCAATGATAACTAAAATGCGAAAACAAAACAGAAAACCATTAGAATTTTGTTTAAAAATTTTTTTATTCCTGGTTAAAAAAACTATGCTTTAAATTAATCATTTTTTAAACATTTTCAGAATGAGATGGTTGCACAGCAACGACCGCTGGGCTTTCTTAAAAATTGCCCAAATGTTGTTTTTTTTTAATTAACTAAAACTTCGAAACATCGTACATTCGAATTGAAAAGCCTCCGTTTAAAAAATATGATTGTGTAGATAACAAATACGATTAATAGAGTAGCTTGTGCGATAAAATACGCAGGAATATGTTCCATTATAACTTCATCACGTGTTTCGTTATAATGCATGCCGATATTGGGTTAAAGCTAAAACTGAAAGGCAGACGCCGAGGAATAATTATACGATTCTGAAAATGTCATTGTGCATAATGTCAAATCTCTCATATGCCCCTCAACTCGAAAATCAAAAATTCGACCCAAATCGAGAATAATCAATGAGTCGTTGTAATCAAACAAGAGCCGCGTGCTTCTCAAGTGTTTTCATTACCTTTTGTAGTTTGCATGTGAAGGCGTATTGTGTTGGCGGCAAACACTTATCTCAACAGCTTTTCACGTACACTTGCAATGTTAAACTTTTACGAAATTGTATGACGACATTCTTTTAAGGAAATATTGTGTCATAAATTCAACAATTGAATTCGTAGAGTCGAAAAATTGAATGCCAATAAATGAAAAGCAAACCCAATAATTCATGATAACAAAATAATGAAAGGGCAAATCAAATCAGTGCTCATTTCTTGTTTTTTCTTTTCACCGTTTTCAGTCTCGCTTGATTCTCATTCTTCTTACTGTTGGGTTGTTGCTTCTTTTTTCTGAAACACGAGACTCGAACGTTTCCAGATTCGCACGCGATACCCTTTTCTTGTCTGAGTCTTCGTACGGGCTATCGCAGCGGCGGTGGCAGCTGCCGCATGAGGTCCTGGAGAGTGATGAGCCGGTGGAGCTGTGGCCATGGCCATGTTCGAAACACGAGTGGCCTCTTGAGACATCTTACTACCCACATTTATAGTTGTTGTGGGCTGAAAAAAAAAACATTTTGAAGAAAAAAACGTTCAATTGGATACCTCGATGACACTTTTTCTCATGTGAGTCCGTCTCTAAAAATTCAATTCAATGATGCCACCAAAAATAAAAACCAACATTCTGGTGATGTTTGCAGTTTTCCAACTCTGCTCCTTGAAGTTTCGGTAGTATTTCATTATCAATGGCAGTCACAATCTGAAAGTGTCGGCCTACCAAGTCGGTGTCGCTGTCAGACGAACCTGTTCCATTGAAGCTCGATGGGTTGGATCAAAATCAAAAGCGGCATGAATTACAGTATTCACTAGAAAATCGACGGAAATTAAAGAAATAATAAAATCGCCTACATGCCGGTGGCGGCTTCTCATCGCTACTGCACGTCTTCAAATCCAACATTCCAGCCATCGCAGTCTTCTTCTCAAACAGCATCGCCTTCACATCAGCATTCTTCTTGTTCGGATAAGGTTCAGCGCCTTCGTTATAAATTTCCCAAACTTTATTCATAAAAAGTGAAAATAATTAATTAGGGGCGCAAAATTGCTAACCGGTAACTGCGAATGACCATACATCCGACTTTTGCGAGAATTTTCCACTTTGAATAACTTCTGGTGAAAGCCATTTGGTTGGGATTTTTTGAGGAGTTTGAATCTAAAATTCATTGACTGGGGCTAATATAATAGTAAGATCTTGTTACGCAATAGCTGGTTCCAGCTTTGGATAATCCGAAATCAATCAATTTCACATCTTTGAAATCATTCGAAACGAGCACATTTCTGGCAGCAATGTCGCGATGAATGAAATGTTTCTCGTGCAGATAATGAACCGCGTAAGCCAGCGCGCAGACGAACGATATTTTGAATCCCGCCGCGATTCCCTTCGATTTCAACTTGCTCGACAATGATTTTCCATCGACCTAAATTGCAATCGATTCGATTAGTCACTCATTTTTCGTACAAGTTCAATCACAATCATGAGCGGCTCTTTTTCGATAACCACACCGTGCAGGCGGATGATATTCGCGTGATCAAGTTGCCTCATAACTCTCGCCTCGTTCAGCGTGTCGTTGAACACTGTCTCACTAATGCCGTCTTGCATTATCTTTACCGCAACATTCACTGGCGGATCGACTTTTTTGAGGACGCCTTTGATAACGGTGCCGAATGATCCTTTTCCGAGCTCGACATCGGTCAGAGCAATGTCGCCACAAAGCAATTCCCATTTCTCTCGCACGATTGCTCGTACAAGGATGGTGCTCTCAAACAATTCTTATTTCGTTCTCAATCATTCTCTCTCTTTCTTTTTTTACCTCCGCAACTGGTTTTTTCGATTCAATATGAGAATCAATGAGAGCTTTCACACTCGGAAACTGATCGGAAGCACCTTGTAAAGTGAAATGCTCTCCTTCCTGCATTATTCCAATACTCTTCACTTTGATATCCCCCTAAATTTTCGGCATACATCACTTTCAATATAATTTCGTCCAATGGCAAACCGGAAAACCGCATCCGACACACAGTACGCAGATGATGTTGTCGCTTATATTGTTACATTGCACATTCAGCTTATTCCGCAAAAGGAAATCGCCATTCTCTTGAAGCATTAGTTTGCATTCTTTCCTGTAAAATGCCCAAATAGAGTACATTTAATTTGATTGTCGATCATACATATCTATCGATCCATGAAAGTAATCCATTGACTGAAACAACGTCATTTTGTTCGAACTAATAATATAATAGAAAATGTAATGGCTGAGCAACAAGATTCTGAATTGAATTCCCAAATATGGATCACGTCGTTCAATTACTTTGGATAATTTTATTTGAAATTTTTTATTCAAATCTAAAATTTTTCAATAGATTAAAATGTTTTTCAAATAGTTCCGGTATCGGTCCCTTCATTTTTCTTCCTTTACTTCAATATGTCACTTTTTCAACAAAAACCGTTTAAAAATTCCGTCCACTTTTAGTTTTCCATAAAAATTGGCATTGATGCGTAATGCGTTTTCAATTCGTGCACTTTAGTACTCCTGACCTCGATGGTCCGTAATTCCAAAAAAAGTGAAAGAATTACAATTGGCAGCCGAATGCGCGATAAAATCTCGCGTTATGTAACCATCGATGACCATATAATATTTTCATCGCATTAATTACTTTCTCGTCCGGCATAATCGACGACAAAAGAGGGAAATGCGACTGGCCGCAGATGTTTGAAATTTCGATAAAATAAACAGGTGTCATTAAATTCGAGAAGATACAAAAATTGATTTTCATTTTTCCAAAACAATTCATATTCCTACAGTAATATTTTCGGCGTAAGAATTCGCTTTCAAATTTGCGAAATCAGTGTAGATTTAAATTTATCGTTGATAAAATATTAATTGCGCGTACACTGTAATGCAATGTACGCAGTTTCGCGTGTTTCTCCCTACACTGAGACGCATTGGAGCATAGCCAATAATTTTTAAAAACTTTTTCATTCTTTTGACTCCGACAATATGTATATTCGGAAAATGGGATTTGAAGTTGGTCCACCGATTATTTTGCTTTTACAAGACGGTTTCTTTCTCCCCCAATTCGCTGCATATATTTTCTTGCAATTATGCGAACAGTTTGCGACTAGTAAATTAGGCCTCGTATCTCGTTCTTATGTTGTTCTAATTATGACACAATAAGTGACAGTCGTGCCTAATCCAAAATAAACCATGCGAGAATAACCCTAATCGCTCGCAGGCGATGCATAAAAATCAAGGTGCTCATTACGAGATTAAGACGCAGGTCAATCATTGTTTCTTGGCGCCAATTACGCGGATCGCGATTTTCAGAAAAAAAAAACATGTGATTGTGTGGTCCCTTTGTTCTCTGTTGAGCTTTTTTTGGTCGACGTTTGCACTTGAAACAATTGCAATGAAATGCGATTAGTTTTAGGACGACGAAAAACGGAAGAAATTAAACTGAGAGCGCGCGCGTCCCGTCGGCGTCAGTTTTATGAATTCTTCGGGCCGCCCGTATGTTACAAGTTGAATTACAGATGTGCTGCAGCGCGGATAATGCCATTAAACTCGACAGATGTAGCCGAATGGGTTTTCATTTAATATTTTTGCGTTTCCGTTTAATTTACAATCGTTCTCGGATCGCCAATGTTTACTAATTTCGAGAGATGAGAAAAGAATCGGAAATGCGATTCAAAAGTCTTGCGAGTGCCAAAAAAACCTCATTTTCGTTTAATTCATTTGACAACGAATTTTCGAATGTTTCAATATCTTTTTGGCCCATCTTCCCTATGCTTCTCCCCCTTTTCGAATAATTTTTTACGAGAAAAAAAAAACAATCTCATCGAGCTCGAGGTAATTAATAATAGATAAAATACCGTTCGATTGCATTTTTTCGCCCATCCTCAATTTGCGCATTTTTAAAAATCAATTAAACGGGCTTAATTTAATTGACTTTTTGTCTTAACTCTTCGAAAATGTGCCGAAAAGTCGAAATTGCGCTACTTCAAAAATGTGGTTGAAATGATCGGAATAGTGCTCTTACAATTTGAATAAAAATAATTCTAAACAAATGAAATTTTTTAAAAATTTTGAAACCCCTTAATGAAATGAGCTACATTCGCCGCAACTCCCGTGCGACCTAGAAAAGTTGGCCTCAAAATATGGTTCGGCCACGGCCACACAAAATTAATAGGTAATATATGGGCTCATCATGCGTGCCCTCTAGCAACTTCGTCCTGCGCAGCGTTTTAGGATAAAAATTCTGTGATCGAATGCGACCTCTCTCACAATCACTTCAAAGGTGCGGACGTGTTTGGTATGAAAGCATATATTCATTCAAGACATGAACTCGGAGCAGCTATCTTTTTGCTTTGCATTACAATAATGGCATTGTATTGCTTTTTAATAATAAAATAAAATATTTTTATTCAAATTATTTTTAAAATTAAAAAAATATGAAGCTAATAAGGAAATAACGAAGAGATATTGATTTTTTTGTTACTTTCTAGAGTGAAGGAATGATGGCGTGGACTATTATCAAAAACGGTTTTCAGTAATTTTTGCCATACAATTATACATTTAGATATTTAAATTTATAGCGCAACATTTCGACCACATTTTTGAAGTCTTGTTAAAAATAGCAAATTTTTAAAGAGTTGAAACACAAAATTAATGTTTTCTGAATTATTATTACGATTATTTCTTAATAAATCTATTACAGCTTTTTCATTACAATTTTTCTTAAGAAAATTTCACTTTATTCTACAGCTTTTTTCCCAAAACAATTTTCGACGGCATTCGCAAAAATATTTCTCTCGAGTAAAACTCGATAGTAAGTGAATACTTTGCCCAATTTTCAAAGTGTTTTTCAAGTGGAAGACGTTCTTTTGTTGTACTCGTCGCAACTTTTATTGGCGTGCTCCAACACCACCCGAGCAATTCTCGTCGACCGTATCGCGTTGCAATTTTGCCCTAGAAAATGTGATAATTGGTATGCACGAGTATCATTGTTCGCCTCCCATGCTCACACCCAATCATGAGCCAACAATCTTCTAATTGCTCTACACCACGCGGCTCGTCTTTTTGGCATCGCTCCGCCGTCTTTTTTTTTTCGTCGTCTTCTTTCGGCACAATTGTTTACTTTCGTCGGGATTTTCCTAGATATCCTTATATTAATTGAGGGTGCAATAAAAAAAATCCCGAAAATTGGCCCATGAATAATCCGTGCAAATATGCATATGCGGCACACGCGTATATCGGTGAGGTGTGTTCGAACGCGTCGACGAACAGGTTGCCGGAAGGATGTGATGACACATTCTGTACAATACTTGTCATTTGCGTAATAACATCCTGGTAGAATTGCATAAGCGACCAAGTAGTTTTCACATTAAAAAGTACTCGAATGACCCAATAACTGACTAACTGCCTGCTGTTTTGGCTTTAGCAAAAGTTAAAAGTTATTATGTTTGCTAGATTGTAACTAATTATTGATTCCGCTAACATTTAAATCAACAAATTATAATTTATTTGTTTTTTCCCTGATTTTCCAATGCGAAAATTGACCTTTCCACATTTAAATGACATTCGCACCTTACACATTTTTGGAAATTTGATATTTTGAATTTTATAGGTTTAGTGCATATTTTGCTGCTTGGGAGGTAACGCATAAAATGCTGCGCATCTGGCTAAAAGTTTCAATGCATTTTATTACCGATTTTGCCAGAAATTTCGCAGAAAACAATCTTTTTGTAACACAATTGTCGTGAAAACAGCGATTTAATGGAAAAGATACGGTAAGCAATCATCCGCAAATTTGCGTGGCGGAGTTTGCGAACCGCACCCATTTTTATTTCCAGCCGGAATCTTCTTCATTTCTTAATTTTCTTGCTTCCTTTTTTTTAATTTTCTCACTCGTGAACTTGCATTGTAAACTGCCCATTTTTCACAGATAACCGTAATATTGCGCAACCTACCAGACTTATCTGCTCAGAATCTACGCAATATGTGATAACTAGTAGAATTACGGCCATATTGCCGCCATAAATCTGTAAAAGAAGTTCGTGAGGTTGTGTTTATAACAGTAAATCACATTGGCTGACATCTATCTCGCTGGCGGTCACCGTGTGCGGTCACATCGGGAAGCCTATTATTCGGCCGCAAAAAAATAAACAATTTGTCGGGAGGCATTGAAGTCTGCGCGTCTCACTAGCAATTCCGACTATAATATGTCTACGATAGATTATTGTTTTTTTTTTCTTTTTTCATTTATTTCCCGAAAACTACTTCCTTTCCGATTAAATCATCAAATTAGTCTTTAAAAAATCGTATTCGACAAAAGCGCGATAAATAAAAAAAATCATGAAAATTTACCAGCGAAACCGGTTCAACAATTGTTTGTCATGTGTTTTCTGTAAGCGTGAAGAGCAAAGTCAACGAATAATCAAAAGATTTCTTTTCGAGAGTTTATATAATCAAGAACGGCAAATCTTTTTTTTGAAACATTCGAAATCCCCTTAATTCAACTGGAAATCATCGCAAAGATATAATTGTTAAACATTTTTCACTTTCAACCGCTTTTCACCGTTTTTTCAGCAAAAACTGGAATTCTCACTCAACGTTTTATACCAATCGCATTATTAAAGTTTATATTTTTTATGAAAAATAATATTTACAAGAGACGTGTTTTTCATTTCTCATTAATATTAGGCAGTCGATTTTAGTCAAGTGGAACATGATCCGTATAAAACGAATAGAACGAAACCGTGATTGACATAAAACTCTACAAAAGACACTACAGGTGTGAAGAAATCTGTCAAGAGAAGTGTCTAGTATAATGTCAACTCAAGTGGATCACCGTTTAATTAATCTTCTCTGTATTTTCGAGAGAAAAAGTGAGTTTTTATACTCAACATTTCTTTTTAAATCCGTTTTGAAAGAAGTTCAAAATATTTAAAATTCCGGACATTTAAATTTTTTTCTAGTCTCAATCCCGTTTTTTAAACATTTTATTATTTTTTTCACCTAAAATCAAATTTGATTCCAACCAATCATTTCTCTTTTGATAATGCGTGAAATCAGGTTCACTTCAGTGCGAAAATGCCGCCAAGATCGATCCGTTAAGCAAATAGTTTATTTTTTTCCCAAAAAATCGCTTATTAATAAATATATTGAATTGCTAGTAATGCGACGAAAAATAATAAGTAGGTTTCAATTAGTTTTAATAACGATTTCTTTGCCGGCTGAATTTGGCGCATATGTACTATAAATGCGTCGATGTTTTTTTGTGACATCTGTCTGGTTGTTTCGCTACGGTCCATTAATAAAAAAAAACGCGAACCTAATGGATTTAGTGGCTTTGATGATTCGCGTGTTTGAATGTTCGGAATGATGCTTGAGGTGTTAAAACATGCCTCCAGAAACCGTATTCGATTCCCATCCGCCTCATTCTTCTCTGCTGTGTCTCTCTTTTCGCTCTCGCGCATATGTTTTACCCCCCTCCGTCCGTCGGTCCGGCCGGCCGGCCCGCCGTTTTCGGAGGCGGAGTCGCGGCGGGCACCTGCCCCGCCCCTCGCCTATCTTTCTTGCTGGTTTCTGGGGTGTGTGCGATGCGTTCATGCCGGTTGCTCCCATATTTCTTTCATTTTATGTTCAACACATTACTTTTTCTTTCTAAACTGTCAATTGTTATAAATTATCTATTTACAGATCTCCGAATGATTATATAAAGAAGAATACCAAAATCGAGAAGAACAACAACACTGCTATTTTGATTAGAAACTATGTATTCTCGTCGTTCAGCGGTTTTTAGACCGCTGATTACGTCGATTTTCCTATTTATTTCGCCAGTTTTCTGTGCAGAAGGTTAGTGTTTTTGTGTTGTTGAACCAGATTTCGAAAGCGACATTCAATGCCAGTACACATTATCCATGTCCATTAATGTCGCCAACGAAACTGTAACATTGAACGCCTAATTTAGTGCCATTCCGCGTTGAAATAGGAAATAGGCAAAACCAAGCCTAATTCGTGGGTAGAAGTGGTAATAGTAGGGAGTTAGTTTCGCGTTGATTGGGTGCAATTTTGAGTCTCCATCGGGGCCTGGGCATTATTAAAGTTATTACGCGATTGGCGCCACATTGGCGACATTTTTTCAATAGAACGCTTTATTCGCTCAATTTTTGACTCCTAATTGTGGGTCCACGTCCTGTCCGCTCGCCGACCACCCCTCATTCCTCTTTCTGCCGAATTTATGGCCCCAATAATCTGTCAGGACGTTGAAGAGCGATGAGAGATGGCAAGAAGATAAAGTGTGAAATTTCGCAGTGTGCACAAAAAGTGTGATAATCGATCCTTGCAAGTGGCCCGGATCCCGACCCGGATATTTAATATCTCGCCTCAAGGCGCACACCACCCGCCGCGCGCGCGCACACACAACTGTTGCCGCTTCTGCTGTGATGATGATAATAGGCGAAGAACGCGCTTTCGAGATTTATTGGTGTTCGTTTGATCATGAGCTAACCCTTGGGATTTACACTTTTTTCTTTTGCATTGCTCATCCAAGAAAAGGAGAAATATTTGAGTTTAAAGAACGTGAAACCTGTGAATAATTGAGCGTTGGTTTTGAAGTGGAGCTGACTGAAATTGAGAAGCCTTTTTTTTACGAGAAATTCCTCTTTTTTTTTCTTCTTTTTTGTGCATTCATCTAGTACTCACAAACTTTGTTTATGGTGGGAAAGGCGAGCCACTTTTTCGAGTGGCACGACGTCTCCGATTACCTTGAGGTGTTCTGATTGACAGCTGAGCGCGCGAGAATTGTCAGGGGGAGTCGTCGACCAGTTGGGGGCTCGCTCGAATGATTAACAGGCCCGTAATGATGATGACTAGGCGGCGTTGATATTTTCAAATGTTTGTGTACATAGTTGCAAGATGTTGCTCTTTTTTTATTTTGGCGGACGACAACAGCTTCCTCCGGGTTGTGCTCGCTTCTTATACAATGTATAGTTAATGAGGAGAATAGCGACCGACCGCCTGCATAAATGGTATAGTAATCAATTTGGTGGTTTGAGCGGTTTTTCGAGATAGATTGCAATCTTTTAGTGAGGGGAATTCAAAGCGAGGTTTCAATATCTTGTTGTTCGATCGCCGACAGTTCGTGTTGTAGGAAAAAAAGATCCTCCCGTCTCACCTTTTCGCTACCACAAAATCGAACCGATATCATAAATTTTAAGTCAGCACGCGCCCTCGGGGGGGGGGTGACATCATCAGGTTTTTGTCAACGAACAGGTGCCAGTGTCTTCTTCACTTCTATTGTTGTTCTCAAGCAATAGAGGACGACGCTCGCCAGTAGTACATTTTATGAATTTTATATGGAGATGAATAAACGATGAGGTGGATCTCGACGAGCCCCCGGCCTCCCGACATTTTGCATTGAGCTGAAAGATTTGATGAGCAAGCGCAAAGTGTGAATGGATAGAGAGCACGAAAAAAAAACCAAAGTAGCATTGGGTCGGCAATTAATTTGTGTTTGAGTATGAAATCGAAGTTCGATAATCTTTGTCGTGCGGCGAATTAGGCCAGAAAAGCGGATTGTGCCCCCTGGAGGGCGCCAAAAATCGTATCAGCAAACATCGATGCAATATTTTTTGCGGCTCTCTTTAAGCTAATTGAGAGCCGCCTGTTGAGAAGCTAATTGGCACCGTTGATTTATTAGCGGTATTCTTACGATTTATGAGCATCACTTCTCTTTTTTTTTCCCTAAATGTTTTTTATCTTCACTCGCTAGCGTTTGTTTTTTTTTTGCGAACAATTGTCCGATGAGTAAGGGGGGAAGAAATAGATGTTTTATAGTATCATTGAATTGTCGGCGCGCCTTTAATGTGCGCGAGCAGGTAGCACTTCAAGTAGGGCTCTTCGTGTGTTGTGTTTCTGTTGTTATTGTTGATGATGAAAACCTGCGAAATTGGCACAAATGTCAAGTGCTCATCGATTTCTCTGACTCAATGAATGTATTGTATATTTTTTTTTGCAGAAGTCCTATTCGATTTGTCAAAGACATCCGGCGATTTGAAGTTCGAGCAGCTCTCGCTAAACCACGATCGAGATGATGTGGTGAGTATTTTTGCAATTTTATTTATTCGTACAACCCTCTCTCACTCTTTTTCGCCAATACGTGCTCATCAACTCGATTTGAATGGTGTATGTGTAGAAACAAGTCGTTTTGTTGGGAACTCCTTGGGGACAAAAAGAGTTGGCTGCGCGCCGCCGCTCGCCGGAAGAGGCAAATGTTTGTGGGTGCCGATTGCTTTGGCAATTTGTTATAGGAAGAGACGCGCCACCAGAAAAAAAATTGAATTTGTAGTCCACCGGAAGAGTTTTCTATATATCTGCTCGCATATATAAGTGCATTTTTGAAATTTGAGTTGTTTCGGTCGGGTTTTGGTGGCACACAAGGTCAAACCCTATTGAATACTAAATACTAATTGCTATTAGTTGGCTAGATTGGCAGCGTCCTCCTTACAAAACTACGATTATTATAAATAATCCGTTGCTGACCATTCCGGGGGAAGGATTTTATCAAAATGATTCCTATTGTTCATTTATTTATCATTTTGCTTAGTATTCCGCAGCGAAAGTGAACATATCTTAAAATAATCCAATTATGGAGTGCGGGCGGTCAAATCGACTTTTGCATGCATATTTTCTCGAGGAAAATTGTGTTGGTGGTCATCCCGACGTCCTCGTGTCCATTCAATTAGCTTTTACACCTCTTTCCTCTTCTTCGTAGTCATATAAGGAGGCAAAGGGGGGAAACGAACGAAATAGAGCATATGTTGCGGCGATCATCATCATCAACATCATCAGCATGCATTTTAAAAACATGAATATGGCGGGCTCGGGCACCGGAAAATTTATTTTCGTATGTATGTATGCGTGTTGTGTCACTTCGATGAAACCGGCCGATTTTTGATGGAATGAGTGCATACATGGGCGGCGTCTCTTTGATGTCACCAAGGTGTAACACCTTTGCATTGAACTCGCGGAATGTGATAATTGAATTGAGACCCCCCATCTTCTCCCCTCTTTTGCTTGCTCATCGAGAGTGTGAAAATGCTATGGCAGATATTATACGGTCAAGGATGAGAGCCATCACCACCACTTATTGCGCCATTTTGAATGGAATCTTGCTCCTAAAGACCGGATATGAATGCGTTGAGAAAGAGTGATTGGTTTTCTGCAATCCGTTAGCCAAATGAAGCGAGCGACCAACATGTGAAAAAAAAGTTTTGTATCTATTTGCATTGCGACGACCTTGATGAACTTGAGAGTGTTTTTTTTGGTCGAATCTGATCGAACACGAGATTTTGAAGAGGCCCTCCTTACTCGCGATGAAATACCATCGTACAACAATTTGACACCTTATTTGGGTTGTCGCTGTCGCGAACCAAGGGTCATGTTGAGCAATCGGCGAGTCTGTCATCAGCGCGGCATTCCGGCGGAATAGTGGGTAATGCACACGGCGAATCCTGTAATTTTTGCGGGACCTCCTCTCCCCCTTTACCAATATAATGATTGTGACAGCTTTCGAATGTGCTCAGGTGGAAGTACTTGACTCGCTCTAATTAGCAGTATATTGAAACAATTGGAGCGAAAGTAACTCGAAGAGCGCGACAGGTGTGAGACACGTTACCGACTCGCTGCCAAGAATAATAATAATAATGTTTGACGTTTTTGTTATGTAAATTTGTAAGTGTGGAATCGTCAAGGCTATCATTTGTGTGCTCCGAACCCAATGGGCCCCCTCTCAAACGGTGAATAATGAATGGCGAAATGTCAAATTGTGTATTAATGCGGGGGAGAAGGGGCAACAGGCGCCAGAATGTCAGGCGAAGCCCAGGTGTATAATAAAGTTCGAAACACATGCATACAGATGTACGTACAACCTCATTACAGTAGCGTGTGATGCGTTTTTGTCGCATAGCATAGTTATTGGCGATAATCATACGGTGCGCGCAAACTACAGGTGTACGACCAGACATACATCTGCAGAACTTGTTCCGTTAAGCCGCGATTGGTGCCGTGAGCGGAAGAAAAATGAAGACGATGAGGGGTGGGAGGGGGCCCAAATCCAATTCCATAAATCATCATCATCATCTTGAATGAATTATTTTTGGGAAGGTTACTGGGCGATTGTCTTGACAATATTGACAACCACGGAAAAAAACGCGTTGACTGAGCATACCGGAATTGACATATTGTCTTTGGGGTGCCACTAATCTTGAACGCAAACTTTATATGCGCGAGTTTCATGCGCGTACTGCCTGCTGCGTGATTGCGGTACAAACAATTCGTCAAGAGTAGTCTGTGTGCGCCTTAATCTTTATTGGGATGTACGAGTGCGGTAGAATATATGTATATCCAAGCATCGGCGCATGTTCAATGCGGAGCGATGGTCTCGATCATCTCATATTGCCAAGTGGACATTCAATGGAATTTTTTGCGAGTGTTCAAGGACTTCATCGAGGAGCGGAAGAATAGGAGGTCATCTTGTATTTCGAACTTTTTTTTGTTTCGCGCGGCGTCGCATAACGTTACGAATGAGTGTAGGGACGGGGGATTAAAAGAATGCGACATTTTCGCATAAGCTTCGAACTACTTGAGGATTAAAATTGGAATCGGACTTGCCCGGGACCACCAGCAATAAACGATGCTTATCAAAAATCGCGTGTCTCGATATAATGAAAGTTTCGAGTTTTGTCTATTGTTTGGCTGAGGAGCTGTTGAGCACGCCAGAGCACAATGCCACCAAAATATTGGCGGAATTATTGCGCAATGAGGGTCTGCTTGTCGCTAGTTGTCACAAGTCCAGATGCCATGGCTCGAACGAATGAATGATATTTGATACGGTAGAAGCATGGTGACCTTAGTTGACTTTGCTTATTCGATGAGTGTACGTTCGTAATAATCTGACAAAACGGTTAGTCATTATTTGAGTGAAAAAGGAGGAGGAGCACTTATATTCTGCAAATGACATTTACTATACAATGTTTATGTATGAGTTAGTTGCTGCATGACTGATTCGACGAATTAATTGTTTTGTGCGTGGGAAACCACACTTTGGTTTCTTTTTTTCCAAAGAATAGGGAGTCATTATTCATATTTGCACTCGCCCATCCCATGGGCAATCGGTGCCGATAATCTCGAGTTAATAACGTGTTATAATTGGTATATGAGGGGAAACATGATGAACATGATTGATAAGATTGTACAAGGTTGAGTTATATGTCGATTTTCAGTGGATGGAAGAAACTTGGAGGAATCCGAGTAATGGCGATGACGAGAAGCATGCGAATCAACGGACATTCGTCACCTGCAATTTTGACATGGAAAATCCGAGTAATTGGTTGTTCACGAGCCCGTTCGACGTTCTAGATGCCAATCGAGTCTATCTTGAGCTTCTGTTCAACACACGAGACTGTGAGCCAACGATGTCGGTGACATGCAAAGAGACATTCTTGGTATATATGAAGCAGTATAAAAGTCAAGAATCTATCGAGAAGAAAATTGTCAAGTCGAGTTTCAAGAATTCCAAAAAGTCGTGGTAAGCTTATCGTGTCATTATTTATTTTTTTTATATTTTCAATTAATTTCTCTATTGAATTGCAGGCAAAATATTGGGCGATTAGCTCGCAAAAATTTGAACATGACGCGTGAAACGATTGGAATCCCGTTGGAAGAAGGAACCAAGTTCATCAGATTCGCATTCGAAGAGCAAGGAATATGTCTCTCGCTGCTTAATATTCGAGTAAGTCGCGTTTGTTACCATATGTTTTCGGCTAGCCACCCATAATAATAACCATAGTAATTATGTAAGAAGGCTCAAGCGTGAATGACAAGTTTTGATTAGGGGGTTTGTACCATCATCGACATTGTCATCCTCATCGAATAATAATGAGCATATATTAGATTTTAGTTGTTTTTGTTTAGCAATTTGTCAATGTCAGAGTTGTTTCGGCCGAGCGCAGTCGCCGCGTTTTTCAAAGTGCTCCCTAGGCGGTGATTCGTCAAATTTGCATATACATTGCATTTTTTGATCTATTACATGATTGTCGCGAGCGCATGTGTTTGTGGTGCTTGTTCTCTTTTTTTTTCTCGTGCGCGCGCGCCCGTCTGACCGACCGACCACCCGCTCGGGATAGATCAGATCAATGGCTTCAAGTAGCCAGGCAGTGTCGAGTGCAATTGTTTGATGAGTGGTAGAGGCAGATATGTGTGAAAATCATCGCTCCATATATAGAAGCCGGTCTTAACCCGGATTTATTTTTAGTTATCTGTTTCTCAAGTTTTTGGGGACCCTTATTCTCGGCGAATCTGACTGACATTTTTATCCAAACATTGTAAAGTGATTGACATGACGGGTAGAAGATTGCGCGATTGTTTGCAACAATGAAAAGGGGGGAGTCATAACGAAAGAAAAACACGAAGGAAGGGACCACGCATATTAAGTTGTCGATCAGAGTTGCGCAAGAGTATCCACGGCGACGAACGAATACGAAGACGAGGAGCACGCATTCCCACCTGTGCGAGTTTGACTAGGGGTTCATGTTTGGAGCAAGCAAACACTCGATATTGTACTTGGCACCACAGTTGACACCTATTTAGGGGACAATGTGCGAAGAAAGGCGATGAGTTGACCGAATAGGGACTCGCGTGGAAGATATTCGATATTTGTACACTGCCAGACCCTCTACTCTTCTATTATATTATGATTTACACTAACTAACAACCATGTAAACATTGTATGGTGCAAAATCTCGTCGTCGAATCTTTATTAGTTTTTCGGGTCGAATTAGTGTTTTAAGTCAGCGAAAAGATGGGGGGGGGGCGATGATGATGATGATTACGGTCGTAAAAATGTTTGTTACTCGCGTTTGTTGATAAATTGTGACAGTGCGTTTTATTCTCGCATGCGCGGTAATAAATTGATAATCGGTCGGTCGGATAAACGCATTAGGCGGTCTCTAATTCATCAGGTTAATTTGAGAGGTGTCGATGGTAATGGATGTTTGTTGTGTTGTTGGTTTCCACGGGGGGTTGATTCTCGGATTTCGCCGACCCGGTATGGTTTTGACCTCGGTGCTCATTACCGTTGAATCCACAATTACCGCGACATTAATGGAATAATAGTCGCCGCCAGGAGCCAAACAACAGCCACGACGATTGTATTTACGTGTGTTATCCATTGATTCGGAAGGCGTATTGTATTTGCGAGGGAGTTTACGACAGGCCAAACACGCAATAAAATATGGGATTTGAGACATTGAGACACGGGGGGGGGGGACGGTGTGGGATTGAGTTTTTGGGGGTCTGGCGGTTGACAATGTTTGGCAAATACTCGCGAAATTTACGACCCCGGATATTGTTGGTGGAAAGGACAAATTGTGCATCATCGCAACTGTTGGTTGGACACCTGAAAATTTCACATCTGGCGGCTGCGGCAGCTTTTCTCTTTTCTCGGTTTTTTCTTCTTCTTCTTCTTCCTCTTCGTCTGCCGAGCCAATTTATCAATGAATCGAGGTTTGGCCTCCGAAATTATTAGCAGCTAATGTTGCGGAAAAAGAAATGTTCGATTTAGTTTTGAGGGATGTTTTTTTCTGTGAATGGTTGAGAACTAGTTGTGTTCAACGCACAATCTCGCGTCTACAGTATGTTTCTCTTGTCGTAAATCAGTCAGCGGGAGACTGTTGTAGAATATGCAAATTAGCGGTGAATTCTTGAGATTACTGTTTGTACGAGGGTGCGCTGTGTTGCGGTTGGCGTTCGTTTCGATTCGATTCGACCTTTTTTTTTACTGTTGTTGCAAATTGTAATGGGATTTTGTATTAGGACGTGGGAATGACATTGGTTGGATTCGGCCGCACGAACAAAGTGTTTGGTCAAACTTTTTTTTTGCCCACCTATCGGATTCTCATCAATGCTGGTTGTTCGGAGCGGTGGGGGGGATATGCCGAAAAGGAGTCGGAATAAATGAAAGCCGTCTTCCGGAACACATTAATATGTATGTCATCTTGCAGGTTTACTATCGCGTTTGCGAGGAGTTCGTCGACAAATTGGTGAGCTTCGACCGGCATGTCACCGGAAAACACGACAGCGATCTCCACTATCTGCAGGGATCGTGCGTCAAAAATGCGATTCCTTCGATTCCTGGAGGTGAGACTTGGATAAAATATAAAAATATTTATATATTGTAATTTAAAAATTTTCTTAATTCAATACAACTTCATATATATATATTTTTTCAGTGGAATTGAAAGCCTTGTGTATGTCGAATGGGCGTCCGATGTTGACATCTGGAGAATGCGAATGCAAAGGCGGTTTCATAATGCGCAACGATACAAGAGGAGGACCACGATGTGAACGTAAGAATCCCTATTGACAATAGTTTTTTTTTGTTCAAAACCAGTCATGGTCGAATAGTTGATTGAGCGCGGACCACCACCTTCGTGTGGCCCTCAAGGTGCATTAAAACTAATTATTATTGTTGTTGTTGTCAACGCCGAAATGACTCGCCAACCGTGATATTGTCAATGTCAAACGATTGGTTACTGTGGAATTAGGAAGCGTCCGACGATGAATTGGAATAGATTGACAGTTTAATTATACATATAAACAATGGGACCGCGGAAGAGGCGAAATCTTTCTCTCTCACCCATTCTCACGTACAAAAACGGTAATGGGGGTCCCATATTTTCTCAGAGCGATATTTCGCCGCCAAAGCAATTGATATTGGAGATGCGCATGGGTGCAGCCAGTCGAAAAGCACACAAACAAAGCCAGGTGAACCAATATGTGTTGATACCATCGAATGGTGCATCGCGCTCGTCGGTGGAGGGACCATCAATTGGTTATGTAACTGTTTGTTTCTTCTATGATGCTGCCTATCTGATATTGAGTCGCGAGTCGGAAACTCGTAGCAATTGGATCGGATGATAATCGACATTGGCATCGGAAAACGAGACAAAAGGCGCTGATTTTTATCGTGCATGAGAACATCAAGCGGTTTCCTTCTTATCGATCGACGAGCAGCTCATTATTCATTTCTCGTCGAAATTGGTTTAACAACCCGCCACCTGCCGCTGGTCTAATGTGTTTTGAGGATATCGGACCATATGTAATGCGATTATTTGAAACATTCAAAAATCCCATAAAAATGCTGCTGGAATCTTGCCATCGCGCGGACCATATGGTTGCCTTTCAATGCACACGTAATTATGGCTTTTGTGTTCGTCTTGGCTTTTACGATATCCGTCGCGTCTTCCATTCTTTTAATCTTGACCGCCTTCGCCGTTTTTTTTGGCTTAGATGCGATGGAAGTAACATTTGGGTGTTTCACGGTGGGTGGTCGTAAAATCGGCACCCTAATTATCAAGTTTTCTGCAAGATATTGCGTGGCTCCGTCGACCGCCAAAGGAAGCGATTATGAGGTTAAATGGAGGGATGTGTCTTCGCCGAATTTCGAGATATAAATAATTAGGGACCATTGCGTCTTCAAGTTTTCTCGTTTCCCTTCTTTTGAGGAATTCATCGAGAAGCAAAAGTGCAAATCGTGTTGCACGTAAGTCGCTCTCGAGTGTCCGCTTGGGGATATCTCTACGATGAGTGCTAATTTTCAATTTAGGCCCAATGTTGGCCAACCAGCATTAGTGGTGTTTGGTAATCAAATTTGGTAGGGTGTGGGTGTGTGGTGAACTAAGCATTTTAGGAGGCGGCTGCCGACTCGACTCACGGCGAACGCATTCAAACTAACTCTAACTCGATTATTATTATGATTATGCGAACATGGCTAACGACCTCAAAGAGTAGGCCACAAATTGCGCAATGAAACACACACACACACGGAGAAATCGAGAGAAGGGACTCGATATCATTTTGTGATAAGGCGTTGACATCAAAGAGGGATCCGCATGCGCAATTAGTTTGCTGGTTGTTTATGATGATGAGTTTTATTGGAGTCGACGGGTGATAATCAATTTTGGGCAACGACGTCGTGGTCTAGCGAAGAAGAAGAAAAAAACGAGAAATCGAGGGGTTTCGCTGAATTTGAAATTGTTTATTAGGTGGCTGTAAACTTCAAAAGACGCCGATCCCAGGTGTGTACCGTGCCCACCTCGATATACATAATTTGGCTTATTTGCATCATCAGACCCGGCCATCATCGCCCATCATTCGTGATGATGATACAATGGTTTACAATCGGTTTGAATTGTTGGAAGGTTTCGAATGGTGCCTGCACCTGTCTCATTCTCTCGCGAGAAGCGTGCGTGCATGCACTTGACTGTAAATGGGATTATCACCATGGCTTGCGCGTGGCACGTGGCGTGCCGTTTTTGTTGGTAATGGTGCAAGCCGTTTGGCGGGGCGGCATCTCCTTTTTAAGGTGTTTGTTTTGCATGGCATCGCCTTTTTTTTGCTAATGCGCGCGGACGATCTAAGAATGCTGCTGAGAGGGTTGACATGTCGGCGTCGGCGATATTGAGACGGCGTGCCGAAAAAACGAACGCGCTAATGGGTTTCGGCTCAAATTCCGACGATTCTCTTTCTCGTAATGAAATGTGTCCGAATGGCGACACATGCGCAACGGTAATAAACTATGTTTGATGGGGGACAATAAAAGGGCGGAAAATCGGTTGCGGGGGAGGTAATGAAGGCGCGTGATATACGATGATTATGAAATGCATTTAATTTCTGATGCATCCCCTCAATTTTCTTTTTTTTTCAGCATGTCCATCGGGGACTTTCCGCGCCGAGGGATCGAAACAGGGATGCCGGACATGTCCGTCGAACACACTTTCGAATTCGGGACAGGACAAATGCTATTGCAAACCCGGTTTCTACCGAATTGACGAGACTCATGGTGCCTGCCATAGTGAGCTCTACTAGCCACTCAGATTTAGTGTAAATCCTACATTTTTGCAGGTGCTCCTTCGAAACCGCTGAATTTGGTGCATTCTGCCATCACTGCTACTAGTGCTCGTCTCACCTGGGAGGAGCCGGTGAATCGAGGTGGTAGAAAAGAGATTTGGTACGAAGTGAAATGTCTGAAGAACATCAATTGCGATTCTGTGATCATCACACCATCGGAAAAGAAGCTTTCGACGAGATATGTGCAAATCAATGGGCTGAAACCGTCATCGGAATACACATTTCTTGTTGTCGCAAAGAATCTGATCTCGGAATACACGCCGGATCCCGATTCTCAAAACGCTGTCATCGATTTTACCACGAAAGCGATGGATGAGGATGTGAAGCCAGTGTCGAATCTTCGAATCGATGCCGCTCAGAAGGACGGGCTTACAATTTCGTGGTCTGTCATTGACAGTAATCTCAATGATTTCGAAGTCGAAGTACGTCCGGCGATCGCGAAAAGAAGGTCGTTTGAAACGAGACATATCAATACGACTTATGCGACGTTTATTGGACTCAAAGACGACGTCGTTTACAAGTTCCGCGTACGTGTTCGTGATGATCTGAGATGGAGCGACTCGATCAGTTACCAACTGGGAAGGGGACAAATTCACACACCAGAATCGGTGAATGTCGATATTGGAGACTCGGCGTTCTGGAATCAGGCGGGATCAGCACTCCTTCTTGTCATCGCTGGAATCTTGATCATAATTGCGATTGCGTTGTGCATGATTGTGATGCAAAGAAGATCGAAGAATCGGAAGCAGATGAGCGATCTGGATGTTCTTGACACTTACAAACAAGGTAAGCATGAATTTCGGTTTTTTTTTTGAAATTCGGAATAATTATTTAGTTGATATCTCGCTTTCGATCTAGTGTTTTGTGATTTGGATAATTTTTTTTTTGATTACCCAAATGATGTGTTTTGTTTGTTCCACCGCTAGATTTTTCCAGATTCGATGACGCCCGATTATCACACCACATCTCGACACCTCAACAGTTCCGGAGTTCCGACGAATTTGCACGAACAACTGCGATCTAGTACGAAATGTGAGAATATTAGCTTTTTAACTCGATGTTCGTTTGTTTCGTTTCTTCCAGTTTACTTCCCCTTCCTCGGTCCCTCCTCAAAAAAAACCCTCAACCACAATTTTTGTGTTTCATTCCGTGGTGTTAATTGACACTTTGTCGCATCCGAATGTAAATCATGTTGAATTTGTTGAATTTCAGTGAACGCGCCATTGATTCCATCATTCGGTAGCCCGATTTCGCAGCCGCCGCCCTATTATGGAGGAACACAGGCAGCAAGTGGAAAATACAAAACTTATGTCGACCCGACTACTTATGAAGATCCTTATCAGGTTTTAAATTGCCTCCAATTCCATTTTTATTAATTGCTTTATTTCTATTAAAGGCTTTGATCGAATTTACATTCGATATTGATCCTCGCGACGTTTTTATAACACAAGTCATTGGCGGTGGCGAATTCGGAGATGTGTGTCTTGGCGGATTGTCGCGATCGAGTCAGGCGGCTTCGAGAGGATCGAACACGATGAACCGAATGTTCGAGAATGACCAATATGAGACGGTCGCGATTAAAACGCTCAAGGCTGGAAGCGGAGCGAAAGCTAAAGCGGAATTCTTGACAGAAGCGTCAATAATGGGACAGTTCTCACATCCGAATGTCATTCGACTCATTGGAGTTGTCACTTCATCTGAGCCGGTGATGATTGTCACTGAATACATGGCGAATGGCTCGTTGGATCAATTTTTGAGGCATCATGACGCGAATGGAGAGAAATTGGAATGGTCGAAAATCAGCGAGATGTTGTACGCAATCGCTTCCGGAATGAAATATCTCACAGATATGGGATACGTTCATAGGGTAATTTGCATTTTGTTGCGAATTTTCACGCCTATCTTTTGTTTTTTTAGGATCTTGCTGCCCGCAATGTCCTCGTGGATTCGGAACTTCGATGCAAAATCGCCGACTTTGGACTTTCGCGCGGTGTTCGAAATGAGGGAAGCATCGAGCCGGAATACACTACCAACGGCGGAAAAATCCCAGTGCGATGGACAGCTCCTGAAGCAATTACTCACCGCAAATTTACAACATCATCTGATGTTTGGTCGTTTGGCGTCGTCATCTGGGAAGCGTGCTCCTATGGCGAACGACCCTATTGGGATTGGACGAATCAGAAGGTGATCAGCGAAATCATGAATGGCTATCGACTGCCGCCTCCGATGGACTGCCCGATGGGATTGTATCGAATCTCGCAGTGGTGCTGGAAAATGGAGAGGCACGAGCGACCGACGTTCACACAACTTGTGGCGATGCTCCACAAGTTTGTACTTCAGCCGACGTTGATTGAAAATGACCCTGGAGAGTTGCCGAAGAGAATCATGAGCACAATCAAGTAAGATTTCGAATATTTAAATTATCGATATTTCACCGTAGACTTTATAGTTTAAGCTCATATGGGGCAATTGCTGTTCCAACTCCACCACAATCTGCTCCTCCAATGCCGTCACTCGATGAATTCTTGAGGTTGAATTGTTAGGCAATCAGGCTCAAAATGTAATTCATTGATTTTCAGATCGATTGGTTTGAATCACGTCTACGGTACACTGGTGTCAAACAACGTGCACAATCTATCGGATTTGGCCCAAATGTCGCCGTTGGATCTTCTCGCGTGCGGCCTCATTTCGCAAGAGTGTTCGGTGATTCGCGATGGACTCAATGGTCGACTAACTCCACCGTCGTCCGCCGGCTCGGTACACACAACAACTCGGGGCACACGAACCATCAATCCGAATTCGTCAACGATGCGACGAGACGAAGGATTCTTTGTGTGAAATTTTGTAGAAATTTGTCATCTGTCATTTAGTTAGAACTCATTCTTTCGCTTGTTACCAACTGATACCGATGTGAATCCTTATGGGTATATGATTCGATGTTTCCTATGCAATTTTTTTCGTTTCCGTTCCTTTCTCTTCATTCTGTCTTCTTTTGTCTGTTCAACCATCACCAATGTGCTGTTTTCCCCGATGATCTATTATTTTTCATTTTTTGCTTTTTGCCTTCTTTAACGCATTTTTGAATTTGCTGACTTTGATAGATGATACTGGTACACCACAACCAACACTACGCGCGCATTTCCTTGTTTTTCTCACGCGCTTTCCATTTATTATTATTATTTATTTGAATCCTTTCATTTTTCGAATTTTCAAGCCAAATTTTGCTGTGATAATTTTGATTTGTTCTTCCCTACAAACACACTCCCAACTTATAATGCTCATACCAAATGATTCGAGTCCGTCGTTCTGTACATACTTTGACGGATTTGTCTCATTTTTGATTCTTCAGCGATTCGAGTACGAGGATGAAATTATATGAATAAATGTATTTTATTACGTCGTTTTTCTCATATTATTCTGCATAGAAATTGCCTTCTTCGAACGGGGAAGAATTGGATTTCTAGGCTCGTTGACGAGGAACACATCCCAATAATCTTGAGGCTTTTTGCATTCCTTCGCGCATATTCGATAGAATCGTTATAGTCGATTGGCTTGGCTTTTTTCCAATAATTCCTGAAAAACATAAAGTGAACATTTGAGAAAGAAACGAATAGATGAAAACCTTTAGCACGCAACTCCAAACTATTTTCGAGATCCTCGCAAACGTCTTCGGACAATTCCGTGAGAATTCGGCGCATTTCTTTCTGAAATTTCGAATTCGAGAAATTTTTTTGAAAAAAAAATCGCCTTGTCTTACATGACATTTTGTGTAGTGTAGAAGCCAATCGATGCGATCATCGCAAATCGAAGAACGATCGACGTTGAATCGAAGAAGCTTCTCGACGTCCGCCATTTCGACGTCAAGATAATAAATGTAGATGCGGATTTTTGTCTAAAAACGCGATTTTGATTTATAAGAAAATAAAAATTGAAATGGCTACCCGAAGTTCCTTCAATAATTCATCAGCACTTTCGTATAATTTTGTGGCATCTGTGGTAAAATCCGATGTCAAATCAACGATTAAGCTCAGCTGAAATTAAAATTACTCATTTTTAATTGATATTAAATTGACGCGAACCTTTTTGCATAAATTCGACTCGGTTTCTGCAATTTCATCGCGTGTGACAATCCGCTGACTCGGATCCGCTTCGAGTTTTTTGACGTGTTTCCTCGACTCAACACTTTCTGGCCATGGCTCAGCGAATAGCGTGTTGCACGATATATTGTCCTGTTGCGAATAATCAACAGATGGCAGCGAGACTTCAGAATGTCGGTACGAGACCAATGAAGTCTGCGAAGGACTCTCGGCGCGATAAAATGTTGCTTCTCCAAGTCGACGAATCATTAATTCTGAAATATGCCAACGATTTGACTCTCTGGAAAGTCAAATCCGATTTTAGAAATGGACACGGAAAACGATCTGCTGAAAATAAAGCGCTAATCGGATCTGAAAATATCCAAAAAAAATCTGAAAATATCCAAAAAAAATCACAATTTGCCATTTTTATCTACAGAATTTTGTGCCGAATTTGATCAGATCCGATCAGTTTTGATAAACTGTATCAAATAAGAATGAAAACTGCATAAAATCAATTTGAGATCGAATGTCTCAAAACATGCAAAAAAACCAACGAAATACATTGAGGAAATGCGCGAAAAAAGATACGAATCTGTCGAGTTTTGACCTCAATCGCCTATTTTGGCAAAATATGCGAAATCGCAACAAAATTGTTTCTGGTTAATGACCATCGAAAGAATGCGCGCGAAGTGATCGAGCGCGGGGGGCGATTCCATAAAAATCTCGTCCGATTTCCTTTTGTTATCACCGAATCGGCTTGTCGTTAGCCACTATATCAATTCTCGATGAATGAATAAAAAACCGGTATCGCATTAATTATTAATCAAAATTTATTAAAAACGGTTTCAATGTACAACGAACATTGCAAAAATTAACTCGTAACGAAGGAACTTGAACGACTAGAACAGTGTTTTTCGAAAAAAGAAAAGAAACACTCAAAAAACATTTAAATGTGATATGAGGATTTACAAATAAAAATAAGCATTGATTTTTTCCGCTAAATAACTTATGCGACAGTTCCGGAACCGTACATTTGATCATTTAATTGGTCCTGAAACGAAATTCTTTAACATTTTAAAAATAACCTTCTGGAATTGATACCCATTGATAGTGCGGGTACGGTCGAAGTTGTTGGACAACTTGGGAGTGGCCTGAGTTTGGCTGGAAGAACCAGCCATCGCTTGGCAAATTCCCATTGATAGATGGGTTGAGATCTTCAAAATTAACGCAATTTAAAATATTATCATGATTTAAAATTAATAACCTCGTTGTGGCTCAATTGCTGATGGATTTGGCTGATTGGCTGTTGCTGCTGCTGCTGCGGCGGTTGCTGTTGGACTTGAACCGATTGCAGCTGTTGCGGCTGCTGGGGGACACAGAACGTAGCGTCGTCGTTTTGCGCATGCATTTTCCGCAACCTTAATTCAATATTAATTCAATTTCCAGTTTTTAATTCGCAATGCCAGAACAATCAAGGGACCATCACAATACTACAATTAACCAATTTGCACAATATCACCTTAACATACCGTATACTGAGGATGATGTTCCTCTATTAAATGCACACTGAACAAGTAATAATTTTTTTTGAAAAGATAGAAAGATTTCAAAATGCGATTAATGTTTTGAATTGTCTCAAAACTCACTTATTTCTACTTTGACGCATAAAATTTTGAATTTTACGCGCCGCTGCTTGACGTTTACGATGTCCACGATAAGCAAGCTGAATGGTGGTGGCAGCGCGATGCTCACGGAGCAACGACGAGTTGTTCTGCGGAACTTGAATCCGAATCGATTGCCCATCAAGTGTGGGATGTTCAGGAACATTCGAAACACTTCCACACATTCCATTCTCCTCCTTATCGTTATTCTTCAAAAATTTTCCCCAATAAGCAACAACATTGCCCAATTCTCAATTGAAAACCTTTCGCATTCGAAAATGCTTCTGAACAACAATCGCCGCATTGTGCAATTTTTTGAAGTAGCAAAACTGTTTGTATCGTCTGTAGCATCCTTGGATTTTGAGTGCCGCGCGTCGTTCGATATCTTCCTGACGGCGAGAGGTGTTACGGGCACTAAAACGCATAAAAATCGAATTAACGCCGACAGAAATTAAGTGGTGTTGCGCAAGACGAACGGCCATTTCGACGCGACACAATACGCAATATTGCTAGGGCAACAAGTTCGAATTCTTTGGCGAATTATTTGACGAATTTCATCAGCTCCAATCTCGCTTAAAAGTCGAAGTTTTTACAACTTCCGGTAGCCGAACCAGAATCCACCGTTTTGTTTTACATTCTCATGTTACATTTCAAATATTTGTTTTAACTTTTCGACTAGAAAAAACGACAAAAAAAAAGAAGCGCATACCGATACTCGCGATAAGCCCTTTGAATCACCATCGCAGCTTCGTAAACATCGCGTTGTTCGTCATCTGAAATATAAATAAATTATATCAAGACCAACCTCAAATAGTTTATAATTTTAGAAAAAAAAATATTTTCGATAGCCCCACCCCTCTCCAAAATTCTCACCATTGAATCCGCGATACAACAAATGATCGTTCGAATCGAGAACCGATCGTTTCGAATTAAGCGGCGAGAAAACCATAGCTGATTATTTATAAGAACCCGATATCGTTGAAGACAACAATTGAAACCGTCAATTCTTCCAAGAGAGCCCCCTGATGCTTATTGATACGTCGTACCGACTCGGGTACCGAGTATCGAGCTGGTTTAGCTGAATTGAGCAACAATGAGAGAGAGGGAGAGTAAAAACGATCAGTAGGAGCGGTCAATTATTACAAAAATTGCGATGATGGCTGATATGAGAAGGTGGCGGTAAAGTAATTGGAGACGACGGATGAGTGAGTAATAGGTAGAATTGAATGGCGAGTTGGGATGTTGTCAGCAGATGAAAAGTGCGATGCAAATTTCTAGTGTTGAACTTTGAAAAAAACAAGCTAAGCCGATAAGATTCGCAATTCTATAATAGAAAAAACACAAAGTAACCCTAAATGCACATAACAAGTGAGCAGTTTATCATCTATTCCCTGTAATTAAAAAAAAGCAACAAGAAGATGATTCTGAGAAGCTTTGATCCTGACGAGAGCAAATGAAAAATTGTGTTATGTGATCAAGCGCCGCCTTATCAATAACTGGTCAGTTGGGAGCACTAAAAAACACGAAATGATCACGATAAGACATCACAAACATTTGGCTGCAAAGTGATTTGTTGGTCAGTAAACGCACATGATTAGCGCTGGCTGTTTCAAGAATGAAAAATGATAAGTATTTCGGAAGAGAAGCGAACGAGACAAAAAAAAAACGAAGTGGAGCGCGTGTGGCTCATCCTTTCGCCGATGAAACTCTAGACGTGTAGGGCAGAATGAAAGGGAGGCGTGGCCGACCGACCGAGAGACAGAGAGCTGTTTGCAGAACCTATTATCAAAAGACCGGAAAGTTTTGATTAAAACCATCGCGAAAATCGAGTGTGAGCCACCCAATTAATCAATTCGAGTCAGCTGCTTATGCAAATGCGCGTGGCGTTTTGATTGATCAGCATCAATTCGAGTCGTGCTCTCTTTTTCGCAATTGCTTCGCACATTCCATGATGCCACCTGTTTCCCATTATCAACATTTAAATCGGTTTTGAGAAGAAGAGGAAGAATCTCAACACCATCAAGTAAAAAAATGATATTTGAGTGCGTCAACGTTCAACAAAATATCAAACATCGACGATCTGCCAAACTGAATGATTTGCTAGAAATTTTAAGGCATCACTAAATAATTCTTCTCGAAACAATCAAAATTGATGATAATTTGGGGAAAATGAAAATATCTGCACGTTATTTTCAAACGCATTTGCAATTTATTATTCAGTCAAAAGGTAACTGAATTCAAATTTTTCGAAGGCATCGATTTACAAAGAAAACGTGGCAGATTTTTCGAATTCCTCAAAAATCATTGTGTGTTCAAGTGGTTTCAAATTTCTTTAAAATTTTTGAAAAAAAAAGAAAGCGACACCTACAGGAATATGTTACTTCATATTTATCTGGGGCAACGAAAGCGAAGACAAATTTGAAAAAAAAAATCATTGTTCTTCCTAGAAACCATGAAGCTGAAAACGAAACCGAATAATCCAACCTTACAGTTCGTGCAAAATGTTTGATCGAATAAAAGTCACAACTGTCCAATTTTTCTATCACGCACTCGTAAATGTCAAAAATGCAAAAGAATGTATGCACATTTTGTACCGCTAAAATATGCTCATAAAACTGTACATTTTGAAATGGTAAACAAATTCAAACTGATTAAGTCGTTTGATGCAAAAATCGAATGCGTTTTGAATAACAACAAAAAACAACATCAACTAGAGCCTGACTGGAGATTAGCATCAATCGGCGCCAGACTGTAACTGCGATGCGACGGAGTCGAGCGATGAAGGGCTCGGATAACACAGAAAAGCATGTCGGCTCAAGTGTTCGCCGTTTGACGTCAATTCATTCGAGAGTACGCGATAAGTACGGTAATAGAGCACGCAGACGGCGGAGGAATGGATCTCGCGACGAAAAGCGCTTTTGGCGACACAGTACGGATCGGGTCGGGAGGAGGTCAATAACACTCGAGAAAAAAAAACGAGCACAGCTAATTATAGGTCCCGATTCGAATATCGTCGCGAACACATAATAAACAATGCCGGACGAGAAAGAAAGATCATGGGCCGATTGACGTCAATGAAGCTGTGCCTTCAATGCAACACGTGCGATTCACAGGTGTCGGCCCATTGAACGAAAACAAACTGAGAACAACTCTTACCATTGAATTTCAGATTCGCGAGTCGCTGCTGAATCGGATCGATGCTTTTGTCGACGTTGATGGTGAAGAATTCTCCGAGATCTCTGAAACTGCAATCATTGAAAGTTCAACGTTGATTCACAAGATTTTAATGTTAACGAGATACATTTAAAAAATCGAAAAACCAAAAAATGAGGCGGACGAAGCCTATTTAAATATTGTTAAATTTCATCTTTTTTTTTAACATTATTCCATGATTTTTCATAACATTATAATTTGTATTATTGTTATTTTTTCATTTTCCTATATATTGGCGTCACGCGTTTGAAATTTGACAAAACTAAAATAGTCGACTTACGGGCCTAAGTATAAGAATAGGCTAATAAGTGCACAGCATTTTTTTGGTAAAAAAATTTCGATGACGTCGACAATAAAAATATTTTAAACTGGACGGGAAAACTACCGAAATAAATATTACATCCATAGCATTTTTGAACATTTCAAAGAAGAAAATGACAATTTTCCAAAAAAAAATGCAATCCTTTTTAGCGAAATTAAAATTCGAGCTCGTCATTTTTTTTAATTGAAAATTCGCGAGTTTTGAAAACTTAAAACTTTTATTAATTTTGGAAAATGTCCTCAAATAAAAAATTGACTAAAATTCGAATGTATTAAAATTTTTTAGCATTTTACGTGACCTTTTACGGCTAACCGATTGATTATATTATAATATCATCACTTCCAATTTTTGCCAAAATTTAACTTCCAAAAACTTTTGAGTTTTTTCTATAGTTTCATCGAATTGATGAGACGCTTCTAATCGTCCAATTGTTTGTTCTTTCGATGATGCATTTCGTGAAATTGTGCCATTATAAATCAACGATCAACAATTTTTATTTGTCTCCATCAATCAATCTTCATTTTTTGAACTCGAAAGAAGCTTATGCGTTTCAACAAATGTTTCTCATTCGTCGAGTGCCCTCGTCAACCCAATGCAATGTTTATTTTCGCGCGTGCGTTCAAAACCGATTCCAAATATCTTTATTCTTCTCAGAACCACAAGGAAAAAAAGCGAAAAAGAAAATACTCACTTGTCAAAATCGAGGCAATCACATTCAAACGTATTGGCTCTTGTTGAAGTTGACGCAAATGAGCGTTCATCCTGCAAGTCAAAATTAAAACATTTTTTTTCAACAAATAAAAGAAAACATACATGAGAGGAAGCAAAAAGGCGAGAAGAATTCGCAGTTTCCCCAGTCTCTGAACTCCGTTCAATGCTCATTCTATAATTTTTCTCAGAATTAAAAAAAAACATTTCCTATCAAAATCAATATACTGATGCGGTGAAGACGAGTCAGCAACCATCATATCATACAATTGATCAACCACATTACACGACGAATCCATTGAATCACAGCACATATTATTCTGCGAGAGCATTGGATTGTTCTCTGAAAATTGGCATATTTTGATTGCAATCATTCAATCAAATAACTCACGAGACGTGAACGCTAAATGATGCGATGACATTCCGCTGTCATCATCTTCAAACAACGAGGAGACCTCGGTCTGCCGTTTGATTCTTTCCGGTAAAGCTTCGATTATTTGCCGTGCAAGATCTGCCATTTTTGCTCGAGCGATATCACTCACAACAACGCCAGGACTATAATAGGAATGATGATAGCATTGTGAGGAATACATCGAATTACCTTGTTACTACACGAAATAGCCTCGCCATTTTCGGAGAATCCGGCACATGAACATCAGTGTCCATGCTGATTTCGACATGTAACTGGCTGCGATTAACGTCTTCAGAATCGATGAAACACGAATCACAATCGTCTTCAATGTCGCGAGAATTCTATAATGAATTTTTTTTCTGTTATGAGAAAAAAATCAGAAAAAAACATAATTAAAAGTGTTTCTTTCGTTTTTTTCGAAACCTCAATAAATTGTACAACTCCGAAACATTCTATTTTTAATTTTAACTATTTTCGACGAATATAGATCAGTTTTAATTCTTGGGGAAAAAATAACACATTTTTTTTGCTTATGCTTGACACGCTGCCAAAACGCTTATGCTTGACACGCTGCCAAAACGGTTGTCGCTTATGTCATCGACAATAATAATTTTCAAAAATCTAACCCCCCGAAATTGAGCAGCGTGAGAAGCTCCAACTATTTCTGACATCATGGAGCAGTTTGACTTCTGAAACCAAAAATTACATTTTCCAAAGAGCCAATTTTAATTGCAAACCGCGTCAGCATTCTTTGTTTCTTTCTCTTCAATAGCCGTTTTCGACAATTTGCTGAGAAGAAGGTGCTCTCGAGTTACAGTTTCTCCATTAGTCATCACCCACAATTCAGTAGCGTTCACGTGTCGATCGCGCTCTTCATCCTCTTCAATTTCGTCTCATTATTAGAAATCAATTCTTATTGCACTTAATTAATACCTTGTTTCTCAATATTTGCCATTATTGTTGCCGCAATTTCGTCCCCATTTGCCAATTCCGACGGCGTTCGTCCGCGATCATCGAGAACATCGACACTTGATGGATTGGCACCGATGATGAATCGAGCAACACGACAAGACGAGTGCCTAGCAGCGATGTGCAACGGGGTGCATCCTTCAACGTCGCGTGCGACAACGTCGAATTCTCGACAATAATCGAAGTGACGACTGAAACAAACAAGCAATATTACAAATACAATATTCAGCGAAAAATTCCTTTTGAGAATCTTTGTCCGACAAACGAATACTTATGGAACCCTTGATATTTTCATATTCAATTCCGGAAATAAGCTAGAGCAAAAACAAACGAACCTCAACGAGAAAATCGCTTCAAAAACCCGATCAAAGTCCAAAGCAGCGGCAATATGGAGCACATTTTTCGTATGCATTTGAGCATTTCCAGTAATTAATTGATGATGAATCATCGGGTTATTTGTCGATACAAAATGTTGCTCAATTTGCCGGATTATATTGCATAATGATGATTCATTACAAGAGAATGTTGAAAGATTCTGGAAAAGAAGCTCAAATTTCAGTTTTAAAAAGATGTGTTTACTTCAATAATATGATACGCATTCAGTGCGTACGCAATTATCCGAATTCTTTCAAAAAGCGCCTGCAGATCCTCGTTATGCCTCTTTATCGCTTCTTCTTTGTCGATTTCCTCAACATACGAGAAATCATGCGGCGACGACACAATCTGAAGCAAAAGTTTTAAATTTTGGAGAAATGTTTGAAATATTACCTTATCATTACAATAAACTTGAATTTTTACAGTTTCCGCTTTACTGAATTCAGGTATAATCGCAGACAATACACCAGCCTGGACAAGTTTGGCTGGAACACGCTTCTTTCCGAACGCCAGCTGGTATTCATGTCCTTTCATATACCATCCGCCAACAACCAGTATTGTTCCGCCGCCCTAAAACATAAAAATCCATTAACTCTGCAAAAAGTCACCTCTTCTGACTTTGGCATAAATTAAACAAACTTCACAACATTTACTTTTTTTTTATTATCATGCACGTTTGAGAGAAAAAATTTTTATGTGTTATTTCAAAATAAAAATGTTTTATGTCTTATTTAGTCCCTTTTCCCCAAAAAATACAAAAATCTGTGAGAGAAATGAGACTCGACTTTTATAAAACATAATCCGCCTAATCTTATAATCTACATTTTCGTTGAAAAGATGAATGGAAGAAAAACCGGCTTGGTGGTAAATTATGGAAGTCATTCAAGAAAAACTTGAGAGAAAAAAAGAGATCGATAAACGATTTTGAATTAAATCTTACCTCAAGACCAGAAGAACTAGGCGATAACGCTGCTATCGGAACCGTCGTCGAAGTTGAAGGCGTGTTCATACTCGTCTTCATAACATTCGACGGTGTATTATTATTATTATTGCTGTTGCTCATTGGTGAGCTTGATACAGCACCGCGATCTATGTACATCGATGAGTTCGAATTGCCGTTTAACGACGATTTCACAGAAGGTTGTCGATAAATTGACTAAATCAAACAATTTTTGAAAAAGATAAAAATAAATCCTACCAAATCCTCATCCATATTACTACTACGCGCATCAGTTTCACCAGACGGCGAGAGGCTTTCAGGGCCAGTTCCGGACGATGTTGCTCCGATTCCTGACGAGGTCGATGGGCCGCATGCACAAACCGGAGCTACTGGCGAGTTGCCACAACCAAATTTCTTCATCATCGTTCCTAAAATCGAACTAATAGAAATTATTCTAAAAAAAAAATAAGCTTGCCAATATAATTGGCATCGATTTCGCTATTCGCTGATGGTTGCCTTCGTAGAGCAATCGAAGAAAGACCGCGACGAAACGCCGAACTACACGAATTGCGACGCTCCAAATGATATTCGCGATTTGGCTGTAATGTGATATATTCAATTCATTCGTATTTTTCTCATTTTTCGCACTTCAATAGCTGAATTCTGTTGAGTTTGCTGCTGCCTCGCTAGCTGATTCGTGTTTCGAACATGCAAAATTTCGGCAACATTGTTCGCCAGTAGCTGTACCTCTTCAGCTTTCAAACAATGCGCGTCTGAATGTTTGGCTTAACGATCTCACAACGAAATTTCAAATTTACAAATTGGAATGAGTTGATCAGTGAGCTGATGAATCGAAATGTGCACATTATTGCTCGTCATACATTCGGCAATTTTATCGGCGGTCTGTCGAATTCCCGCGTCAGCGTTGCTTTCGTTTAAATAATGCACCAAAACATAGCCGGGATTCTGGAAAAAAAAAACAATAACAACTGATTTCTAAATTTGGAAACGAAAAAAATTGGCATACATGAGTCAACCAATAGACGCGTCGATGAAACGTCGGAACAATTGCCGAATGAACATAATTTGCCGAAATCACTTGCTGTTTGTGAATCTTAACGAGAAAATGACGAAAATTGGGACCAACAATGAATGGAACCTTCAATTTCATGTGATCCTCACGTACGAGCTTGCCTTCTCGTCTCCGACGCCAAATGTATTCGTCGTTTTTGAACCAAGTTCCGTCATATCGTGGAAATATCAATTGAGTTCTGAAAATAATACTAATGCTTTCTACCAGGGTTGGTAAATTGAAGCCGGGGTCGAAAGCCGGCCGCGGGCCGAAAATTTGACAGCGAAAAAAGCCGGCCGAAAGCCGGCCTGAGGCCATTATTTTGAGGCCGGCTTTCGGCCGGCCGGGCCCAAAATTTAACATGCCTGCTTTCTACAATAAAAAACTCAAATATTAATGAATAATTCTTCTTCGAAAAGATTCTAAATCCAATTTTTTAAATGTAAATTGCCAAGAAATTTAGAAAATCTAAAAAATTTCGTATTATTAGCATTTTTCGCGCTTCTCCATTGGAAACGTTTCTAATTTTTACATGTTTTATTGCATGAATAAGTCCATTATAAGTGAATTGCTCAAATCCCCCATAAACTATGGATTTTTAAACTCTAAGAAAAAAGTGCATCGTTGCTGATGAATAAATGTCAGAAATAATTTAATATAACACGGCACGAATCATAAATTATGTCATGCTTGTTAGAAAAACATTATTAGATTCCGACGGGTAACGTCATTAAAAAAATGATTTTAAGTGAATTCTGAAAAATTAAAAAGCGCATGATATCATCAAGTTGGCATAGTAAATAGTTTCCAGTCATTCATTTTTTCTATTCTATGAAGTTCGGCATAACTTTTGAAAGAGTATCTTTAGAAAACTTTAAAAATTAATATTTTTTATTGAAAAAATTCTTACCCAGATGCCGGCCTTTGAATCATATGCGAGCTGACCCATTGAACTTGGACAGAACACAAAATGTCAGCAATTTCCTTAAGATATAGAGATCTCTTTGCACAAATTCAACTAAAATGACTCACCTGATTGGAATTCCATTTATTTTTGATCGTTTCAAAGTACGCATGCCTTCCAATATTAATTGGTTGTGGTTGTGATTGTTGTTGCTATAAAAATAATGTCAGTTGTTAATTTTAAAATTAAAATAAATTTGTGAAACCTGTAAATGTTGTTGTTCGTTCGAATCGATTACAATGTGCTGCTGCATTGGGCCGCAGTCGAATGACTGGCCGGAATGCAGCGGAATGCGGTTTGATGTTCTGAAATATTAATATTTTGTCGTCGGAAATGCACTGCATATTTTACATACACAACTACATTATTTTTCATACATGTTCAGAGAAGCGGAAAAAAAAGATGAAAGAAGAGAAGGAACAGAATGATTGATAGAAGGTGAAAAGGAAGCGCCCAAGGGTAAGAAGTGCATGCAATTGTGCATTAGGCCGAATTTAAGACAGTGTTTGCAGAGTTGAAATGTTATCATTTTCTGAATAAAAATTATTTCCTATTTTATTCATTTTTAAATTTAGATTTGATTCCATTAACTAGTAACTTAAAAAAAAATTAAATCGTATTTAATTAAAATCCTATTTCGAAGTTGTTTCGAATTTTCTTTTTTTTAAGGATTTCTGTCAAAAACAACACAAAATCAAATTTCAACAAAAAATGTCGGGCAACTTTGCGATTTGCTTCAATAATTAAATTCACCAGAAAATCACAAATCTAATATAAAACAAAACAAAGAATGAAAAAAAAAACAGCGAAGAAAATTTGCCAAGAGTTGGTTGGGGCCATGCGATCAAAGTCGAGTGTTGTGGAGATGGCGCAGTTGATTTGATGATGAAAAAAAAAACGAAAAAGCAGAAGACGAAGGAGACAGGCGTATAATGGCAAAAGCTGGAGCGTACGGGTTGGTTGCTGGAGCACAGCGAAGCGCGAGGAGAACAGAGAAGCGCGAGAAATGTATGCATTGGCACGCGCTGTTTCTCTCGAACTCTCTCCTCGCGGTTTTGAGTCCTCATTTTATCTTCTGATGCCAACATTTTCGATGGCCATTTTGACGTTTTTCTCCGCAGAAAACATCTGATCAGTCATCTAATTAATTTTGAATTTCTCGTTTCTCATGATTCGGAAAAAGAACGAATTAATTTAGCACAAAATTTCATTTCACATTTAATTTTTTCCAAAATTTGAATATTAGCATTTTTTAATTATCAAAAATCATTATTAATTTTCTCGAAAAAAAAAACTTCAACAAAGTATACCCTATATAGAACTGTATTCATTGGCCCTTTTTCTGTTGAAATAATGAGAGGTAATAATACAATTTATAAAAATAATGATTTTTAAAACCTCAAGTGGTAAAAACCGATTTCATAGACGAAATATAACGTTTAAAAAAAGAAATTTGCAAAAGCAAGAATTTTAACGTGGCCGAATTTGATATGGCCGCCTAATAAGTCAACAATTCCGGCCATTCAGTTATTTTTAATTTCCGTTCGTTTTGTTTTCATTTCATTTTTTATCAAATGGTTAAAACAGAAATAATTTGGACGACAGAAAAGATTTCAAATTCACATTTGTTGTAATAATAGAGGAAAAAGATCAAACACCGAAATAATTTTGTGAAAACACATTTCGAAACCCCACAATTAAACGTCGCTTGAGAAAATAATTTCAAATTCTAAAAATATTTACATGATCGAATTATGTGGATATAAACAAGTGAGAAGATGACAATTATCATGACTATAGTGGGGGAAAAAACGACGAACTTACGCGTAATAAATCGTGATCTCCTCTTCGTGGTTTCGAACGGAAATCTGAAAATGAAGGTATGATTAAAAGGTTGATGAAAATTTCAATTGGAATATTTTATCATGTGATGAATGAAAAAATAATCTGATGAGGTAAATAAGCGGAATCTCATACGGATTAGAGAAGAGCTCTACTTCAACAATGCACAAATAAGGCTTCTGTTTGCGAGCGACTGAAAATGACGAAAGAAGGACCGCCTGAATGGGTGGCGGGTTTTTTGAAAAACACCACTAATGTAGCTTGGCAAATTTATGGAACACGATGGCGAAAAAACGGCAGCATGTTTTCGACACTAGAACACAATTTTTATGTATTTCTGAAAATGAAAGAAATTATTAAATAAAAAATTATTTGTCAATTATGGAATCGATATTAACATGAAACTAATTTGATTTTGGTTTTGGACAACGGCTGTACTAACAAAAATTAATAAAAAAATTCGACGTGCTGAGTTTCTGTTTTAGAAACACCCAATTTGGAAAAAAATAATTCTGTGCTTAATTGCAGAAAAACAGAAATAGTTGGTCTAAGAAGAAACATTGTAATTTCGCTACATCGAAACTTTAAAAGTTTTGACAAAATGTATTGGGTGTTTGTTCTACGGAAAACGAAGAAATTCATTTGTTTGTGAAATTCGTCTAATTTTCTAAAATTAGCAAAACTGAAAAATAAAGAAATAATACATAAAGTATAATTAGAAATTTAGGTAAAGTTACTGTAACCATAGTAATCTGCAATCACCGTGTCTCAAAAATAAACCGATTTATATTTACCCTAAAATTTTGAATTAATCAACGTTTTACCAGAAAATGAAAATTTTGTTAATTCCCAACAGAAATAATAATGAATTCTTGTTTTCATTCTGTGAAAATAATGCATTCCGCTGGTGTATTACGGGAAAAAACATGGAAGAACTGAAAAATGTTGTGAATGTTTTTTTTTCTCGAAAGCATGCAGGTCTTACTCAATTCAACCAGTTGATGAAATGCTCTTATAAGGCTTGAGCGAAAAATAAAATCGGCGAAGCAATATTGCCGACATAGGCAACGTGTGTTCGTTGTCCATTATGATTTGAATTGTGTACGGCGCGCGAAAATAGGGGGGAAAATGAACAAAATGTATAAAACGTGATGGGGCGCAAAAAAAAATGAGAAGCGATCATAAGTTGAGAAAAGGAAAAATGAAACTCTCTAGAGAAACGGTTACTCACAAATGCATGTTTGAAACAGAGCACAAAAAAAAATGGAAAGAAGCAAATTACTTTTGGCTAACCTAATGAGCATTTTTTGGCTCGCGGCGTCACCGCGTCGTTTTTATTTTTATTTCAACGATATGCATTTCCAAATAGTGGGAATTTGTTTCAGGAATGTCAATGCCCGCGTAATGTATTCCATGAGGCGATAATCCGTAGAAAATCTGTACGGCTTAGTGAGGAATAAAAAACGAGAATCTGTTATTCAAAAAAAAATAAATAAATAAAAGGTTTGAAAACATTCTCGACGGTTGTGGAATATTGAGGGAAAAAAGTGCAAACGACACAAAGCAATAAAAATGGGGTTTTTTTTCTCAACGCGATTAAGCACTAAATTGAGTGTTTCATTCAATCATCGCTGTGGTGAGAGCATTATTTTTTATTGAGAAGAAGTAAAAAATAAAACATGGATATGGGTAAGAGTGGGAAGTGGTTAGTGGTCGAAAATGGGCAATCAGGATCACAGAGAGAGAGCGAGGCGGACAAGTTTGCCAAACACCTGGAGAAAGAAAGTGATCGAGAGGTGTACAAGGTCGAATGATTAGCTCGAATCGTGAACAAAACCAGACGTAGACCGATAAACGGGTCAAATAGTAAGCGGAAGAACAAGAATTGAGAACCGAACGAGTAATCGCCGAACATGGAGAATTGCGAATGCAAAACTCTCTTTCATACGCCCTTTTTTTCTGAGCATCTCGCACAGGACATTCTCGATGTAGTCAACGCAATTTCGAAGAAAAACGACATTATATGGTTAAAGCTCAAAACATGTTATTAAAAACCGCAAAAAAAACGTGTGCCGACGTTGAGAATCGAGAGCCGAAAAGGGGCGGAGTCGAGCATGCGTACATTTTGCCAAATAATGCTGAATACAATTTATCCAGCTATCTACTGCTCAGACATTTCCGGAAGCGAATAACAATGTTGTGATTTTCGATGACACCCTGTTGGCAAATATTCTACATAATAACTCTGCTGCGGACATCAATCGGGGTTCGCCGATCAAAAACAACTGCGTGATGAATGAATCATCGAATCCAAATCGGCGTTCTCCTCATCCGTTCCCCATTGCCCTTATCGTCGATCGCCGGGGGCGATTCCCAGCAACAATACTGTTACCTCATTTCGTTCGCGATCGTCTTGTCTCCGCCCCCACACGACGCGATTTCGGTTTGGTCTCATCTTCTCGTTGCCGATACTATCCTCACCTCGATCGCCCCTTCTCCTCTTCCTCCATTCCTCCTTATTTTCGATGACACAATTCGACGGCTTCACTGATCGTTCGACACGACGACCCTCGCTCAACATTGTTGTTTTCGTTTCGACCGCCACCATCCAAATTTCTATTATTTATTTATTCATTGCTTTTCTTAATTTTCTTCTTCTTCTTCTTCTTCTATTACATTTAATTTGATTACGACGGGCGTATTGCAAAAAAGAATGAAACGAGAGAAATGATGGATTCAGAAGTCGAATTCCATTTCGAAAGGTTGCAATTTGAGTAGCAGGTGGAAAGTTTATTAATGAAACTGCAAATAATCATGTGTGTGCCCACAAAAAAAGCCCTATTTGTCGTTTGAGTAATGAATGGAAAGCAATTCAGCGGCGGCACTTTTTATTGAGCTTTCGCAGCGAAAAAGAAATGGAAAGAATTTCCGAGAAATGATTTTATGTCAAAAAAAAGTGGAAAGGATTTAAAAGCAATTAAAAACTATTTTCTGGTATGCTATTATTTTGAATGAACAGGGGGGGGGGATTATAGCCGGATTTTGCTGCAATTTTTTTCAGACTGGCCGCTCAAAGCAAAAAAAAAAAGAAACAAATTTCTAGCGAGAACCTCGATTATTGGTGACCTATTAACATTAAAAGTGACACATTGACCGAGATTTTAATCGCAATTCTTCCACTAGCGGAATTTTTCCTCAACAATTTCGCGAATATTTGGTTGAATTTGTGATCTTCTTGCAAAAAATTCTTCAATTCTTCAATGCCGTCGTCTTTGCCCTTCAATTAAATTAAAATACAAAATTTCAGAATAAATAATACACTAATGATTATTCGAAGGAAGACATGTCGCGATTAAAATCATTCATTTCAATTGTTGTTTTTTCATTCGCCACATTCAAAATCTCGAAGATTTGCGCCATTTCGACATCGAATGTGAGTCGGTTTCAGTCGGACTTGAATACGAGTTTCAGTTTTGCATTCGTCTTGCGTTTTCAGTTCCTCGCTGCCTTGTTATTCGCTTATTCGGTTTTGTACATTTTGTATGAACTGGATTGGAAACGCAGACGGCTTCCGAATGGACCGACACCGTGGCTTTGTGCAGGCAACATGCCAAGCTTCGTGACAGGTATCGAGACAACATCAAAACAAAAATGAATGTCAACGACTTCTAATTATAGCGAAGAGTGTTGAGGATCTGTTCCTGTCCTGGAAGCAACGCTTCGGCGGAATTTTCACCGTCTGGATTGGCCCGATTCCTTTAGTGATGGTTCGTCGACTACGTTGATTCCTTCGCCAGCGATATTCTCTTAATTGACAGGTGTCGGATCTGGCGACGATTAAAAAGTACTTCATACAACACGCGGATTCATTTTCGAATCGTTGGCGCAATTTTGTGACCGACTCCATTATGGGTGAGTTGGAATTGAAGCGATTAAAAATGACACATAATGACACTAACAATTATTTCAATCTTCTGATATGTCCAGTGAGGAGAGTCATTCGATGCCGCAAAATATGTGCATTGTCTGTAAAAAAAAATCTATAAAAATATTCTCGGAGGTTCCTCTTAAGCAAGGGGCAGAGGACAGAAATCAGCTACGCTGAACATATTTAGAGAACACCTTCGACCAGAAGTTTAGAAAAAGCTTAATGACTCAGAGAATTTTCGCGAGCCTTGTGGGCGAACGCCAAGGCTGTTCTGCAATCGGAAATTTCGGCAATTAAATTTTTTCCAACGATAATTCGAAATATAAATACCAAAATTTCACGGTATCCCAAATTATTCAATGTACATCGATTTTTAGTTCGTCGATTTTTTTCCGACATCAAATTGCCAAAAATAAAAATGTCGGCAATTTAAAAAATCGGCATCGCCCGGGCGATGAAAATCTCAGGATGTCTTCGCATAATCCTAACGACATCCTAGAAATAATAAGAATATTCTTCAACCGCTCTTTATGTATGATTCGACTGATGAGACGCATAGATGCATATAGCATCTATTAAGTCTGTGGAAAAAAACCGAATCATTCTGTTATTTGTACTTGTAATTTTTATATTATTCTGACAAAACGTGACTTCAATATCAAGTTTTCTATGTTATTCGAAAGCTTATCAAATGCTCATTCTAAATATTGCTTTAATATCTACATAGATCACGAATTGAAAATTTTCGACCAATCAATCTAGGCTTCGATTGTGATTGATTCAATCTGAAATTGGTTTCACATTGTTTGAATAGAAAAACTTGTCGAATTTAACGCATCGCTTGGCTGCATATCCACAACAAAACGGAACAATTGTCGTCATAAAATGATGGAATACTAATGAGCGATTTTGCGTTTTCAGAAGGCACCAATGGGGTTGTCCAAATCGACGGCGACAAATGGAGGGAGCAGAGACGGTTTGCATTGCACACTCTGCGCGATTTCGGTGTTGGCAGACCATTAATGGAAGACAAAATAATGCTAGAGGTTGCTTAAATATTATAGTAATATTCAATAAAATATGTATGTCTAGGTTGAAGCCCTCACAAAATATCTCGAAAATCACAATGGCAAAGCGATCAATTTGTGTAGTCCGATTGCGGTTTGTGTCGGAAATATTATAAATAATATGCTATTCGGTGTCAGATTCTCACAGGTTTCTTCCTCAATTATTGCATGTTGAAGGCAAAAGAAAAACATTTTTTGGTTGCAGGGTGACATCAAAATGCATAAATTGCACAATCTTCTCGACAAACAATCTCAAATTGTTATGAGATCCATTATGGGAGCCTATATCGCAATGCCAATCACCAGCAAAGTGCCCCTATTGAATTCGACGTGGATTGATTTGATGAAAATCAAAAAAGAATTGTGCACATTTCTGAAAACTCAAATCAAAGTTGGTTGAAATTGATTGATGGGGAATTGAAAAAAAAATTATAGGAGCATGAGCAACGATGGACTGACGATATGATGGAAAATGACGTTGAGGATCTCACATTTGCCTATATGAAGGAGGTTGAGAAGCGAAAACGAGCTGGAGAAGACGTTGGATATTTCGAGTAAATTGCTGAAATTCATTTCTCAAATCGATATTTTCAAATTTAAAGCGACCAACAATTGGAAATGCTGCTTCTTGATTTGTTCTTTGCTGGAATGGAAACCACTGTGACAACTCTCAAATGGGCGTTTCTGCTAGTCGCCAAAAACCGACAAGTTCAAGCTCGCGTTCAAAATGAGCTCGACCAGCTCGGAGCTGATCGAATCACACTATTTCATCGGCCGCAATTGCCCTACACACAAGCTACTTTGAATGTGAATTTATTTTGAATTGAATTTTTTTTTGAAGGAAAAAATTTTGAAATTTTCAGGAAATCCAAAGAATGGCCAACATTTTGCCAATAAACCTATTACGCACTGTGGCGGTTGACACCCAAATTGACGGATATTCGTTCAAAAAAGGCGACCTTGTGATTCCGCAAATTTCGATTCTCATGAATGATCCCGAATTCTTTCCTGATCCGCACACCTTCAATCCGGACAGGTTTTTGGAATCGACTGGAAATCTTAAACGGTTGGTGTTTCGAGTTCATCTCGATAACGGATATCCAAGAAATCAGATTCGAATCTGACCCAACCAACTTCGTCTATTGTGAATGTTTAGAATCGACGAATTCTTGCCGTTCTCAATCGGACGCCGGCAATGTCTTGGCGAATCGCTGGCTCGCGCCGAGCTCTTTCTCATTTTCACGAATTGCCTTCGAAACTTTAATTTTGATGTATCTCATGACGTCTCGACGAAGGTGATTCTACAGGGTGTCATTTAAGTTCCCGCACAAAAGTTTGACGCCATGAAGAGCTTGGCTGTCGCACTTTTCGTGCACCAATACAATTTATTTTTGTTAAATAAGGTATATTTTACTTACTTTCCAAGTTTCACCTCATTCGGATGTGTTTCCGAGAAATGACGAAGGCTAACATCCATCGCGCTTCCATTATCGAACTTCATAAGCAAAATGTGAGCCCGAGAGACATCATTCAACGGGTCGGTGTGCTTCGTAGAACGGTTTGCGACACCATCAAACGATTCAAATAGCTAAATACGACCAGTGTCCGTCCCAGACAAGGAAGACTCGTCTCAGTAACCACTCCTCAGAAGATCAACGCCGTTAAATCGAGGATCAGGCGAAAACCCCACAGGAGCATGAGAAAGATGGCGTCAGACATGGGAATGAGCATCTTCGCTATGGAAAAATCGTCAAAACGAAGCTTGACTGACCCCATATCGTGTCCAAAAAGCGGCAATTCTATCGGCCGTCAGCAAGCAGAGACGCTTCGAAAAAGCAAAACGACTTCTTGCTCGCACGCGGTCTGGACAACACCTCGTCACTGTCTTCTCCAACGAGAAGCTGTTCACTGTGGAGGCGGCATTCAACTCACAAAGCCATTGAGTACTTGCCCAGACATCCCAGCAAGCTTCTGAGAAAGGAAGAACAATTCATCGAGCCTCACATCCTGCCAGTGTGTGGTTTTCGGTGCCATCTGCTCAACCGGGAAGTGCCCCTGGTTTTCGTGGATCAGGGGGTGAAAATGAACAGAGAAGTCTACGTTCGGGACATTTTGGAGAATCATGTGATGCCCTGTACCCAAACGCATTTCGGTGGGCAGAAATGGGTCTTTCAACAGGACGGAGCACCCGCCCACACTGCCAAAACTACTCAGGAGTGGTGCCAGACCCATTTTCCCGACTTCATCAAGTCATCCGAATGGCCTGATTGCTCCCCAGACCTGAACCCGCTTGACTTTTCCGTGATGGGGTCTTGCAGGAGAAGGTCAACGCAAAACCCCACTCAAGTATAGAGGCTCTGAAGAAGACATTACTGGCGGAATGGGACAATCTTTCCATCGAATATCTGCGTACCACAGTCGCATCCTACCCGAAGCGTCTCCGTGAAGTCATAGCTGCGAAAGAAGACCGAATCGAAAAGAGTTAAAAGATAATTATTTGTTATACTATAGAAAAAAAAATATTTCGAGTCTCGTTTGATTTGGACTTTTAGTTTCAGAAATATACGTCTTCAAAGTTGTGCGGGAACTTAAATGACACCCTGTAAACACATTGAATTGAAATCATGTCGCATTGCAGAGGGTTTTCGGTCTGACTGTTTCTCCGTCGCCGTATTCATGCACTGTGACAAAACTCGACGTCGACACCAACTCGAATACCCTTTAATTTTTTTGTATATTTTGTTGACAAGTCCCCCTTCCAAAAAAAAGCATTGGATTCCCCGCAAAATCAGACTCGTTGAAGAGTCGGACTCTAGATAATAAATTAATAAAACGGACTCCTAATAATTCTTCTACAGTAATGCGGAGCAGCAGACCTCGCCGTAACACATATGTCTGCTCTCTCTTCTGAGCTGTCCACACTCTCTCGTGATAGAGATGACTAATCTGACGGATCGAGTTGAACACAAAATCTTGTGATTTACGAAAGGCGTCTGGTGATTCGGCAGTGCATATATATCAAAAGAATGACGATTTAGTTTTTGGCCGATGCCAGAAAGCGTGCCTCCCAAAAAGAAAAGTGCATATGACCCGAAATGACCGTATATGGGCATCAAAAATCGATTAATTATTGAAATCGCGTATTCGTAGTTTGAAAATAGAGTTCAATGTTCAATTCGTTGCAAATTCTTCTCTCATCGCGTTGAGATTCGTGTCGATTCGAATCGACCTATTAAACGAACATCAAATAAATTGTCGGCCGATTCTTCTGTTGCTAACAATCCGACAATTGCATAACAATGTTCTGGCAGAGCCCCGACTTTACACATCCGGCCTCGATCGTCCTCCCATCAACACTATCATCATTTGTGTGTCTCTGAAATTAATTGGCTCGATTTAATGATTGCAACGAAATCGAATGGAAAAAGCCAAAAGTCAAAGTAATCGAAAACGAATAGTTAAAAAAAAGTGATAAAATGGGAAAAACAAGGAAGCTTTGAGAAAACATCATTTTTGATTTGTTAATAGATTGGAATCTTAAAAACAGTGATGAAATGAAAATGAATCCATCGCAATATGCAATTCTATACTATCCCATTGATCACCATGTAATGGAACAATACTGATTTGGGGAGGGGGTTACTAAAATTTAAAAAATAAACCCCATCATCACCACGCAGAGAGTATAGAAACTACTTTTTAAATCAGTATTTTGAGTTTTTTTTTTCAAAATCTCCATACTATCCTAAAACGAAAAAAGAATTCACCGTTTGTTTGAGTTAGGCAACAACCTAGAAACATTGATCTTGATGAAGAATAAAAAATGAAACAAAAAAATGATGTCCTGCTTTTATTTATTTATGTAATCGTAACATGAGTCCCATTTTTTGAAAAATCTTCTTGAAAACAAAATGTTGAAACATTTGGCATGAGAGAAATACAAAAATTTCATATGAATTGATTCATCAGGTGAATGAGCATTCAATTTAAGACGACCCAATTAACGAATATCAGTTTCAGAAATATTGTGTTCATAATTAAAATGGCGATTATAAAAATTAAAGGGAGTCGCCAGAAATAATTTTCAAACCTAGAGCAAAACCCCCCCTAGTTGATAGAAAATATTCTATTTTTAAAGAAAATGTCAATCATCATTATGGACAAGTCTGCGATCGGCTAGCAGTAAAGATCCGATCGAATATAACTTTTGTTTTTTTTTTCACAAATAATTGATGAGCCACCACATACACCTATTGCCAGTCTACCGTAGTCTAAAGTAATTGGGCGGAGCTCCGTCGAAAGAGCATCGCGAATCAAGAGGGCGCAGCGCAGCGAGCAGGAGTCAGTTGTGTCAGTCAGTTGTGCTCGGCTCGACGCGCCTGCCGGTACAACTGACTCACTTACCTATTTTTTGTTGATGCTCTTTATTTGGGATTTGTGCGAACCGCAATGGTTTCTCGGCGTTCCGACGACAAAATTCGAATTGCTCACAAGAAATCCATTTAAAAAACACCAAAAACTGCCACACTTCTTCGCTCGCCCAATTTTTGCTATTTTTAACAATTTCGCCACATTGCCATTGATTGTGATTTTAGGAATGAATCAAGAAGCTTCTGCTCAACAACAAGCGCCGACTGAGAATTATGACTCGAACTTGTATTATAGTCAAAGTCCAAGGGTCCTTTCATCGACAAGTGATATTACCACTTTGACGAGTTTCGCGACACCGACACAACCGGTTCTTGATTATGCCACATCTCAATACGACATCTACAGGTTTATCATTTATTCTTGTTCTTTATGAAACTTCAATATTTCCATTTTCATTTCGTGTTGCGTGTTTATAAGGAAAGCCCTAAATAAGCCCATTGGGTGGGGGGATTATGCGCAAATTTATTTATAAACATTGCTCACCAAAAATTGCCACCCAATGAACTTCTCTCAATTCTGCACCAATGGTGGTGCACGAAACCATTAATCAGTTGGGTGCAGGTTGTCGGACGACCCAATTTGTAGTCGGTAAATCATTTGGCTTTGAGGCCGACAACCTCCCACAAAGAGGGTGGGGGTGGTGAAGAGCTGCGGCGCCAACGCGCGGCTCATATGGTCCGGTTTTGTACCGGTAGATTTATTGTGTTTCGCATTGTTCATTGGGTGGTGGGAAACTGGGGGATTGAGAGATTCAGAAAAACGTTGAGCGAGTTGGAATCAGGTCATTTTTTCTAATAAGAATACGCAGTTTTCTCCATACTTACCTCGATTTTTTGAAATGTATCAAATCTCGATGATCAGAATTAGTAAGTGCCATAATACTGCGCCAATGTTTGTTCGGAAAACCCATAGCATAAATATTTTCAAAGCGATAAAAATAATAAAATGTGTTTAAAATAATTTAGAATAAAAAAAAATTGAAAAAAAAGAGAAGCTCATAAAAATTTAATGAAATTTCCTTAAAAAATTGAGAAAAAAATCATTTGGAATCAGATTTTTTGTGGAAATACCCAGATTTTTGATGTTAAATATGTTTACATCGATTACTGTTATTTAAATCAATCATTGTGAATCATGTGTCGAAAAGAACTTCTAGTACGTTTGAGGTTCACTTTCAAGTAGCAGTTGCTCGAATATCAAATTGAAATTCGTTTAATTGGAAAAGTTTTTCGAAAAAAAAATGAATGAAAACGAGAAAATGAGAGAAGCGACGTTGCCGCAACGCCGGCTGGAATCAGAATGAGCACCTGATATAGTTGCAGTAGAGCAGCAATTGCGCGCCACAAGCGCCACAACTGACTATTCGGGTCGAGCTCAGCTGCTCACCAACTGTGCCATTCGAATGAGGTAGCCATCATCCTCATCATTCGGCAAGCAATTGTCAGCGATCTCGTGTTCCGCGTTTCAAGCGTTTCGAAAAAAGAGAATTCAAAAACGCGCACGAATGCCTCATTTGAATTCCGCTAATTACCGTTATCTCATCTACCGTATACCAAGACGAGGATGAGTCTTCTAGGATGAGGAGGTGGGGGGGAGAAGCCTGGCGGTTTAACGGCATTATGATGGATTGAACCGCGTTGAGATGTGCTCGAGCGAGATAGCGCGCTAGTCGGCGAGAGATGCAAGGTGAGCCGCCGATGCGGTGGATTCTGTTACAAAGCGGTGTGGCAGCTGCTCGGCAAAGGTAAAACGGATGGATGGCCGGTGATATCCGGCACAGGATTACAATGTCTATACGGATGGGTCGAACTAAATGTGATATCGTGGTTCTCGCAGCAAAAAGAGTACTTAATGAATTTGTCGAGAAGGGATATAAAAAATTTGAAGAACATTTTTTAAATCCCATTTTTTGTTTTTCTTATCTTTAGGACTCATCAAGTGTGAAAAATGATTAAAATCAATAAATTAGCACAAAATCTCTCATTTATTTTGATTTTAGGAGTCCTTCGACGTTCTACTATCAATCTTACAATCAAACAACTCCATCAACATTTTATCCGGATCTCAGCTCATTCAATGTCCCATCGACACGCCATAACACCGAGTTTGTTACCGTTCCCACTGTGCTGCAAGATGTGAAACCAATAATTACGAAATCGAGCAGTGAGAAAGAATGTAAGTCTCTTCCATCTCATTCGTAAGTGCTCATTTCAATTTTTTTTAGCGACAACCGATCTTCTCTTACCTCGAACGGATAATTCTCATAATGAAACATCCGAAAACGCTGCTGGAAGCACTACTCAGCCAAAAAGGACGAAAAGTAGAGGCAAATCAGAAAATCAGAAATCAATATTCCCGCTTTCAGTGGATCGCAGGAAAGCAGCGACGATGCGTGAACGCAGACGCCTCCGTAAAGTAAATGAGGCTTTTGAAGTAGTGAAGCAAAGAACTTGTCCGAATCCTAACCAGCGACTTCCTAAGGTATTTTCGAGCGTTACTATGAATTGGCAATCAAATCAAAAATTACAGGTTGAAATTCTTCGATCTGCAATTGAATACATCAACAAATTGGAGGCAATGCTTCAAGCTGAAGGAAAAATGACGAAGATTATGTCACAGAACCAACAATTACAAATGCAGCAGCAGCTTAGTGGCCAACCTCCGCATGACTATATGGTATATTCAAACCTAAATTATTATTATGACTTATTATTAAATTTACAGACCTCCTCGCATTTTGCTTCAACGTCATACCATCAAGATGGAGCATTTGATGAAGACGACATGTCAGATTCTGAAGCGGATGAAGCTATGGATCATTGCCAAGTTAATCAGCAAAATCAACAAAATCATAGTGGTATGAGTAAAATTATTTTTACAAATTTAATTCTGGAATTTAAGGTTCTGATGCTCGAAAACGCAATTCATTAGATCGATTATCAAGGATAGTCGCGAATTTACGTAAGGAATAACGTATAAAATATAATTCACATGGCAATTTTTAGCGAATGAGGAACAACAAACTCAACAGAACCAACAATCTCAGCAACAACAACCTACCTCGGAAGAAAATGAAAAGAAGCTTGTCCTACTTTAAAAGGGCGCTCTTTCCTCCCATCGATTATCTTTAATTTATCCATCCGTGGTGCATTTCGTAGAATATGTTCACTTTTTTTTAAAATGTGTGCCTCATTTTAATGCACACTTCTAATCAAATATGTTTTATTTATTCAGAACCAGCTCAAAATAAATAATATTTTTATTTAAAATTTTATCAAAACAGTTATACAGCAGATATTAATTGGAATGAATCTTGAACGTACATATTTATAATTGAGCACGGATAAAAAACAAAAAATGCCAGTTTGTAGCGCGGAAAAAACATTGTCGTCATTTAAAGTGCAATTGATTACGGTAGTTGTTTATTGGCGTGTTTCTCGATATTGTGCGCGTTTTCAGTGTTTCATGTTGTCAAGCAATTTTTTGTTTATTTTTGAAAGGTCTTCTCCGTGTGATATATTGTATTAATCGCGATTAAATATTAAAATTGTTTGCTTTTAGCCATTTCGACTTTGAAAGCACTGTTTTTGTTTAGATGAAGCCTCGTGTCAGCACCAGTTCTGAAACCAACTCTAGCGGAGTAGGATTTTTCAATTTTAATCGATATAAATATGTTTGCAGTTTGGAAGTATGGAGAATTTGGAAGTAGAAGAGATTTCAGCTCCAAGAGGAACGAAGAGAAAGACTTTAAATTCGGTTTAAACAAAATTAATCTAAAACCACATGACATTTTATTTTAGATTAATGATCTGGACGAGCTTATGAAAAATTCATTAAACGTTACAGAAAAGCGAACTTGTTACGATCTCGAATCAAAATCGTTATCAATCACTACGCAAGAGGATCATAGACTCTCAACTCGAAGGTTTGAGGCAGTTTTTTTAGTCTGCTTTCGAAAATTGCGGCTATCAGGATCAGCCGCCACAAGATCCAACTCGTATTTCGTATTAAGAGCCTTTAATCGATTAGTTCATTTATCGGAATTTCGCGATTGAATTCAGTTTATTCACAATTTTTATGGAAATTTTTTGATATTCGATTATAGAAAATATTTTTTGGATAATGAAGTTTCTGTGCTGAGCATCGCCTCTCAAAAGTCTATATAAACATTATTTCCAGAGCATCATCGATGTCGAGGTGCTCGCCGGTTTCGTTGGAGCGCAGAGCATCGATGAAAAGCCCGGTTAGCTTCGATTCTTTTTTTTGCTGCACTTACTATTTTATTTAGCGTGGCAATTGTCTCCAATTTGTTCGTAATTTTGAGGCAATTTCTACTGATTCCATTTCGCCTCGTTCAATTAATCAATATCGCTCACCAAGAAAAAGAATTAATCTGAGGTTTTTAAATTATTTCGATAATAGTTGAATAAATTATATTCAATTTTAGTCCAGAAGATGTGTATTCGAAACATCGATTGGGCAGCACGTTCTCGCCTGTTGTGGTTAGAGCCAGACGCCGATCAGCGATTCGACCAGATTTAAAACGCTGCAATGTGCCGATCGAGTCAAGTCGAGATCAATGTAAATCATTAACGTCCAGTTCAAATTAATAATTGATATGATTTGATTTACAGTTAAAAAGGTGTTAACTCCCAAACATGGAATACGCCAAAAATTGGCAACGTTGAACAGATCACGCCCATCTTTGGTAATAATTTCATTTTTGTAAAATAAAAATTTATTTATTTCAGAATAGCCGACTTCTGAACATAAACACCGATGTTACCGAATCATCGTGCAACTAGCCCAAATGTTCATTCATCAACAATTATTCCCCCAAACCAAACAATTTCCTGTTAGCCAAATTCACATGTGAAACTCAAAGTTGCCTCACTTTGGTGTTTTAAAATTGACATTTGCTCACTCATTGTTTATTATTTGAAGCAACCGGTATAATAAAAAATCAACAAAATATTAAATTTGGGGTTGGGTTGTGTGTGTGTGTGCGTGAATCGTAGTGGTTTTTGGGTGTTTGGAACATTTGAGGAGATCTCGACAACGGGAATCTACAGGGATTTAAACGTTTATAACCGGCGGCCCTTTTTTATTTTTTTTTTTCATAAATTAATATACAGCTTTTAAATGATAATGGAAGGTTACGATAAATGAATGTACAAGTGGGATCGGACCGGATTACTGCTTGAAACTCGATGGATCATCGATTTGGAAGAAGTGCGACGGTGAATCAACGACGACGCCGTCATTGCTAATCTCTGATGGTTTATCGTCGGATCGGATTGGAAGGAACTTGCTCTCATCGATTTCTTCGAGATCCTCATCCGGTTGAATCACTGGCTGAAAACACAAATCAATCAATATTTGGGGTTTCCGACGAAAATTGCCAACCTCGGCAGGCTTCTCTTCCTGTGGCTGAAACCACGCCTTGACATTGAATTTCTCAACTGGATCAACTGGCGAGTTGTCCATCGAGATGGCTGTCGACGGTGGCGCCGAATCGTCGTTGTTGGCAGCAATCGCTGGATTGTTGAATGTCTCGGAATTCTGAACGGCTGTCTCATCAACCCATTGTTGTCCGTTGTGTTCGGAAGCGGCTGGATTCGGCTGGAATGGGAAGACGTCTTGCTGCTTCATCCAGTCATCATTCTGCCATAATGGAGCCGCCTGAGCTTTTGCTGAGTTGTCCTCATACGGCATGTACCATGGGCGAGCAGTGTTCTGTCCAAAATTCGAGTTTTGTTGGAATTGCTGTGGTTGGGGTTGTTGGAACTGAAATAGATTTAAAGTTGAACAATTGTGCTTCCAAAAATTTAATTCAAATGTTAATAGCCGTGTAAGTAAAAGCTTCCGAACCTGTTGTTGCTGTTGCTGTTGTGGCCAGAAGAAGTGTTGCCTCTGCTCCATTGGCTGATTCCACTGATTAGTCATTACTTCCTGTGGTGGTGGTTGCCACCAATTTTGTGGTTGTTGTTGTGGGAAATTGTCAAATTGAGCTGGTTGTTGCCACTAAAATGATAGCATTAGTATTAGGAGAGCAACATGAAAACGAAGGGAAGAGGAGAAGCACCGAGATCAGTTTATATTTGGAGGCTTCTCCCCTTCAAGTTAGTAATAGAATCATACGAAGAAGTTGGGACGAAACTGTGGTGGTGGTGGTGGAGGAGCGAACACGAGATTCTGGGGAATTCCATCAGTGTTAAATGGGTCAATCTGGAAACGAGTTGTTAGTGTTAATGAGCCAAATAAGGAATGACTATTAATTGAACAAAAAACTATTACCGATTCGAATTGATTTGGCATGTTTATCTGCTCGTCATAGTCGTTGTACATATTGTTTTCCCATCTGCAATTATGATAATTGATTTAATTTTTTTTCAGAAAAAAATGTGAGAAAAGAGCGAAAAAAGAAACCTGTTGAAAGGCCCGAAGAATGGTTTTTTCATGCTGTGACGATCGAACGTTCGACGTCTGAAGAAGAAGAAAAAGAAAATCGAAGAAGCCCCTAATATAGATATAGACAAACCCATTGTCAAAGTAATCCTCATTGTTTTGTTGTCCGAACACTTGATGTGGCATCGCAACTTCTCCGAATCCATCAGCGAATGATCTCTCCATCTGAACAACCATTATTATAAATGTTGGCATCAAACGATCGATACCGATTGAGTCTCATCATCATCTTTTGGCTCCGATTTGAAATCGATTGGTTTGACTTCGACGACGTGCACTTGCATGTCACCGGTGAGTCCCATGCTTTCAGCATGCTTTCGAATTTTGTCCATCAGCGCTTGAAGGAATCCGAATATCGAGTTTTGCTGAAAATCAGACGCATATCTGCAACGAGTAGAAAATCGACGAACCTCATCTTGGTTAGTAGAATCGACAACTTCCGATGATTTCGATTCTTCAGGTTTGATGACGTCAACGATTTGCGGCTTCACTGGATCATTGCTTCTTCGAAGTGGGAGTGCTTCGATTCTGAAATTTCTTTTTTTGATTTCTCAATCCAATATGATATCATGAAATTTAAAAAAAAATAAATTTCAGAAAAAAATTACTGTTATTATTATTATTATTATTGCTCATTGAAATGATCAAATATTTGCTCAATAATACAAATAGAGATAATAGGTATTTTTCCTCTAACACACGCCTTTTAAGGCACGAAAAAGAAAAAAAAATGCGCGCACAACACCTAAACAATCAGCAGAGTTTTTATGGCAACTCACGGCTGTTGGGGCTGCGATTGTTTCTCAAGAGCCATTCGATCAAGTTCCTGCTGTTGCGACAATAGCTCATAGCCGAGCATTCTTTGTCTCAATTCGGCCCTGAAAAAAAAATGAAATCAACGAATAAGGCAACAAATAGCGAATGAGTCACCATTTCAATCGGAGGAATGCTTGATCTCGTTGGCGATGATAGGCGACTTCGGAGATGGCGAGACACAACAGCACAAGGCACATGGCGCCGATGAACCATGAGAGGACTGCAAATGGGACCATTGGATGATGAGTTCGAATTTGATTCTTGACTTACGTCCACATGTGAATCCGATTCTGCGCTTCGGCGATTTCGCCAATACAACCTGCGGCTGCTGTGGTTGCACATTCGATGCGACTGTCTCGATCGGAATCACCGATTCCTTCTTCTCATCGGCTAAAGCCTTTTCGGCTTTCTGATTCTCGTCGAGTCCTAACGCGAAGACCTTCATTCGTGGTTGATGCACCTGCAAAACGTCACACGTCAAAATACAATAGTGCAAATATTTGAACGCAAAAAAATTGTTTGAGGTGTGTACAGAACATAATGCCTGGAACTGCCTTCCTCGCTTTTTTTTTCAGATTGTAAATGTATTCGGGGGGAACTAGAATGATTCCGATCTCAAATATTTATAAGCCCAAAAGTGTATTTAGAAAATGAGAAAATCTCGATCTCACGAATCAGCAGTTTGCGTGGACTTTCTCAAATGTCGTTCTATTCTCATTGAATTGGACGAATCATTCATGTTTGCGCCATCAATCCACTATAAAATTCGTATTTTTCTTGTTTTGAAGTCTTTTTTTGAAAGATTATGCTGAAAAGGCTTTGTGATAACAAAGACAATCTCAACTATAATTTCCCGTGAGCAAAAAAATATATAGAAAGAATAAAAAAAATCATTTGCCTATCGAACTAATAGTATAAGCAACTCAATGAATCTTGCCTATGATATGAGCGAGCAAATTGATTCAATTAAGCAGCGTATCAGATTGAACTCGTGTTGGGCTCTTTGGATAAAATCGTTGTTGGGGAGAACGCGAGGAGGCACCGCCCCTTTTCGACGACGTCAATCATCACATGAATATGAAGAAACGGGGGGGGTCGTTGAGAACACAATCTAATGAGGTAGGTACTTTTAGTACAATATTAAATGAAAGATATCGAGAAGATGGAAACCAGTTCCGCGATGGAACCAATAATTCATTGGTCTGGATGTTTGAAGTTGACCAATCGAGCGCTATTATATATGCGATTCAAAATAATCAGAGAGAGAGAGAGATGGCAGCAAGTCTTGGGCGATCCAACGCTATGGCATGGCGACCACCGCGCGCCCTACAAATTGTGATAATAATTCGATGGGGAGACTAATCGCACAGAAATAGCCGAAGGGCGCCCGGCTCGTTTCATTTCCTGTGTATGCATGTGTATGTGAGCGGGTGAGTGTGTGTGTGTGTGTGTGTTCCCGCCCCACAAGACCAGTCCCTTTCTCCGGAATCTGTTTTCCTGCACCTCTCGTTACCGATCCGCGCACTCACAGCCTCAACTGTCATCATCATCATCAACGCCTAAATGTGTGTGCGTTTTTTTTTCTTCACAAATGAGGAGAAACAATCGGAACACACACACACATGCACAAATACACTTGTCGCTGGGTTATGGCATATTATCATCGGCGGCGAGAAGAAAGAATGGAGCAATAATCAATGTACGAAACCCGTGAACAAAGGTCGCCTATAATGGGAATTCAATTCGATTCTTTCGATGTGATTCTGTTAACGATCTCAAGCACTTGTTTCGCTGAACCGTTCCAATAACTAAAACTAGATTGATGTGGTAAGAAGGAAGACGAGTCATGCTCGGCTTCCAAGAAAAGGAGAGCGAAGAACGAGTCGCCTGATTCCAAATCAGATCAACACTGTTCATTGATACGCAGTATATCAAAATGACCGAAACCCCCTTGATCTACTAATGTATTTGCAATATCGCGACATCTTTACCAAAAACAGAAAAAATAATTTGTAGGCAGCAAAGATCGGAGAATGTGTTTGAAACAGAAGGTGTGTTCCGTCGACGAAAGACGGATTACACTCGACGATTCAGATCAAACAATCAAGACGATTTGTGGAAAAAAAAAAGTGGGAGAAATGAAGGTTGAAGAAATCAAAACAAGTCCGACTCGTTTCAGAGACGACGATTCGAAAATAGGCAATCATCGATTCTAAAAATGGTCCATTTGGTCTCAGACAGCATCGAATCTCAATACTTTGTTCTTAAAAAAAATATTCTGTTCCGTCAAACGCTGTCCAAATTTAGCATTTTCGCGCATATCCTCGCCAATTCTTTTGCCAATTCGCACTCTAGACAAATATTTAGTGTTTGGTTCGGAATCTTAGCAAACATTTATCACATTAAGGGTAACCTGTTTTCAAATATCATCAACGAACCAAGGATGGCGAGAGGGAGAAATAAAAAAAATCGAAAAGTGGGAATTGGAGAGGAGGGGGGGGGAGATGTATGGTTACGGTAGGCCTAAACGCATGGATGACTGCCGAATTATGCGATTACGTTGACGACGACCAGATTTGGACACAAAATGGTAACAACCATTTTTGAAACATTTATGTGAAATTTCTGTGTTTGGATGTTTTCGATTTGTTCATATCAAAAATTATGAAACTTGACGAAGAGGAAGAGGAAGAAGAAGGTAGAACGGCGATGGTCGCACCAGTTTGTGGCCAAATGATGGTAAAGCTGGCAAGGATCTTCTTTTGTGAATAGGGCCGAATCACAACTGGTTCCAAGAACACACACTGGCCCGACAGGCACTCACTGACATCATGCATATTTATAATACAAATCAGCAGAATCAGGCGAGATTTTGATTGGCACGGACGTGATTCATGGGCTCGCTGTCAAATAATCGTTGATTACACACAAAGACAATGCACAGATATGAAATAAACTAGAAGCGATCTTTTTCTCGATCGACTATGATATCGGAGGATTGAAAAAAAATGGAATTTTCGAGAAATACATGTATATTCAAGGACGTCGCATCGACAATTAAATCGGCATAACTGTAAACACGTATGAAGGGATTTGCGGGAAACGTTGGAGTGTTTCGGAAATCGGGGAATTGGCATTGAAAACTTGGGATTTGGATATACTATACTCAAAAGAAGTCTACATAAATGGATGAAAATTGTTGGGTACGAATAAGGGGCGATTGGAGCGAGAATAACCATCAGAAGCCATCAATGCCAATTATTCGTTCTTTCCCTCCTTTGTTTTATTCAAAACAATCCGGTTATTCGTATTTTTAAGTTAACCGCCTCGCCTTTTTTTTCTCATATTAGCGAACGTTTTTGTTCTCAAACACAATAAATTCAATAGATACTTGAAATTCTATTGATTTTGGTCATTGGCATTCTTCTCCAGTTTCTGTGCGCACAGCAACGCACACAATTTGTGGCGCGCATATCCTTGAAACGGCTTCATCGACGAGAATGTACACAAAAAAGGACAATATTGTTACTGTAAGCAGGCAAGTGCAAAAAAACATGTTATTGGCGAGAAGAAAAAAATTTTTTCTTTACAGAAAAAAAAATGAAACAGAAATTTTCGAGTGGTTTGAATTTTATGCCCGCCGTCACTTGAAATTGAAGGAACTAGATTGGATATAATGGGTACGGTATCAGTTCTCAAGTGGGTGAAAACATTCAATTTCAACTTATAATTTACGACACAAATTGGCGGTAGACGAAATGGATTTTCGTTGGACATCACAAATCAGCGACGATGCTGATTCACACCGCGTTCGCGGAATTTGATAATTGCATTAAATTCAAATTTTTCATTGCATTAAGCAAATATTGATGATGATGATGATAGTAATTACAAGTTTTGATGCCACAAAAGGGATCCCTTCAACATTCTCGAACCAAATGGCCGCGGCCGCGGCCGTGTTCATTAAATCGCCGGCCATCCAACGATTTTTCTCAAACGAAAAAATTGCGGATTTCAAACATTTCACACCTTTTTTTTCTTGACAACGCACTTATAAAAACACGGTTAAGATCAACAACTAACGCTGTTTTCCTCATTCTGAACTTTCGAATCGGACAAACAATGCAAATCGAATGCAAACACATTTTGAGGCAAATGTCAGCTGAAATCCGAGACCGAAATCTGGTTCCCCTCACATTTTATTCCTTTTCTCTCTTTCTCTCTCTCTCTCTGTCGGCGAGTTGAAGTTCGTACGAATTATTCTATAACTATCTTCTTAATTATAATTGGTTTTTTTCAATTTTGGCCAGGATATACGAGCAAGAAAAAAAGCAAAGAAAACTGTGTGGAAATGACGGAAAAACTCGTATTTGTTTATATCTAGAACACTTTTTTGTTTATTCGTCTGAATTATACATTAATATTGAGTTAAAAAAAACGTTTGAACGTTTAAAATTTAGAAATTACTGATTCATTATTTATCTTTGGAAATAGGCAGAATTGAGTAGGAAATAAACATGATACTGAAAGCAAATAAAAAATGAAACTCAAAGATTAAGCTAAAAATAAGGAAAACACAAAAATTCTCACTTTATGATAATTAATTTTAGCTTTCTTTTGGCTTTCTGATCGAAATCAAAAATCCATAATTGATATTTTTGGTTAATTTTACCATTGATAACTAATTAATAAAATTGAAGTGTGACTAATCATCGGATTGTCTTGCTTGAAAGCGTTTTAATGAATTTGAGAGAAAATTGGATTAAAAAATATAAAATTTATTAAAAATATTCTAGAAACAGTGAGGCAGAAGACACAAGAAAAATTGGTCATTGCTCCTGTCAAAATTCGGTGAGAAATATTTCAAAAAGCCAATTGAATTTCGAGAAATTTCTTGAATTCCTCGATAATTCCTCTCGAAAACCCAATGAGGCATGCGACAGTAACTCGCAGAATGTTTGAAGAAGACATAATGCAAAAATATTTGGAAAATAATGGAGGAGGTGGGGGGTGGGGGCTGTTTGAACAGGCAGAGGAGCATCCCCGAGGCGATCGAAAATACAAATAGGCTTGATGAGAAAAATACGCGAAGGATTAAATCAACAATAGGCGCTGGTGAGAATTCGAATGATTTTTAAAATCGTTTTTTGTTTTTTCTTGATGATGGTTTCATTCTTTTTAAACCAGCGTTGATTTTTTTTTAATTGAAGAAATTCGCCGAAAACTCGAGGCACGTCACAACACTCAATAAGACGTCTTCAAATCCGAAGTGAACCAGTTCGGAATTCCAAAATTGGGAATCAATTTTTTTTTGTTGGCGGGTAACCATCGGACAATGATCGACACACCACCACCACCAGCGGGCGTTCGTGTTGCGTGATTTTATGACGAGACGAAACGATGCATGAAATTGAGGGCCGTGAGTGGTACTCGTCAACCAAATAC